GATTTTCTTTTGGAGTAGAGTAATGTTGAGAAAAGAAGCAATCAAATTTATTCAAAAGATAAGAAATCGTGAAAGCCAATAACGTTAAAATCATGTAATCCTTTTTTGCTTATGACTTGTTTACTTCTTTTGTTCGTTATAATGGATATTGAGTATTCAACTGAAAGAATCGTCTTGCTGTACTCGAAGGCACAATTGTTCAATTTGTAAACTCATACGTAAAGTGCAATCTTTTGACTAATTTCTCTGAAGATTTTAAGGAACTTTTTCTGTAAAAAGAAGTAAAGAGTAATACTTTTTGTCTCTGTATGATAGAATTTTGAATCAACACGACACCTCTATCAAAAGTAGCTACAAGATTTTCTTTTTTCTTGACGAAGTTGTATTTAAATCGAGTTTAAGATTTGAGAATTATTCAAAGCCAAACATTCTGCGAATCCAAGTTGCCGGAATTTTAGCTATAGCTGGAAGTTTGCTTGTTTTATATTTTTTTCTGTAGCTAAATCAGTTCTCGAATTGCTTGTATCAATTGTAATGATTTATGAAAAAACTTCGCGTTTTTTATATTTGTTAAATTACAGATATAAAGATGAAAGTTTATAAAAATTAGTTGAGCAGAAAGGCGATGTTTGTTGCTGCCATTTGTGTATATTTTGTTAAATTTGACACAAATACAACTTCTCTTTCACCGCCATATTGTATTATGTCACAGTGAACAATCAAAATCTGTCACATACTTATCTTTATAAAAATTTACATGAAATAATCTTCATTTGCACTTAATTGCCAATTGCAATGCAAATACAATAAACAACGAGACGCTTTATTGGTTGTAAATTGAATTTTGAATTTTCAAAGATACACAACTAAGAATATAGCTACGAATTTTTTCCAATGGAAATATGAAAATCATGAATTTATCGGTTTTGTATAAAAAAATTTTATCATGTTGGCATCTCTTCTGAACAAAGCGAGAGACAGCTGTTATTCTCACTATGAAAGAAATCTGAGTTAAATCAAGCTCTTGCTAAAGATTAACTACAACCAATATCATCAATTTCCAAACAATTCAGTGCATTTTCAAAACAATTCAGTGCACTTGTGAGAAAAATACATCAATCTAGACCACCGTTCCGTTAAGATGAAATCATCATTAGAAGATTCAGTTCTAACGTGCAACATGTTTGGGATGTCACATTTTACATTGAGGAAGTTGCCATTCAAGGCAGTTTTTGTAAATCAAATTATTTTGATTGTGTTTAACGGTTTTCTGGCCATTGTGACGACTCTGCTTAATTCTCTCGCAATTCTAACAATTCAAAAATCGTCTCAACTGAAAGAAAAACCATGTTATTTTATCATATTGCTGCAATCTTCTATGGATTTAATTTGCAGTCTTCTTGCAATGCCATTTTTTGTCGTTTACCTCGTTAATGCAGTTATTGAAACTTGGAATTGCCTCGTGAGCACATTGGCATTGTTCTTGATGCTTTCTGCATTAGGATACTCAAACATCAACTTATTTGCTCTGACCTGGGAAAGATACATTGCTATATTATACCCTTATGACTATCACACCAAAGTTACAAAAACTAAACTGTTTATTGGTGTGAGTATAACTGGCCTGGTTGATTTCCTGATGAAAATTGGACTTTTAATTTTGACTCAAGGAGTCATATTGCGATACACCTTGATGAAAGTCTTTGCTCTTTTCTGCTATGTTTGTTTTGCTTATACGCGTATTTATTTGGTTGTGAGGCAGTTACGCGACATGCAGTCGAAGCCTACTGATTCCAATAATGGTCTGAGCAAGCGAACCAAAACAAAACTTTTGTTGCAGGAAGTCAAAACAGCCAAATCTTGTTTCATGGTTGTTTTGTGTTTTTCTTGCTTTCACATCATTCCTGAAATTCTACTCAACATGATGACTGCAAATTGGGAAAAAATTGATCAATATCCTGTTGCAATGTGGATTTTCTCACTTGCTTATTGTAATTCCAGTGCTAACTCGTTGATTTTCTTCTGGAGTAGACTGATGTTGAGAAAAGAAGCAATCAAATTTATTCAAAGCATAAGAAATCGTGAAAGTAACTAACTACAAACGTAGAATTCCTAAACTAATGTAATATTTCTTCCAATCAAAATTGTCCTGTTGTAATTGTGTTCATTACAACTAACTAAGAAGAACATACAGGTAATGAGTCTGCTTTTCAAAAAAAAAAACATATGCTTGATAGCTTGATACCATTTTATCAGAAATATGCTCATGGATTACGCTATCCGAGATTATAACCTCGTGTGGTATTTCTTTGCATTAGAATTGTTCCGCTAGAATTATGTTCATGTAGTTCAAACTCTAACTTAATATTTTTCTCAATATTGATTCTTATTTTCAGAAGACTTAAAAGAATCTTTCCTAGCAGAGAAATAAGTGAAAAATTTAACCGTATACAGTTAATGGCAAAGCAGCTGTTGAAAATATAAAGAATCAACATGTTCTTCTTCTTTTGTAGCTAACAAAGCTCTACGGCCTCTACCAACTTAATTCTTTGTCGCAAAAGTATCTGCTGTTTTTTTTATACATACTTTTGATCAGAATACAGAAATTTTGTAAAATCTGAATGTATACTACATGAAAGAAGCTTTCGTCGCCAACATTATTTACATATATTGGCCCACTTAAGCTTCTGTCCCACTGCCTAAATTTTTTCATTTCTTTATGTAGCTACAACTGATTATTAACATCATGAAAATTCATTTAAAGAACCCTCTTGCTCTTGGCAATAATATAAATTCAATGATTGCTGGCGCGAATTAAATTAGAATATTCAAAATTAAGTTATACGAGCAAAGAAATAAGAGTGAGTTTTTCCCATAAACTGTGGGGGAAATGCTTGTTGCTTTATCTTACTTTCAGCAATCCTCTGTATTGATTTGAGTTGCATTCTTCTAAAGTGCCATTTTTCTTAGCGTTTGTATATCATTTAGCAATAAATGCGTTGTCCTAGATTTAATTGAAGCTATAGGACTTTGAATTGCTGGGCGATAAATTTTCTTTATTGTATTTATATGCATTAGCTAGATAATCATAATAAATTTTCTTTATTTATTTGTTCTGGCTTGTGAAAGATGTATTGGTTTATTTTTAGTATCATGATGACAACGTTAAAATCATGAAAATATACAGTTTTTCACAAGGTGCATCGGTTTATAACCGGCGTGGCTCATTGTTTAATATGCCGCGTAAAATCATATGTATTCAATAATTGCTATCGTTTAATACAATGATTGATGAGAGGCCTACGTGGACTCAAATTAAACATATATATTTTGCAATTCATTTATAATTTCTAAAAGAACAGGAAGATACAAGTTCGTCCCCTTAGATTCGGAAAGTTGTTCTCACGCCAACATTTTGTCTGCTTTTCTATTTCAAGAATTTTCTTCAGCATGTCAAAGGTTCGATCAATTTTTTGTCAAGTTCGTATCTCTGAATGAACAAAGAGCAGCTGTTATTTAGCAGTTTACAGCGCCAAACTAGAGAAGTCTGGCATATATATTGCGCATTTTGCTATCGATTAGACCCAATGTCATCGATTTGTACATAAGCTTCATGTGCACACTGAAAAAAGAAACACTAGGATTTGAACACAGAACCATCAAGATGAATTTTACTTTACATAATACCATTGTCACATGCAACGTTCTTGGTTTAAGCCACTTTACTCTGACGAAACTACCATCGCATGGCATGCGTATCAATCATTTTTTTTTGATCGCATTGGATTGTCTTCTGATGATTATGACAGCATTTCTCAATGCAGTCGCAATTCTAACGATCCAAAAATCATCTCAGTTGAAGGAAAAGCCATGTTACTTTATCATATTGTTGCAATCTTTTATAGATTTGATATGCAGTCTTGTTGCAATGCCGATCTTTCTCGTATTCCTGTTAAATACAATTAAGGGCACTGTTAATTGCGTACTGAATACCGCATCATTGCTATCACTACTTTATACAGTGGGATTCTCAAATGTAAATTTATTTGCTCTAACTTGGGAAAGACACATTTCGATTTTATATCCTTATGACTACAACACCAAAGTTACAAAAACTAAATTATTCGTTGGTGTGAGCGCTGTTGGTGTCATTGATTGTGTAGCAAAGACCGCAGCCTTCATTGTGGATAATGGACTAGTGGTAAAGTACAACATGGCAAAGATTGTTGTCCTCTTTTGTTACCTTTTCTTTGTTTACATGCGTATTTATTTTGTTGTAAGGAAGATAACGATGTTCAAATGGAAGTTGTCTGATTCAAATGATACGAGCAAACGAACCAAAACGAAGCTTTTGTTGAAGGAAATAAAAATAGCGAAGTCCTGTTTTATTGTTGCCGTGGTTTTTTTTCTCCTTTATATCATTCCAGGAAGTTTGCTCAATATAATTACCCCGTACTCAGACAGGATTGATCAGCTTGTCCTTATTATGTGGATTACTGTTCTTGCCTTTTCTAATTCCAGTGTGAACTCAATAGTTTTCTTTTGGAGTAGAAAAATGTTAAGAAAGGAAGCAACAAAGCTTTTTCGTAAAAAAACTTGACTAATTGAATTTTAGTCGTTTGAAATCGATTACTTTGTAGCTAATTATAAATTTTGCGATGCGCTTTGGTAGAAATTAGAATTTGAAACGAGTTAGTGAGCATGGGTGTCAATGAATTTTATGTTCAAACTAGAAAAATGGTTTTTGAGCAAAATTAGTATTTATTACATTTCCTTCTCGTAGTGATTCTATTTTACAAAAGTCAATAAGTTGAAGATAAAAAAATCCAGAACTGTCAATATTAGTAGGGTTTTAACCGTTATTTCCAATCAAAAAATAATTTGCTTTCTCTGCTCATTTCAACTTTTACGGGGAAAGCCTAAGTGAAAGAGTCCGAAAAACTTGAAAGACAAAAGGAAAAGTTCGGGTTACCTACGTCTCATTGATTGAAACTAGTTCAATTTGAACTCAGAAATTCAACATGGCTTCTCATACGAATAAATCTGTCCACCAAACTAAAGAGGAATTACTTCGGCGCATTGCAGATAAGAAGTCTGAAAGCTCTCCAAAATTCTATCAGAATGATACTCCTTTGCAAGGAAGTATTAGCCAAGCTAATAGCTTTTCGAATTCCATTGTAAATCAAAATATGTTTCACAACGACGGGAATTTTTTTGCTCGTTTTCAAGCGATGCAACAACAACAAACCGCCAACAATTCGAGAGAAGAGAGGCCTTGCTCTTCAAGTGAAGAATCTTCGAAGAAGCGTAAATTGACTGTTTCTATGAAGGTTTTAAAACCGTCAGCTTCTTCAAAAACTGTGACGAAACCAAGGTTGCTACGTCATGACGTGTTTGAAAATCCCGAAGATGAAACTGGTAATTTTTTATTAGATTATCATAACCTTAAGCAAATTGGAGCTTTATGTATATGTATCTGAAATTTATTTTGGATTGGGAAAATCTTTCTAAGATCAGATTTACTTCAGTAAAAACATCTTAGTTCTTTCCACAATTCCCATGTCTTACGATGCAAGTCATTTTTAGTCACTGTGTGTGATCAAGGCACGTATGAAACTTGATTTGAACATTTTGCATGGCACCAAAATTTCAGCTTCTCAATTTTCAGCATTGCTTTTTTCCTCTTTCAAATCAATGTGACCACCCGTATTTATACATGTACAAAAGCATTTATTAATTAAGTGAGCGTAAAGATGTTTATCATCCAGGTTATTGCAGTCTCAAGAAGGGTTTTTGGTGTCGGTGTTAGGGTCAAGTGACTCTAAGATGACATGGATGCTGAGGATGTGAAAATGTTCAGGTCAATGCTAACACCAAGAGCCTTTCTCAGGACTGCACTAAACTAAACAATCAATATACGACTATAATCCTGTGTTCAAACCATTCTCGTGAGTTCAGAACAGTATTTTAAGTAATATCTGACATTTGTTTGAAAACTTTTGTCAAGTCAATAAGTTTTACATCGTTGTATGCTGTTAGTGAGGTTTTAACATAGTCTCATTTGTTCCAATTTGACCCTTTTCTTTGAATTATATAATGCAGAGACTTACGTTTGCTATTGTCAGTGTATGTAATAGAGATTTATGCTGTTGTGTTTTTTTATTTATAAGCAATGCCACATGTTGTGATCTGTTGGCAGGTGTTTTTTTTTCTCTTAAAAATGCTATACTTCATACATCATTATCAGTTATTTTGTCATTCAGGGCAACCGTTAGTTTCATTTGGTTAAGAAAGTTTTATGTTTGAATTTCCAGTGAAAGCTATGCTATATTGTCATATTGAAGTGATTTCAGGCATTCAACGTAGAATGCTTGTACTATGTGCGTGCATCATACTAGCAATATAGGTATTTTGTGGTTTTCATGCTAAGCAGTGAACACAAATCATTGAAATGTGATTTAGTATAATTAACATAATTAATTTTTGTGAACAGAAGGAGTAATAGTCAATTGATATTTCAAGATCTCCGAGTAAGGCAATTCCAAGAGTTTTGAATGCATTAATTATCTAATCTTGTGTGGGTGCTTGCAGATTTGTCTTCTGACAATCTAGCTAATAGCTTTGTGGTCTGTTAGCGAGCTTCTTTCCCCCCTCGTTACATGATATTAAATGTACTATCACAATTGGATTCAAGAACGATGTATTTCTTGAACACCACATCTGATAGAACCTGTATTAAGTCTCTCCACCAGAAAATGCTGCAGACATTGAAAAATTGATATCCATTGTTGTCAAGAATCCCGCAGTGGAGGAAAACTGGAAAAAACTACCAAAGTACAAGTAAGAACGTGAATATCTTTTGCAGTAAACGTTGCTTTTCATGTATCCACATTACATTTACTGACCTCATTTGCAATTCGTCCGTTGCTTTAAGTCACCTTTTTTCGTGCTGTACATATATGGCTGAAAATGTGATGTGAATGTAATTTTTCATCAATTTTGATTTGAACTTTATAAAATAAAAACAACATAACGCGTACGGTGATTGGCCTATGTATAGCTGTGTTTGTAGTAGCATGTGCGATGTTTAGCCCGTCACGTATACAAGCAGGTACAAACCCTCGACCTTCATTCTCGGGCTTGCACTGATGTTCTCTCGAGTTCTCCAAAAGGTCTCATAGGTTTTCTTAAGCCAGTACAAACACAGTAAACATCTTTTATTTCTTAAATAATTTGATATCACACCTGAATCATTTTAAGTTATTAAGTTTGATAATGTGTTAACATGCAAACTGCTCGCTATTACTTCGCTTTAGAAAGGCGAATGGTGCGTTTTTTCTAGATAAGATGAACATAATATTTAACAAGATTTGACTAACACTTTCATCTACAGATTCCTGTCAGAACCTGAAAGTAATGAATTCAAATTCTATCAAATGAAATTGAAAGAAAAGAAAGAGGAACTATCCAAGCAGACATCAAGTGCGTCCACGTCGTCGTCGTCATCATCTTCAAAAGACCCCCCTCCCCTCAATTTTGATTTTGCGGCAACTCTGGCGCAGGTCAGAGCAAAGGCGGCAGCATCACTGATTGGCGCAACGCCATCCGTTCAAAGTATTAGCAGCGAGGAAATGAGAGAGAGGGAAAGACAAAGGCAAGAACAGAAAGAGGTATATATTTTTGGCATAGTCGGTTTTGTGCATAGATGCGTATTCATCCCAGTACCGGATTCAGCGTTTGTCAAAATAAATTTTAGCTCCTAAATTTTAAATTCAAAATATCTCAGAACAGCACGATTGGTTTTGAATTTCAAAAGAACATAATTTCACCAATGAACTTTCCTTCAAAGTGTTTGGAAATGTAAATTTATGCAAGAAGGAACTTCAGTAACTTATTTTGACGTACCCTAGACCCGCCACTGGTTTTTCCTTTTTTGTAAGATTTTTTTTGAATAATTATTCGATTAAGTATGTTTGATGTAGCTTCAGGAAATGTACGAGAAAATACTCGCTGCAAAGAAAAGCATGGAGGCAAAGGAGGCAAAAAAGAGGAAAAATAATGACCCAAATAAACCTGTATATGAATACGATTCCGATGAAGACACAGAAGGAGGAACATGGGAGCACAAGAAAAGAAAACATGAGATGGAAAAAACAATAGGTATTGTTTGTTGCGGTTGTGTACATGCAGTGTGTGTGAAAAAAGTGAATTGAGCTTTAAAATGCTCTTGTGCATTTGATATTGTGTTGCATACGTATTTATTTGAATATAGCAAAAGAGATGAGGTCTTTTAGTCTTCCGATAATATGTTTTTCATTTCATAAAAGTCTGAAATAATCGAGTACTCTTCAAATAACAAATAAAAATTGCCAGTCGAAGTTGCAGTTTTCCACCATTGAGAATTAAGAGCAATTATGGAGCAATTAAGAGCAATTATGGTTTCACTGCCGTTTCAAACTAAAGAAAATGAAACAACGATTCTCTCTTGTGCTGTATCATACGCTGAACAATCTTCACTAATTGTATTCAGTTCCCAACGATGAAAAAATGCAATTTTAACTTGCAATCATTTCTGATTGTTTTTACATTCATTCTTGTTCATTGTGTATAGAGTGGGCTTCTGATCTAACGAAGAAAGGTCAGGGAAAACATTTCATCGGCGATTTCTTACCTAAAGAAGAATTAGATAAATTCCTCGGCAAAGTGAAAGCTGTGAAAGAAGGAGGAGAGTTCGTGTATGAAGATTATGCGGAGCACAAGCTTACCGAGGAAAATATCGGTTATAAAATGCTTCAAAAAGCTGGTTGGCAAGAAGGAACGGGATTAGGAAGTTCTGGAGAAGGAATCAAAGCTCCTGTTAACAAGTATGAAACATTTTACCAATACGAATAACAGAACAGTATACTAAATTAAATGAAGATATGATCTTCGCACTTTGCTGGACAATTTAAGCCATTGTCTCATGAACCTGAAAAATTCAGGTGACTCAATCAGGTGATCATATCTTCATTTAATTTCACCGCACTGCATATAACATTCTTTCATAGAACAGTATACTCATCATCAACGAGTAAAAACTTTATATCCACAGTTCTAATAGAAGAACATAGTAAAGTTGGTCTTCATATAATTTTCCGGGTCGTTTCAAAATTTGATCTTTGTTGTATGTAACAACTGCAAATGCTTGAGTGACAAGTGACTGAAACTGGTGAAACTTGAAAGTGGTGAAAACTGGGCTTTATGAAAGTCAATGCATATTCGTGAATTTATCGTGAACATATCACTACTTGTTTTGGTTTTTGTATTTCTAGGGGTAAAACATCCTTCGATGCCACTGGCGTAGGAGCAGTAAAACCAGATGACATTAAAAATGAAGATGATGAATTTGACTTGTACAGAAAACGAATGCAATTAGCTTATAAATTCAGGCCCAATCCTTTGGTAAGTAAAACTATAACCTGCTGTCCTTTTACCCTAAAATTCACCCTTCCGTCGTTTAGAAATATTTCTTTTTCAGAACAATCCTCGACGACCTTATTACTGAATCTTCTACACATGTTTCGCTATGCTTCAGAAGACAACCCAACTTTTTTGCGATTATACAGGACTTTTTATATGCTGTACAAAATGCTTTTATGTTTCCTGATATCTATTGAGTGCGATTTACAATGATTCGAGAGCTTTCAACGCTGCTCATTTACATTTAACCCACCTTGGTGTGATAAGATAAAAAGTGGATTAACAACGTGTACTGTAATAAAAATATTCTCCATTAACACCAGGCTATTCTATGCGTGTTCAGTTTAGGTCGATTAAACGTGAAATGCTCATATTTGGTGAGAACGTATAAGACCATTCAATAGTGCAATCTCTTAAGTACATAAATATTTTCTCCAAATAGCATATGTCGTAAATTGAAGCCTGGTTTATAAATAGGTGTACGAGGCGTTGCATCCTTTCATCCTTCCTAGTCTGCGTCTCTAGAACGTAAGCCGATAGGGCTCAAACGAGTCATCTCAATTGAGTCTTTCAAGTTGTGTGGATAGAGTTCTGCTCTATTGGCTTGCGATTTAGATACGATTGAGAAGATTGAAATGATGAAACGACTAGTACGACTACATGAGAACCAGACTTAAGACTTCACCCAATGAACAGTCGTTTTCATGGTTCCGCGAAAGTAGCAGGTAGACGTAATATGTATGAGGCAAGTTGTAGAGAAATGGGTTGAACAAAATTCAACCATGCTCTCCTATTTTGTCTACCTACAGAAATCATATGATCATTTTACAATGAATAGTTACTAAACATTATGTAACACGTGGTACGCATGGATGATAAATTTCATTGTTGGATGTAATTTCATTTCTACATACCTACTGTACTATCTTACATACAAAATATACATGCAAATAATTTTCAAATTTATCATCTCTACATACGTACAGCTTCTTGAAGGGGCAGCATAATGTTTGGATAATTTAGGTTAAAATTATTTTATATTACAAAGGTTGGTGATAAGTATCACTATCCTGTGTAATGTGAAACAATCTAGGTCCATAATAATCAATGACATACTCAGATCCATCTGCTGGACCAACAATCTAAAAAGATAAGGTCGACATCCAAATTGTAAATTAATTACTTTGCAAGCTATGGCTTTTAGAGATACATTTGTATTTTTATCATAGTGATGGCAAAAAGAGTGCACAAGTTGAACAGCAAACTGATGCATTAATTCTACCTTGCATGAGATTTTCCTATGGAAATGTATAGTTTCAAAGATTACTACTTATAGATTGTACCTGCATTGCAATAAGAATAATATCCACAAGTTGAAATAGAAAGAAAAATCCAAGAGTTGAAAGTTTGAGCAAACCTAAAAACATGTGCCAATCATGATTTTAAGCATTTGATTTCTAGCCGCTATCAATAAAGAAAAGCACTCAAAGTTAATGTGGAACAACCTAATGCTGGATATCCAAGATAAAACCTGTCCATTCCAAACATCCCCAAGAAAACAGATAACATCAACGCAATGGTGTGATCATATCCATTTCTACATTTTAAATAATGAATTGAAATGAACATTTGTTAAGGTTTTGCAACTAGGTACAATTCACGAATATTCAAAATTGAGCTTTGCACCAGTTCTGATAAATTCATTTAAAGTTATAAAGAAAATCTTACGTACGTATATCTGCATGGTTGTGCTTTTTTAAATGTTCTGTCTTTTAACATCCCAGTACAGTTTATTCCAGGAGCTACGGTACATGTGACTACAAACATATGATAACATGTTTTCTGTTTTCTGAACTACCACGTCACTAAGTCGAGTGTTGTCATCATTCAAAGATATGATTTTTTAAATGGAAAAGTAATCTAAATTGATAAAATGATTGCAACATGTCTACAAAACTACAACCTTGATTTTTTTCACAGTTCTAAAAGTAAATTTTGAAAACACAAAAGGCGTACTATAACGTGTGGCAAATGATTTAGAAACCCCATAAATAACTAAACTATTCCAACCTTCGACAGTGCGGCTTATTCTATTACAGCCCTCTGCCGATTGGGTTTCAGTGTTGATTTTCGGTATTTTCGTACATATGTACTGGCCAGGAAGAAGTTTGTTGCAAGATATATTTTTATAACACATATCAGTGTTATTCGTAGGAACAACGGAAACCATTCCAGTGAATAGCAAAAGTAAAACGACGACAGAGTTGGACATTGCTTTGGAATCAATGATAGAAGTAAGAACACTTAAAATTAATGAACTAGTCTTTTGAGATGTGTATCCTGTTTTCAAATAGACCATTTAGATAAATCTTTCCAGGATTTTCTGTATTCACTTCGTTACCGTTCTTCAGTGACAGTATTTCTGAATTTGACAGCCATATTGGAACAAATAGTGCGCAGCAGAGCCCTCTATAGTACAAGAGTTGGGACATGTATTGTTCTCTTATTTGTACACGCTGATTGGTCAGTTTCGGTCATCTGATCAAAACCCGCCATTTTGGTTCCTACTTTTGAAACTTGTACTAGTGTTTACATAGCGATTATTATTAGTGTTCACAGTTTTTAAGATAAATATGGTGTTTTGTTGCGCGTGTGGGTGCAATAATCGTTCATCTGACGGATACAAAATGTACCGCATACCCTCAGGGTCGAGAAACAACGAAAAACGAAAGAAATGGCTTTGTGCAATAAAAAGAGAGAACTTTAACACGGCGTCGGCGAGACTTTGCGAGGCAATTATACTCTTGTTGTTCTTTAGATAATTAACATGACAATGACAATGTAAATTTTAAAATTTTTAATAAATATTTACAACAAATTTGCATTTGTGTGTTGTGATATTGTGGTGCGGCTCCTTAAGGTTCACTTCGAAGCGAATCAATTCGAGCCTAAAATCCCCGGCAAACTTCGACCAAACGCAGTACCAACTCTGTTCACACATCGAAAGCCTGTGCTTCGAAGAAAGAGTCCAACTAAACGAGAATTAAAAGTGAACACTGGTCAGTACTCTAACGTTTTGGCATCTTCAGTACATTATAAATTATTGACCAATGGGAAATATACACATGTTTACCTTCTTGTTCACATAGTGTCACCACAACCTGTTGCCATTGAGAGTGATAGTAGCCAAGATGATAATAATCTTGACTCTGTACAATCTACAATGACTGTGACTGAGTTGGACTTGAGCAATCCTCAAAGTAGCACAAATAGTCAAAGTCACACAAAGCTGCGAGAGGAATCGGAAATGTTGAAGAAAGAGCTGAAAAAAGCAAAAGAAAATCATAAAACCTAGCAAACAACATATCTGCTTTATTTAATGAAGACCAAATAGCCTACCTTTCCAAGAAGCCTGGTTATGGAAAAGGTTAAGCAATACCATTTTAAATTGATGAAGTATATTAATGAAATTTTGCACTTCCACACTAAAAAAACAAATATATTAAATATAAGTTTAAAATTTACATTTGATTTTTTTATTTTTAGTTAGGTGGTCAAATAACACAATTGAAAGTGCTATAAAAATAAGATATTCATGTGGAGCAACTGGATACAGCACTTTACTTGGGATGAATTATCCATTACCTTCTATAAGAACACTTAATCGTGAATGGAGCACATTGAATTTTCCTCGGGTCTTACATATGAGGTTTTTGCAGCATTGCAATTGAAGGTAAACATAGAAACTAATAGAAAACACAAAAGCATTACTGTTGTGTTTTGACTTTCTAAAGTAGCTACATAAGAATACCTACATATTGTATACTGAAGGTTAATTTGCATTGAAAGGCTTCCTCCATGGGAGATGAAGAAAGAGACTGTGTTCTTTTGCTTGACGAAATGGCAATCATTCCATCATATGATTTTGACACAAGAACTGAGTCAGTCATCGGCCATTGCTCTCTCTCTCTACATCAGAATTGTCAAGCTTGGACCATCTTGGAGGGTATGCAGTCCACCAGTTCATCAAACTAAATGGTCGCTGCCACGAATGTTTGAAAACCTTACTTGCAGATCCTCCTAAACCAGAATTGCATGACTATATCGTATCAATGCAAAGTCTTGTCCAGCTTCGCGACAACACCGGATCATCTCTTACATATATTTCGCAAGAGGTAAAGAAATTACTCCTTCGTGCAGAGAGCATATTCGTGGCTAGTGAGGCACAAGTAATGAAAGTGAATAGTATCCTGAGTGCTCTTGTTGACAAATGCCTTGCCATGGCTGACAGTAATATTCCCGATTGCCACCAAGCTAAGTCAAAGATTTTAAAAACCTATTTTCGTGTCAGGATTTACGCTCTTCTTCGAAAGAAAAACTGAAAACATGAAATCTTCTTCTGGCAATGGCTCACGATCTGTTGCAATGCGAGAATTAGTTAATCGCAAATGAAATAATGCCAACTCCAAAGTAGCAAGTAGCATCATTCAAATCTTGAACAGAAAACTGCATGATTACTATGATTCGAAGTTTCGAACAAAGTCTTGTCCAAGTATTTGATAACACTGATGCCAGGATAACATTGCCGCTTGTCACCAAGCTTAAAGATCTTGAAAACTTCTTACAGAGTCGGAACATAAGCCGAGAAAACACGTTCACGTACGAAAATACTTCTTACAATGGGTCACGATCAATTTGAAGCACGAACTAGTAAACCGCAAACGAAGCTCAAACCAATGAAATTAAATCAGGTCTGCCGCAAATCGTTAAAAAAACGCAAAGAACTTGCTATTATTCCTAATATATTTGATACTACCATGGAATAAGCTTAAATTGCCTTCTTCTTTTGCATATAAACCCAATTTCCAATAGTATTATTATAGTTTAACTTTGCAAGTAGGAACCAAAATGGCGGCTCCGCGCTCGCCCCAGACCATTTGTCCCAACTCTTGCTAATAGAGGGCTCTGGTGCGCAGCAGTGCATTCACAATAAAATTTCCTAGTTCCTTAGAAAACGCTTAAAAATTCCTTTAACTTGCATTAAATTCCTTAAATTTGTAAAAATTTCTACAAGGCAAGATCACATAGGCACAAAAAGTATTTTATTCATGGTTTTTCCTCCTTTTTTGCTGTTTTCAAGTTTTTCAACGTTGTATTTGTAAAGAAACATTAAATATTATTTAGTGTATGTTAATTTAAAGTATAAAAACATCCTTAAAAGTATCCTTAAAACCTTTAGAAATTCTATTTTTAAGGATAATTCTTTAAAAGTGAGAGCACTGGTGCGCAGTGCGCAGTAGAATCGTATATGAGCGGTGTGGCATGGAATGGTCACTATTGACCAATGGGAACAATGCCATTGACCACTGACACCCTGACACCATAAGCAGCATTTGCAAACAGACAAGAACAAACTCAAGTCATTTTTTCACTTCACATACTTTGATTTGTACATGTTTTTTTCCTGAAATGTCAGTATTAAGTGAGCAAATCATTCAATCATGGCTTGATCGAATTAAAATTTTAACACATCTTGGCACATCTGCACTTGAGATCAGAAGTATATCTGTTGAATTGAAATCTTTCCTTTGCTTGGTAAAGGACACAGTTACTGGTTTGGTAAGTAGCGCCTCCCACCTGCTTGACTGCTCCAGTTGTCTGTTCATTTGTTGAATTTGTCATACAATACATGCAAGAAATTGCATTAGTTAAATAACATAACTTTGTTTTCTCTGCCCTATCCAAGGACCAACATTAAAGTAAATAGTTTAATAGTGTAGTTTTATCTTGCTTCTACTCTACATATATATAATTAATGTGTTCATACTCAAGATGTTTGTTTCGTGATTTTGAAGGAACCAAAAGAAATTCTCATCCAGTTTCCTAGCATTCCCAAATTTTTACAGACTTTACTGAATAATGTTACCATTCAAACTACAGGTAGGTAATTGAAAAATAGAAAATTTTTCTGATGTTTGCTACAGTACACCATTTTCAGCAGTATTGTGCAGTGATGCCCATTAAGTGGAAGGGCAGGGGATGTGACTCCCATGAATTTTTGAGTCGGTCCAGAAATTACCAAGGACGAAAAACTTGAAAACACTACAAAGTTGGTACCAGTTTCCCAGAACATAGAACCCCCAGTTTTTTTTTTTGGGGGGGGGGGACGTAAGGTTGTGTTTTGCATTGGTACCCTGTAGATCAGTGCAATATCATGGCTGTCATTGCGTATTAATTTTTATTCAAACAAGAAAAATTTTCCCATGTAAAACAAACACAACTTAATTTCTCACTTCTAAAGTATTGTTAGAATGTAGATTTTGACTTTTCAAAATATAGAAAGCCGTTCATTATTAAAAATTCAAATGTGTTGCCAAAGAAACCTACTGGTATATAGTCAAGTTTGATCTTTGATATTCCTCTAAAAATTTAAGGATTATATAATCAGTTGGAGTTCTACAAAATCGTACCGTAAGCTATCAAAAGCAGTTTTTATTAACTGATGGAAAAGTTAGTTGAACATTGTCTAAGGCCTTATAATCATATAAGCAAGTTATAATCCATGGTGGATTTTAAAGGAACTTAATTTGACATATCATGCATACATGAATATGAGTAACCCACATGAGTTTTGTATTCATGCTTTTGATCATTATAGTTGACCTTTATCAACTTGTTCTGCAATGTGTTACTGCTGTGTCTATTTCAACTCAAGCGCAAAAAGATGGAACTCATGATAAGTCCATTAAGTGGGTTAAAGTATGTGTATATCAATGAGAAATCTTGTACTTTTTTGTTTGCATTGTGAACAATCGTTCTATCATATTTTTTGTTTATAGTCCAAGTTTAAAATGTTATGCTCATCTCGACCAAAAACTGTTGATACATATATCAACTTTGCAGAAGAGATGGGTCTTCAGCCTCCTGACATCACCGAAGAATTCAATAAAGATGTAAGGCTTTCAAATTGATGTCAATATGACTGAATGCGGCAAAAATTCCAGCAGTTTCATAGATTTGTCACGATCCATTTTTCTTAGTATTGGGCATAATGTTATAGAATTTTATATGATACTTGCTTAAGAAATCCTACAGATATACGTGGTTGCTTTTTTGATTTGTCTCGTGCCCTAGAAACTATTCATTGTTTGTTTGAATCGTTCATAAACTGCAAATGATTTCTGGATTAATATGTAAAAATAAATCGCAGCACATGTTACTATTTAACGTGTTTTTTTGTTGTTTTGTACAGCTTGTCATTTCTTTGGTAAATGATCTTTCCTACACAACTTCACGCTGCCGAAAATGGTGCCATATGATCGGGTAAGACTCTTGGAATATGGTACTTAATAAAGATAAAATGTTTGTTATCGATTTGCCTGTGATCTAAACGAGATCATATGGGATGTATGAAACACGCAAGCAGTGGCGTGAGGGGGAGGAGGATGAGGAAGATGTAACCTTCCAGTGTGCCATGTAAAACTAGCATCAGCTGGGTTCTTTTTTAATCACACTCAAAGCCGCCGCATTTGTTCAGAGATGTCGTAGAGAAACGTTTCCTGTAAATAGTTAAAATTTGCGTACAAACTCGTTTCATGCTCATGATATCATACAAACACGTTATCATTCGTTGCATATTATTTACGAAAAACAGACATATTTAAGCGTTGTATATTTCATGTAATTAGAAATACTTTCTCTCTATATACCGATTCACATTGACAGTTTTCAATAAGATTTTGGATGGCTGACGAAAATACTCCACTTACAGACAGTTCATCCCAAAATATCATGTCAATGGAAACAAACTTAGAAGTATTTCCGAAATTTGTTTACCGATCTTACCGAACAGAATCGTTTCTCCTTTGGTAAATTTGCTTTTGAATTACGTTTTTAAGGAGTAGAAGATTTCTGGTAATTTTTGACACCGATTACTACAAACATCATTTGCAAATAGGTTGAAGCTCTTCTTTGTTGTACAACAGCAAGTGATGTGGTCAACAACGATTTCGTGTAGGTTTCGTTTACATTTCATGTATTTGTGATTGTTTAAATGTAATAGTTTCATTTGCTCGAGAGAATAATTCGGCATGTATTTTTTGGCAGGGCCTCAAGTTGTGGTGCTATTTTAGCTGAGCAAGCCCTTTCACCCCACTTCATTAATGAATTAAAGGATGATCCCAAGGACTTCTATTTTGGATTGAAGCAATGTTAGCGATGATAATTTTATTTTGAATCGCCTTCCTGGCTATTTAGAGTTTTGAAATATCAGTAGACATTTTCATACATTCATCGCGAAATCGGTCATTTTTTTTTGAAAAGTAGCAGCATAGTCAACTGCAGCATAACAATTGGTTGTTTATTTTACTATCTGCGTGTTTATTTAGGTCATGCACTCTCTTACAAAGCACGCCTGAACTTATGGTTAAAAGATGACGAATATTTTGAAGAAGAGGTAAATGTCCTGCGCATGCGTGCATTATATCTCTGCAATTATCCAATTTCATCTTGCATTTCGAACATCTAGGTGATGTTTAATGTTTAACACGAGTTTTTTGTTTAACATAATTTTAATCTTTCTCGATCATGTTTTTTTCCATGTTTTATCTCACTTTTTTTGTTTTACGTCTCAAGATAATTACGCTCTTAGAAATTTGTTGTTTCGAAAGACAAGACATGTCATTGACAGAAATGAAGAAGTTCATATCCAAGAGAGAATTGGTGAGATGATTTGTGACCGGAAACAATGCCGTAACTATCTACGTAGATATTTTGTAGCCGGGGTATTATTCATAAATGCATATCCATACGAAGGAATTTATTTAAAAGGAACTTTATCCGGCGAAACGTCCATATGTGAATATTAGCCCCCTTGCTCAATTATCAATCTGGCTATGCCATTGACCGTAAAAAAACTCAGTGTGTTAACTAGGGCGCATTATTTTTCGCCGCAGTTGAATGCTATGTGAGACAGTAAATTTCTACGCCATGCCATTTGAATCGTGAAAAAATTACATTTTTGTTGTCCCTAATCCTTTAAACTAAGCTCGTAATTTCTAATAGAAACACGTGGAGGACTAAACTCTGCCCTGTGACGTCAATTATTCTATACATTGCAACTGTATGGAATGTGTGCAACGTGTCTTTAGAGTCGAAATGTACTTTTGTTGTCTTAATTTTGAGTCAATTCTCAAAGGGATTGGTGTCGTTGTACACGAGAGATTTGTTTATAAACATCAAAACAAATGCGAAGGAATAGAAATGTTGCGAGAACGTGTTTTCAAATTCATTGAACATAGTAGCTGCGAAGCTAAATTTTACAAAAAAAACTTCACAAGAAGTGAATGCACCAGCTTCACCGTGTAGTTGAGCTTCGCCGTTGTTCTTTGAGGAGAATTTCTTTTTTCATGTGTTGATAAAACAGTTTTCTTTTGTTACTTTGGGTGATTTGTCGTAATGTCAGCCATATTTTCTTATTTCCTATTTAACGTTGATTTGGTTTGGTTTTTGTTTTGATTTACAGCCAAAAGCTTTAAACGAAAACCCTTCATTACTTTGCATCGCATACGAAATTGTAAGGTACGATGTATGCTTTTGCTAATTAATCGAATTCTGATACTTTTTTCTTTAAAATAATCGTTTTGTTTCTGACCGTTAAAAGATTTTAGTTCACCCTAATAGTGCATGACGTCAGAACTTGTCATCGAACTCCATTTTGATTTATTAAATTTCGATTGCTGCATCGATTTGTTTTTTCCAGCTTCACATACACGCAGCTGTATGTATAACGCAGTTTGATTTTAATGATATTTCTTGTTAGACAAAGAGTCTATTGAAATGTTAGTTACCTATTGCTTGAAAAATCAATTAATATTGAGGGAACAACCTGCTAATCATTGCTCGATAGAGATATTTTACTGCTACAAAAGCCTTTCTGCTACCACCATTGTATGTCGCGATACGTCGTCGATGTTTATTTTGAATGTATTGATTTTCTTTGTTATTTTCTTGTTTAAAGGCGAGTGGTGTTTGAAACGCGTGGTAGCACACATGTCACAAAATTCCTTGAAGTGCTAACGGGACTTATTTCTGATGAAGATCACGGGGAAAAGTTCATGCATCCCAACACCAATTTGATTCTTTTCGAATCCTGTGTGTATAGGCCTGCTTTACAAACCTAGTGAGCCATTGATATTTAAGTCTGAAAAATTAGTGTACGATGTTACTACCTTTTCTTTCAGATTAGATAGCCAGTTAAAGGTTATTTAATCTGATAAAGATTATGTAAATTGTTCAAGGTTTTGTAACCTGGAGAAGGTTATGTAACATAATTAATGTTATGTAACCTGATAAATGTCGAGTAGATTGTGATTTCAGTCTCGACTCAGGCGGTATTCTTCGTTCCAAGAATATCTCACTTCAACTGGTCGCACGATTTTTTAATGACGTAAACACACTTTTTCACTTACCAGGAAGGCATAAAAGATTTTTTTTCTAATCATTGTGCTAGTCACAACATATGTTGATCTAAATTTCAATATGCTACAATCTCTTAAATTGATGTAAAGTTACATTGCCTGTCCCGGCGAGGACGTATTATTCTCCCATATGTTTTTATTGAATTTATCGTCAAATTTGTCAAGGTTTTCTAATACCAAGGTATTTTCCACTTTCTTGATAATTATGCACAAAGAAGCGACAATGTCGCATGAAAATGACGCGCCCGTTTCGAGAGGTTTGTTTAAGAAGTTTCTGTTTTTGTAATACGCATCTTATGATCGCCATGATTGAAGATTTGATAAAAATTTATTTGCAAAGGACTGGTTTATTTTTGAAGTTCACTCGAACGTTTGCTGATACAGTGTAGTAAAGAGAAAATGACTCACATTGAAAAGTAAAAACATTGATATTTCTTATTATTAAGGCTTCAGGTTGTATTAGAATTTAGAACTGTCCGTTTTTTTTGACCTGTGGTTTTGAGTATGTTAAAAACGAGCATTTGAGATTTGCATAAAATTGGGTGGGAGTCATCCTGCCATTAATTAATTAATGATTTGACATTGTGTTTTTGTCTCCGATTGGTCGATATTTGCAAGTGTAATCAACAATGACGTACTGTACAAATGATAATTTGACAAACAATTATTATATCGAGTTCAAGTTTCTATCAATGGCGTGGCACTAATTGCAATCTTCTATTAATTGCGAATGTATATTTTTCTTCATTTTCAACGAATATTAAAAAATTGTTTATTTTCGTTCCTGTATTATGTAACTGTATGTATTTTTGCCAAACATGAAGCCTCGCTAGCGCTCTTTCAGCGATTTCCACTTCAACCCTGTTACTACCAGTTACAACTAGTCGTAGCGAATTTCCAAAATGACGTGGACCATGTTCAACAAAAGGCCTTTAAAAAAGTTTGAGGGCACAATCATATAGAATACCCTGCCACAAAGACTGAACACAACAATAAATCTAAGATAGGACGAAGAAAAGGCTTGGGTGAAGGTAAGGCTTGCAGGTAATGCAGCTTGCAATTGAGACAAACAATGAAATTAATGTTTGATCTGTAGCTTTCGATCCGGACGGAAAAATCATATTTTTCAAAGAGAAGTGAAAAGAAAATGAGACGAAACTTGGCATAGGTAGTAAGTTCACGTAACAAACAATTTCGTGGATAGAAATGGTTAGCATAACTTCATAGGTGCGGATTTGTTTCCAGGCTTGACATAAATTCTGTCATGTTTTCTTTTATGAAATCTTTGTTGAAACTACTTTTCTTTTTACACACTTCTTGTAAAAACAGTCAACTTCATAATCATAAATTAATATCAAACATAAGTTATACTGTCTGCAAAATATTTACTACAAATTACATCAGGAGGTTCACTTCACTGTGTAATTTTGAGAAAACGTTATATAATCGTATATAATCATCGTGGGCCAGAGGTTTTTCTCATTGAGTTTCCAACTTTCGTTCGCTTCACGTTTGTTGCTCGTGAGCAACGGTGGCCGCTAGAGGGTTTCTACCGCAGTTTTTTATTAAAACGTGACCGGCTGTATTTTGAAATTGTTTGTTGAGTGCAATATTGAATTATTTTCACTCTTACATGTCTCCTTCGCAATTATTCGCCTTAATTAATTTAAAGAGTTTCATGCAATTTGCTGTCGAACATAATTAAAACGTTAATATGAATTAGTTATGCAACACCTGTTTACTGATTAGTTCATTTTTTTTAATTCCCTTTTAGCACTCATAATAATATACGCGGAGCTAGTTAATGCAAAGCTAAACTTAACAAACACGCAGTAGGGTGCTTCAAAAAGCCAAGTAAAACACAGCTAATCGAAAAGTAGAGCGATCAGGCAAAGTTACATTAACTGATTTCGTTGATCTACTGGGAAAGAAATACAACAATGTTATAAGAGCATGCGTTCAACGCAAACCGAAAGGCATGTTTACTAATAACAACACGTCGAATGCGTACGATGTACCAACGAATTTTATCATTGCAGTCATTGTAGCAAGTTGCACTAGTTTTCTTTTTGGAACTGTGGGAAACATTGTAGTCCTTGTGCACAATATCTTCAAGAACCATACCAAAACTCCGACGACGTACTTTGTCATAAATTTGGCCTTCGGTGACATTTTCGTATGTTGTTTCTTTTTTCCAACATGGATCGTAAAATCTTTCTTGATTCTCAGCGGGAAAAACGTTCGAAGTGGAAACTTGTGTTCACTGAGTGTTGCATCTTCGGGAACTAGTGTTGCATTGTCCGTTGCGAACCTTCTTGCCCTATACGTTGATCGTTACATTTTTATCAGTCGACCTCTAAAATATCATCTCATAATGACTAGGCGAAAAGCTTACCTCATACTCTTATCAGTTTGGCTTCTATGTGTTGTTAATGCAGTACTATTGTTCACTCTCAGTCGGACTGACAAAGACCTCATTTACTGCAGAACGGATTCTCGGTCAGTGCTTGCTGTCGATTTATGCACTTTCTATATTCTGGTAATAACCTTGATCTATTTGAACCATAAAATATTTAAAGTTGCTAGAAGGCAGAATTGTAGAACTGCAATCTATCCTGCACAAGAAAACACAGATATTACAAGTCGGTCTTCTACTCGTTCAGCATTGCAACAATTGAAACTACTTAAGACGTTTTTCATGATGCTAGGGATGTTTCTGTGTTGTTTTATACCATACGCTATTGTGAAAACAATGGAAATGTTTGACTGCGGTAAACGTCACTGTGTTCCAGACGGAATTTACGTTTCCTCAGTACTCCTTGTCGGAATCAATTCGGTGTGCAATCCTTTTATCTATGTCATCCGTTTGAAGGTGTGCAGAAAAGTTTGGCAAAATCTTATGTATAAAATGTGCAATGACCACGCATTTTGACGGCATTTTCAAGTGATTTCTCTCGATAAAGTACATTTTTTTTGTTAATTTCAATCATGCTTTAGGTATTTTCACATATAGCAAGTTATCAATCTCATCATATATGATATTGTCAAAATCAAAAACGCCTCTGCAGAGTCTGCCTGTACAGAACAGACTGGCATCTTTCAAAACTGTGCGTCACTCTCTCCTACTAAGCTGAGAAACACAGATAGTGGATTCTCGTTGTACAAAAGTTGCTGTTTCTGAAGTTTTCATGCATGATCTAAACATTTAAAGCGTAGTAACATACACTAGAATTACATAAAGAGTAGTTAAGAACATTAAGATACCAATTGATGTACCAGTAAAAATGTGTTTGTATGAAATGAGACCATACCATGAGCATATGAGCCCAACAGTCAGCAATGGTATTAAATATCTACTTATATCTAAGTCTTCACTGATGATGCCAGGGTTTGCAGGTGTTGCATGATCAATCGGGTCTGTTATGACACAATGCACCACCGTGTTGGGCTGAACTCCATAGCTTGTTATTGGATCGTTATCGTTCCTCAGCAATTGTCCCGCATACACAAATCTTATTCTGCGTCCTAAGTTCAACTCATCATTGAAGGCTAACCTGATTAAAAATCATTTATGATGAAATAATGAAGCTAAGTGAAAGAGTAATTACTATTGCACAGTCGAAACCACCTCACCTCTTTAAGTCCAGAACAGTTATGTTCTTAGAAACTGTAAAAGTTTGTACATTCTCGTTATGTTTGACTTTAATAACCATTGTTTCAATTTCATCACTATTTGTTTCGTCATTTGTTTCCACACGTTGGCCAATCGTTTCATGATGAGAAGAAAATCGTCTTCTGACATCGTTTTCGGCCGTGTTGACGTTATCTCGTGGTGTTTCCGAAACTACGTGCTCCCTCGATCCCCGTGAGTCCAGTGAGGAACCCACGCCAACAATTGACGAAGGTGAATTCCGCAAAATATAAAAGACAGAAATTGTAAGCAAAGTAATTGTTACAATAAAGGAAAGTAAAACTCCGTTTGATATGCCCTCAATTAAATCCATGTTAAAATCTATATGGACCTTGTTGCAATTTAAATATAACTATATTCGATGTCACAATTGATCATGATTATTCAATGAAATTCACCACCATTAAACACTAAATATAAACTTCCAAAAACCATCGTCAAAGAAGATTACAAGAACACAGTGAAGGAACAACACTATGCTTCCACTTTTTTAGTTCTATTTCATTATGACTGTCCATTAAATAAAATGCTTCCATTTTGTATTTGGCCTGTCTCCCATGTGGATTTTGAGATTTTCTGAAAACAAAATCATTTCTTGCTTGGTTGAGCACCTACCCCAAGGCCGGATGTTTCAAATTTGAACGTAAATTTGTCTTATTCACATTTCACCAATTCGTCGTGTCTGGTTTAGTGGGGCTATAAAAGTTCTAGAGTAAAACGCTGTTACAGTATTACCCAAATTTCAAAAGAAAATTTTGGCAGGTGAGGATTGTAATATGGAACGCTGACACATTCATTGGCGTATCCTTGTACATAATGCAAAATAAATCTGTTGAGACTTTATTGAACCATCGTCTCTACTCAGATCTTTACTGTTACTTGAAAATCCATCATACTTCATCTCTTCTTCCCTTTAAGGAATTCATTTATTGCATTGTATTGTCTGTCAAAAATTACTTCACTAGTTTAACAGATGTTTCTAAGCACTTTAAAACCAGATATCTGCTTGTGCTTCAATCAGCCAATACTTCATCATGACAATGCCATCTATGTACCACAATGGAAACTTTCTAAATTAATTACACACCCAAGATCTCTTCTGCCAAGTGCAAACATTACAGTATGGTTGATTTATTATTCAAGAACAAATAGTACATTTACAAAGATGATGGCTTTGATCTTTTGTCTGGCATGCCTAAAAATTTCTGCTATCGCAATTATTCTTATTTTTAGAATGAATGTTGATCATGAAATAAAACTTCTTGTTCAAGAAATGAAGAGACTTGGCTCACCTAATGGTGATGGAAATATAAGTGTAAAATTTGGAGTCTTATTTTCAGATGATAAATGTGCTAATCTTTTTGAAGGTATTATATCAGCAGCAATTTTATCTAAACATGTAGTTTATAGCATGATCATCCTTCCCTCATGTTTCATTTTTTTATTATAATTAAAAGAAACAACTTTCTTGCACTTCAGCTCTTGTACTCATGGTAGAAATTCCCCAAGTGCCACTTACGTCCAAATTTAAATTTCTAGTCATTTGTATTTTTTTGTGACTGGTATTCTATAGTCACATGTGTGCATCAGTTGCACAGAATACAAGGATAAATTCATCCCTGAAATTATACCAAAGCATTTGTCTAATTATGTTGAACTAAGCTAGCTGACTCTGTTTTTTGTGTAGAATTTTGACCACAAGAATTAAAACATTTTCATCTAAAATGCTCTATTAATCTTATTAATTAAGTCTTAACTTTTGTCTAATAACGGCCTTTAGTTGTATTTTTTCGATTTTTTATGTGTATATTGTATATGGATGAAAAATGCATTTTGCTAAATGATATTTGTACATATTCTGAATAAATGTATGAAGTAAATACAAATAGAAAATTGTTAATTTTTTTTTGAAATTGCCAGGAATAGGTGCTTTGGCTTGCTTGCGTCTTGTGCTGCTCTTATAAAAAAATGTAACACAGTTTGGAATTTTTTGCTTAAAGTGACGATTCTCTGTCATGTGTTTGAGATGTAATTCTATTGTTATTTCTGGGTCCTAGTATACAAAATAATTAAAACTTTACAAAGTACATATAGGATATTTTTGTGTCTTGAGGTACTTTTGTAAAAGAAATATATGATGTTTTTTCTGTTTGCACAGGCTTATGCAAACCGAGGAGACTTTTGGAAGAACCCGAGAGGAGATCAGTGCAAGCCTGATCAGTGAGACTTGTATGTCGAGGAAGCCAGTGCAAACACAAACAATGTCTTTTCTTTCTTTTATTTGTATAAAATAACAACAAGGCGAAACAAATTTCAAAAAATGTTTTAATTTTTCCAAAAAATGTATTCATGAATGATTTGCAAATTTTCATTAATTGATTGATTGATTTGATTGGTTAAGCTCAGATAGATTTGCACATGCTAATGCAAACACAGCTATGTATAGACGCTGGTTTTAAAATGTTGCCATGCTGGCACTACGTACTTTATAGAATTGCCCAGGCACTGTTGTGTACAAACTTTTTATTCTTATTCTTATGTAGCTCTCGTTGGGACTCTGAAGGCAGCAAAGAAAAGAAAAATTGTGACGTATGAAGGAGAGTTGCTTCTTCAGGGCGTTCACGATAACGTAGAGGTTGTTTTGCTAATTGATGATGCCTAATACATAACATTATTGCATCAGGTACACTTTACAATGTATAATTTTGCACGTATGTAGCTAGTTGACTCATGTGCCATCTTTTCTGAAGTCTTAATAAGAAATCGTGATATTTTTGATAATAAAGTTTTCAAGAATGAAAATTAGTTGCTACGTAGGCGATTTAGCTGTTGTATTATGACGTCAAAGATGCCAATGAATCGTGCCATGGAAATTTATTATTTAGTTGGAAAAGGTAGGTAGTGTGTTAAACTTGCCCTGTCGCAGTTTGTCGTTAGCACTTCAGTAAAAAGTAAGATGGAATCTTTGCAAAGATTCGCTTGTCCACTTGTACCTTATCGATGTTATATCTCCCCTCGCAAAGATAATGTTTTCATTTTTAAAAAATGTTCGTATTTTTATCATTTGAATAAAAAAAAAGATGCTATCTTTTAGTGATGAAATCCTTACGCGAAAACTCTTTAAGTGTGACGGCGAGATAGATTCATAAATGATAACCACATTTTTACTTGTTTGTTTTCAGTATTATAACAATAATTACTGGTAGTATGAGTGTTTATGATGCAAATGTGGTTCGTGAATATTTCCGTTTTTGCACTTCGTGCTCCGGACCGTTTTAATATTAAAACTAACCAAGTGTTGTAGGACGAGTAATGTACCCTAGTTTTATTCGATGTTCTATTACATCTGACGTTAGCATTTGTTAAAGGATTGCGTCGTAGCTATTTCAATTACTAAACTAGAAATTTATTTGCCTCTTTAGAAAAACACTAATTGTTGCTGTTGAACAGAAATTTTTCTCAAACCATCATGGTTTCGTCATGTGACTTTTAAAAGTGGGTTGTACATTTTTCATGACGTTTAACCAAACTTTAAACATTTTTGGTACTGCACATTATTTCTCAGTGTCTCAATTTCTTAAAGTCGAAATGTTCGGGAAGTGGTACGGAGAATCTTTATAGTCGGGAGGGGAGGGGGGAGAGGGTCAAGTTCCTTTTGATTTCGACGCTTGTCTCATTGTGTAGAGATGAGATGTCTGCATTTAGCAATAGTCTCTGTTGGTGGTTGCTGCTCAAAGCAATCGGAGCCGCAATTATGACCTTTTACACTAGAACGGCGATCTCGAAAATGTTTAAACAAAGGTATACATAAACAATTTTGCCTGATGCTACTCTGGAAAAATTTTGCCTGTTGCTACTCTCCTCGATTTTCCAATCGGAGAAAAGCATCGACAAGATATAAGCCTCTGTCATTTCTAAATAAAAACAAAAGTTTGATTCGATCATTCATTTTGCAAATTTAATTTGCTTTTCGTTAAACCTGTCTAAGACTTACTAATTACTGAAAAATAAACTGCCTTAATACCTTTGTCCAAAGGCCAAGATGCCCATTCATGCCTATGTCATTCCGATATGCTGTTACGTAAAGGTATCGTTGAAAGGTATAATGTTTTAAAAGTAGGTACGCATCGCGAACGTGCGTGTGGTCTGTAAAAATCAAAATGCAACGAGCCCAAACCTATAGAGTTTCAGTCAGTTCAATGTACAACAAATAAATGCTTGACCTGCGTATGAGAACTAGATAGCACGCTTAAGATATCTCTTTGAAAATTGTTCTGAGAAGTCTGTTCGCTGCCGGCTACTAATACAGTAAATTTAGCAAATTTCACTTGTAAATCGTTCGTTACGTTCACTTTTGAAAAAATTTATCTTTTGATTTTCATCAATAATATGTAAAAGTTAAAGAGCATTATTCCTATTGACATAATTGCCACAAAGTAAAATTAGTAGACAGCACTTTATAATTACAGTTATACGTAGCAGACATTATTATTACAATTAAATTACATTACAAGTACATCGAGGAAATACAAAATAAGTATTTATAATATTGGGAGTAAGGTTGCAAAGATGGCTACAAGTGAAAACGTCTGGTATTTATATACAATACAAAGTACGGCAATGAAAAAAGTATTAAAAAAAGTTGAGAAGCTTGAGACTTAACTTAAGCATTAAATAAGCTTAATTTCACGAGTTTCATCCGCATCATCTGATAAATTATGTATCAGTCGTCTGTAATTGATACCTTTGTCTTCATGCAACACGTTGCATAATGTAAATGTCCAACGTCAAATGTCATAGGCGTCAATTGCCAATAGCAAAAACAAGAGCTTACTGTACAATACAATTTCTATCCAAGTTGTTGTTTGGAAAAGTTCGAATGCTTACCTACAAAAATATGCTTTTAATTATAATATGCTAACTTAAGTGCTTCCTGGAAAACGGACTTTGAATTAATTTCTTGTGATTACCACCGGCTGAACAATTGAATGGAAGACAGCTGCTGACACCACCGAACTAGCTGTGATTAATGTAATATCTATTTTAGTTGAATGGCTCACACACATCTATTGCAATGTTTGTAGAATTATTTAAAAAATATTTCAGTGACATTCGTACTGTTTCCAGAATGATAGACAAACATTATATACTAAAGTATTAAGTAAAATTAGACTGGCTGATTTGGATGCGGTCGTTGTGCAAAAATTTGAGAGACCTCGACAATTTGAACATTTCCATGTAGAATGCCCTAATTGCCTTTTTAAAGTCTTTGCTGAAGTCTTATACATAATAATAACTGCCACCAGTTATATTCACTTGTTGTATAGGTATATGTGAAAATAGATGTATATATGTTTATGTGAAAATTTGTGTACGTATTTCGTATCTTCCAAGTGATCTGAACACCTGTAAATCTACTAACGCTCACTTCACCTTTAAATTACAAACTAATAGTTCGTATTGGAACGCTTCTCGACCAATCAGATATTTCTAATTATAAAATTTTATGATATTATAAGACTGAATAAACAATGAGAAAATATTTGTATTGCAATTGATTTCAAAATCCTCTCGTAAATTTTTAGTGGTGAATGGAAATCATTTTGCCCAGATAAACAAAATCATTTTATTAACAATAACAGTTATCGGACGAATTTAGAAATCATACATTACTTCATACTTTCACAATAACCGTTCAAAAAAACTAAAAGTGAGCTAATAAAAGTTATTTCCCCCGTTTAGCTTACCAGCTTGCATGGAGACACAGTTGCTAAGAGCATTTCCCTTATGAATGACATGAATTGAAGGATGTCTCTCATGATGACAACGTAATTTTGCCAACTGTCTTTTTTTGTTGTTTTTTACCAACGACGAAGCTTAACATGGCTTTCAAACCCTTTCTCTTGTCGCCTAGTTTGGCTGCGGGATTTGGGGATCGTGGTAATTTTTATGTATTATCGTACAAATAATGCATCATTTGTGATTGGCAATATGTGTTTGATGTAAAATCTTCACACGGCAATCAGCCAGTCGAAGACAGAGAGCTTACACATTTCCCTCAAAATCATTAATACATCTGCGGTTTTGGCTATGTTCACATTTATAGCCATGAACATTTTTCGCATTTTTTCGGTTATCTGCGTAAGGAAACTCGATGCTAAAGATTGAATTGAGACTGCACTGCGCGTTATAAAAGAGATCACAAGACTCATTTCATTGTAAAATTAAGCGAAGTTGCCGAAGAATTAATTGGGTGACTATATGCCTTTTTCAAATCGCCATTTATGTAAGTGGACTCAAAGCAATTCTTATGATAAAAAGTGAAATCCTTTCTCGGCATTGCGTTGTTTTTTGTTTGGTTTTTGCTCAAAAATAGCAATTAATATTTGACGGAAGAAATGGTGTCCTAAATAAACGAGGGTATTCTTCAAAAGCACCCGTAAATTTTTTGACTTCATTCGACAGCAATTTTGCTGTTTTAGTTCATAGTGTATAGTGATAGCTAGTAACTGTATCAAAAAATCGTGAAAAATCATTCCAATATTTTTCTCGCTTGTGCTAGAATCTACGAGACTTAACTTGGTGGAACAATTTTTTTCTTGCTAATTCGCCATAATTTTAACTATAGCTATAACATAAACTATAAGTGAGTTTGACGTTTATCTTTTTTTTCAAGCTAGCTATTTCCACAGCGTGTAGTATTAGATTGTTTAACACACTGAATTGTGGTAAAAGAAACGTCCAATTCTTACTTCCAAAAAAGATTATTTCTGGTGTAACAAGGTTCCCAATTGAGAATATTTTGTGAGATTACATCTAACCTCTCTGAATATTTGGCATGTCAATATTCATTTATACATTTATAACGTCATCTATACATTTATTTCCGTGGTATTAGAATGCAAACGCAAGTTCACTTTTCTTTAAAACGTTGTTGTGAAGATTAAGTTGAACAAGGCGTTGTCAATTAATATATTTTTTAAGTATCATCATTTGATGTAAACTTACGCCTAACTTTTAACGTAAGAAAACACATTTAACTGTTTATTTTGATCAACTTGTGATAAGAGCACAGCTCGAAGGTAGAAAAATCTGGTAGCCCTATAGGTTTAGAATAAAGCTGACAGTCTCGATGTGGTTTTGATTAATGCTGTCTGAAATGAAAACCGACCAATGAAAATGAAGAGACGAATGTGTTGTTCTTGTTAATATCTTAAGGGGTCTGTATACAGCTTTCATTGTACATTAGAGTCATCTGAAATAGTTTACAATAATGGCATGCTTATTTTCTTTCAATACCTCCATATGATTATCGCTTCTTTAAGAGGATTATTGTCGCATGTTCGTTTTACCTCTATTTACTTTAGGGAACGGTTCGTGATGATTTACGTCATGTTCGCATGAAGAACGCGTCGAGAAGGCTCAATTGGATTTCTCTTGCGTTTTCATGTTCACAATAAACTATTTTTGTTGCCTCAAGGTAACTACAATTGGCGGAAAGTACTGACGTTGTAGAAAGTTAAAGCTACTTACATATAGCACATCGCGTTTCGTTTGTATTGCCGCTGCGAACCTTTGGAAAACAGAACAGGGATTGAAGTAGTTAACGAAACGGAATTGGAAATCAAGGTTATATTTTGTGAAGGTAGGAAAGTTTATAGATTCTTTTTGTATTGTGTGTTTTGTTGATCAAACGTTGCATGGCATTCTCATCTTGTTCTGACCAGATCGTGACATCAAATGTTTGTTCGTCGGTCAAATGGTATGCTTCAAGCACAATGTTCGGCTGAATAATTGAACTTTTTCATAATTTGAACTTCAAAATTAAGATCTGTCTTTGATTGGCCTGGATTCTAGTGAAAGAGTCCGGCCATAGTTGTTTTGGAGATGATATATAGTGACTGAAAAGTTTTTATTTTATTGCTTTGTAATCAATTGCAATTCTAGCTATTTCTCCCAATTTTCTTACGCCGTGTAGCGTAAATGTCCACGAGTAACCTATAGCAGAAAGGGTTGATAGTATGCATATCCGAAAAAACAAACCCTCCTAAAGCTTATTTAACTTTTATCAATACGCATTCCGACAACGCACAATTTTCCGCGAGTTCCTTCCTAACATTTTGATCTTCAACAATTTTTTAAAACACCTTCAGGGACCGTGCTGCAATTTAAGTAATTCCATTAGAATCGCCATAATATCTGAGTGATATTTCTGTCATTATATCATTAGCGACTAGCGACGCTGCCTATCGAAATTGATGGCTATTGAGCGAAGTGAATGAGTGACGATGGAAAGACTTGTAGAAAATACATAGTTTTTGGTTGATGTAAAATTTCAAATGCTCAAATCAATCCAACTTGATTTACAACGCAGCGTGAAGAAAACACGCAAGTTGGATTAGAAAATTTTTCGATATTATTTACACTTTATACTGTAACATGCAGTTAATTTAATCGTCTTTTTCCACTTAAATCTTTTAGAAAAATGCTAATGATGAGATTTAGAGTTAACCCGAACTAACAAATTACTCTTTTATACCGAAATGGAGTCAGCAAAATCTACTGGTTAAGAGTTAAATCTCATGCACAAATTGTTGTTATTTACAATTCCAATCGCTCAAAGGCTTGCGGATACTATCGTTACTTGGATGGGGGTGGGGTGTAGATATTTTGAAATACTGGACTTCTTAATTTCTAATTACACGTCATAATTTCTTTCTCCCATATTTTTCGACTTACTATCGTTGAATATTTTCCCAGTTTTGCAATCCTTATGGTTTCGAACGTCCCGACCTCTATCGTTTACGCGTGCATGCATGTGGTTGGCATTCAAAATCTCTGATCATCGAAGCCAGGGAGCTGTTTTATTCTGTAGAACGCGGGTAATGTTCAATGAACATCTTAAATCTCAAGAGATGTGTTATCGTGTTATCCCGTGTAAAAATATTCGACTTTGCATTACTTGTTTTCTTGATTGATGATCATATTGTAATGCTTGACAATGTTTTATTGCATGTCAGTAATAGTTCTATAAATAATGAGAAAATTGTAAGGGCATCGCGCACGTCACGATGATATATACCTTTGAACATTTACGTACTTTTTGTTTTCTCCTTACGTCACATATAGCTAAGTTTATTTCCACGATTCAACGCGTGTATTTCTTCATTTGTATTCCCAAAAGAAAAACAGTATATGAATATACTAACTGTAGTCATACTGTGTATATATGTATAATGCTGTGAGTTAGCTTACGGGCGAAAGGATTAGGTGACTTTTTAGTGTGCAAATTAAGTGCGTGCGATGCGTGCATCTAAGTTTGCGTTTACACTATACCGGATTCGCTCATCACGACATCTTCATTTGCTTTAAAAGGTTGACTGTTCGGAGTAAAAGCTTATTAAGCTGATAGATTTAGTCTATTTGATTGTGTTTCCGACGTTGAACAATTTCACTGCCTTTTAATACAAAGAATATTTAACCTGCTATGATATCAATCCGGTATAGTGTAAACGGGCCTTAGACAGATGCGTTTGACTTTGCAGTACACGTTCGGCTGTTTGTGCTAGCTACATCCGCCTCAAAAGTATAATTGGTAATAATGCGAGTAAGCCACAAATTATCAGATGTCATTTATTATTTTCACAATCGTGCAGAGTAGCTAATTTCTTCGAGTTTTTCATTTGCGCGCATGCGTTGCATATAGAGAGGAGTGTAGAAAGAACATTCAGAAAGAGGCGGTCTCCAGTAGTTAAAACCATCATATCCTTCTGTCATAACTAAACATGGTAATCTTAATACAAATCCGCTGCGGTCTTTGTTATTATGACACTCAATAGTTCTAGCAATTTATTTGTGTACTGAGCAGCATGAACAACTTGTGAACACAGATGCTCGATCCTGTTGTTGCATGTGTTTACCTTAAAATTAAAATTCATTGTTTTGCGAGTCACATTCAAGTAAAATTACCATGATTACTACTAATACAGAAGGGTTAGTTGCACTAGTGCCAATCATGGATTACACAGCGAAGATCTTAGATTATACTTCTAAAAAAAGTCTTAGAATGTGTTAAAATCATTGTTCACGGAAAGTGTCATATTCATATGTATTATCCCGCAGTAAACGTGTTTTTCTTGATATGTTTTCTGGAGAAATACCCGTCCTTTCGTAGCAAAACACCAGAGAAATAAAAATAGTGAACGTTTGGAAAAATTATGTTTATATACGAAGTTCCACTGTATGCAATTTTCATTGAAGTTATCATTACATCAAATCCTTATTGATTACTCTCTTGCAAGAAAAAGTTAAATCAATGAAACGATCTGTTTAAAGAGTTTACTCTTCATTCGGTCCACCTATTGTTATGGAGGTATCTCTTTCAACAACATTATTTCCGTGATTTTGTGAAGGTGTTTTGTTTGATATTTGGAGGTCAGACTGGGCGACAAAAGTTCGTGTGAAGTGAAAGGATGAGTGATATTTTTATCGAATTCCATCACGTTATAATCAAACATGCAATTAGATCCTTCATTCAATTAACCAAACTCTAAATTTAGAAATTTTTGTTACTAAACCTTTCAGAAGTAATGCCCGTAATGCATTTGAGTTGGTGTTAATTTGAGAAAAACTGTTAAAATAACAATAGCTAGCGTAGTCAAAAAATCTACACGCGATCTCTCGAAATCTAGAAGGCATGCAATGAATAGCTTGCTAAGTTTTTTTGAAGTTTTTATTTTTTCCATCAACATGCTACGTTCATCCAAAAATTCCAATGACAAAACAGCCATGAAATCTGCATGCGCATCCTAGCTCAAAAAGTTAAATGCATTCGTTGCAGTGAATGAAATGGCTCGATTTCCTCATTAATAATTCGTGTTGATTTTGTCCTATACTTTAAGTTCAGAAATAAGTGTAACGTTAATATTGTCCTTCGTTCACACCGAGCTTGTGGAAAACTTGTACGACAGCGTTGATGTGTTACAAGTAGCTAGTAAAGTAAAATTTAAAATATCTTTTAAATAAATGTATTTTATTATGCAGCAATGTGCTTGAATACTTATTTCCTAAACTTAAATATTAAAATAGTATGAGTGCACTTAAATGCTTAGGATTGAGAAAAAGCATGTATGTATCGATTGTTTTGTTCATAGTTAACGTTTACGTATAGTTTGACAAGTTTGACTATAATTAGCCAGGATTTCATCCGCTTAGTACGTTGTTGGTATGCTAGATGGCTCTTCTCTAATTTATGAGAAAGGTCAGAATATCTGGTTGTAAAATTGCTATTTTTAAAGAAAATAACTATTTTCCCAATAATTTCAAATAATAACATAAACTTTTTACGTTTATATAAATTTACATGTGTTTGGCAGGATTTTCATTTTTAAATCAGTTAAAAAGGCCCTGATTTACATCATGCTCTTACATAGCTAATTCTACATTATGCTTTTTCACTCTTGATTGATTTCACTACGGCTCTAGCTGCATAATCAAACATATTCCGTCCATATCTCGTCGTTTTCGAGTGAAGGCGTTTTCATGCATGCGCTTATAACGCGTAGCGCATGTGTTTTGCCTCCTACCGTTAAACGCGAAAGCTGGAATTGAAAACCCTATGGCCATGTGCGGCGACAATACAACATGTTTTGTCAATGATTTTGCACGCCATGTTGTGTTTCGGTATAGTTTTTGGTTGAGTATGCATTGCTAAATAAAAAACACTTCGAATTAATCAACATCGAACATCTTTTCACGATTCTTTTGAACCGATTTTTAATGCGATAGAAAAATGAGGATTGGTATGACGTGTATATCATTATGACGTACAAGACCAACATCGACGTCGCCACTCAACCACCTTGTTCAAATTGCATGTCATTTGAAGTGTTGTCTTGTTTCTTTTCGTGTTCTTGTTGCAGATAATTTTTCAATCTCGTTATAGAGATTTTAAATACTATACATACGTTGATAGGCTGTAATGAATATTTATATTCAAATTGACCACATCAAGAGATTAGCGATTAACATGTAACTACAACTGGGTTTGAAAAGAACATACGGCAAATTTCTGATCTTCCTTGTTATTATAACCCTCGAAAGTTGAGATTTATTCCCATGCACTGTGTGCGTTTTATTTTTGTTGTTTGTATGTAAATGTAAATTCCCAAAAGCCGTTGTAAATATCTTTTAGACGACTCCAATAACTTTTTTTGACTTAAGTCACGGCAGGCGACCTCATTTGCGTCAATTTAATGGCATGTATTAAAAACCAAACATAATTCCTTCGGTTTTTACACTAAATTGGAATGTGTTTATGGCCTAATTCTTTGAGCGCTTTAAAAGAGCTAAATTAAACGTCAAAACCTTTGTTTCGATGCCATCTGGCCACAATAAATTGTAAAACTTCAGGCGATAGTGCACGTGGGAACTTTAAAAACAATGTCGTGAGCATGTTTTCACTAATGTTTTAACTGCCTGCGTGCTATGTTTTTGTTGGCTCACATAAAAAGGTTGAGGACACCTTTCCGTTTCGTTTCTAAAACTGAATCCCATTCTCCCAAAGCTTCTTAATGTTATTTATTTAGAACGGTGAGCCTCCGTAAAGGCCGCTGTTATCTTCATGCATTGTCATAAGTCTTTAGAATAATAATCAAGTGCCTGGGAACTGCAGCGATGCATCATTAATATTTTTGTTCTTTCTGATTACATATAAACTCTTGGGAAACTTCTGAGTCGTTGTTGGGAAACGAAATTGTTTTTTGCCAATCCATTTCTGCATGCCTTTTTAACTTTTTCATCAGTCATTCAAAGTTTTTCCATTTTTTCGTATCAGTCATTCAAAGTTTTTTACGGAGATTACTTCCATTGGGTGGTTGATTTCATGTCGATAAAAGTATAAAATTTTATCGATGATAACGTGACAACAACCAAATTTAAGCAAAATTAAAAGAAAAGGAAATATTTTCTGTAAATGGTCAGGAAATGATTTGTTTATGGTTACTTAGGATGCTAGTTTACATGCATAGTATTTATCTAACGTCTTATATGTACGTACACATTTTGACAAAATATGTAATTTATATTGCTCTGGTTAAAGAATGAGTCAATCACTTGCCATAGTTGATGAGACGTTGTTATCAAAAAACTGAAAATAGTTGTAGGGACAAAAACACGATGCGTATGTAGTAGGCAACCAATCAACGCTAACATTCAGTTATCGTATCGGTTATTCTCGAGAACAATGGAATCATAATAAGATTAAATGATAAAGATTCCTCAGCAACCACGAATTGACGCAAGTCGCTGTATTTATTCATATGAATGGCATCGCTTCCCATCTGTACCATAAATATATTTTCGACACGTTTATTTAATACCTTGAAAGACCTTGGCAGTGTGCATGAGGTGATGATGGTGTAATTATGAGGTGAAGAAGTGGTAATGGTACGATGGTAATGAAAGGTTAAGATAATGTTTCTAGCTATTTTGTATGGTTAATTTTCAGATGAGCTACACAGTTGAGATGGTCAATTTTCAGATGAGCTATACACTGTTGAGATGGTCAATTTTCAGATGTGTTATACACTGTTGAGATGGTTAATTTTCAGATGTGCTATACACTGTTGAGATGGTCAATTTTCAGATGTGCTATACACTGTTGAGATGGTCAATTTTCAGATGTGCTATACACTGTTGAGATGGTTAATTTTCAGATGAGCTACACAGTTGAGATGGTCAATTTTCAGATGAGCTATACACTGTTGAGATGGTCAATTTTCAGATGTGTAATACACTGTTGAGATGGTTAATTTTCAGATGTGCTATACACTGTTGAGATGGTCAATTTTCAGATGTGCTATACACTGTTGAGATGGTCAATTTTCAGATGTGCTATACACTGTTGAGATGGTCAATTTTCAGATGTGCTATACACTGTTGAGATGGTTAATTTTCAGATGAGCTACACAGTTGAGATGGTCAATTTTCAGATGTACTATACATTGTTGAGATGGTCAATTTTCAGATGTGCTATACACCGTTGAGATGGTCAATTTTCAGATGTGCTATACACTGTTGAGATGGTCAATTTTCACATGTGCTATGCACTGTTGAGATGGTCAATTTTCAGATGTGCTATACACTGTTGAGATGGTCAATTTCAGATGTGCTATACACTGTTGAGAAGGTCAATTCAGATATTTTGTATGGTTAATTTTCAGATGAGCTACACAGTTGATATGGTTAATTTTCAGATGAGCTACACAGTTGAGATGGTCAATTTTCAGATGTACTATACATTGTTGAGATGGTCAATTTTCAGATGTGCTATACACCGTTGAGATGGTCAATTTTCAGATGTGCTATACACTGTTGAGATGGTCAATTTTCACATGTGCTATGCACTGTTGAGATGGTCAATTTTCAGATGTGCTATACACTGTTGAGATGGTCAATTTCAGATGTGCTATACACTGTTGAGAAGGTCAATTCAGATATTTTGTATGGTTAATTTTCAGATGAGCTACACAGTTGATATGGTTAATTTTCAGATGAGCTGCACAGTTGAGATGGTCAATTTTCAGATGAGCTACACTGTTGAGATGGTCAATTTTCAGATGTGCTATACACCGTTGAAATGGTCAATTTTCAAATGAGCCACACTTTTAAGAAGGTCGATTTTCAGATGAGCTATACGTTTGAGATTGTTAATGATCATGAAATTCTAAATTTCTGATCCTACCGATCTGTTGCAGAAATCAAAATTTTGCTGCACGAGGTGTTTCGGCTTTTGCTTTTGGCGCGATCATATTTTCATACATTGGTCCTTTTGTTTCTGCTTACTTGTTTTTTTATTTAGAATATAAACGTGCGCAAATCGAATCTCTTCAGATTATAAGGCGGTAATTCTTAGAATTTAGGATTGTTACAATCTGCCTCGGATCTGACTTGTTAAGTTACAACAACTCATTCTTGCATTGGTTTACATTTCAACTTGCACTGATATTCTACTTTTCCTCAAGTTCATTATACTTCAATTGAACTGGGCATATTTAATATTTTAGAAATTCGTTTAAAATAACATTGTCATAAAAATAATTTGAACTGAAAAATGGACAGCCCTAATTTATGTTGGCGTCTACCGGATTTGCCACCGATACATGTTGTAAATTACTGTTTGCATTTTTTAGAAACCGCGCCCAAAACATGCTGAGTGCTTACTTTGGACATATTTATTTTCAAAAACAAAATACTTGTCGTCTAATTTGTTGTAAAAATTGCTATGTAACTCGTTTGTAACTTCTTATGTAACTTGTTATTGAGCTTGTCATATAACTTGTTGTTGAGCTTGTTATAAAATTTGTTGCAGAGCTTGTATAAGTATTACTTGTTGTTGAGTTTGTTATATGACTTGTTGTAGAGCTTGTTGTATAACTTGTTGTTGAACCTATAGTATAACTTACTGTTAAGTTTGTTGTATAACTTGTTGTTGAACTTGTTCTATAACTTATTGTAGAGCTTGTTGTATTACTTGTTGTTGAGCATGTTATATAACTTGTTGTTGAGCTTGTTATACAACTTCTTGTCGAGCTTGTTTTGTAACTTGTAATGGAGGCTTGTTGTGGAACTTGTTGTTTAACTTGTTGTGTGATTAGTTGTGTAACTTGTGTATCCTTTTGTGTAGTTTTTTATGTGACATTAGATAACATATCTGTCTTTTTTGCAACTTATTCATGGTTGAAAATAGCCAGCGTCGTATAGAGTCTATGCGATAGAGACTATAGTTTGAAAATTGCGTGCATGTTCAGTTGTGCTTTAATACAAACCTTAAGACAATCACGTTATCCAAAATTTTTTGGACTACATAAAAATAGTATTGTCATTTGTTCTGTGGAACGTCACCAATCACAAATCGATAAATCGCGTTTGTTTAGTTGTTTACCGAATGAATCAACTTCTATCAATTTGTTGCCAACTTATGACGTCGATATCAAATCATTTCCATTCATCATCCAGCAAAAAGTTGCAAAATTAGAATATCCGTGAGATCCAACCAACCATATTGACAAAATATCATTAGATAATATTTATACTTCATGTTTTTAGAAGATTACATTTCCTGTTACCTTATACCTTTATAATTTGTTTTAAAGGCATTCACGATTAAAACGGCGAAATATTACAGCGATTTTATGTGGTTGAAATCTGTCGGCACTTTGAACAAAAATAATTTTCTTAATTAAACCCATCCCGTTTTTGGCAGGATATCTGTCATTTGACTACCAAAACTATGCTCAATTGTGTCAATCTTTCTACCCTCAAGTTTTACACTCATGAATTCTTGAGCGCCCACTGCGAATGAGAACCTAATTAGATCCTTCAACGAGTCGCAGAATGCGAACTGAAGGCTACAGGATATTATCTTTTAAGTCAAAGATTATCGTTTTACTTTGCTTGCAAATTATTGTCTAATGTTTACATTAAATAGTTCGTATTTCACAGTTTAATCATAGAGGTGACATTTTTTGTATCGATTTTCGATGACAGTAATCAAATCAAAGCGCATTTTGTGAATAGATAAGAGATCCAGACGATAGCAGATGCTTTCAAATCTTGTTCATTTGTTATATATTTAACGTGTCTGCTTGGGAAGGATCAATCTCTTATTTTTGTCGCTTCCTGCTTAGAATAGAGAGCTTGTAGGCCATTTTTGGCAAAAGCAGAGTTTACGTTGAAACATACTGTGATTTGATTGGATGCGTTGGCCGACATGAAATTGGTTTTTGTCGTAAAAAAAAAGGTGATAAATGTGTCGAAACAACCGTCAGTATACTTTTGACTTTATTTAGTAAATTTGAAGTTGGTATCTCAAGAGTAACTCGCCTTATTCACAAGAATTTCTGTGCTTAAAAAATAAATGATGGCAATATATTTGATTTTGATACACACAGGCGCGATGATTAGATTTTGCTAAAATTCACTGGAAACAGCATGAACCATTTTTACACAAATACTCAAAAAATCTTGACTATTATAATTACTCGAGAGATTTGTCGAGTACGTTAGACCAAAATCACGAGATTTTTCCCGTTTATTTCAACACGTACGAGTGATTGCATCATATTTCTGCCGTCGACAACAACCAACAGGTTTTATGGAACAGACTGAACTGCTGAACGCGTGCGCTTAGTTCAGCAAGCATGTCATAATGTTGTACGATGTCTTCAATCTCAATTGAATAGATAAGACATTCATTATCAAATTACAATGAGCGTAATCTTTCTCGAACTCGAACACATTTACAATTAGTATCTGCGCCTCACACGCAGACAATAATTGTAAATGTGAATGCCTTATGTTGTGCAGAAGCGAGATATCTTTTAACCTCAAGAAACATTAAAGTGATAATTTTCTTCACGTTACAAAAGAACTACAAAGGTGAAGTGCACCTTTTACGTGCCTTCCTATTCAATTGAAGAAAATAAAAAGGAAGTTAAAAAATGACTGGTCTGCGTCAAATGTGTTTGTTCGCGATGATAAACTCTGCAGAAATCTTGTTATTTTTGCGCACGCTTAGTCATTGTTTTTAACCGCTGACCTTAACTGCTAACTGCCTGACGCCGGCTAATCAGCGTATTTCATTGGCTGCCTGTGAACGCATTTTATGATTATTCAGTCTGTTCAAGTTGCAATCGAAGTCTACACGAACTTCCGGAATCATTAATCGTTTTAGTTTTTGCGTTTTCTTATCAGAAGGCGCATGCATCTGTTGCATACGACGCGTTTCAAGTTATAATTCATGTTTTTGTAGGGATTTTCCGATAGCATACATTGCTGGTAACATTGGCCACATCACGCCAAGGTTAGTCCAGGTAAATTTACATAAATTTACTCCTGTTTGCTTTCGCGTTCTTGTCAACTTTTATTGCGCAAAGCTCAACGTACAACTTTAGTATTGACTGTATTAATAAAGCGATGCACATCTTGTTGAATATTGTGTAGATGAATTAGTATTAGAATACTCGGTCATCGCTTCATTCATTAATCTACAGCTAAACAAAGGGATATTATGATACTGTATTTATTTTAACGTTAAGGACCTGGTCTGTGAGCAGGGGTCAACGAAAAGTTCGTATCTGGTAGCATGTTTTTCGTACGTATGGATATGCGCTGTGCATTTTAATCAGTGAAATTATAATTCAATGATTGTCCGTTGCGCTATCATTTTAACATGTTAACCCTAGCGTCTTTCATTTGAGCTATGCTAGCAATTTTCAAATACTAGTTGCTTGTTCAACTTGTTGGTAGGTGATCATAGATCTGACTGGTTGTATTTCAAACCTTGTTGGGCACAGTGACAAAATTACGCATGATTATTGTTTGCGCTTTTCAAACACCCGTCGGTTTTGCTAACTCTACTAGTTGTTATATGAAAGGACGATTATTAGGACTAGTAAAATCGACGCATTATGGTGTTAAAATAATTTACGACGCTGTTCAAGGATCTTGTTTATAAACTCTTTAGCCAGAGTTTGCTGCTACTGTTTATCGTCTATCAGTACTATAAGATTTGTGACACAATACAAAACAGCTGGTTTGCGCTCACGGTATTTACATCGAGACTTAAAAAATGATTTTTAACTCTATCGTTTCTTGAGCGAACAGATTAATTCATAGTGGGTTACTTTAAATGGTGCCAAATGGCCAAATGATTCGCATATTTAAATAGAAGTCCGAGTGCGGGTACTATTTGAAGAGAAAGGTCAAGTCTAAATATATGAAAGAAACGCTAGCAAAATGAGTTGGATCCGTTTTCGCTATCCGAGTTTTTCAATTTAAGATGATAATAAAATGTTTTGGCTGCATGGACTTGGTCTTCAGCCATCCATCATAACACCACATTTACCGAAGATTAACGAAAATTTTACTTTGACAAACCATTAAGGAATATTTCATTGTTTACACTATGTCTGGATGTAAAATATTTGGGGAGTGGAAAGGATTATTGTGTTTTTGAAACAGATAAAATTTCATGGCGATACATACATGTCGCTGCTATTACTCAGAATCTTGCAGAATCATGCTGACGCGATTACGTGTGAAATTGTTTACAGAAAAATTATAATATTGCGGAAAATATGGAAGCATTTCCCGTATTAAAAAACTACCAGAAAATCTCTGAACTCATTGGAAATTTATATCAGGATTGACAATCGATTATGTGAGTTCCTTGGAGATATGTGCATCGATAGCGATAGCATGTCTTGCTTTGTCTTGCTCAGAAGTCATGATTTTAGAGAACTCACCCCCATTGTCGCGAAATTATCAAACCAACTATGGCATTTTAAGGAGTTTCACAATCAACTTCCATAATCCATGCTAATGTGATTACACCAAATATTATTTTTTTGAGAATAATTTCGCGTTAAATTTGGTCAGTGATTGTCACACTCGTAACAATAAAACACAATGTGGGGAAAAAGCGAAGAAATAGCCACCTTGAACATTAGCTGTCTGTCATTTAACTTGATCTTTAACATCACATGTATTTGTGCTTATTTGTTTAAGCAGGGAGATTTTAGAATTTCACATCTGCGTTCACTCGTCGCAGTGTCGTCGTTATTGTCAGCGATGTACAACAGAGTTATGCTACTTATTGTTTTGTCTTATCTAATGTTATCACCTTGTCAATAATTTAAGACGTTCGTGTTGCAGCAATTGCAGTTGAAGATGTAAATGTTTGTCATGTTTCAGCATCAATTGCGTCTGTAGATGTTTGTCAAAACTGGTTATCATAGCGAATCGTCGTTTTTGTTCTCTCCGTTTAAATTTATGCAGCATGAGTATAGAAAACTATGAATTATGTAAGCTACGTGGAGAAGATAGCAGTTCTGACTCAATTCCACTGTATCTAACGCTGAATTGTGCTATTTTCTTTCTAAAACAATTTTCTTGCATTAACTAGGGTGTTCATACAAACGCCTTTACATCGTAATAGATATAGTTATAAAGAAAGGATATTACTCATATTTCTCGAATGTTTTTATATTGTACATCACACTTATTTTGCCACGTAGACCTGACCATAAAACAGAAATGCTCCAACAAACCTATTGTCTGCCATCTCAGCTGGATGCATCGGAGACACCCTTTCCTCCCCTGCTGCTTTTATATGCTCTTCCGCTGAATCGAAACTGTTACTCACATGATGATTTGTTGGTTTTTATTTCAGTATACATGTACTCACAATGTAATTTTTGGGAAAACTATGACTCAAAATTACTATGACGTATTCTTTTTGTCTCCAAAAAGAATTAAAAGAGGAAAAATTTATCGATTCCAATCATGAGAAATTTATAGCTCTTTATTTTACGTTTCACGATGCATCACCAATTCGTCAAGAGTCCAAATATGGCACGAAATGACGTACACAAGAACTCAAACAATGGGTCGTTTGCACAGCATGTGTCTTGGCCGCTTAGAGTTAGTTAATTTAAAAATATCAGCCAAACCCTAACCCTTACCCTAAACAAATATATACTTGAAAGAGGAAGTCAACATCCCTTTAAGAGTTGCGTTGCTATGTGCTTTATAGCCATAACACCTTGCTTTCCATTCGCTTCTCTTTTTTGGCCTCTTGTGTAAAGTACGTATATTCTATCATAACCCACATAATCCAAAAATCGCACCCCACATACACTATATTACTTGTGAAAAAAGTGCATAAACAGTCATTTCATTATTCATTTCTTTTCTTCGTTATCTTATACAGCACCCATCTCATGGACCTTAGTTCAAACTTAGCTAATGCTGGTCGAAATTGGCTTTTTGATCATTTGCCGAACTTGTAAAAAATTCACAGTTTCTAAGTCACTTTTTGTCTTAATTTTTGTCACCTTTATTCATTTCAGGATATGGAGTCTACTGCGAGAAACATACTAATCCTTCTCGCGCTTTGGATCTCATGTGTAAATGGTGATAGCCGATACCTTGTAAAAGAACACGGTTAGTTTTACACACCATAATTTCTTCATTGACTTGTTTTATAAGCTAGTTTATATGCTGGCCATCGTATTCATTGAATTTCCCGAGTAACTTCGTTCAAGTTTTATGTGAACTTTTTCATCATTACTGTGCGACGAAATACATCAACATGATAACATTCCCTTTCAAACCTAAAATTCGAACTATGACGTCATGTGAAAGCTGAAAAGAGCATCAGAGTTGATGAAGCTCTTTTAATTCAGGGCATTTGTTTCATGGTATAAACATAAAAATCATTTCTTTGGGGGCAAAATAGTTCCATATTCATGTAGGTTGATTAAAAACGGGACATCTCCAAATGTCATAACATGCAGGTTTATATTTGAGACAGAGAAACGTTAAATGGATAATATTTGCAAAATTTTATTTCATGAAACACACCACATGTTGGTGATATGAGCGCCGAAGGAAATTTTTGACATGCCGAGAAATGTTTGGAATTTTTTGCGTGAAATGCTTTGTTTTCTTTGTGAAATTGAATTTTTCTTTGAAATTAAGATTAAAATGAGCCTCGCGTTCTTTATCGATGGCATACTTTTGCTCATGCGCATGAGTTTGGTATGCATTACTCTCGATGACTTCCAACTTTTTCTTTTTTTCACTGTAGAGGACTGCATGAAACGACAATCTTTGCATGGGGTGGAGCCGAAAATCCAAATCTGGATTGTATTTTAAGTCCTGTCAAACCTTATTGTGTTGACTGATGTTCATTAGATTTTCAGAACCAAACGGATTTTTTGTCTGAGACGGAAAAACTGCTGAAGCGATTTTCATTTGACAACATTGACAAAGTTAACTCGCCATTGTTGAATTGGAAGTTTTGTCCTGCTATGTAACTTTCAGAGCATTATCATCATTTGTTTCTTTAGCAATCTATTGTTTTTGCAGTGAATGAACATAGAAACGTTTGCAAAGCAGTACCAAATCTGCGGACTAGCTACGCCACTGTTTTTATATACCTTTTGTGACTCAGTTCATTCATTCTGTTGAAAATTACGTAAGGTGTAATGGAATGCCTCCATCACGGAAAAGAAATGGAGCGGCAAAAATGTTTCTAAGCTAATTAAGGCACGCTTGCCGTATAGTAATATATAGTAAAGTTATACGTCGCAACATATTTTGCTATGACGTCATCTTCTTTTTAATGTAGCTGATGGAAAAGAATATTTTGGGAAAAATTTTACTGTGATGGAAGGCGAGAGCGTCATACTTTCTTGTGGATCGAGATTGCAAAAGGGTAGTTTAGGCAAGTCATGGTTCGCATCTATTGAAGAAAGAAAAATTGCTGGTACAATGTACAGGCAATTGGACATCATTAAGGGACGTTTTGGACAAAGAGCGGTCCTCATACGTGGTGGGCGATATTACAGCGGTCGACCAGAAAGAATTGACCAAACGTTCGACATCAAGTTACACAACATAAGTAGATACATAGCTGGGCGATACAAATGTATTGTAGTATCGTTGATAAGCAAAAGAGCGACTTACGCAGAATCGACGGACCACATTATCACTGTCAAATGTAAGGTTTTTCTTACTTGGTTTGATTCTCTTCCTATTTTTTTTTTACTTTTTTGGTTACTCACGTTTGCAAATAGTCCCGTTTGATTCAGTTGTTTCTGAGCGGGTTAGGAGGATTGAGAGGGATAAAGAGTGGCAAGGTTATTTTGTATTGAATTGAGTAAAAAAGTTAGTTTGCATTTGAAGATTGATTCTCGATGTCAAAAATACTTTTTCGCGACCCGCATGAAGTTGCTGGCTCTCATTCCTGCCAGATAAGCCTACCTTTAGCAGCACTGTTGTGTAGTGTTACCATTTCTAGACCTAAGTAAGACTTACTACGTCGTGTATGAGGCGTGAAGAGTTTATTAATGTTGTTTTTAAGTGCATGAGATGGAGGGGGAAGAATCCTAGAAAAAGATCTTTTTAAATATAACTTGTTTTCTTTTTTTTTATCTTTTGACGTATTCAGCAAAACCAAAGATTGAGTCAAAAAAGGAAGCCAACATCAAAATAAAGGCTCGTGAAAAACTAAACATGGATTGTATTTCATCTGGATTTCCAAAACCTTTGATCACGTGGCGTCGAGTGGATGGTCGGCCGTTGCCTGCCAGAAAACTTACGCATTCAACTGGCTTGTTATCCATATCTGATGTCGGACAGCAAGATCGGGGAGATTACGAGTGCACTTCAACTAATATATATGGCCGTGATACTAAAATATATTCTGTTGATATGACAGGTATGCCATTTTATGACTGTATATTTCAACCTGTATTGTAAGATTAATATGACTTAGTCTAGATATATGTACATGAACCTGTTTTGTATCCTGTCAGTTCCTCCACGATTCATATCAAATGGCGACTCGTTTGCGACTGTTGGAAAAGATGGAGTCGTTGCTTGTGTAGCTGTTGGTCTTCCAAGGCCAAAATTTTCATGGAGATGGATTGACGACAAGGGCTATGAGCAAAGGCTGTCGAGTGCAGAGGGTTTAGTAGGAAGATATCAAGTGAAAACGAAGCATTACTTTGAAAATAGCACGAGTTTTTTTATGATAAAGGACGTTGAAAAAGAAGATCTACGTTCTTACAGTTGCATGCTAGGCAAAGACGACAAACCACAAAAAATAAATTTGCGTTGTTACAGTAAGTGTAAAAATGCCACGTATATCATTCAATAGCGTAAACATTGAATATTACGTATTTTAAGTCTGATGATACATAGTATATATCATAAAATAAACACGCATTTTAACTAGACCTAATGTTTATTAACTCGCTTTTTTACTTCAATCATATTTCTTTGGTCACTTTGTAATGTATTGATTTAAGGTTCATATCATAAGATGCATCTCTTGTAAGAGTTAAAACACTTTAGCACTCATTTTCTCAATATTAAATGGTCTCTTAGCAATAATTTCTTGATGAGGTGCCTTATGCACAGCTGAAAATTTGAGTTCCATATTTTCACTGTGTATTTTTTTGCGAAAGTTGACTTTGTTCAAGTAGTTACTGTCTATCTTTTGTCATGTACAGTGTTTAGAAATATTTAGAAAAATGATTCACTGGTCATTTTACCTAGTAACTATTGTCTGACTGCCCAAATTTCAAAGGCCCTTTATTCTATATTTGCGTACTTTATTTGTCTAATTGATGCCTAAACTTAAAATAATGTTTACAGCTAGACCATCTGCTCCCATAATCCAGACAGTGGTTTCGTACAGAAGAAAGATTACTTTGAGCTGGAAACTAGCTGAGAATAACGGTGGAAAGCCCGTAACGTCAATGACAATTCAATATAAGCCATACAACACTACAAGTCAGTTTCAAAAGATACCTATACTTATTGAAAAGCGCCCTGTCTACACAATAACCGGCTTACGACCAAACACAGAATACCATATACAGTTGATCGCTGTGAATGAAATCGGCCCGAGTGATCCAAGTGTTACAGTAATAAAGACAACTGGCTTAGGTAAAGATATTTTCATCACATTTGTGGAACTTTTTGCAAACTCTTTTTTTATTTTCATGTTGCTCATCTTGCTTTTTTAAAATTAGGAATAATTAATTGCTGAATGAGAGGGATATCCCAGGAATACGTTGATCATTCAGATAGTTGTGTAGTCAGCGTTATCTTTTCAAGTGAACCTTGCAAACTTGAATAATGTAGATATCCTGAATTTCTCAATTTTTATGCGACGTTAAACCTTTTAGTCTTTCTACAACTAATCGGCATGCGACTTACTTTCTCCATGTTGTTTTTTTTCTATCCATACAAATGTTTAACACACGCATGCTTCTCCTTTTTTTATAGCTTCACCTTCAACCGGCAAGGGTAAGGCCAAAGAAACGGATAGAATTGTGTTGTATGCTGGCGTGGCAGGAGGGTTTCTCGTGCTTATTATTGCCATTATCGTCGTGTGTATATTTATGAGGCAAATACAACGAAACAGCGCTAAAAAAGCGGCTGAAAATGCCCAGCGTTTGGTAGGAAAGAGTGAAACTGATGACACCGTAAGTATTTTTTGACAAATACTTCAAATTGACGTTTGAGCTATTAGCGCGAGGGCTTGAATTCCTGAATATTTTACGTTTTGCAGACGGCATTGATAAACTTCTTGCAGAAAGGTGACCGTCTATCGACTAACACTGGGTCAGGTACTGGGGTTGTTCTTCATTTGACTACTTCAAATAAATGGGAATTTCAAGAGAGAGACTTGTGCTACAAAATGTACTTGGCTCCGGTGCTTTCGGTATTGTCATGAAAGCTGAAGCAGAAGGAATTAGCGGCTATAACTCTGGTAGCACGCCCGTTGCTGTAAAATTTGTTAAAGGTAATTTGGCCAGAAATGATTGTTGTTTGTTCCATATGGCTTTTCACTGCTTATTCCGGTTGCATGGGGTGATTCTATGTTATAGTTGTTGATGCTGTTGTTGTTGTTGATGATGTTCTTATAGTTATTGATGTTGTTGTTGTTGTTGATGATGTTGTTGTTGTTATTGATGATGTTCTTATAATTGTTGATGTTGTTGTTGATGATGTTGTTGTTGATATTGGTGATGGTGATGTTGTTGATGATGTTGTTATAGTTGTTGATGTTGTTGTTGTTGTTGATGATGTTGTTGTTGATATTGGTGATGGTGATGTTGTTGATGTTGTTTTAGTTGTTGATGTTGTTGATCACTTGATCTTATATTACTTTAGCTTGGTAGTGATTATCTTTGATGTTTTGTATTGATAATATTATGGAGTGACTGTGTTTGTAATAGTTGTTATAACAGTTTTTACATAATATTGCTATAGAAATCTAGCATCCATCTCAGTTATAATTTGCTTGCAGAAAATGAAAGTGCATCTTCGAAAAAAGACCTCATTGCTGAACTGGAGTTGTTGAAGCTGATTGAACCTCATAAAATGTTATCAATTTGATGGGCTGCTGTACAAAATCAGGTATTATACATTTGTTCATACTTTAGTGTATTCCACCACAAACGAAATCGACTCGTTTTCTGTTTTTTCAGAACCGTTGATGGTCATTGTCGAATTTTGTGCCTATGGTGACCTTCAAAGCTTTCTTCGAGCTAGTCGTGGTGTAAGAGATCAGTATTACTTGGATTGTTATAAGCGTCCGTCATCAAGATTGACTTCGAATGAGTTGCTCATGTTTGGTACTCAGATTGCCAGAGGAATGGCGCACCTCGCAAATTTAAAGGTGTGGAAACTCCTATGAATACTTGCAGAAGATGGAGCATTGAAGAATTTACTTATTGAAAACGTATAAATTGTGCTTTCTTGAAATCGCCATTTCAGACCGAGAAAATAGATTGCGGGCCATGAGTAACCAAGAAATAATATTTGCACATTATCATCTACACAACTTTTTCTAATCAACGAAGTTCTCAGGTTTCTCAGTACCCACCGACCCCCACTTCACACACCCCACCTCTCATATCCCTACCTCACACACACAACCTCTCACAAACCCCACCTCTGACACACCTACTTCTGACACACCCCACCCCACATGCCCCAACCCCGTATATTATCTGTGGTAATATCAGATAGACGGATAACCATCATAAGTGAGCTCAGTCTCTTCCCCGTCTATTTCTCCGAAGTCCGCCTTCCGAAATCAATGGAATGTTTTTCTTCTGCAGGTTATCCACAGAGATTTGGCGGCAAGAAATATATTGGTTGATGAAAACAAAATTTGCAAAGTTTCAGACTTTGGATTCGCACGAGACATATACGTCGAAGATCATTATACTCGTAAAACAGCGGTTCGTATTTTATTGAGAAAGTTACAACACACATTTCGTATATGTTTAGTCTTTTTTCGGGCGAATTATAGCCTTTTATTTAAAAAAATCGTATAGTTTGTTCCTTTAGCCAATATAAGATAATATAAAATACAACAACATATTATAAGATGCATTTGAATTTCAAAAAGATCCAGTGGTACAATTGCATTCTTTTGAAATTCACATCAGTTGCATTATTGTTTAAAATGATGCGAATATAAAATTGGGCTGTTGTGATTTATTTTAACTGTAATGATGGATCTGCCACTGATTTTTTAAAACATAAAGGCCTATTATAATGATGCTGATTTTGCTTTATTCTTCGACCAACGCACTGATTATGAAAAGGAGTTTTCTCTATGTAATTCAGCTCTTATGTTCGTTTCTGGTGTACGATAGTAAAGATATACAAAGGGGCTTTTCCCCAGTAAAATGAACTGAATGATCTTATTTCAAAAGGGAGTTGAGAACTATTGTAAAATCAACTTCGATTTTGTTCATAGAAGTTTATTAATCTACCTCCAGCATAAAATTTTGGCAATTTACGGGTTTTAAAAATAACACTCGTGACAAAAATTTGCCATTCATTGTAGATCACAAACTGCTTTCTGATAGACTATAGTGTAATTGAAATAACTCATCCAGTTGATTGACATATCAGTCACTTATTAAGTCCAACGTGAAATTCTCCTATCTCTCTCGTGTGGTGCGCTAACCAAGTTATTGAAAATTGCATCAACTGCGTGGTTGCTATAGCTCTTATATACCGTTGTTCGAATGCTGCTGTAATGCACTTATTTTGATTTGCGAAAGTAAAATATAGTTGACTAATGGTGAATGATTTTTTAAGGGTGGACGATTCCCTATCAAATGGATGGCTATTGAATCCTTATTAGATGGAATTTCGACAACAAAGAGCGATGTGTATGCCTATTTTTACATTTTTTACGCTGTCATTTTCATTTGTATTGTCATAGATTTTAACGTTGTTCAAAATCTATTTATTCAGATGGTCTTTTGCTATCGTGTTATGGGAAATCATTACTCTCGGTACTGCCAATTATGAATTAAAATATTGTTATAACATTTTCAAAATATATAGTTGTGGCGTGGCCTACCATACTATGCAAATTTTTCACAGTTCACTTGCTGCAAAAGATTTTGTGGAGGAAAGATGGCCAAGGCTACTAAAAGTCCAAACATCCACATCATTCCTTTCTTTCCAAATCTATATAGTCAACACAAAAATTTGCACAGCGTGAAAATTTAGCAAACTTTACGCTATTAGACTACTGCTGCTTTATCCAACAATAAGCTTTTACAATGTACTTTGAAAAATTTTACATGTGCCTGCGATTGCATTGGCTTGACCTCTTTTTGAACCTCGTGTATTTCATACATTTGCAGGTGCATCTCCTTATCCTGGTATGAACTCGCAAGAAGTTGTCAGCTTTTTACAGAATGGAATGAGAATGGACAAACCCAAGCATTGCAGTGACGAATTGTATGAAAACTTTTCCATTTGGCTTCTTGTTTTTCTATTGTCCATCGCTGTTGCAAATCTTAGATTTTTCTTCTTGATGTTTTAACTTCTATCCGTATTTGTGATTTAATATTTTATGTGCGAAGAAAGAAAAACTCAAATACATCGTCGATGGTTGTTGCTTTGCTTCACGATTTTTTACGCTTCTTTAACTAGGTATAACCTTTTGATGGATTGCTGGCATATCGCACCTCATCGTAGACCAAACTTTGAAATGCTCGCCCGTTACTTGGACCGAATGTGTAACGACGATTTTGTAAGTAAACATTTACCTGTTCACATATCAATTTATAAAATAAAAACAATAAAACGCGTGCGGTGATTGGTCTAGAGCTGTGTTTGCATTATCTTGTGCAAAACACATCTGAGTTCAACCAATCAAATCAATCATAACAATCAATCAGTCAAAGAGAATTTGCAAATCGATCATGAATACATTTTACAGGAAAAATTAAAACGTTTACTTTAAATTTGTCTGTTTCGAACTACCTCGGAGACGTTTGTGAGAACTCTCGAGCAGCTCTTGCACTGTTCTGCTTTCGAGTTCTTCCAAAAGTCTCCTCGGTTTGCATAAGCCTGTGCAAACACAGTAAACATCTTTTATTTCTTAAATGAGAGAGGAATAGGATGCAAAAACCAATTTCATTGAAACTCAACTCCTGGTCCGAGGAATCGATCATGGCTTTGGCCTTTGTTCAAATATTTTTATGGACATTGGAGTGCATCGTTATTATCATTAGCTTAAGAGCTGTGACAAAATGTCGAAATTTCGTTTTTTATTAATTCATATTTTATTCTATTGAATGATTAAACATAATTTATACAATTAATAAATTTCTTGCATCTCAAAGACCCAGATATGCCCATTAAAGTATGTTTGCAGCAGACGAACATATGTCAATAATGCATGTCTTCTTTTTTAACAGGAATACATCAACATGAGAACATACGATGATCATTTATACATCAATTTTGATGGCAATACTGTGTCAGAGGGAAGTAAAAGCGGATCTTTAACAAAGCAAAATGATTATATAAAGGATGGTGAGAATGAGAAAGAGGCTTTAATGAAAGATAATTTGTCATAAAGTAGTCTTTTAGTTTCATAAATCAACTTATTCGTCGTCGGTAACGAAAATTATGCAAATTTTCTGTTTAATTACTCCAATGACGAAACTGAAACTAGGAATTTAGATGTCGGCCCCGTGATCAGGTGTACAATTAGCGAAGAGAAGTTGTATCAAGAAACATTCTACGTTCTGAGGGCCCGATGATTTTAAACAAGCACTTCTTAATTTCTATTTTATAAATTAGCACAACTGCATTGATCTTAAGATAATTTTATGTAACCAGTCCACTTACACTGTTTACTTCCACGCGGAATTGCTTTTAGGAGGTATGGGTCGGGACGGAAAGGGCATATTGTGCACTCTGTTGTTCACATCAATTAATTCAAATGCCCATAAGCTTTGGGGTTAGCGCAAATATCTCTTGCCAGAAGATAAGATTCGATATGGCACGTCATTTTACAAATATTAATACTACCATTGAAACCACTGTGAAAATTATAAGTTTTTAAATGCGTTATTCAATTGATATGTTCATCCCCCAACTATCAGCCATAGTTATTTAATGGAATTTTTTAGCTTTTAATGAATGAATATGTTCGGCATGTATGCAAAGTATTTTTCTATTTTTGTAATATAATGATTTTTTACCCAATAAATTTTTATATTTTATTAATGCATCCCGATATCGTAACATCAGCTTGGCACAGAATTTCGGAACTCTGCCGTATCGCTAAAAGACCGAGTATAGCTATATAAAGAGTTGAGCAAGGTTTTTATCGTCGTTAAAAAAATGTCGAATTCTCATAATTCATTCAAAAATTGTGCACTAAATCTGAAGACAAGATTCTATAAAAGGGATTGAATGACAAACAACTGAAACGTGAAAGCGTTCATAACAGAAAGAAAATAGGCCAAAATAAAATTTTTACAAAGCCAAGATAGAACTGCAAACTTAACTTTTAAAATCTGATTGGTTGGACTTATCTTTGCGGGATGGACTAGTGATATTTCTGTTCAGAAACGTAATTCAAATTCGATCCTTTGCTGGTCATAAATTACGTAATGAACGACCGTAATTTTTTTGTTATCTTCAAAGACCAATTATCATTTATCATCCTATGCAAACATGTCGAAATTAGCATTTTTTTACCTCTGTGTCAGGTTCACTAAAGAAAAACCAATTAATAACAAAGATGTCAAAAACTAACATTCATTTATTAACTATTTATGAATCTCATTTACAAACAATTGTTTAGAATGTTACACAGTTGGTCAGATTGTTTCGATGGCTGTTGACTACCAGCGAGGACCCTATCGTAAAATTTTTTGAAAGACTTCTTTGTGATAACCGAATCTACATAAACATTGATAATGTAACCCGCATGAGGATACCAACATTTAATTCTGTTTGTAGTCACAAAGGAACCAAACAAAGCTGGTTTTCAAATCGCTGGTACTTAATTCCCAGAGCTGAGGTGAAAGGATGCGATTTTGACCAAGACTTTTCTGCATGCTACAAACAACATGACATTCTTTGTCGCCATATTTAGCGTGCAGGCTGTTCATAGTGTTTCAAAACTACGGCCGTTCATTCAGTAACTTACACACAATAAGCGCTTCGAATTTGGATATGCTTTTTTTCTGAGACACGCTCTACCATAAAAAGTGTAACAAGGCACTTTCCATTTGGAAAGTTAGAATTATCTAGGAGAGCGAAATGGCTAATACTTGTAAAAGAGATTTTACGGCTTCAAGATACATCAACTTCAGTCTTCAAATACGTGTAAAGGTATGTGATAAATGGATGAACTCTAAGCAACGCCAGAGTAGTTATAGCTTTTCAACACAGCATTAGTCAAGTAAGGTAAGTAAAGGTTATTTGAATTGCGTATAATGGAGCTTTATCTTAGATGGATTGTATGTGGCATTATTTTGACATGAGGTTATCCTCATCCTGTGATTTTGAGATTATGGGATAAGTGCCTTCATCCTTCAATCCACAATTTACCAAACGAAAAAGGAAGCAAACCCAAACGGAGATAGATAAAACTGCTTCCTTATTGGGGGTTGAAGTAATAATGAAGTCGACAAAACGACAAAACAAATTGATTTTATGCTGGCATCTTCAACCACCAAGGTAGAAATTTATGCAACAATTATGAAGTCATATTGACCAGAATTTTGAACTTTATAACAAGAAATTCAAAAAAAGTGTCTTATATGCTCAAACTTGAACTAACAAAGCATGACAAAGCACTTCTGGACTGGAATGGTTTAAATTATGCAACAATTTGCCATTCCATTTCACTTCTACTACCGCTGACCAATGCATAAAGCAGGCTTGAATTTGTACGTACGCTGACTGTATTTTGTAATATGGTAACAGCGACCTATTAAAACCATTTTATTAGCTGCTCACGAACGCAATTAACTCAATTTGCAATCGACGTTTACATGAACTTCCGGAAACGTCGATTCGGTTGCAGCGTTTTTTTATCACCAAGTGCAAGCATCTTTCAGTGTGGGACGACGCGTTTCGGATTGGAAGTTAAAATTTATGTTTTTTCTCAGGTGTTTCTGATAGGCACATTACTTGTAACATTTTTTGGCCACGTCATCTTGAGGTTAGTTCCAGTAAATTTACATAAAACGTCTGTTGTTTGTGGTCTTTATTTCTCATCTTTAATGCGCAAATTTCAACATAAAACGTTAAAGCGCCTTTTTGGTTATTTATCGATCGTAATCGAAATATCGATCACTTTGCAAATATAATACAATGCGACAAAAATATCAAGAAACTTGTTGCCAGAATCAATTGCACGTTTAATGTTTTGCAGTTACCGAAGCATATTGCTATTTAAAGTCAATTCTAAATAATGCATTTCATGATGTCAACACATTTCGAAATCATCAACGCAACTCATTCTACCAAGCTCTCTAGATGCCACGATTGCAAATCGGGATTTTGTAACTAGTTCAAGCGAGTTTCTATAGCAGTTGGGAGTTTTCGTTCTTTTTATTGTGGAGAACGAGAAATTTGAGATTTATTTGGGAAATTTTTGAGAAAACTGTGTGACTAATAAATGAATTTAAAGTGCTACTGAAGTGAAATTTTCATATTTCGTTTTCGATACAAACGTTTTCTCTGTATTTTACTGATCATTTTGAGCTATCGCCCACTGAATTTAGTGGATGGGAACGCATCGAACTTTGCGTTCAAACATGGCATATTTGATTGTTTTGATGCGAATTTGACTTTGCGTGCGTGACGTCATTTAAAGGACGGAAGTTCAATTTTAAAGCTCTTAGTACATAAAATTATATACGAACAAGCATATTTCCAACTGGAATTTTACATATTTTATAACTTCTCTTCGCAAAAATTGCGTATATTTAGTGACAAATGAGCAACACGCATAGGTAAGCAACATTTATAATCGATTAGAGTTTTATAAACTTCTTGAATTAACTTATATTTCTCAATAAACTGGGTGCCGCATCCTTCACTATGTCTGCGGTTTTAACACACACGCAATGTTATCAGAAACTAACTGTAACGCGCTTATTTCCAATCATCCAATGTATACTACTTTTATAAACTTCTGGATTAGACTTATCATTCTTATCATTTGGGTGTCGCATCCTTGACGTAGTCTATGGTTTTAAAACCCATGCAATATTATCACAACGCACATAATAAAAGGAGAATAATTTTTTATTAAGTTAGTCAAACGTAACGATACACCGCAAGTTAAAATATGGCGAGTAGGCAAAATTCTGCAAAAAATCGTCGAGGAGGACAATATTGTGTTGCTGGTTGGCCCAACGGAAAAAGTTGTACAAACAGTCAACACACAGAGGGTGTCTCAGTACATCGTTTCCCCATGAATGACAAGGAGAGGCTGAGTAAATGGACAAAATTTGTTAGGAGACATAGGCCAAAATTCGTTCCTCAGCAGTACTCTGTGCTATGTTCAATACATTTCGCAGATTCTGCATTCACCGTGAACGCAACAGTTGCAAAATCGCTAAACATGAGACGACAATTGCGCTCTGATGCTGTTCCAACCATAGACTCTGTAAAAGGCATTTCAATCCAAGGTGATAAGAGCAATCGCGACCGCAGAGTTGTAAGTACAAAATTATACAAGTTAAATTACACAAGTTTGTATGCACAACCTGGAAATGCATGTAAATGTGTCTTATTATCTTCAACAGGTGTTGCGTGAAGTAACACGAAGTGTAAAAGATGTTGAACCTGCTGTTAAACATACTGATGATGAAGGGAATTCTGACGAGTGTAACACGACAGAAAGCGTTGATAGTGAACCAGTTAGAGAGGATTCACCAGAACCGCTGCCAAAACAAGAGCAAGTTGAAATCCAACGGCATTTGGATAGGAAACAACTATCTTCAACACCATTGTTTCCCACATGTAAGTTGTTCATGCTACCATGTATAATAGGTATGGCCAGTGCATTCTAAAAGTAAACACATTAAATTGTTATTTATAGATCAACAGCAAGATGTACTGCAAGCAAAAGGTTTAGACAAAGAAAAACAAGCTGCTTCAACAGGTCCTTCAGATTCAAAAAAAACGTGCTTATGCAAAAATTGTGGACAGCCAATGAAAGGACATCCAAAAAATCATTGTCCACAAGAATTACTTGACAAATATTCTTAGCAGGCCAACTTTAAAGTTAGTTATAAAATACTTGAGAAAAACGACGATTTTTTTGATTTTTTTCTCAAGTGTTTTTTAAAATTGCTGCTAATTAGAAATTATAGTTATAAAATAATATACTATGCTACAAAAAATGTTTCCTACTTCTATCAGTTTCTTTCCTGTGCTGACTTGTAGCCAGCATGTTCTTGGCCTATGGGATTTCGTAATGGACAACGTTTTCGGATGTCTGTGTAGATACATGCAGGTAATGGTCTAGAATTTTCCCAACCAAGGCATCCACACAGCCATCGAATGACCCAACGGTATGCAACTGCTCTCAAGTATCTATGAGAAATTCAAAATAGTAATTTCTATTTGATTATTTATTTTGACTTCACACAACAAAATTGTGAAGCATCACAGCACAATAATGAACCACATAAAGGTAAAAAGTAGAGATACATGGCAAGATATTAATCATTCGTTACAAAACAAAATTAGAAATCAAAAATGTACTAACTCATTTTCATGTATTCTACGACACTTGTATGACCTTCCATCTTGGTCTCTTAGAAGTGAGCCAACATTCTTCAAGACTGTAGCATGTGTCATAATCGTGTACTCTTCGTGAAGAGTAACACAGCTAATTTTTTCAATGCTACCATCGAATACCAGTTTATGTAAAGTAGGCCCAACCTCTAGACAACAACGGTATTCAATGGCATCTGTCAGCAGTTGAGTACGACACAAGCTAAATGCACACCTATAAAAAAGTGGTTTGTTATCATATTTATGCACCACGACATAAGGACAAAATAACATGTTTAATTCATGGTTTAATTTCTTCTAGAGTTCTAATAACATTTATCAACTTACCACTTATCTAACTGAACGGTTCCTTCGAACCTCGCTTCCAATGTTCGAGGTTCTAAGCCATCTGCGTCTTCTTCGACCGACACAAAATTCTCTCCGACTGCGTTCGCAAGAGGTTCATTTTCGTAAGGATTTACAACTGAATTAGCCACAATTGTATCCTCATCGCCGGAATTCGAAAGTAAATTTTCATTTGCTATATCTGAGTTTTCAGTATCCGAACTGCGTTCGCTTTCACTGCTTGAAGAACTCATATTTTATTGTGTATATGTGTTAAAAATCTAACAAAATACTAGTAAATCAATGCTCATACTTCGACTTCCGTCCTTTTAATTACGTCACATCCGTATAATATTTCAGGAGTAAAATTCGCACGCGTAACCCAACTTTGAGCAAAATTTATTGATGATCCTGTGCTTCAATATGCATAAAAATTATACCAAAGTGATCAGGAAAGATAGAACTATTTGATTATAGGAAAAATCGATAAAATTTCACTTCAGTAGCACTTTAAGAAAAAATACACCAAGGATTCTTTACTTCGTTTGTTTTAATTTACAAGTATTCAAACCATGAACCTCCAACACAGACTGATAGGGAACAAAGAGCAGGCTACTTCAATGAAATTTTTTGTGACGCAAATCAACTTCTTTATTATGTGATTACCATAATACTTGATACCATGCCATACCACAAGTGCTCGGGTGGATTTAAAATATGGCATGTTTGATAATCTCACTAAACTGTCTTAAACTTATTGATAATAATCTTTACTGAAATAGACTTTTCACCAAATTGGCTTTTGAAAACGATCGCAAAATATTATAATCATTAAGAGTGCAAGCCATAGTACAATTTACGGCATGTTTAAACAAACAAATTATTTACAGTTTATTGCAATTAAAAACTATCAGCATTTGATTTTTGCTCAATGTAAAATCATATTAACTGCCTAAAACGCAGTTCTCTGCTGACCTGGTAGACCCCCATCGTCTTTTGGCACTGGCTCGTTCAGCCACTCAGCTATAAGGAAAAGATTTTCTTTTAATTTCTTCCACAATTCTTGGGATGATAAGCCTTAACAATAATCAGCTTATTCATCGCGGCATCAAGCTGGGTAAATTGTAAATTAGACATCCTAATATTTTTGGATTCTTTCAATAACATCAAATTTAAAGAAAAACCTTGAAAGATGAATAGCAGAACTCCTTATTCAAAATGTCAAAAACGTTGCTATGTCTAAAAACAACGGTCCCATAACTTAGCTACCCTTACTGTATTCAAACATTCAGTGTGTTGCTATTTTAAACATCCGATTAAGAGGAGGGGATGTGATTTTTATGCGATCCACTAGTCTTATGAAAGAGGAGCTGGCGAAGGACAAATCTACGTCAGTGATATGAAACTGAGATATAGTTTGGGTGTAGGAGTTCGAGAATGAATAGGTTTTAGGTTTATTACGAATTGTTAACTAGTAGCCTAGCGATGAATACGAAAAGTTGATGTGTATAATTAAAGCATTTTATAGCGGTAATTTAGTTTTAACATAAAAATGTAGCATATCAAAATGCAATTAGGTTTGGAAAATGCAGAAGTGAATGTAGAAAGCAATATAAAAATATCATATGGTTTTGCGCCCTGGACTTCACTGCCTGATCTTCCTTAAAAAAGACAATCAGTAGCGCATAGAAAACTAAGGAAGTTCAACCAAAAACGTGTAAATAAGGAAGCGTATAAATAAGGAAGTTCGACAAATGTATTTATGAAAGATGTAACGAAAAAAAAGTCAAGTTTGTATCTGGTGTCTGGACCACATTGTTTGTTGCATTTTCTCTGTCCATTACACATGACTTACAAGATCACATCAATAATTTCCTTACCTTTTGTACATTGGACCACTTTTCTTGTTGCACTTTCTCTGTACATTACGCATAACCATGACTTTATTTACTATACTTTTTGTTGAACCACATTACTTGTTGCATTTCTTGTTTCATTTTCACTGTACATTACGCATAACTTACATGGTTTTATCAATAGTTTCCATACTTTTTTGTACAATGAACCACATTACTCGTTGCCTTTTGCTCTGTACATTACACATGACTTACATGATCATATCAATAGTTTCTATACTTTTTTGTACATTGGACCACACTACTTGTGCCGTTTTTTCTTTAACTATATTACACATCATTCACATGATCTGAGATCACATCAATAATTTCTAAATGTGAACATCGTTTAGCAAGGACACCCAAACCTACACACAGTCTGTATTCACTTGATTTTTACTGTTACTATTTTCATTAAAATCTTAAATGGCAGTCGACTCGTGGACTGGACCATATTGATATGTATAAGATGATTGAGCGTTCTGGCAACATGATCGCAATTATATATCAGTCATGTTTGACTGGTTTACATCGCCAATTTTACCAGATTGATGATTTAAGACATTCGTAGCCGTTAACGCTTTACCGTTAATTGCATTAACGTTTTGTATAAACTAATTAGCAGGAAAGCTTAGCAAATAGAGAGAATTGTATAGTCGGTGAGGTTAATAATGTAAGGACATGTACCTGGGAAAATTTAAACTAAGACTCATTTGCAGTGCGTCCACTGCATGTTTATATGGATTAAGCTGTGCAACTTGACACTGTATGTTTACTACATTTTTCCTTGTAGATATGGGATCAGTTGTGAGGAACATACTACTTCTTATCGTGCTTTGGATCTCATGTGTATATGGTGATAGTCGATATCTTATAAAAGAATATGGTCAGTTTTACACAACGATGATGTAATATAGTCTACATATATTGAAAAAATGCTCATAGTCTTAAATCCATTGTTTGTGGAATAATTTGCTTGATCGTCTTGTATTTTTGTCAAAGAGTTCCATTATATTGTGTTTCTCGAAGGTAGAAAAGAAATTGGACATAAATATCTTTAAAGATGTTGCTGTGTTATCAATACTCTGGCAGAAGTAGAAGATCTTAATTTCCTTTAGTAAAACCTGTATCAATCTGAATTATGCTGCACAAGGCGACAGACTAATAATTGAGAGGGTGTAGTATTCAGATGTGGATCTCGTACTTCATTGGGTTTTATCATTGGGGTATATTGAAAGACTGCAGTGATTACTGATTATGACATATAAATTTATGAACATGGCCCTTCACCTTCACTGACCAATCAGCAATCTTATTTGTTGAGAAATTCACATGACAATACAAGTAATTTCAATACAAGTATTATGGCACTGATTTACAAAATATACATAATATATAGTATAGTTTGCACTTCAAGGTATTTGGGAACGCGTAACAATTACTTCATGAAATATATATAATCCACACGTCATGAAATAATAACCGCGTTTTCTTCATTGATATAGCTGATGGAAAACATTTTTGGGGTAAAAATTTTACGGTCATGGAAGGCAAAAACGTTACATTTTCTTGTGGGTCTAAATCGCAAAAGCGTCATAAGGACATTTCATGGTTCGCATCTGTAGAAGAAAGAAAAATTGCTGGTACAATGTACAAACAGTTGGACATCATTAAGAGACGTTTTGGACAAAAAGCGGTCCTCATACGTGGTGGGCGATATTACAGCGGTCGACCTGAAGTAATTCCCAACACATTCGATATCAAGTTGAACAACATAAGTAGATACATAGCTGGGCGATACAAATGTTTGGTAATATCGTTGATGTGCAATACGACTTACGCAGAATTGACAGACCACATTGTCATTGTGAAATGTAAGATTTTTTTTTCTTTCGTCTTGTACTAATGCCGCGGTATCACTCCCTCCCCGTTTTCTGTTTTCGTGCAAAGATTTGGAAGGTGTGAACAAGATGTTTGGTTGTAGCATTCATTGGAAAATTCACTCCATTGGTCTTTTCAAAATAAAATTGCAGCCCGACCCAAAGTTTGTCATCAAAGTTTCAAAAGATTCTTACCCACTAAATTGTTAAACATTAACCAGGTCAGCACACCTCACAAGTCACAACGTGTAACAATTTCCTTTGAATTTAGGACAGTCTAGTCATTCTAGAATGAGATTGAAGGAGTTCTCTTTTCTTGTGTTTGTGAGATGAAGAAGGCGGGCATGGAAAAATCGTTTGTTACTTTCAAATACTTTTCAAAATATAAGTTATTTTCTCTTTTTGACATATTTAGCAAAACCAAAGATTGAGTCAAAAATGAAACCAACATGAAAATCAAGGCTCGTGAAAACTAAACATGGATTGTGTTTCATCTGGATTTCCAAAACCTTTGATCACGTGGCGTCGAGTGGATGGTCGGCCGTTGCCTGCCAGAAAACTTACGCATTCAACTGGCTTGTTATCCATATCTGATGTCGGACAGCAAGATCGGGGAGATTACGAGTGCACTTCAACTAATATATATGGCCGTGATACTAAAATATATTCTGTTGATATGACAGGTATGCCATTTTATGACTGTATATTTCAACCTGTATTGTAAGATTAATATGACTTAGTCTTGATATATGTACATGAACGTGTTTTGTATCCTGTCAGTTCCTCCACGATTCATATCAAATGGCAACTCGTTTGCGACTGTTGGAAAAGATGGAGTCGTTGCTTGTGTAGCTGTTGGTCTTCCAAGGCCAAAATTTTCATGGAGATGGATTGACGACAAGGGCTATGAGCAAAGGCTGTCGAGTGCAGAGGGTTTAGTAGGAAGATATCAAGTGAAAACGAAGCATTACTTTGAAAATAGCACGAGTTTTTTGATGATAAAGGACGTTGAAAAAGAAGATCTACGTTCTTACCGTTGCATGCTAGGCAAAGACGACAAACCACAAGAAATAAATTTGCGTGGTTACAGTAAGTGTAAAAATGCCACGTATATCATTCAATAGCGTAAACATTGAATATTAAGTATTTTAAGTCTGAAGGTACAAAGTATATATCATAAAATAAACACGCATTTTAACTAGACCTAATGTTTATTAACTCGCTTTTTTACTTCAATCATATTTCTTTGGTCACTTTGTAATGTATTGATTTAAGGCTCATATCATAAGATGCATCTCTTGTAAGAGTTAAAACACTTTAGCACTCATCTTCTCAATATTAAATGGTCTCTTAGCAATAATTTCTTGATGAGGTGCCTTATGCACATCTGAAAATTTGAGTTCCATATTTTCACTGTGTATTTTTTTGCGAAAGTTGACTTTGTTCAGGTAGCTACTGTCTATCTTTTGTCATGTACAGTGTTTAGAAATATTTAGAAAAATGATTCACTGGTCATTTTACCTAGTAACTATTGTCTGACTACCCAAATTTCAAAGGCCCTTTATTCTATATTTGCGTACTTTATTTGTCTAATTGATGCCTATACTTAAAATAATGTTTATAGGTAGACCATCTGCTCCCATAATCCAAACAGTGGTTTCGTACAGAAGAAAGATTACTTTGAGCTGGAAACTGGCTGAGAAAACGGTGGAAAGCCCGTAACGTCAATGACAATTCAATATAAGCCATACAACACTACAAGTCAGTTTCAAAAGATACCTATACTTATTGAAAAGCGCCCTGTCTACACAATAACCGGCTTACGACCAAACACAGAATACCATATACAGTTGATCGCTGTGAATGAAATCGGCCCGAGTGATCCAAGTGTTCCAGTAATAAAGAGAACTGGTTTAGGTAAAGATATTTTCATCACATTTGTGGAACTTTTTGCAAACTCTTTTTTTATTTTCATGTTGCTCATCTTGCTTTTTTAAAATTAGGAATAATTAATTGCTGAATGAGAGGGATATCTCAGGAATACGTTGATCATTCAGATAGTTGTATAGTCAGCGTTATCTTTTCAAGTGAACCTTGCAAACTTGAATAAAGTAGATATCCTGAATTTCTCAATTTTTATGCGACGTTAAACCTCTTTGTCTTTCTACAACTAATCGGCATGCGACTTACTTTCTCCATGTTGTTTTTTTTCTATCCATACAAGATCGGGGAGATTACGAGTGCACTTCAACTAATATATATTGCCGTGATTCTAAAATATATTCTGTTGATATGACAGGTATGCCATTTTATGACTGTATATTTCAACCTGTATTGTAAGATTAATATGACTTAGTCTTGATATATGTACATGAACGTGTTTTGTATCCTGTCAGTTCCTCCACGATTCATATCAAATGGCGACTCGTTTGCGACTGTTGGAAAAGATGGAGTCGTTGCTTGTGTAGCTGTTGGTCTTCCAAGGCCAAAATTTTCATGGAGATGGATTGACGACAAGGGCTATGAGCAAAGGCTGTCGAGTGCAGAGGGTTTAGTAGGAAGATATCAAGTGAAAACGAAGCATTACTTTGAAAATAGCACGAGTTTTTGATGATAAAGGACGTTGAAAAGAAGATCTACGTTCTTACAGTTGCATGCTAGGCAAAGACGACAAACCACAAGAAATAAATTTGCGTGGTTACAGTAAGTGTAAAAATGCCACGTATATCATTCAATAGCGTAAACATTGAATATTAAGTATTTTAAGTCTGAAGGTACAAAGTATATATCATAAAATAAACACGCATTTTAACTAGACCTAATGTTTATTAACTCGCTTTTTTACTTCAATCATATTTCTTTGGTCACTTTGTAATGTATTGATTTAAGGCTCATATCATAAGATGCATCTCTTGTAAGAGTTAAAACACTTTAGCACTCATCTTCTCAATATTAAATGGTCTCTTAGCAATAATTTCTTGATGAGGTGCCTTATGCACATCTGAAAATTTGAGTTCCATATTTTCACTGTGTATTTTTGCGAAAGTTGACTTTGTTCAGGTAGCTACTGTCTATCTTTTGTCATGTACAGTGTTTAGAAATATTTAGAAAAATGATTCACTGGTCATTTTACCTAGTAACTATTGTCTGACTACCCAAATTTCAAAGGCCCTTTATTCTATATTTGCGTACTTTATTTGTCTAATTGATGCCTATACTTAAAATAATGTTTATAGGTAGACCATCTGCTCCCATAATCCAAACAGTGGTTTCGTACAGAAGAAAGATTACTTTGAGCTGGAAACTGGCTGAGAAAAACGGTGGAAAGCCCGTAACGTCAATGACAATTCAATATAAGCCATACAACACTACAAGTCAGTTTCAAAAGATACCTATACTTATTGAAAAGCGCCCTGTCTACACAATAACCGGCTTACGACCAAACACAGAATACCATATACAGTTGATCGCTGTGAATGAAATCGGCCCGAGTGATCCAAGTGTTCCAGTAATAAAGAGAACTGGTTTAGGTAAAGATATTTTCATCACATTTGTGGAACTTTTTGCAAACTCTTTTTTTATTTTCATGTTGCTCATCTTGCTTTTTTAAAATTAGGAATAATTAATTGCTGAATGAGAGGGATATCTCAGGAATACGTTGATCATTCAGATAGTTGTATAGTCAGCGTTATCTTTTCAAGTGAACCTTGCAAACTTGAATAAAGTAGATATCCTGAATTTCTCAATTTTTATGCGACGTTAAACCTCTTTGTCTTTCTACAACTAATCGGCATGCGACTTACTTTCTCCATGTTGTTTTTTTTCTATCCATACAAATGTTTAACACACGCATGCTTCTCCTTTTTTTATAGCTTCACCTTCAACCGGCAAGGGTAAGGCCAAAGAAACGGATAGAATTGTGTTGTATGCTGGCGTGGCAGGAGGGTTTCTCGTGCTTATTATTGCCATTATCGTCGTGTGTATATTTATGAGGCAAATACAACGAAACAGCGCTAAAAAAGCGGCTGAAAATGCCCAGCGTTTGGTAGGAAAGAGTGAAACTGATGACACCGTAAGTATTTTTTGACAAATACTTCAAATTGACGTTTGAGCTATTAGCGCGAGGGCTTGAATTCCTGAATATTTTACGTTTTGCAGACGGCATTGATAAACTTCTTGCAGAAAGGTGACCGTCTATCGACTAACACTGGGTCAGGTACTGGGGTTGTTCTTCATTTGACTACTTCAAATAAATGGGAATTTCCAAGAGAGACTTGTGCTACAAAATGTACTTGGCTCCGGTGCTTTCGGTATTGTCATGAAAGCTGAAGCAGAAGGAATTAGCGGCTATAACTCTGGTAGCACGCCCGTTGCTGTAAAATTTGTTAAAGGTAATTTGGCCAGAAATGATTATTGTTTGTTCCATATGGCTTTTCACTGCTTATTCCGGTTGCATGGGGTGATTCTATGTTATAGTTGTTGATGCTGTTGTTGTTGTTGATGATGTTCTTATAGTTATTGATGTTGTTGTTGTTGTTGATGATGTTGTTGTTGTTATTGATGATGTTCTTATAATTGTTGATGTTGTTGTTGATGATGTTGTTGTTGATATTGGTGATGGTGATGTTGTTGATGATGTTGTTATAGTTGTTGATGTTGTTGTTGTTGTTGATGATGTTGTTGTTGATATTGGTGATGGTGATGTTGTTGATGTTGTTTTAGTTGTTGATGTTGTTGATCACTTGATCTTATATTACTTTAGCTTGGTAGTGATTATCTTTGATGTTTTTGTATTGATAATATTATGGAGTGACTGTGTTTGTAATAGTTGTTATAACAGTTTTTACATAATATTGCTATAGAAATCTAGCATCCATCTCAGTTATAATTTGCTTGCAGAAAATGAAAGTGCATCTTCGAAAAAAGACCTCATTGCTGAACTGGAGTTGTTGAAGCTGATTGAACCTCATAAAAATGTTATCAATTTGATGGGCTGCTGTACAAAATCAGGTATTATACATTTGTTCATACTTTAGTGTATTCCACCACAAACGAAATCGACTCGTTTTCTGTTTTTTCAGAACCGTTGATGGTCATTGTCGAATTTTGTGCCTATGGTGACCTTCAAAGCTTTCTTCGAGCTAGTCGTGGTGTAAGAGATCAGTATTACTTGGATTGTTATAAGCGTCCGTCATCAAGATTGACTTCGAATGAGTTGCTCATGTTTGGTACTCAGATTGCCAGAGGAATGGCGCACCTCGCAAATTTAAAGGTGTGTGGAAACTCCTATGAATACTTGCAGAAGATGGAGCATTGAAGAATTTACTTATTGAAAACGTATAAATTGTGCTTTCTCGAAATCGCCATTTCAGACCGAGAAAATAGATTGCGGGCCATGAGTAACCAAGAAATAATATTTGCACATTATCATCTACACAACTTTTTCTAATCAACGAAGTTCTCAGGTTTCTCAGTACCCACCGACCCCCACTTCACACACCCCACCTCTCATATCCCTACCTCTCACATACACCTCTCACACACCCCATCTCTCACACCCCAACGTCCCACCTCTGACACACCTACTTCTGACACACCCCACCCCACATGCCCCAACCCCGTATATTATCTGTGGTAATATCAGATAGACGGATAACCATCATAAGTGAGCTCAGTCTCTTCCCCGTCTATTTCTCCGAAGTCCGCCTTCCGAAATCAATGGAATGTTTTTCTTCTGCAGGTTATCCACAGAGATTTGGCGGCAAGAAATATATTGGTTGATGAAAACAAAATTTGCAAAGTTTCAGACTTTGGATTCGCACGAGACATATTCGTCGAAGATCATTATACTCGTAAAACAGCGGTTCGTATTTTATTGAGAAAGTTACAACACACATTTCGTATATGTTTAGTCTTTTTTCGGGCGAATTATAGCCTTTTATTTAAAAAAATCGTATAGTTTGTTCCTTTAGCCAATATAAGATAATATAAAATACAACAACATATTATAAGATGCATTTGAATTTCAAAAAGATGCAGTGGTACAATTGCATTCTTTTGAAATTCACATCAGTTGCATTATTGTTTAAAATGATGCGAATATAAAATTGGGCTGTTGTGATTTATTTTAACTGTAATGATGGATCTGCCACTGATTTTTTAAAACATAAAGGCCTATTATAATGATGCTGATTTTGCTTTATTCTTCGACCAACGCACTGATTATGAAAAGGAGTTTTCTCTATGTAATTCAGCTCTTATGTTCGTTTCTGGTGTACGATAGTAAAGATATACAAAGGGGCTTTTCCCCAGTAAAATGAACTGAATGATCTTATTTCAAAAGGGAGTTGAGAACTATTGTAAAATCAACTTCGATTTTGTTCATAGAAGTTTATTAATCTACCTCCAGCATAAAAATTTTGGCAATTTACGGGTTTTAAAAAAATAACACTCGTGACAAAAATTTGCCATTCATTGTAGATCACAAACTGCTTTCTGATAGACTATAGTGTAATTGAAATAACTCATCCAGTTGATTGACATATCAGTCACTTATTAAGTCCAACGTGAAATTCTCCTATCTCTCTCGTGTGGTGCGCTAACCAAGTTATTGAAAATTGCATCAACTGCGTGGTTGCTATAGCTCTTATATACCGTTGTTCGAATGCTGCTGTAATGCACTTATTTTGATTTGCGAAAGTAAAATATAGTTGACTAATGGTGAATGATTTTTTAAGGGTGGACGATTCCCTATCAAATGGATGGCTATTGAATCCTTATTAGATGGAATTTCGACAACAAAGAGCGATGTGTATGCCTATTTTTACATTTTTTACGCTGTCATTTTCATTTGTATTGTCATAGATTTTAACGTTGTTCAAAATCTATTTATTCAGATGGTCTTTTGCTATCGTGTTATGGGAAATCATTACTCTCGGTACTGCCAATTATAAATTAAAATATTGTTATAACATTTTCAAAATATATAGTTGTGGCGTGGCCTACCATACTATGCAAATTTTTTACAGTTCACTTGCTGCAAAAAAAGATTTTGTGGAGGAAAGATGGCCAAGGCTACTAAAAGTCCAAACATCCACATCATTCCTTTCTTTCCAAATCCATATAGTCAACACAAAAAAATTTGCACAGCGTGAAAAATTTAGCAAACTTTTACGCTATTAGACTACTGCTGCTTTATCCAACAATAAGCTTTTACAATGTACTTTGAAAAATTTTACATGTGCCTGCGATTGCATTGGCTTGACCTCTTTTTGAACCTCGTGTATTTCATACATTTGCAGGTGCATCTCCTTATCCTGGTATGAACTCGCAAGAAGTTGTCAGCTTTTTACAGAATGGAATGAGAATGGACAAACCCAAGCATTGCAGTGACGAATTGTATGAAAACTTTTCCATTTGGCTTCTTGTTTTTCTATTGTCCATCGCTGTTGCAAATCTTAGATTTTTCTTCTTGATGTTTTAACTTCTATCCGTATTTGTGATTTAATATTTTATGTGCGAAGAAAGAAAACTCAAATACATCGTCGATGGTTGTTGCTTTGCTTCACGATTTTTTACGCTTCTTTAACTAGGTATAACCTTTTGATGGATTGCTGGCATATCGCACCTCATCGTAGACCAAACTTTGAAATGCTCGCCCGTTACTTGGACCGAATGTGTAACGACGATTTTGTAAGTAAACATTTACCTGTTCACATATCAATTTATAAAATAAAACAATAAAACGCGTGCGGTGATTGGTCTAGAGCTGTGTTTGCATTATCTTGTGCAAAACACATCTGAGTTCAACCAATCAAATCAATCATAACAATCAATCAGTCAAAGAGAATTTGCAAATCGATCATGAATACATTTTACAGGAAAAATTAAAACGTTTACTTTAAATTTGTCTGTTTCGAACTACCTCGGAGACGTTTGTGAGAACTCTCGAGCAGCTCTTGCACTGTTCTGCTTTCGAGTTCTTCCAAAAGTCTCCTCGGTTTGCATAAGCCTGTGCAAACACAGTAAACATCTTTTATTTCTTAAATGAGAGAGGAATAGGATGCAAAAACCAATTTCATTGAAACTCAACTCCTGGTCCGAGGAATCGATCATGGCTTTGGCCTTTGTTCAAATATTTTTATGGACATTGGAGTGCATCGTTATTATCATTAGCTTAAGAGCTGTGACAAAATGTCGAAATTTCGTTTTTTATTAATTCATATTTTATTCTATTGAATGATTAAACATAATTTATACAATTAATAAATTTCTTGCATCTCAAAGACCCAGATATGCCCATTAAAGTATGTTTGCAGCAGACGAACATATGTCAATAATGCATGTCTTCTTTTTTAACAGGAATACATCAACATGAGAACATACGATGATCATTTATACATCAATTTTGATGGCAATACTGTGTCAGAGGGAAGTAAAAGCGGATCTTTAACAAAGCAAAATGATTATATAAAGGATGGTGAGAATGAGAAAGAGGCTTTAATGAAAGATAATTTGTCATAAAGTAGTCTTTTAGTTTCATAAATCAACTTATTCGTCGTCGGTAACGAAAATTATGCAAATTTTCTGTTTAATTACTCCAATGACGAAACTGAAACTAGGAATTTAGATGTCGGCCCCGTGATCAGGTGTACAATTAGCGAAGAGAAGTTGTATCAAGAAACATTCTACGTTCTGAGGGCCCGATGATTTTAAACAAGCACTTCTTAATTTCTATTTTATAAATTAGCACAACTGCATTGATCTTAAGATAATTTTATGTAACCAGTCCACTTACACTGTTTACTTCCACGCGGAATTGCTTTTAGGAGGTATGGGTCGGGACGGAAAGGGCATATTGTGCACTCTGTTGTTCACATCAATTAATTCAAATGCCCATAAGCTTTGGGGTTAGCGCAAATATCTCTTGCCAGAAGATAAGATTCGATATGGCACGTCATTTTACAAATATTAATACTACCATTGAAACCACTGTGAAAATTATAAGTTTTAAATGCGTTATTCAATTGATATGTTCATCCCCCAACTATCAGCCATAGTTATTTAATGGAATTTTTTAGCTTTTAATGAATGAATATGTTCGGCATGTATGCAAAGTATTTTTCTATTTTTGTAATATAATGATTTTTACCCAATAAATTTTTATATTTTATTAATGCATCCCGATATCGTAACATCAGCTTGGCACAGAATTTCGGAACTCTGCCGTATCGCTAAAAGACCGAGTATAGCTATATAAAGAGTTGAGCAAGGTTTTTATCGTCGTTAAAAAAATGTCGAATTCTCATAATTCATTCAAAAATTGTGCACTAAATCTGAAGACAAGATTCTATAAAAGGGATTGAATGACAAACAACTGAAACGTGAAAGCGTTCATAACAGAAAGAAAATAGGCCAAAATAAAATTTTACAAAGCCAAGATAGAACTGCAAACTTAACTTTTAAAATCTGATTGGTTGGACTTATCTTTGCGGGATGGACTAGTGATATTTCTGTTCAGAAACGTAATTCAAATTCGATCCTTTGCTGGTCATAAATTACGTAATGAACGACCGTAATTTTTTTGTTATCTTCAAAGACCAATTATCATTTATCATCCTATGCAAACATGTCGAAATTAGCATTTTTACCTCTGTGTCAGGTTCACTAAAGAAAAACCAATTAATAACAAAGATGTCAAAAACTAACATTCATTTATTAACTATTTATGAATCTCATTTACAAACAATTGTGTAGAATGTTACACAGTTGGTCAGATTGTTTCGATGGCTGTTGACTACCAGCGAGGACCCTATCGTAAAATTTTTTGAAAGACTTCTTTGTGATAACCGAATCTACATAAACATTGATAATGTAACCCGCATGAGGATACCAACATTTAATTCTGTTTGTAGTCACAAAGGAACCAAACAAAGCTGGTTTTCAAATCGCTGGTACTTAATTCCCAGAGCTGAGGTGAAAGGATGCGATTTTGACCAAGACTTTTCTGCATGCTACAAACAACATGACATTCTTTGTCGCCATATTTAGCGTGCAGGCTGTTCATAGTGTTTCAAAACTACGGCCGTTCATTCAGTAACTTACACACAATAAGCGCTTCGAATTTGGATATGCTTTTTCTGAGACACGCTCTACCATAAAAAGTGTAACAAGGCACTTTCCATTTGGAAAGTTAGAATTATCTAGGAGAGCGAAATGGCTAATACTTGTAAAAGAGATTTTACGGCTTCAAGATACATCAACTTCAGTCTTCAAATACGTGTAAAGGTATGTGATAAATGGATGAACTCTAAGCAACGCCAGAGTAGTTATAGCTTTTCAACACAGCATTAGTCAAGTAAGGTAAGTAAAGGTTATTTGAATTGCGTATAATGGAGCTTTATCTTAGATGGATTGTATGTGGCATTATTTTGACATGAGGTTATCCTCATCCTGTGATTTTGAGATTATGGGATAAGTGCCTTCATCCTTCAATCCACAATTTACCAAACGAAAAAGGAAGCAAACCCAAACGGAGATAGATAAAACTGCTTCCTTATTGGGGGTTGAAGTAATAATGAAGTCGACAAAACGACAAAACAAATTGATTTTATGCTGGCATCTTCAACCACCAAGGTAGAAATTTATGCAACAATTATGAAGTCATATTGACCAGAATTTTGAACTTTATAACAAGAAATTCAAAAAAAGTGTCTTATATGCTCAAACTTGAACTAACAAAGCATGACAAAGCACTTCTGGACTGGAATGGTTTAAATTATGCAACAATTTGCCATTCCATTTCACTTCTACTACCGCTGACCAATGCATAAAGCAGGCTTGAATTTGTACGTACGCTGACTGTATTTTGTAATATGGTAACAGCGACCTATTAAAACCCATTTTATTAGCTGCTCACGAACGCAATTAACTCAATTTGCAATCGACGTTTACATGAACTTCCGGAAACGTCGATTCGGTTGCAGCGTTTTTTTATCACCAAGTGCAAGCATCTTTCAGTGTGGGACGACGCGTTTCGGATTGGAAGTTAAAATTTATGTTTTTCTCAGGTGTTTCTGATAGGCACATTACTTGTAACATTTTTGGCCACGTCATCTTGAGGTTAGTTCCAGTAAATTTACATAAAACGTCTGTTGTTTGTGGTCTTTTATTTCTCATCTTTAATGCGCAAATTTCAACATAAAACGTTAAAGCGCCTTTTTGGTTATTTATCGATCGTAATCGAAGTATCGATCACTTTGCAAATATAATACAATGCGACAAAAATATCAAGAAACTTGTTGCCAGAATCAATTGCACGTTTAATGTTTTGCAGTTACCGAAGCATATTGCTATTTAAAGTCAATTCTAAATAATGCATTTCATGATGTCAACACATTTCGAAATCATCAACGCAACTCATTCTACCAAGCTCTCTAGATGCCACGATTGCAAATCGGGATTTTGTAACTAGTTCAAGCGAGTTTCTATAGCAGTTGGGAGTTTTTCGTTCTTTTTTATTGTGGAGAACGAGAAATTTGAGATTTATTTGGGAAATTTTTTTGAGAAAACTGTGTGACTAATAAATGAATTTAAAGTGCTACTGAAGTGAAATTTTCATATTTCGTTTTTCGATACAAACGTTTTCTCTGTATTTTACTGATCATTTTGAGCTATCGCCCACTGAATTTAGTGGATGGGAACGCATCGAACTTTGCGTTCAAACATGGCATATTTGATTGTTTTGATGCGAATTTGACTTTGCGTGCGTGACGTCATTTAAAGGACGGAAGTTCAATTTTAAAGCTCTTAGTACATAAAAATTATATACGAACAAGCATATTTCCAACTGGAATTTTACATATTTTATAACTTCTCTTCGCAAAAATTGCGTATATTTAGTGACAAATGAGCAACACGCATAGGTAAGCAACATTTACAATCGATTAGAGTTTTATAAACTTCTTGAATTAACTTATATTTCTCAATAAACTGGGTGCCGCATCCTTCACTATGTCTGCGGTTTTAACACACACGCAATGTTATCAGAAACTAACTGTAACGCGCTTATTTCCAATCATCCAATGTATACTACTTTTATAAACTTCTGGATTAGACTTATCATTCTTATCATATGGGTGTCGCATCCTTGACGTAGTCTATGGTTTTAAAACCCATGCAATATTATCACAACGCACATAATATAAGGAGAATAATTTTTTTATTAAGTTAGTCAAACGTAACGATACACCGCAAGTTAAAATATGGCGAGTAGGCAAAATTCTGCAAAAAAATCGTCGAGGAGGACAATATTGTGTTGCTGGTTGGCCCAACGGAAAAAGTTGTACAAACAGTCAACACACAGAGGGTGTCTCAGTACATCGTTTCCCCATGAATGACAAGGAGAGGCTGAGTAAATGGACAAAATTTGTTAGGAGACATAGGCCAAAATTCGTTCCTCAGCAGTACTCTGTGCTATGTTCAATACATTTCGCAGATTCTGCATTCACCGTGAACGCAACAGTTGCAAAATCGCTAAACATGAGACGACAATTGCGCTCTGATGCTGTTCCAACCATAGACTCTGTAAAAGGCATTTCAATCCAAGGTGATAAGAGCAATCGCGACCGCAGAGTTGTAAGTACAAAATTATACAAGTTAAATTACACAAGTTTGTATGCACAACCTGGAAATGCATGTAAATGTGTCTTATTATCTTCAACAGGTGTTGCGTGAAGTAACACGAAGTGTAAAAGATGTTGAACCTGCTGTTAAACATACTGATGATGAAGGGAATTCTGACGAGTGTAACACGACAGAAAGCGTTGATAGTGAACCAGTTAGAGAGGATTCACCAGAACCGCTGCCAAAACAAGAGCAAGTTGAAATCCAACGGCATTTGGATAGGAAACAACTATCTTCAACACCATTGTTTCCCACATGTAAGTTGTTCATGCTACCATGTATAATAGGTATGGCCAGTGCATTCTAAAAGTAAACACATTAAATTGTTATTTATAGATCAACAGCAAGATGTACTGCAAGCAAAAGGTTTAGACAAAGAAAAACAAGCTGCTTCAACAGGTCCTTCAGATCCAAAAAAAACGTGCTTATGCAAAAATTGTGGACAGCCAATGAAAGGACATCCAAAAAATCATTGTCCACAAGAATTACTTGACAAATATTCTTAGCAGGCCAACTTTAAAGTTAGTTATAAAATAATATACTATGCTACAAAAAATGTTTCCTACTTCTATCAGTTTCTTTCCTGTGCTGACTTGTAGCCAGCATGTTCTTGGCCTAGGGGATTTCGTAATGGAAATCGTTTTCGGATGTCTGTGTAGATACATGGAGCTAATGGTCTAGAATTTTCCCAACCAAGGCATCCACACAGCCATCGAATGACCCAACGGTATGCAACTGCTCTCAAGTATCTATGAGAAATTCAAAATAGTAATTTCTATTTGATTATTTATTTTGACTTCACACAACAAAATTGTGAAGCATCACAGCACAATAATGAACCACATAAAGGTAAAAGTAGAGATACATGGCAAGATATTAATCATTCGTTACAAAACAAAATTAGAAATCAAAATGTACTAACTCATTTTCATGTATTCTACGACACTTGTATGACCTTCCATCTTGGTCTCTTAGAAGTGAGCCAACATTCTTCAAGACTGTAGCATGTGTCATAATCGTGTACTCTTCGTGAAGAGTAACACAGCTAATTTTTTCAATGCTACCATCGAATACCAGTTTATGTAAAGTAGGCCCAACCTCTAGACAACAACGGTATTCAATGGCATCTGTCAGCAGTTGAGTACGACACAAGCTACATGCACACCTATAAAAAAGTGGTTTGTTATCATATTTATGCACCACGACATAAGGACAAAACAACATGTTTAATTCATGGTTTAATTTCTTCTAGAGTTCTAATAACATTTATCAACTTACCACTTATCTAACTGAACGGTTCCTTCGAACCTCGCTTCCAATGTTCGAGGTTCTAAGCCATCTGCGTCTTCTTCGACCGACACAAAATTCTCTCCGACTGCGTTCGCAAGAGGTTCATTTTCGTAAGGATTTACAACTGAATTAGCCACAATTGTATCCTCATCGCCGGAATTCGAAAGTAAATTTTCATTTGCTATATCTGAGTTTTCAGTATCCGAACTGCGTTCGCTTTCACTGCTTGAAGAACTCATATTTTATTGTGTATATGTGTTAAAAATCTAACAAAATACTAGTAAATCAATGCTCATACTTCGACTTCCGTCCTTTTAATTACGTCACATCCGTATAATATTTCAGGAGTAAAAATTCGCACGCGTAACCCAACTTTGAGCAAAAATTTATTGATGATCCCGTGCTTCAATATGCATAAAAATTATACCAAAGTGATCAGGAAAGATAGAACTATTTGATTATAGGAAAAAATCGATACCCAAAATTTCACTTCAGTAGCACTTTAAGAAAAAATACACCAAGGATTCTTTACTTCGTTTGTTTTAATTTACAAGTATTCAAACCATGAACCTCCAACACAGACTGATAGGGAACAAAGAGCAGGCTACTTCAATGAAATTTTTTGTGACGCAAATCAACTTCTTTATTATGTGATTACCATAATACTTGATACCATGCCATACCACAAGTGCTCGGGTGGATTTAAAATATGGCATGTTTGATAATCTCACTAAACTGTCTTAAACTTATTGATAATAATCTTTACTGAAATAGACTTTTTCACCAAATTGGCTTTTGAAAAACGATCGCAAAAAATATTATAATCATTAAGAGTGCAAGCCATAGTACAATTTACGGCATGTTTAAACAAACAAATTATTTACAGTTTATTGCAATTAAAAACTATCAGCATTTGATTTTTGCTCAATGTAAAATCATATTAACTGCCTAAAACGCAGTTCTCTGCTGACCTGGTAGACCCCCATCGTCTTTTGGCACTGGCTCGTTCAGCCACTCAGCTATAAGGAAAAGATTTTCTTTTAATTTCTTCCACAATTCTTGGGATGATAAGCCTTAACAATAATCAGCTTATTCATCGCGGCATCAAGCTGGGTAAATTGTAAATTAGACATCCTAATATTTTTGGATTCTTTCAATAACATCAAATTTAAAGAAAAACCTTGAAAGATGAATAGCAGAACTCCTTATTCAAAATGTCAAAAACGTTGCTATGTCTAAAAACAACGGTCCCATATCTTAGCTACCCTTACTGTATTCAAATATTCAGTGTGTTGCTATTTTAAACATCCGATTAAGAGGAGGGGATGTGATTTTTATGCGATCCACTAGTCTTATGAAAGAGGAGCTGGCGAAGGACAAATCTACGTCAGTGATATGAAACTGAGATATAGTTTGGGTGTAGGAGTTCGAGAATGAATAGGTTTTAGGTTTATTACGAATTGTTAACTAGTAGCCTAGCGATGAATACGAAAAGTTGATGTGTATAATTAAAGCATTTTATAGCGGTAATTTAGTTTTAACATAAAAATGTAGCATATCAAAATGCAATTAGGTTTGGAAAATGTAGAAGTGAATGTAGAAAGCAATATAAAAATATCATATGGTTTTGCGCCCTGGATTTCACTGCCTGATCTTCCTTAAAAAAGACAATCAGTAGCGCATAGAAAACTAAGGAAGTTCAAGTCAAGTTTGTATCTGGTGTCTGGACCACATTGTTTGTTGCATTTTCTCTGTCCATTACACATGACTTACAAGATCACATCAATAATTTCCTTACCTTTTTGTACATTGGACCACTTTTCTTGTTGCACTTTCTCTGTACATTACGCATAACTTACATGACTTTATTAATAGTTTCTATACTTTTTTGTACAATGAACCACATTACTCGTTGCATTTTCTTGTTGCATTTTCTCTGTACATTACGCATAACTTACATGGTTTTATCAATAGTTTCCATACTTTTTTGTACAATGAACCACATTACTCGTTGCCTTTTGCTCTGTACATTACACATGACTTACATGATCATATCAATAGTTTCTATACTTTTTTGTACATTGGACCACACTACTTGTGCCGTTTTCTCTTTAACTATATTACACATCATTCACATGATCTGAGATCACATCAATAATTTCTAAATGTGAACATCGTTTAGCAAGGACACCCAAACCTACACACAGTCTGTATTCACTTGATTTTTACTGTTACTATTTTCATTAAAATCTTAAATGGCAGTCGACTCGTGGACTGGACCATATTGATATGTATAAGATGATTGAGCGTTCTGGCAACATGATCGCAATTATATATCAGTCATGTTTGACTGGTTTACATCGCCAATTTTACCAGATTGATGATTTAAGACATTCGTAGCCGTTAACGCTTTACCGTTAATTGCATTAACGTTTTGTATAAACTAATTAGCAGGAAAGCTTAGCAAATAGAGAGAATTGTATAGTCGGTGAGGTTAATAATGTAAGGACATGTACCTGGGAAAATTTAAACTAAGACTCATTTGCAGTGCGTCCACTGCATGTTTATATGGATTAAGCTGTGCAACTTGACACTGTATGTTTACTACATTTTTCCTTGTAGATATGGGATCAGTTGTGAGGAACATACTACTTCTTATCGTGCTTTGGATCTCATGTGTATATGGTGATAGTCGATATCTTATAAAAGAATATGGTCAGTTTTACACAACGATGATGTAATATAGTCTACATATATTGAAAAAATGCTCATAGTCTTAAATCCATTGTTTGTGGAATAATTTGCTTGATCGTCTTGTATTTTTGTCAAAGAGTTCCATTATATTGTGTTTCTCGAAGGTAGAAAAGAAATTGGACATAAATATCTTTAAAGATGTTGCTGTGTTATCAATACTCTGGCAGAAGTAGAAGATCTTAATTTCCTTTAGTAAAACCTGTATCAATCTGAATTATGCTGCACAAGGCGACAGACTAATAATTGAGAGGGTGTAGTATTCAGATGTGGATCTCGTACTTCATTGGGTTTTATCATTGGGGTATATTGAAAGACTGCAGTGATTACTGATTATGACATATAAATTTATGAACATGGCCCTTCACCTTCACTGACCAATCAGCAATCTTATTTGTTGAGAAATTCACATGACAATACAAGTAATTTCAATACAAGTATTATGGCACTGATTTACAAAATATACATAATATATAGTATAGTTTGCACTTCAAGGTATTTGGGAACGCGTAACAATTACTTCATGAAATATATATAATCCACACGTCATGAAATAATAACCGCGTTTTCTTCATTGATATAGCTGATGGAAAACATTTTTGGGGTAAAAATTTTACGGTCATGGAAGGCAAAAACGTTACATTTTCTTGTGGGTCTAAATCGCAAAAGCGTCATAAGGACATTTCATGGTTCGCATCTGTAGAAGAAAGAAAAATTGCTGGTACAATGTACAAACAGTTGGACATCATTAAGAGACGTTTTGGACAAAAAGCGGTCCTCATACGTGGTGGGCGATATTACAGCGGTCGACCTGAAGTAATTCCCAACACATTCGATATCAAGTTGAACAACATAAGTAGATACATAGCTGGGCGATACAAATGTTTGGTAATATCGTTGATGCGCAATACGACTTACGCAGAATTGACAGACCACATTGTCATTGTGAAATGTAAGATTTTTTTTTCTTTCGTCTTGTACTAATGCCGCGGTATCACTCCCCTCCCCGTTTTCTGTTTTTCGTGCAAAGATTTGGAAGGTGTGAACAAGATGTTTGGTTGTAGCATTCATTGGAAAATTCACTCCATTGGTCTTTTTCAAAATAAAAAATTGCAGCCCGACCCAAAGTTTGTCATCAAAAGTTTCAAAAGATTCTTACCCACTAAATTGTTAAACATTAACCAGGTCAGCACACCTCACAAGTCACAACGTGTAACAATTTCCTTTGAAGTTAGGACAGTCTAGTCATTCTAGAATGAGATTGAAGGAGTTCTCTTTTCTTGTGTTTGTGAGATGAAGAGAAGGCGGGCATGGAAAAAATCGTTTGTTACTTTCAAATACTTTTCAAAATATAAGTTATTTTCTCTTTTTTGACATATTTAGCAAAACCAAAGATTGAGTCAAAAAATGAAACCAACATGAAAATCAAGGCTCGTGAAAAACTAAACATGGATTGTGTTTCATCTGGATTTCCAAAACCTTTGATCACGTGGCGTCGAGTGGATGGTCGGCCGTTGCCTGCCAGAAAACTTACGCATTCAACTGGCTTGTTATCCATATCTGATGTCGGACAGCAAGATCGGGGAGATTACGAGTGCACTTCAACTAATATATATGGCCGTGATACTAAAATATATTCTGTTGATATGACAGGTATGCCATTTTATGACTGTATATTTCAACCTGTATTGTAAGATTAATATGACTTAGTCTTGATATATGTACATGAACGTGTTTTGTATCCTGTCAGTTCCTCCACGATTCATATCAAATGGCAACTCGTTTGCGACTGTTGGAAAAGATGGAGTCGTTGCTTGTGTAGCTGTTGGTCTTCCAAGGCCAAAATTTTCATGGAGATGGATTGACGACAAGGGCTATGAGCAAAGGCTGTCGAGTGCAGAGGGTTTAGTAGGAAGATATCAAGTGAAAACGAAGCATTACTTTGAAAATAGCACGAGTTTTTTGATGATAAAGGACGTTGAAAAAGAAGATCTACGTTCTTACCGTTGCATGCTAGGCAAAGACGACAAACCACAAGAAATAAATTTGCGTGGTTACAGTAAGTGTAAAAATGCCACGTATATCATTCAATAGCGTAAACATTGAATATTAAGTATTTTAAGTCTGAAGGTACAAAGTATATATCATAAAATAAACACGCATTTTAACTAGACCTAATGTTTATTAACTCGCTTTTTTACTTCAATCATATTTCTTTGGTCACTTTGTAATGTATTGATTTAAGGCTCATATCATAAGATGCATCTCTTGTAAGAGTTAAAACACTTTAGCACTCATCTTCTCAATATTAAATGGTCTCTTAGCAATAATTTCTTGATGAGGTGCCTTATGCACATCTGAAAATTTGAGTTCCATATTTTCACTGTGTATTTTTTTGCGAAAGTTGACTTTGTTCAGGTAGCTACTGTCTATCTTTTGTCATGTACAGTGTTTAGAAATATTTAGAAAAATGATTCACTGGTCATTTTACCTAGTAACTATTGTCTGACTACCCAAATTTCAAAGGCCCTTTATTCTATATTTGCGTACTTTATTTGTCTAATTGATGCCTATACTTAAAATAATGTTTATAGGTAGACCATCTGCTCCCATAATCCAAACAGTGGTTTCGTACAGAAGAAAGATTACTTTGAGCTGGAAACTGGCTGAGAAAAACGGTGGAAAGCCCGTAACGTCAATGACAATTCAATATAAGCCATACAACACTACAAGTCAGTTTCAAAAGATACCTATACTTATTGAAAAGCGCCCTGTCTACACAATAACCGGCTTACGACCAAACACAGAATACCATATACAGTTGATCGCTGTGAATGAAATCGGCCCGAGTGATCCAAGTGTTCCAGTAATAAAGAGAACTGGTTTAGGTAAAGATATTTTCATCACATTTGTGGAACTTTTGCAAACTCTTTTTATTTTCATGTTGCTCATCTTGCTTTTTTAAAATTAGGAATAATTAATTGCTGAATGAGAGGGATATCTCAGGAATACGTTGATCATTCAGATAGTTGTATAGTCAGCGTTATCTTTTCAAGTGAACCTTGCAAACTTGAATAAAGTAGATATCCTGAATTTCTCAATTTTTATGCGACGTTAAACCTTTTTGTCTTTCTACAACTAATCGGCATGCGACTTACTTTCTCCATGTTGTTTTTTTTCTATCCATACAAGATCGGGGAGATTACGAGTGCACTTCAACTAATATATATTGCCGTGATTCTAAAATATATTCTGTTGATATGACAGGTATGCCATTTTATGACTGTATATTTCAACCTGTATTGTAAGATTAATATGACTTAGTCTTGATATATGTACATGAACGTGTTTTGTATCCTGTCAGTTCCTCCACGATTCATATCAAATGGCGACTCGTTTGCGACTGTTGGAAAAGATGGAGTCGTTGCTTGTGTAGCTGTTGGTCTTCCAAGGCCAAAATTTTCATGGAGATGGATTGACGACAAGGGCTATGAGCAAAGGCTGTCGAGTGCAGAGGGTTTAGTAGGAAGATATCAAGTGAAAACGAAGCATTACTTTGAAAATAGCACGAGTTTTTTGATGATAAAGGACGTTGAAAAGAAGATCTACGTTCTTACCGTTGCATGCTAGGCAAAGACGACAAACCACAAGAAATAAATTTGCGTGGTTACAGTAAGTGTAAAAATGCCACGTATATCATTCAATAGCGTAAACATTGAATATTAAGTATTTTAAGTCTGAAGGTACAAAGTATATATCATAAAATAAACACGCATTTTAACTAGACCTAATGTTTATTAACTCGCTTTTTTACTTCAATCATATTTCTTTGGTCACTTTGTAATGTATTGATTTAAGGCTCATATCATAAGATGCATCTCTTGTAAGAGTTAAAACACTTTAGCACTCATCTTCTCAATATTAAATGGTCTCTTAGCAATAATTTCTTGATGAGGTGCCTTATGCACATCTGAAAATTTGAGTTCCATATTTTCACTGTGTATTTTTGCGAAAGTTGACTTTGTTCAGGTAGCTACTGTCTATCTTTTGTCATGTACAGTGTTTAGAAATATTTAGAAAAATGATTCACTGGTCATTTTACCTAGTAACTATTGTCTGACTACCCAAATTTCAAAGGCCCTTTATTCTATATTTGCGTACTTTATTTGTCTAATTGATGCCTATACTTAAAATAATGTTTATAGGTAGACCATCTGCTCCCATAATCCAAACAGTGGTTTCGTACAGAAGAAAGATTACTTTGAGCTGGAAACTGGCTGAGAAAAACGGTGGAAAGCCCGTAACGTCAATGACAATTCAATATAAGCCATACAACACTACAAGTCAGTTTCAAAAGATACCTATACTTATTGAAAAGCGCCCTGTCTACACAATAACCGGCTTACGACCAAACACAGAATACCATATACAGTTGATCGCTGTGAATGAAATCGGCCCGAGTGATCCAAGTGTTCCAGTAATAAAGAGAACTGGTTTAGGTAAAGATATTTTCATCACATTTGTGGAACTTTTTGCAAACTCTTTTTTTATTTTCATGTTGCTCATCTTGCTTTTTTAAAATTAGGAATAATTAATTGCTGAATGAGAGGGATATCTCAGGAATACGTTGATCATTCAGATAGTTGTATAGTCAGCGTTATCTTTTCAAGTGAACCTTGCAAACTTGAATAAAGTAGATATCCTGAATTTCTCAATTTTTATGCGACGTTAAACCTTTTAGTCTTTCTACAACTAATCGGCATGCGACTTACTTTCTCCATGTTGTTTTTTTTCTATCCATACAAATGTTTAACACACGCATGCTTCTCCTTTTTCTATAGCTTCACCTTCAACCGGCAAGGGTAAGGCCAAAGAAACGGATAGAATTGTGTTGTATGCTGGCGTGGCAGGAGGGTTTCTCGTGCTTATTATTGCCATTATCGTCGTGTGTATATTTATGAGGCAAATACAACGAAACAGCGCTAAAAAAGCGGCTGAAAATGCCCAGCGTTTGGTAGGAAAGAGTGAAACTGATGACACCGTAAGTATTTTTTGACAAATACTTCAAATTGACGTTTGAGCTATTAGCGCGAGGGCTTGAATTCCTGAATATTTTACGTTTTGCAGACGGCATTGATAAACTTCTTGCAGAAAGGTGACCGTCTATCGACTAACACTGGGTCAGGTACTGGGGTTGTTCTTCATTTGACTACTTCAAATAAATGGGAATTTCCAAGAGAGAGACTTGTGCTACAAAATGTACTTGGCTCCGGTGCTTTCGGTATTGTCATGAAAGCTGAAGCAGAAGGAATTAGCGGCTATAACTCTGGTAGCACGCCCGTTGCTGTAAAATTTGTTAAAGGTAATTTGGCCAGAAATGATTATTGTTTGTTCCATATGGCTTTTCACTGCTTATTCCGGTTGCATGGGGTGATTCTATGTTATAGTTGTTGATGCTGTTGTTGTTGTTGATGATGTTCTTATAGTTATTGATGTTGTTGTTGTTGTTGATGATGTTGTTGTTGTTATTGATGATGTTCTTATAATTGTTGATGTTGTTGTTGATGATGTTGTTGTTGATATTGGTGATGGTGATGTTGTTGATGATGTTGTTATAGTTGTTGATGTTGTTGTTGTTGTTGATGATGTTGTTGTTGATATTGGTGATGGTGATGTTGTTGATGTTGTTTTAGTTGTTGATGTTGTTGATCACTTGATCTTATATTACTTTAGCTTGGTAGTGATTATCTTTGATGTTTTGTATTGATAATATTATGGAGTGACTGTGTTTGTAATAGTTGTTATAACAGTTTTTACATAATATTGCTATAGAAATCTAGCATCCATCTCAGTTATAATTTGCTTGCAGAAAATGAAAGTGCATCTTCGAAAAAAGACCTCATTGCTGAACTGGAGTTGTTGAAGCTGATTGAACCTCATAAAAATGTTATCAATTTGATGGGCTGCTGTACAAAATCAGGTATTATACATTTGTTCATACTTTAGTGTATTCCACCACAAACGAAATCGACTCGTTTTCTGTTTTTTCAGAACCGTTGATGGTCATTGTCGAATTTTGTGCCTATGGTGACCTTCAAAGCTTTCTTCGAGCTAGTCGTGGTGTAAGAGATCAGTATTACTTGGATTGTTATAAGCGTCCGTCATCAAGATTGACTTCGAATGAGTTGCTCATGTTTGGTACTCAGATTGCCAGAGGAATGGCGCACCTCGCAAATTTAAAGGTGTGTGGAAACTCCTATGAATACTTGCAGAAGATGGAGCATTGAAGAATTTACTTATTGAAAACGTATAAATTGTGCTTTCTCGAAATCGCCATTTCAGACCGAGAAAATAGATTGCGGGCCATGAGTAACCAAGAAATAATATTTGCACATTATCATCTACACAACTTTTTCTAATCAACGAAGTTCTCAGGTTTCTCAGTACCCACCGACCCCCACTTCACACACCCCACCTCTCATATCCTACCTCACACACACAACCTCTCACATACCCCACCTCTCACACACCCCATCTCTCACAAACCCCACCTCTCACACGTCCCACCTCTGACACACCCTACTTCTGACACACCCCACCCCACATGCCCCAACCCCGTATATTATCTGTGGTAATATCAGATAGACGGATAACCATCATAAGTGAGCTCAGTCTCTTCCCCGTCTATTTCTCCGAAGTCCGCCTTCCGAAATCAATGGAATGTTTTTCTTCTGCAGGTTATCCACAGAGATTTGGCGGCAAGAAATATATTGGTTGATGAAAACAAAATTTGCAAAGTTTCAGACTTTGGATTCGCACGAGACATATTCGTCGAAGATCATTATACTCGTAAAACAGCGGTTCGTATTTTATTGAGAAAGTTACAACACACATTTCGTATATGTTTAGTCTTTTTTCGGGCGAATTATAGCCTTTTATTTAAAAAAATCGTATAGTTTGTTCCTTTAGCCAATATAAGATAATATAAAATACAACAACATATTATAAGATGCATTTGAATTTCAAAAAGATGCAGTGGTACAATTGCATTCTTTTGAAATTCACATCAGTTGCATTATTGTTTAAAATGATGCGAATATAAAATTGGGCTGTTGTGATTTATTTTAACTGTAATGATGGATCTGCCACTGATTTTTTAAAACATAAAGGCCTATTATAATGATGCTGATTTTGCTTTATTCTTCGACCAACGCACTGATTATGAAAAGGAGTTTTCTCTATGTAATTCAGCTCTTATGTTCGTTTCTGGTGTACGATAGTAAAGATATACAAAGGGGCTTTTCCCCAGTAAAATGAACTGAATGATCTTATTTCAAAAGGGAGTTGAGAACTATTGTAAAATCAACTTCGATTTTGTTCATAGAAGTTTATTAATCTACCTCCAGCATAAAAATTTTGGCAATTTACGGGTTTTAAAAAAATAACACTCGTGACAAAAATTTGCCATTCATTGTAGATCACAAACTGCTTTCTGATAGACTATAGTGTAATTGAAATAACTCATCCAGTTGATTGACATATCAGTCACTTATTAAGTCCAACGTGAAATTCTCCTATCTCTCTCGTGTGGTGCGCTAACCAAGTTATTGAAAATTGCATCAACTGCGTGGTTGCTATAGCTCTTATATACCGTTGTTCGAATGCTGCTGTAATGCACTTATTTTGATTTGCGAAAGTAAAATATAGTTGACTAATGGTGAATGATTTTTTAAGGGTGGACGATTCCCTATCAAATGGATGGCTATTGAATCCTTATTAGATGGAATTTCGACAACAAAGAGCGATGTGTATGCCTATTTTTACATTTTTTACGCTGTCATTTTCATTTGTATTGTCATAGATTTTAACGTTGTTCAAAATCTATTTATTCAGATGGTCTTTTGCTATCGTGTTATGGGAAATCATTACTCTCGGTACTGCCAATTATGAATTAAAATATTGTTATAACATTTTCAAAATATATAGTTGTGGCGTGGCCTACCATACTATGCAAATTTTTCACAGTTCACTTGCTGCAAAAAAAGATTTTGTGGAGGAAAGATGGCCAAGGCTACTAAAAGTCCAAACATCCACATCATTCCTTTCTTTCCAAATCTATATAGTCAACACAAAAAAATTTGCACAGCGTGAAAAATTTAGCAAACTTTTACGCTATTAGACTACTGCTGCTTTATCCAACAATAAGCTTTTACAATGTACTTTGAAAAATTTTACATGTGCCTGCGATTGCATTGGCTTGACCTCTTTTTGAACCTCGTGTATTTCATACATTTGCAGGTGCATCTCCTTATCCTGGTATGAACTCGCAAGAAGTTGTCAGCTTTTTACAGAATGGAATGAGAATGGACAAACCCAAGCATTGCAGTGACGAATTGTATGAAAACTTTTCCATTTGGCTTCTTGTTTTCTATTGTCCATCGCTGTTGCAAATCTTAGATTTTTCTTCTTGATGTTTTAACTTCTATCCGTATTTGTGATTTAATATTTTATGTGCGAAGAAAGAAAACTCAAATACATCGTCGATGGTTGTTGCTTTGCTTCACGATTTTTTACGCTTCTTTAACTAGGTATAACCTTTTGATGGATTGCTGGCATATCGCACCTCATCGTAGACCAAACTTTGAAATGCTCGGCCGTTACTTGGACCGAATGTGTAACGACGATTTTGTAAGTAAACATTTACCTGTTAACATATCAATTTATAAAATAAAAACAATAAAACGCGTGCGGTGATTGGTCTAGAGCTGTGTTTGCATTATCTTGTGCAAAACACATCTGAGTTCAACCAATAAAATCAATCATAACAATCAATCAGTCAAAGAGAATTTGCAAATCGATCATGAATACATTTTACAGGAAAAATTAAAACGTTTATTTTAAATTTGTCTGTTTCGAATTACCTCGGAGACGTTTGTGAGAACTCTCGAGCAGCTCTTGCACTGTTCTGCTTTCGAGTTCTTCCAAAAGTCTCCTCGGTTTGCATAAGCCTGTGCAAACACAGTAAACATCTTTTATTTCTTAAATGAGAGAGGAATAGGATGCAAAAACCAATTTCATTGAAACTCAACTCCTGGTCCGAGGAATCGATCATGGCTTTGGCCTTTGTTCAAATATTTTTATGGACATTGGAGTGCATCGTTATTATCATTAGCTTAAGAGCTGTGACAAAATGTCGAAATTTCGTTTTTTATTAATTCATATTTTATTCTATTGAATGATTAAACATAATTTATACAATTAATAAATTTCTTGCATCTCAAAGACCCAGATATGCCCATTAAAGTATGTTTGCAGCAGACGAACATATGTCAATAATGCATGTCTTCTTTTTTAACAGGAATACATCAACATGAGAACATACGATGATCATTTATACATCAATTTTGATGGCAATACTGTGTCAGAGGGAAGTAAAAGCGGATCTTTAACAAAGCAAAATGATTATATAAAGGATGGTGAGAATGAGAAAGAGGCTTTAATGAAAGATAATTTGTCATAAAGTAGTCTTTTAGTTTCATAAATCAACTTATTCGTCGTCGGTAACGAAAATTATGCAAATTTTCTGTTTAATTACTCCAATGACGAAACTGAAACTAGGAATTTAGATGTCGGCCCCGTGATCAGGTGTACAATTAGCGAAGAGAAGTTGTATCAAGAAACATTCTACGTTCTGAGGGCCCGATGATTTTAAACAAGCACTTCTTAATTTCTATTTTATAAATTAGCACAACTGCATTGATCTTAAGATAATTTTATGTAACCAGTCCACTTACACTGTTTACTTCCACGCGGAATTGCTTTTAGGAGGTATGGGTCGGGACGGAAAGGGCATATTGTGCACTCTGTTGTTCACATCAATTAATTCAAATGCCCATAAGCTTTGGGGTTAGCGCAAATATCTCTTGCCAGAAGATAAGATTCGATATGGCACGTCATTTTACAAATATTAATACTACCATTGAAACCACTGTGAAAATTATAAGTTTTAAATGCGTTATTCAATTGATATGTTCATCCCCAACTATCAGCCATAGTTATTTAATGGAATTTTTAGCTTTTAATGAATGAATATGTTCGGCATGTATGCAAAGTATTTTTCTATTTTGTAATATAATGATTTTTACCCAATAAATTTTTATATTTTATTAATGCATCCCGATATCGTAACATCAGCTTGGCACAGAATTTCGGAACTCTGCCGTATCGCTAAAAGACCGAGTATAGCTATATAAAGAGTTGAGCAAGGTTTTTATCGTCGTTAAAAAAATGTCGAATTCTCATAATTCATTCAAAAATTGTGCACTAAATCTGAAGACAAGATTCTATAAAAGGGATTGAATGACAAACAACTGAAACGTGAAAGCGTTCATAACAGAAAGAAAATAGGCCAAAATAAAATTTTTACAAAGCCAAGATAGAACTGCAAACTTAACTTTTAAAATCTGATTGGTTGGACTTATCTTTGCGGGATGGACTAGTGATATTTCTGTTCAGAAACGTAATTCAAATTCGATCCTTTGCTGGTCATAAATTACGTAATGAACGACCGTAATTTTTTTGTTATCTTCAAAGACCAATTATCATTTATCATCCTATGCAAACATGTCGAAATTAGCATTTTTTTACCTCTGTGTCAGGTTCACTAAAGAAAAACCAATTAATAACAAAGATGTCAAAAACTAACATTCATTTATTAACTATTTATGAATCTCATTTACAAACAATTGTGTAGAATGTTACACAGTTGGTCAGATTGTTTCGATGGCTGTTGACTACCAGCGAGGACCCTATCGTAAAATTTTTTGAAAGACTTCTTTGTGATAACCGAATCTACATAAACATTGATAATGTAACCCGCATGAGGATACCAACATTTAATTCTGTTTGTAGTCACAAAGGAACCAAACAAAGCTGGTTTTCAAATCGCTGGTACTTAATTCCCAGAGCTGAGGTGAAAGGATGCGATTTTGACCAAGACTTTTCTGCATGCTACAAACAACATGACATTCTTTGTCGCCATATTTAGCGTGCAGGCTGTTCATAGTGTTTCAAAACTACGGCCGTTCATTCAGTAACTTACACACAATAAGCGCTTCGAATTTGGATATGCTTTTTCTGAGACACGCTCTACCATAAAAAGTGTAACAAGGCACTTTCCATTTGGAAAGTTAGAATTATCTAGGAGAGCGAAATGGCTAATACTTGTAAAAGAGATTTTACGGCTTCAAGATACATCAACTTCAGTCTTCAAATACGTGTAAAGGTATGTGATAAATGGATGAACTCTAAGCAACGCCAGAGTAGTTATAGCTTTTCAACACAGCATTAGTCAAGTAAGGTAAGTAAAGGTTATTTGAATTGCGTATAATGGAGCTTTATCTTAGATGGATTGTATGTGGCATTATTTTGACATGAGGTTATCCTCATCCTGTGATTTTGAGATTATGGGATAAGTGCCTTCATCCTTCAATCCACAATTTACCAAACGAAAAAGGAAGCAAACCCAAACGGAGATAGATAAAACTGCTTCCTTATTGGGGGTTGAAGTAATAATGAAGTCGACAAAACGACAAAACAAATTGATTTTATGCTGGCATCTTCAACCACCAAGGTAGAAATTTATGCAACAATTATGAAGTCATATTGACCAGAATTTTGAACTTTATAACAAGAAATTCAAAAAAAGTGTCTTATATGCTCAAACTTGAACTAACAAAGCATGACAAAGCACTTCTGGACTGGAATGGTTTAAATTATGCAACAATTTGCCATTCCATTTCACTTCTACTACCGCTGACCAATGCATAAAGCAGGCTTGAATTTGTACGTACGCTGACTGTATTTTGTAATATGGTAACAGCGACCTATTAAAACCCATTTTATTAGCTGCTCACGAACGCAATTAACTCAATTTGCAATCGACGTTTACATGAACTTCCGGAAACGTCGATTCGGTTGCAGCGTTTTTTTATCACCAAGTGCAAGCATCTTTCAGTGTGGGACGACGCGTTTCGGATTGGAAGTTAAAATTTATGTTTTTCTCAGGTGTTTCTGATAGGCACATTACTTGTAACATTTTTTTGGCCACGTCATCTTGAGGTTAGTTCCAGTAAATTTACATAAAACGTCTGTTGTTTGTGGTCTTTTATTTCTCATCTTTAATGCGCAAATTTCAACATAAAACGTTAAAGCGCCTTTTTGGTTATTTATCGATCGTAATCGAAGTATCGATCACTTTGCAAATATAATACAATGCGACAAAAATATCAAGAAACTTGTTGCCAGAATCAATTGCACGTTTAATGTTTTGCAGTTACCGAAGCATATTGCTATTTAAAGTCAATTCTAAATAATGCATTTCATGATGTCAACACATTTCGAAATCATCAACGCAACTCATTCTTCCAAGCTCTCTAGATGCCACGATTGCAAATCGGGATTTTGTAACTAGTTCAAGCGAGTTTCTATAGCAGTTGGGAGTTTTTCGTTCTTTTTTATTGTGGAGAACGAGAAATTTGAGATTTATTTGGGAAATTTTTTTGAGAAAACTGTGTGACTAATAAATGAATTTAAGAAAAAATACACCAAGGATTCTTTACTTCGTTTGTTTTAATTTACAAGTATTCAAACCATGAACCTCCAACACAGACTGATAGGGAACAAACAGCAGGCTACTTCAATGAAATTTTTTGTGACGCAAATCAACTTCTTTATTATGTGATTACCATAATACTTGATACCATGCCATACCACAAGTGCTCGGGTGGATTTAAAATATGGCATGTTTGATAATCTCACTAAACTGTCTTAAGGCTGAAACACACTAGGCAGTCGCTTTAGTCTCGCGTCTAAAACTACCGCTTTGCGTGGTTACTAAGCTAGTAGCGTAGTCGCGTCAGCTAGTCGCTTTGAAAGTTCAACATGTTGAACTTTTGACTTTGGTCGCTTCAGTCGCTTTACACTGATTGGCCAATAGATACATTTTAACTTCCTAAATGCATATCATATTTCTTGTCATAAGCATCATACGAAATTTATAGATTATACCTTGGAAAACGAAGGCAATATATAGTGGAATCTTTCAGTTTTTATATGACATATCAAATAGGGACAATAGGAGCTACAAACTGGAACCCTAATGCACAACCTAAGTGCGCACAATAAGATTATCCACAATATACGCGTAATGGCGTATGGACTATGATCATATTGGCGTGTTTTAACTGGCTTGTTCTCTTTTCTCCACATAGTAGTTTGTACTGAGTAAATATTCATATATTAGTAGCTATAATAAAGGCCAGAATAAAAAGTTTAAGTGATATCTGTGTCTGTAACAAACTAAAATCACCGCCATGTGCAATAGACGCCACGGTAAAAGTCGCGATGGTCGCTGCATGTGTGTTTCTAGCGTTCAAGCGACTGACGCGTGGGCATCAATTCGCTTTGGACGCGCGACTGAAGCGACTGCCCAGTGTGTTTCAGCCTTTAAACTTATTGATAATAATCTTTACTGAAATAGACTTTTTCACCAAATTGGCTTTTGAAAAACTATCGCAAAAAATATTATAATCATTAAGAGTGCAAGCCATAGTACAATTTACGGCATGTTTAAACAAACAAATTATTTACAGTTTATTGCAATTAAAAACTATCAGCATTTGATTTTTGCTCAATGTAAAATCATATTAACTGCCTAAAACGCAGTTCTCTGCTGACCTGGTAGACCCCCATCGTCTTTTGGCACTGGCTCGTTCAGCCACTCAGCTATAAGGAAAAGATTTTCTTTTAATTTCTTCCACAATTCTTGGGATGATAAGCCTTAACAATAATCAGCTTATTCATCGCGGCATCAAGCTGGGTAAATTGTAAATTAGACATCCTAATATTTTTGGATTCTTTCAATAACATCAAATTTAAAGAAAAACCTTGAAAGATGAATAGCAGAACTCCTTATTCAAAATGTCAAAAACGTTGCTATGTCTAAAAACAACGGTCCCATATCTTAGCTACCCTTACTGTATTCAAATATTCAGTGTGTTGCTATTTTAAACATCCGATTAAGAGGAGGGGATGTGATTTTTATGCGATCCACTAGTCTTATGAAAGAGGAGCTGGCGAAGGACAAATCTACGTCAGTGATATGAAACTGAGATATAGTTTGGGTGTAGGAGTTCGAGAATGAATAGGTTTTAGGTTTATTACGAATTGTTAACTAGTAGCCTAGCGATGAATACGAAAAGTTGATGTGTATAATTAAAGCATTTTATAGCGGTAATTTAGTTTTAACATAAAAATGTAGCATATCAAAATGCAATTAGGTTTGGAAAATGTAGAAGTGAATGTAGAAAGCAATATAAAAATATCATATGGTTTTGCGCCCTGGACTTCACTGCCTGATCTTCCTTAAAAAAGACAATCAGTAGCGCATAGAAAACTAAGGAAGTTCAACCAAAAACGTGTAAATAAGGAAGCGTATAAATAAGGAAGTTCGACAAATGTATTTATGAAAGATGTAACGAAAAAAAAGTCAAGTTTGTATCTGGTGTCTGGACCACATTGTTTGTTGCATTTTCTCTGTCCATTACACATGACTTACAAGATCACATCAATAATTTCCTTACCTTTTTGTACATTGGACCACTTTTCTTGTTGCACTTTCTCTGTACATTACGCATAACTTACATGACTTTATTAATAGTTTCTATACTTTTTTGTACAATGAACCACATTACTCGTTGCATTTTCTTGTTGCATTTTCTCTGTACATTACGCATAACTTACATGGTTTTATCAATAGTTTCCATACTTTTTTGTACAATGAACCACATTACTCGTTGCCTTTTGCTCTGTACATTACACATGACTTACATGATCATATCAATAGTTTCTATACTTTTTTGTACATTGGACCACACTACTTGTGCCGTTTTCTCTTTAACTATATTACACATCATTCACATGATCTGAGATCACATCAATAATTTCTAAATGTGAACATCGTTTAGCAAGGACACCCAAACCTACACACAGTCTGTATTCACTTGATTTTTACTGTTACTATTTTCATTAAAATCTTAAATGGCAGTCGACTCGTGGACTGGACCATATTGATATGTATAAGATGATTGAGCGTTCTGGCAACATGATCGCAATTATATATCAGTCATGTTTGACTGGTTTACATCGCCAATTTTACCAGATTGATGATTTAAGACATTCGTAGCCGTTAACGCTTTACCGTTAATTGCATTAACGTTTTGTATAAACTAATTAGCAGGAAAGCTTAGCAAATAGAGAGAATTGTATAGTCGGTGAGGTTAATAATGTAAGGACATGTACCTGGGAAAATTTAAACTAAGACTCATTTGCAGTGCGTCCACTGCATGTTTATATGGATTAAGCTGTGCAACTTGACACTGTATGTTTACTACATTTTTCCTTGTAGATATGGGATCAGTTGTGAGGAACATACTACTTCTTATCGTGCTTTGGATCTCATGTGTATATGGTGATAGTCGATATCTTATAAAAGAATATGGTCAGTTTTACACAACGATGATGTAATCTAGTCTACATATATTGAAAAAATGCTCATAGTCTTAAATCCATTGTTTGTGGAATAATTTGCTTGATCGTCTTGTATTTTGTCAAAGAGTTCCATTATATTGTGTTTCTCGAAGGTAGAAAAGAAATTGGACATAAATATCTTTAAAGATGTTGCTGTGTTATCAATACTCTGGCAGAAGTAGAAGATCTTAATTTCCTTTAGTAAAACCTGTATCAATCTGAATTATGCTGCACAAGGCGACAGACTAATAATTGAGAGGGTGTAGTATTCAGATGTGGATCTCGTACTTCATTGGGTTTTATCATTGGGGTATATTGAAAGACTGCAGTGATTACTGATTATGACATATAAATTTATGAACATGGCCCCTTCACCTTCACTGACCAATCAGCAATCTTATTTGTTGAGAAATTCACATGACAATACAAGTAATTTCAATACAAGTATTATGGCACTGATTTACAAAATATACATAATATATAGTATAGTTTGCACTTCAAGGTATTTGGGAACGCGTAACAATTACTTCATGAAATATATATAATCCACACGTCATGAAATAATAACCGCGTTTTCTTCATTGATATAGCTGATGGAAAACATTTTTGGGGTAAAAATTTTACGGTCATGGAAGGCAAAAACGTTACATTTTCTTGTGGGTCTAAATCGCAAAAGCGTCATAAGGACATTTCATGGTTCGCATCTGTAGAAGAAAGAAAAATTGCTGGTACAATGTACAAACAGTTGGACATCATTAAGAGACGTTTTGGACAAAAAGCGGTCCTCATACGTGGTGGGCGATATTACAGCGGTCGACCTGAAGTAATTCCCAACACATTCGATATCAAGTTGAACAACATAAGTAGATACATAGCTGGGCGATACAAATGTTTGGTAATATCGTTGATGCGCAATACGACTTACGCAGAATTGACAGACCACATTGTCATTGTGAAATGTAAGATTTTTCTTTCTTTCGTCTTGTACTAATGCCGCGGTATCACTCCCCCTCCCCGTTTTCTGTTTTTCGTGCAAAGATTTGGAAGGTGTGAACAAGATGTTTGGTTGTAGCATTCATTGGAAAATTCACTCCATTGGTCTTTTTCAAAATAAAAAAATTGCAGCCCGACCCAAAGTTTGTCATCAAAAGTTTCAAAAGATTCTTACCCACTAAATTGTTAAACATTAACCAGGTCAGCACACCTCACAAGTCACAACGTGTAACAATTTCCTTTGAAGTTAGGACAGTCTAGTCATTCTAGAATGAGATTGGAGGAGTTCTCTTTTCTTGTGTTTGTGAGATGAAGAGAAGGCGGGCATGGAAAAAAATCGTTTGTTACTTTCAAATACTTTTCAAAATATAAGTTATTTTCTCTTTTTTGACATATTTAGCAAAACCAAAGATTGTGTCAAAAAATGAAACCAACATGAAAATCAAGGCTCGTGAAAAACTAAACATGGATTGTGTTTCATCTGGATTTCCAAAACCTTTGATCACGTGGCGTCGAGTGGATGGTCGGCCGTTGCCTGCCAGAAAACTTACGCATTCAACTGGCTTGTTATCCATATCTGATGTCGGACAGCAAGATCGGGGAGATTACGAGTGCACTTCAACTAATATATATGGCCGTGATACTAAAATATATTCTGTTGATATGACAGGTATGCCATTTTATGACTGTATATTTCAACCTGTATTGTAAGATTAATATGACTTAGTCTCGATATATGTACATGAACGTGTTTTGTATCCTGTCAGTTCCTCCACGATTCATATCAAACGGCGACTCGTTTGCGACTGTTGGAAAAGATGGAGTCGTTGCTTGTGTAGCTGTTGGTCTTCCAAGGCCAAAATTTTCATGGAGATGGAAAGACGACAAGGGCTATGAGCAAAGGCTGTCGAGTGCAGAGGGCTTAGTTGGAAGATATCAAGTGAAAACAAAGCATTACTTTGAAAATAGCACGAGTTTTTTTATGATAAAGGACGTTGAAAAAGAAGATCTACGTTCTTACAGTTGCATGCTAGGCAAAGACGACAAACCACAAGAAATAAATTTGCGTGGTTAAGTAAGTGTAAAAATGCCACAAATAACATTCAATAGCATAAGCATTTAATATTAAGTATTTTAAGTCTGAAGATACATAGTATAGATCATGCAATAAACATGCATTTTAAGTAATGTTTATTAACTCGCTTTCTTACTTTAAACACATTTCTTTGGTCACGTTGTAATGTATTCATTTAAGGTTGATATTATAAGGTGCAGCTATTGTAAGAGTTAAAACACCTTAGCACTCATCTTCTCAATACTAAATGGTCTCTTAACAATCATTTCTTGATGAGGTGTCCTTGTATCCTAGTCTAAAAATTAGAGTTCCACATTTTCACTGTGTATCTTTTTGTGAAAGTTGACTTTGTCAAGTTCACGCTTAAAGACTTTCGCTACATAATTTAGTTGACAGACTCTATTGATCCAATAAGAATAGAAAGAAAATATGTTGTGTACGTGAAGTGTTACGCAACTAAAACAGTAAAAATGTTCAGTGTTAAGAACTGTTGACTGAGAAATATTTAGAAAATGATTCACTGGTCATTTCACCTAGTAACTATTATTTGACTGCCCAATTTCAAAAGCCTTTCATCCTATATTTGTATACTTTAATTGTCTAACTGATACTTATACTTAAAATGATGTTTACAGCTAGACTATCTGCTCCTATAATCGAGACAAGGGATTCGTACAGAAGAAAGATTATTTTGAGCTGGAAACTAGCCGAGAATAACGGTGGAAAGCCTGTAACATCAGTAATAATTCAATATGAGCCATACAACACTACAAGTCAGTTTAAAAAGATAACTATACTTATTCAAAAGCGCCCTGTCTACACAAAACAGGCTTAAGACCTAACACAGAATACCATATACAATTGATCGCAATTAATGAAGACGGTCCGAGTGATCCGAATGTTCCTATAATAAAGAGAACTGGCACAGGTGAAGATATTCTCACCACTGTGGAACTGGTTGAAAACTTTTTTATTTTCATGTTTCTCATCTTGCTTTTTTTGAAATTCGCCATTGTTAATTGCTGAATGAGAGAGTTTATCTCAGGAATACGTTGATCACTTAGATAGTTGTTTTTTCAGCGTTATCTTTTCAAGTGAACGTTGCAAACTCGAATGAATCTGATATCCTGAATTTCTCAATTTTCATGCGACGTTTAACCATATTGTCTTTCCACAACTAATCGACATGTGACTTACTTAATCCCATGTTTTTTTTTTGTATCCTTGTAATATGTTTGAAAACAAGCATACTTCTTTCTTCACAGCTTTAACTTCAACGGGTAAGGTTAAGGCCAAGGAAATGGATACAACTGGGATGATCACACTTTTTCAAAATGGTAAATTATGAATTTTCGAATGAGATTGATGATATCACTGACATCCTTAATACATCAACATAATACATCAGTTATCGTAAATATAAAGTAGATTCCATTGAGACTGATATCAGTAACGTCAAAGCCTGTTACGTCCACAGTTCAGTATAAGCGGCACAACAACACAGGTCGGTTTCATAATAAACTGTAGCTTTTGAGAAATGTTCTTTCTACACAATTGGGAGCTATAACCTATCACAATATCACAATACTATACAATATGACTGATTATTGCTCCAAATGATCTTACTGTTCTTGTAAAGAAGTAAACTGAGGCCGATGAAAATATTTTTTATCATGTCATGGAAGGCGTGCAAGCATTTTCAAATTTGGAGAGTTGTATTTTTTTGTTCAGAAGTAGAAATCATGACTTGTTGAATGAGAGGAACGAAGTTTCAGGAATACTTTGATCAGTCAGATGATTGTTTTATCCGCGTTATATCTTCTAAGAAAGCATTACCATGGATGGCGGAGCAATATATGAAGTGCGGGGGCTAAGTCTTCATTTCTACTATAATGTCTTAAAAAACACTTCTAAACTATAACTTCAGCTCTGTCTAAATATTTTTTGTTTTACCATTGCAAAAAGTGGGGGGGGGGGGCTTCAGCTCCTTTCCCCCCAGTTCCGGCGTCCATGATAACAAAGATTAGATCACTTGCATCAGAATAGATCTGATGATCATACTACATCAATTTTGTCACTCTCTCACACTTTTGTATTTTTTCAACAACAAAAACTTAGAACTTTCTGACCTCATGATTTTTGTCAGCTTAAAACCAGCTACTATTGTCTATAATCACCCAAAATTCGAAAGCTCATTGACGTAAGTGTGGACTTTAACTTTTTAATTGACACCTATGTTTAAGCTCCTATAATCCAGACAGTGACCACAAACAGATGGAGGACTACGATGAGCTGGATGTCAGCAACGTCGAATCTTGGAACGTCAATAATAATCATACTTAAGCAATACAACACCACAGGTAAGTTTGATTATAGAACTGTAGCTATTGAGAAGCGCCCTGGATGTGACAAGTCTACACAATTAAAAGCTTAAAATCTTGCAATATACAATACTATTGATAACTGTGAATGTGAATCGGTTCCAGTGACCTGAGTTTCTCAAACGAAGGAAACTGACGCTATAGTGAATGTATTTTAGCAAAAATTGCGGAAGGCAGTTTCCAATTTTTCTGGTGCTCCTTCTGTTTTCCAAAATTAGAAATTATAAGATGCAAAAACTATATACGGGCAATGAGTCAATGAACGAATTAAAACAAATGGCTTCACAAAAAAAGCGTTTAATACACTTGGATGCATTTTTTAATTTATAGTTTCACAACCTCTCAAAGACGTCGACGAGCAACATGTCAAGGAAACAGAATCCGTTAATAGATTTGCTATTATTGCCGGGGTGGCAGGAGGAATTCTTACCGTTATTGTCGTGTGTATATTGATCAAAGTAAGAAGACGACACAGCGTAAAAAAGCCGATACAAAATGCTGAACGAATGGCAAAGTGCACTAATGATGACAACGTTAGTATTTCTAAAAAACGAATAATTTAAATTGACGCGAAGAACACGAGTTATTTGAGCGATAACTTGAATATCTTACGTTTTGCAATCAACAGAATTGATAAACGTCTTGCAAAAAAAATGGTGATCGTCCATTGACCAATATTGGCTCAGCTTCTGGTGATATTCTTAATTTATATACTTCAAATAAATAGGAATTCCCAAGAGAGAGACTGTAGCTACAAAACGTACTTGGCTCTGGTATTTTCATGGAAGCCAAAGCCGAAGGAATTAACGGTCAGAACTCTGTTAGCACACCAGTTGCCGTTAAATTTGTCAAAGGGGATTTTATCAGAAAGAAATTCCTGTTCGATTTAGCTTGACACTGATCATTTTGGTTGTAGTGGTTCTTGTTTTAGTTGTTGTCGTTGTTGTTGTTGTTGTTATTGTTATTACTTTGATTTTTGATGCTGCATTGGTTGTGTTTGTTAATGTTCTCTTTATCGCTTTTGTTGATGTTTTGTTATTGCTTTCGTTTTGCCGTGGTTGTGATATTTACTTATTGTTGTAATATTGATGCTGTAGTTGTTGTGTTTACGATTCTTGTTACTACAATTATTATTGTCATCGTGGTTCTAATATTTACTAATTGTTTTAATGTTGATGTTGTAGTGATTGTGTTTGTGGTTTGTGATTCTTGTTACAACAATTATCATTGTTATCGTGGTCGTCGTTCTTTATATTATTCTTCGTAATATTTCTCCCCCAGAAAAATAGCATCCCTCTGCTAAAATTTGCTTACAGAAACTTAACTATAGTTGTTGAAGCTGATTGAACCTCATAAAAATGTTATCAATTTAATGGGCTGCTGTACAAGATCAGGTATTATATTTATTTGGTTAGTGAATTCCATCATAAACGAGATTAACTCGTGCTTTCAATCTTTTTCAGAACCGCTGATAGCCATCTTTGAATTTGTGCCCATGGTGACCTTCAAAGCTTTCTACGAGCTAGTCGTGGTGTAAGAAATCAGTATTATCTGGATTGTTACAAGCAACCGTAATCAAGATTGACTTCCAATGAGTTGCTCATGTTCGGTACACAGGTTGCTAGAGGAATGGCGCATCTCGAAAATTTAAAGGTGTGTGAAAACCCGTAGGAATACTTGTAAAAGATAGAGCAATGAGTAATTTATTTACTGAAAATTTGAGACGTAGAAATTGGATAACATCTCACGACAAATATATGCTCAGAGAAATAACGTTTACACACAGACATCTTGACAAATTGATGAAGCTTCTTTTTTCAGATCATCGCTGTTTTCAGGTTTTTCAATCCCTCCTTTCGTAAATTGCTTGTAGGTAATTACATTGCAAATTTGTTTCACCCATCTACTTTGTAATCCTCATTTTGAAATCCATCGAATGCTCTTAAAACGTCTGCAGGTTATCCACAGAGATTTCGCCGCAAGAAATATATTAGTTGATGAAAACAAAATTTGCAAAGTCTCAAATTTTGGATTGGCACAAGACACAAACATCAAAGATCATTACATTTGTAAAACAGCGGTTTGTCTAATGCTTAATATTTTGGGCAATTATAGCCTTGTTTAAATAATCGTGCACTGTATGTTCACGTAGCTAATATAGGTAGGTTATAATATACAACAGCATGCTATTTGATGTGTTCAACTTTCAAAATACTTAAAAAGTAACTCCAACAATACGGTTTTATTCCTTTAAAATACACAATCAGTTGCATTTTGTTAAGCCAATGTTTTTGAACTCAAAATTGAGCTGTTAAATTTTATTTTAATTCACGCCGGACCCGCCATTAATTTTCTAAAACGTTGATGTGAATTCTACAATATTCTGTTATATTGTATTATATTCTATCATGTAAGTTTTTGACAATGAAAAGCAGTTTGCTTCGTTTAAATTTGTTTGTTTCTCTTGTGGGTTTTGAAGTATGATAAAAATCTGAAATAAAGAAATGGGTCAATGTGGTCTTGAACAAAAATTTCTTGATTAGAATATGAAGTGTTGCAACTTTATTGCAGACTTTTTCCTGAAAATTTATAATTTCAAAGAAAATAGAGAAATTTTTGCAATTTATTAAGGGTTTTGATAAATTCTTACATATTTTGCTAATTGACTTGACATTGATTAAAGTTGCAGTATGTTTCTTAGGGTGGACGATTCCCATCAAATGGATGGCAATTGAATTCCTTTTGGATGGAATTTTGACGACAAAGAGCAATGTGTAAGCTGAATTTCTACGTTTTTTCCCTGCAACTAAATTTCATTTTTATAATTTATGTTTCTTCAACGTACAACACAAGTCTATGCATCTGTTATTGCAAGATAAATACTTCGTGATAAAAGTTGAAGTTCTCCAAAATCTATATATTCAGATGGTCTTTCGCTATCGTCTTATGGGAAATCATTACTCTTGGTGTGTAAAAATAATAATTTTGAATCGATGTCGATCAAGAATAATTAAAAATAAATCAAAGCAGTTATCAATAATTCAAACTCTGTCATAAAATTTCCAAAGAATGAAGTTCTACTCGGTTCTATCAACAGGGTGTAGCCTCTCTGCTCATTTAGACATATTCAATTATATTGTAATGATCCGGAATTTACATCGTCGTTTGCACGATTGAGGTTCTTAGCCTTTGCATGTTTTAAGGTTTACTACATCGATTTGCAGCGACGAATTGTATGAAAACATAATTAACTATGCAAATTTTTGTCTTTCTAATTTATGTCAAGTTTACTGTGCGAATCTGAGAGTTTTTCTCGTAATGTTGTCATTGGGATTCATCATTTTATAAATAAAAAAAAATACAACTAAATACATCGTAATGGGACAAACTCATTTTTAGTACGAAATTTAAACTTCCTTTCTCTGTAACCACTGCTTTCTCGTTAACTAGGTATAAGCTTTTGATGGATTGCTGGGACATTGCACCGCATCGCAGACCAAAATTTGAATTACTCGCTCGTAACTTGCACCATATGTGTAATGATGACTTTGTAAGTTAACGTTTGCAAGATGTTATATTGAGGCTGAAATGAAATCAAAGGATCAAGAAAATTCACATTAAAATATCCTTGTTTACAAACATATCTCTCTTTGAAACTATCAAGTATACGAACAATTTCTAAGTGGAAGAGTCGACCATGACCATCATGCAGTCTAAAAATTACAAAAGCTAAATTACATAAGTTTTTAATCTTCACATCCGCTTTAGTAGAGTAAAATAGTATTGTGGCATTTACCTGCTCAAACACGTTTGATGTGTAAATTGTATTTTATCAATTATCAAATTATCTTTGTTATGTGGAGTCAGTTTATCGACTCTGTCGAAATAAAGACTCAGGTATGCCCAGTTAAATATGTTTGTAGCATGTGGACATGTCAAAATTGCATGTTTTCTTCTTCAACAGGAATACATCAACATGGGAACATACGATGATCATTTATACATCAACTTTGATTTGAATACTGTGTCAGAGGGAAGTAAAAATGGATCTTTAACCAATGAAACAAAATGTAAAAGATGCTGGGAGTGAGAGAGAGGCTTTAATGAAAGACAACATGTTATAATAGAGTTTTTCGACTTTATAATCAACTTACTCATCATTAGCAAGGAAAAGTATAATTTTTTTTGTGATTTATATGTACATCAATGACAATACAGAGAGGATGAATTTATAACTCAACCTCTTAGATAATTGTGAGCATGTGTACAATTATAAAAGATAATGTACATCCACACAAAACACTTTCTGCATTGTGGAGACTTGTTATAACTTTACACTAACACTAACACTGATTATATATCAATTAACAAAACTGCATTCTTTGAAAAAAATTCTTGAGTAGAGTCAAATATGTTGCACGGATAGTGGCGACGCGAATTTGCCTGCATGCGGAAAATGCATGTTGGTGGGCTCGGAACAAGCATTTACTATATGTTAGCCACTTACATCAACTTACATCATTATAGGTTTGGAGTCCGTAAAACTCCTAAATTCAAGTTTCAAAAGAAGCTTTTAAAATAATGTATCGAACAAATAAAATAACTAGCGCAACATTACGCCACACATGTTTGTCCTCTATGGGATTTTATGCTTATGTGACAATATTGACATATATTGACATATTCTGTAATTACTTGTGCGGTCACGTTGCATTTAAACCATTAAATAATATAAATTAAACCAGCGTTCAGAATGTGTGCTCAAAATCTAGGGGCAAAATTTAAAGTTTGAAATGAATCAGAAACTCAATGGTTGATGTCGCGAAATGACTCGGACACGACATCCCATCCCTGTAACTTCTTCCCCACACTCAAATATTGATGCTGGCGGCAGCTTTATGACACTAAGAGGCTGATTACATGGAGCATTTTCAACCCTGGGTTGAACTGAACCCTTTTAAGTGAGTTGAAATTTATTGCGATTATATGGAAATCTTGTCCCCGGGGATGGAAATTACCGGGTAAACGCGCGAAATTTAAATATATAAAACATGGCTGCCGAAAATCACAAAAACAACATTTCAAGTTATTCAATGTGGAATCTTAATAGCGCTGATAATACAGTGCTGTGGTATGGCTATTGCATACAGAATGATGCAGCAGAAGAGGTTAAGGATACTTGATGCATATTTTCAAGCAAAAACCAAGAAACTGATGAGAAAGAGAAGGCATCTAATGCTTCGTCGGCTTTGCCGAAAACCAAGAAGCACCTGGGTAGTATTTGGTAGGACCGATCAGTGGTGGAGGAATCTAATTAGTGAGAATGCTTTATCCATTTCATGGAAAAAAAATTTGAGAATGAGCAAAGAAAACTTTTACCGTTTGGTTGCTGAACTAGATCCTGTAATTGGTCATAAACCAAATTCACCCAACTACAGGCTGCTTAGCTCAAGCAAGAAGGTGGCTGTAACGTTATACTACCTTAAGGACACTGGCTCTTTGTGGATGACTGCTAATACTTTTGGCATTCATCAGTGTACAGCCTCTAAAGTCATTAAGGAAGTGTGTTCTGCTATCAACAAATTATTAGGGCCCAAATACATTTTCTTGCCAAAGAATGAGAATGAAATGAGGAAAAAAGCTTCTGAATTTGAATTAAAATTTGGTATGGTGCAAGCCTTTGGACTGATTGATGGTACTCACATTCCAATCAAATGCCCACCAGAAAATTCTCAAGATTTTTTTAATTACAAACAGTATTTTTCTCTCAATGTCCAAGCTGTTTGTGACAGTAAGGGTTACTTTATGGATGTAGAGTGTAGGTGGCCTGGATCAGTGCATGATGCCAAAGTGTTTGCAAATTCATCTGTTTGTAAAAGGCTTAACAGCAGACAGTTACCAATCACCTACCTCACACTTTTACTAGGTCATGATCCAGTTCCAAATTATCTTATAGGGGATCCAGCATACCCCTTAACACAATTTTGTCTAAAGGAGTACCAAACATGCACAGACAATGCCCAGATAATATTTAATAGTATGCTCAGGTCAGCAAGAAATCAAATTGAATGTGCTTTTGGCAGACTCAAAGCTCGTTGGGGTTTCCTCAACCGAAAAGTGGACATAAAGTTTGATTTAGTTCCAACAGTCATATACAGTTGTTTTGTATTGCACAATTTCTGCGAACAAAATGGTGACTTTTTACTAAATGAAAAGGAAATTTACTTGCAAGTGTTACAACATGTACAAGATGAAGATACTACACCAAATGTGCCTGATCAAATATATTCATGTAACAACTTAGATGGTGAAACTGTTCGTTCACTACTAACAGATTACATTACCCATAACTTGCCTTATAACTATTATTAACATAACTTACAGGCTACTTGCTACTATTAAAAACTATTGAATATCATACATTTATGTTTCAAAAACAATGCTGTTTTATTGTTGTGAGAATCAGGTTGTGGAATATACTGCAAACAATCAAATATTAACTATTGGAAAAGTATTTAACATTTTAAAATACATAATTTGCATGCATCTTTACAGAAAGGCAATATTCACTGTTGTTAAAGAGTTTCATAAGTAAAACAGTTTTATGCATTTTGATTGTCATTGTCAATTTTCCGGGAGCAATGATCTTCAAAATCGAATTGGCAAGTACCATAATTATTGTGGAATGTTGCATTAGGCATGTGACCAGGAACATGGTAAGGATTAGGACTATAGGGCATGCCTTGTAGATGGTTGTTTTGCTGTGCACATACCTGAGTCATCATTTGCATTGATTGGGCAACTTGGGCAATAGATTGACTCATTTGCTGCATTGCTGTGGCAAAGGTTACATCAGACTGCTTTATTGCATCAGTCATGTCTTTCCTGAATTGTGCATCTTCTTTGGCCTCCTTTAACAGGAGCTGGTCACGCTGGGCAGCACTTAACTGTCGTTCAAGATGCTTTCTTTTGTTGTCAATTAATCTTGGAACCATTGCCATTGCCTTCCGTTTTCTTGTACCACTGTCCAGGTCCAAACAGTCGTCTAATGAAACATCATTGTTCTCATCATTCAGGCTTTCTGATGGGGAAAGAGAAGTAGGAAAAATTACATCATCCTGCTCTTTTGCATTGGTGGCATTAACTTCCTCGGTGAAAGTTCCACATTTCAATGGCTCTGTCGCCGGAGAACCTCCCCATATCTTCACCAGTTCATCATAAAATTGTAACACAATTTTTCCGCTACCACTGCGACGTCCACTAGTTACAGCAACAGAGAAGTTATGTCGAATTTCTTTCAGTTTTTCATGGACACGCTGATATCCTTTCTTTACAAGTTTTTTATCATGATCTTGCGCAACTCGTAGGGTTTTTTTCTCTTTTTGCTCCTCACTAAGGACATCATCTTTCAAGCCAAATATTGGATGAGTTGTAACAGATGGCGGACCAAACTGGGTCGGGTCATCAGCATATATTTTCGCCATTTCCACGCGTATTGCTTCGTATAATCGGACTTTATCAGCATAGAAATCCATGTTTTGAAACTCCATTTGGCTTTTATAGTTGGCCAAACAGCGTATCAAGTTCTCCATTTTGTCATCCTTGTCCCAACGAAATCTTCTTTCGCGATAAGTGCTTGTATTTACAAGTTCTTCCTTATTTTCCAGATCCTCATGTATCGTCTCCTCCATTTTGCTAAGGACAACAATCAGACTACGCATGCTCAAATATCTCGGCCCTGGGTTGAAAACAATTACATGGCGTAACTTTCAACCCAGTGCTGAGTTCAACACTGGGTTGAAATTTCAACTCGATTTGCAGAAACAGGGTTGAAATTTCAGCCCCGGGGTTGAACTCAGCACTGGGTTGAAAATTTGCCATATAATCGCACGTTTGGTATAACAAATGTTTCGTATTAAGACTGGGCTGAAATTTCAACTCACTTAAAAGGGTTCAGTTCAACCCAGGGTTGAAAATGCTCCATGTAATCAGCCCCTAATATCGGCAAAAATGTTATCGGTAAAGAAAGAAAATCATTCGTTTCTAATTGAAAAATGCACAAACATTGCAGAATTGATGTGCAGAAAAACATTAAGCGCAAAGTTCTTTCTTTGTAAATATCTTAATGGTCTTTATCTCTCAAAAAAATTACGCCAAATAAACACATCCATTTTATCATTAAATTTGGTTTTCAAACCACCAAGAAGAACTTGTCATATTATTGCCGTATAATTCCATATTTATGACCCATAGAGAATGACATGCCATATATATTATGTTTGCTTTACATACTTTGAACTATGCACAATACGTATGGACATTGCAATGCAATTCCTTCCCTTAATGCCCGGGCTAACTTTCACTGGCCGATCTACATTCTGTAGGATTTTATACCGCAGTAGGATTTTAGGAAAACATACCTAGTTGTCAAAATAACGAGATTGTAGGGAAATGTAAATTTAAAGGTTTCACTTTTTGGAAACTGTACTCCAACAAATTTTCGTTTACAGTTGACGAGAGGAAATGAAGATAATGACTAAGTTAATAATGTTCAAATCAAAGCAAAATATCAAAGTACCGAGAATTTATCCTCGAGCTACACCTCAGGGATAAATCCCCATTCCTCTTTATGCATGAAGCTCTTAGATGACCATTTACTTGAATATTTGATATTGTTGACAGCCATCGGATAAATATAATGAAATATCATTTAAACTCAGACCAGCTAAAAGTCGTAGACAGTATACTTCTCTTCACGAGGAAAGACTGTAAAGCCAGTACTCATTTCCATAGTAAACTTTAGGTTTTTTATAATTTATACGTATACATTTAAAATCGTCAATGTTAGTTGTATCCAGCAGTCAGCAACAAGCACATCGTAGCGCGAAATGTCTAATTTTTCTTCTTCACGTTAAAGTTATACAGTCTTGGTTGTATTGCCCTGTTCAGATGATACCGCATTGCGCATTTAATATCTACGACGAATTTTTTTTAAAATAGACATGTTTCGACATCTCATGATGCCATCTTCAGTATAAGTGAAATAATAAATAATACAAGGTTTATATAAAAGTATTGTGATACATAAATTACAACAATAATATAGAAATAAGATAAATTAATGGGGAGCGTCCCATTAACGATTTATTATAAACTAAATATTGTATTGAATTTAAAAACTTGAACTGTCTTTTCTAATTTAAAAACTTGAACTGTCTTTTCAAAGATTATCTTTCACTCGGCGTTTATCCAAAGTTTCTCTGCTTTCCACTAGCAAATGTCAACAACCAAGATAGCTTTGAGGTACGCAAACAATTATTACGCAGTACAATCTAAAAGCGAACAAAGGAAGAAAGGAAGTTATCGAATGAAGTAACGAAAATATCAGAAAGTTTAAAGAATAATCTATCCTTTCTCGACTGGAGTATTTTAAACAAAGCACTGGAAAAAACATAACCAAATACCTACAAAAGGCAGTTCAAGTTTTAAAATTCAATACAATATTTAGTTTATAATGAATCGTTAATGGGACGCTCCCCATTAATTTATCTTATTTCTATATTATTGTTGTAATTTATGTATCACAATACTTTTATATAAACCTTGTATTATTTATTATTTCACTTATACTGAAGATGGCATCATGAGATGTCGAAACATGTCTATTTTAAAAAAACTCGTCGTATATGTTAAATGCGCATTAGCAATAGTGCTTCTACGAAATTAATGGATACCGCATTGGTTTTATACCGGTTACTTTTCGTATCGGACAGGCCTTGCGTTCATACGGCTCCACTGCAATCCGATAGGCTTTGTATTTGTTTTGTATCTGTTTTGTATCTGTTGACTATTTGACTCCGCTATGGAAGTGGTATGAAACCATCCGATACATTCCGACGTTCCGTTGTCGACTTGTCGTGTGAATGCACGAATCCAATACGTTTCGCTTTGGCAGCTAAAAATTTCGTGCGATTTTTTTCAAAAATGAACGAGAACATAGCGATACAAATCATGTGTTCATTGAATATTCCACTAGCAGAAGCAAATATAATACACCTTCAGCAGTGAATGTTTAAGTCTTTAACAATGCATTATATCTCAGTGGGAAAGCTTCTTTCTGGTATCATTGTAAGGGCAACGTATGATCGGTCTTATTTGGACTTTATACTTTTCCAGTCCTTGCTCTCATACATACGCTATGCTACAGAAAAAGCTCTACTTTGTTATCGGTCTAAAAAGAAGTTCTTTTCATTACGATACATTTAAATTAGACCAGAATTAGCCCCAATTGCCGTTATTGCTTGCACTTACTGGGGAGAAGAGAAAGTTATGTAACGTCTTACGAATCCAGCATATCATGTGAACAGGGTCATAAAGGAGTTATTTGCATAAGCGAATAATAATTTTATTGCTTCCGCGGGTTATGTAGTTTAAATTGTAAATAGGAGATATGTTAATCATGGGGAAACGAAGAGAGGGTGGGGCACACTCTTAACATATACAAAAGTACTGGGAAAGTTTGTTACTATTTAGTTTATTTACTCAAAGCAGTCCGCGTGCTTAGGTCATGAAGTTCAAGGTTCATTGCAGACGCTGCACGAGCAAACAGGCTGTTTGCTACAATTATTTGCATTTTGTTCACATGCACATAGTGTGATTCAGGTGCACAGGTAATGCACTAGTAAATCGCATATCATTCAGCAAGTGGCCGTCGCCAGGTGAAGTTTATCGAAAAATCCACCCTTCACTCCCTCCCTTTCTCTCTGTCGATTTTGCATGTACTATTTAGACTTGTTTCCCGGGGTGGCAATTTTATCACCCCACCTTTTCTGTGCTATACAGAAAAACTTTATTCGTAAAGATTTTTGTTTAAATTGTGTAAAATAATTAATTTAGATTATGTTATACTTGTTATCTCTATTTTAATAAATCGGCATGTGCTTTCACACATTACCAATTTTTACCCAAAAGAAAGTACTCTTTAATGTGATGCGCTCAGAAAACAGAGCTCATCGGCCTCAGAACCTCCTTTGGATTTTGATTTTGTTATGATTAAGCGGAAGCGATAATAATTCCCATGATTGACAACACGTAATATTATTCTGTGCGTGTGCATGGAATTGCAGAAGATTGAAGATATAGGAGTCGTAGTTTATGAAAAACTCAAATATTGAATTTTTTATAAGCTTTGCGAGTAAAATTTGGCATTTGAAAGGTTTGACGACGTTAAAAGCCAGCGTCAGAAAGCCCTAAATCAAACACAAAAAAGTCAGAAACAATCAAATGATGAGAAAGGTCGACAAATAATTCCCTTCTTGGAGCAAGGAAGACATTTACATTGTTATTTTTATCTACAATTTAAATTCCAAAAGCTTTCAAAAAATACGTGTCTCAAATTCATGATGGGCTCGCTGACAAAGAGTGACGGCATCTCATCAAAAAGCAAGGAAGAAATGAGAATGAAAAGCATCCAAGATAACACAAAGGCATTTACGTTTCCAAAGAAAAAAAATCCATGGTTTAAAAACAAATGTGTGAAAAAAAGTTGTCAAATTAATAGTAAAACAAACAAAGAACTTTACATTAAGTAAAGTCTTCCGCAAACCAAAAATATTCAGTAATGCTCCTTATATTTGTTGTTTTAAGGGCAATAAAAATTAGACGACTTCTCTTTCTCGACAAATGAGCCATATATATCTTGAATAATTCTTGAACCCTCTCTTTATTTTAGCATCTGAATGATGACGGAGTTTGCATCGCAACTCAACATGATCAATGACGGAATGCTCAACAAATCAAGAGTTAAAACCACGAAGAGTCATTTTTTAAGAGCTGAGGCATTTATCAATGCAGGCATGGAGTCTTCTGCAAGCAAGTTAAACGCTGTAGACTCAAATTTGAGGCCGAGTATAAGATTTGCGCAAACAAATGAAACAGTAAGAATACATATTGTATTTGACCTCAAACAACATGGTCCTGTTTCAATTATCATTTGTTTTTCATAGCCTTTCAATGAGCAAACTGGAGCAGAAAGACAAAAGTCAAAGGTTTCGAACAGAAGACATCGAAAGATCCATCCGCATATCGACTCACTGCCACCAAGAATTGTAAAACCACTTCATCAGTCTCACAAAATTTTTCAAAGTCGATCGATCAATGTACAAGAGGGAGGTATAAATGAACAGGTCAAAACTATGGCAGCAATAGGTAATTACATATATGCATTGGTATGACCAAATTGCTACGTAAATTTTAGATTTTTTCTTTAAAAATGTATGGTTTTTACAATGAGTGAACGGTGGCGTAACGTAACCTTTATGGAGGGCACTCTGTCAAGCAGTAATTTGTAAGCTCCCTTTGTTCCAATATGTATAGGCTGCTGGTTGTATACACCAGTGGTGTCGAAAGGATTGTATTTTAGGCGGCAAACACCCACAAAATGTATATTACGCTGCGTTTGATATCACTGATATTTTCAAGTTACTTATTTTATGCATGGGAAATTGTGGGGGGTGGGGGTAGTTGCCTTCACCCCTTGCCAACATCGCTGGTAAACATAAATTCATGTAGCCACAACTGATGACATTTAACTCGTACATACTTGGTTAGAGAATAATCTTGATTATTTTGTAGAGAGCACGCCTCCAAACATTCCTCAACACGAATAACATTCCTATTTCATTAACAATGTACTAAAACCATGACGGATATTTATTAGACCGCTTGTACGTCTATAGTTTTAATTTGATTCAATATAAACGTATTCTCATTGTTAAATAAAGCCGTGGTATATCGTAGTTCTTATCGAAGGCACCTAAACATCGGAGTGCCCGGTCAATTGACACCGTTGCATCACCCTCCCAGTTACGTAACTGTGAGTGGTCATCATATCCTGCAGGCAGCCTACAGCACTGCTTGTATGACATATTTGTAGCATGCTTCATTTTATGTCAGAGAAGAGAACATACATAGTTTGTTGCTAGGATTAGGGTATGTCAAATCATTCACGCGACTGATGTTTATAGTTCAAAAATTACTTATCAAATTTAATGATTAAAATTTTTTGTGATCATTGAATTCCCGATGTATAATCGTATGAGTTTCATTGTCAAAATTTTGTTTTATATCTGAAATCGTACGTAAATATCACGTTAGCAAACAGATCGGTACATTTTAGCATATCTGGATGTAGTTCTAAAATAGAAAATACCATAGTGAATTGTAAAAGTAATATAATAAGTTGATAGTTCTTAAAAGAACTGTTTTAAGTAAAGAGCATTAACCCAATAGTTCTAAATTAAACAACACAATGCATTTCGGCAGACTACTCCTCAGGTGTCAACGTCTGCTAAATGAAAATTTACAATCTACCGATATTTATAATGCCAAGAAAGAGTATACGTCATCTCCAAAAGGGGAGATGACGCTCAAAACAGGGAAACCTTGAAGCTTGGCCAAACAGCAAAGTATTTTTCATAACCACTAGGTAATTTTTCTGATGATCATTATAAATTTCAGACTAAATTATTTCAGACAAATTTAAAACAAACTTTGTGAAAACAATAATGCGAATCAGACAAATTAAAACAAACGTTTTAATAATTGCTGTAACATGTATTCATGATTAATTTGCAAATTCTCTTTGATCGATTAATTGATTTGATTGAACTACTGGTGTAGAGTTCAGGAACTAAAAAAATTACCACCGTTTTTCATTGGCTATAATAATAGTAATAAATATAGTATTATAGTAACAATTACATGATAATGGGAATAACTACTCACAAAACAAACATTTAGATGACAATGGTATATCTGTAGTTTGACTGAAAAACTGACTAATCTACAATTTTCAAAATGTCCCCAGACAGTTTCAAAATAATGAATATGACTTCCATTTTAAAAAAAATGACCAGCCTCTCTTCTTCGTTTGTCGATAAACGTATGTTGTATTTTAACCAGGATCTAAACAAAAAGAGAAAAAATCGGGGAAATCTATAGGCGCTTTCCGAGTTTCTGGACAACAAAAGACCAAAGAAATAGAATTGAAAAAGCCAGAAGAAGCCCAGTCCTTGAATAAAGAAATCAAATTGAGCCCCAAAGCAAAAGAAAGAGGATGTTTTCCAAATATATTTAAAAGAAAAAGGAGTCCAGTTGAGCTATCGACCGAGAAAAATGATTACCAATGCAAGATTGAAGATAATTAAGCCAGTGGGAAATACTGGCAAATGTAAAAGACCGCTGCAATGTATGCTTTTCCTTTCTGCGAAAAATATTGCCGGAGTTCATTTCGGAAAATATGCTTGCTTAAAACGCTTTTAATGCTTCATTATGCTTACGCTTGATATTTTTAGCTTATGCGAATTATTTTTATCTTGTGCGAATAAATTTTTAGCTTGTGCAAATGATTTTTAAGTAAACTTCAACCAAAATGCACTTTTCTGATTTATTATCACTTTGTCGATTTTTTCAGCAACGATCTATTTTATTGTTCCTGCTTCTTCACATTTTTATTCAAAAAAGTTTCATAATCTGGTGTCTAGTCTCAACTCGCCTGGTTATCAGATGCACCCGGGCTCACCAGGGTTCAATCAGGGTTGTAGAGAATGAGGAGTACAGGGGGGTGTGTGTGATACACCATATTTTTTCAAAAAGAGAAACACTCATCCATTTACTTACGATTGTGATTGACCTTCAGACGTACAAAAATGCATGATTCACCTTCAGTCTTACCAAAAATGGTGATTCACCTTTCGTCTGTTACAACAAATGCAAAAAGGATTTGACAGTCTATGGATCATTTGACTGAACAGTTAGCACAAAGCGTATTTTTTGAAATCTCTAACAGTTTTGAAAGTTTGGTGGTAACAATACAAAAATTTTAATATCATTGGTACAATTTTCAATCGCTTACTTTATATTTGTGGTCAATTCCGCCTATACTAGACAGTTGACAAGCACGTGTCTGTTTTTAAGAAGGCGGTAATAATTTTAGTATGTATTGTTGTCATGGAAACTAAGCACATCGCAGGAAGTAGATATACTTCTAAGGTTTATTGCTTGCTGTGGAATAACATTGTCGGAGTTTAATCACAGTCAAAGTTTGACAAATGGAACAAATGTCTAATGAGTTTTTCAAATTTCAAGATGTTGAATAACAGCAGAAGAAACATCAATGGAGATGTCATGGCAAATATGGCTGCTTCACGAGCAGCAGCAACTTATTTCGACAAGATTGAGAGATACGAACTGCAAGAAACACTCGCCACTTCTTCATATGATTACCTCCTGTCTATCGAGGAGACGAAAATACCCGTTGATCTGCCGAAAGGCTTGATAACAAACATGAACCTTCCTTCTGACTGTGATAAGTGCTTGATTTTGCTGCCTGTGGACGAAGAGGGTATTGACAGTTTAGAACTTAGAGAAATTCATCAAATAGTTCGAGAACTTGTGACTGGCATATATGTCCTTAATCAGACACCTTCAATTCGTCTGGACGTTAACTATGACGAGAGTACATCGATAACTCTACCACCTGCCTACTATGACACAAGGGTTGGTCAAATACTTATTGAAGTTGATTACTTGATAAAAAGCCTTTGGCATGGCGCATACTTTCCAAAAGATAAGCGTACAAAGTTTGCCGAACGCTGGCGACATTTAGTGAATTTCAATACGCACACTGGTTTGCCTGAAACGAAGAGAAATATTGAACTGATTTGGACGGAGGCAGGACTTCTGGATATTTCCAAAGATCCATGCTACTCTGAGCATTTCGAACAGATGCATGGAAAAAGTAAGGATGATTCACAAGATGAACTGCAAGTGTTTAACAAGCACATTGATGAGCTCTCGATGACTCTGACATTCTATCAAAACAGTGTTCAACATTATAATAGTATGTTTCTTATTGATGCGAAGTATCATGTTAGCAGTGGTGTAAAATCTGATCATGTTGAATTGAAATATGCAGAGAAGTTACAGAAGGTAATTACAAAACATGAGAAGTTCATTGAAAAAACTTTACCACTCAAAGCAGATGTATGTAGGCAACTTCTTCTGCTAAAATTTGTCAGTTTCTTGGTGCCATTCTTGATTAGTTTGCGTAAAAGATGTAAAATTATCAATGCAAATAAACTGCTACCGGGGTTTACATTTGAAGAGTGCAAAACAGAACGTGTCTTGCCACCTTTGGCTATTTCAAAAACCAATAAATGTAAGCATTTTTTCACTCTTGATGATTCATACACTCACTTGCATGGAGCTATATACATTGACAGGGAAACTGCATCTGTTTCAGAGCTGCCGTTGAATATTGCTGAATTGTATGATGAACTTTGTGCTGAGGCATTGTCAAAATTTGACAAAATTGTTGATGCTAAATCACCCATGTTAGAAAGATACCCATTGTCTACCATTACCATTGATGGTAAAAACTATTATGCAGTTGCACTTTATTTGGAAACATTTTACCCAGTTTCGCCAAAGCAACCAATTTGGGTTCATGCCCATTATGAGGAGATCAACAAGCTCAAGTACAAGAAACTACCAATTCAAGATTATCTCATTTATGAATTGTTCAAGAAGAGATTTGGCACTCAGCAAACAATGAATCTCAAGCAGCATTTTGCTGGTCTTCAAGCGGCCAGTCAAAGAGGTATGGTTGCAGTGGTATACAGTCTTGCCAGGCGACTACCAGCATCCAGGCTAGCAATGCAAAACAATCTTGGTCTGTCTTTGATTCATTATGCAGCAATGTGCAATCAGCCACAAGTCATCACGTTATTGGTGGTAAATGGTTGTGACGTAAATGTAAGGAGGTTCGACAGCATCCAATCACAACAAGGTATAACACCTCTTCATCTTGCAGCAAAATGTGGCTCTCTTGATAGCTTATCCTGCCTTCTTGCTTACAAAGCGGATGCTCTTTTATTTGATAACCAAGGCTGGTGTCCTGTCCATTATGCCAGTTATTTCAATCACCAAAGCTGTCTCAAATATTTAATTAAAAGAAATCGGGATATGCTGCAGTTACGTGCGAGAAACGGGAATAATGAAACACCAATTTTGCTTGCTGCATCAAGTGGAGCTCTGGATGCTGTGAAATGCTTGATCGAACTTGGTGCATCTGTAACAGATGTGGACTCAGAGTGCAATAATTTGGTGCACATTGCGACGCTTCATCTGCATACCAATATCCTGGAGTTTTTCATCATCGAAGGAGATAAAGAGATGTCAGTTTGGATGATAATGGTTGAAATGTTGAAATCGGGTTTTACGCTACGTCAGAGAAATGCAACCAAAGCTCTTGAAATCTTGTCAGCGAGTAATAAAGGTACGTAACTGGCTTGGCACTTGAACAATTTGCATTATATCTGCAGGTAACTGAACAACAGGACTGGTTAGACAATTCCTTCCTTGCAACAAACTTCAAAACTAAAAAATTTCTACGAAAATTTTCACTAACAAGTATTGGAGCAAGTGTTTCTAAATACACTCAATTTTTTCAAAAAAATTCACGAGAGAAGCAAAAATGTCGCTTACGTGGAATTTTTTGAAAGATTTACTGCGCAGGACATTTTTACATTTTGAATACATTTTAGAGGACAAATTAAAATGTTTGTCTTTTTTGCATGATTGTTATTTTTTAAAAGAAATAAAAGATGTTTTTCGTGTTTGTATTGGCTTGTGCAAACCTCGGAGACGTTTGTGAGAACTCTCGAGAATATGCAACCCTCGACCTTTGGTCTCGGGCTTGCACTGATCTGCTCTCGAGTTCTCCCTAAGGTCTCCTCGACACAGTAAACACCTTACATTTCTTAAATACGTGCCACTTCTTGTGTCAAAAGCTTTGTGATGTTAACGTCATTCATGAAGTCAATTCTTTATGACGTCTTTCATGTTGAATGATGGCGCATCATTAAATTGATCGTTGCTTACATTTGATTAGTTCAAAATCAGAAATGATGAAATCTTTAATGTTCTACAAGTGATAACGTATTTGATGCCAATCAATAATGTCTCTACGTACGACAGATGTACCAGTCCTTATTATACTTATTTTCATTCTTAGATTACTGGAAAAATATATTATTTGCAAATGGCGTACCGGCGTTGGTATCGTTGCTTGTCGTTGAACAAGAAGTGATCCAGGCCACAGCAGCGTCGGTGCTGTGCAACATTGGCGAAATCAAAGAAGTTCGTCGAGCAATGTGTGAGGCGAATGCAATACCTGTATTGGTTTCACTTCTTCAGTCTTCTACCCCTATAATCCATTCTAGAGCTGCTGTACTACTTGCAGATGTATCGTGTGTTGGTGAAGCTGATACAATCGTTGATCAAAGTAAATGGTGATATTTGTCTATCTGAATAATTTTCGGTATTGTCTTTATTTATACATGCCTAGTGCTCGTTTTGATTTCCTGCAATCTCATTGGCTGTATCTGCGGGCGACTTTTCACGATATCTTGACCCTGGTCTTAGCTATAATTTTATTTTTTTGCAATATATTTGTTTACTAAGTGAAATTTAAATTTTTAAAATTGATTTTAAATTGTTAAAGGAGAAAGCAACTTGCCTTCGGATGATAGTTATCATAGCGAAAGTTAATTTTACTTTCCAAATGAAGTGAAGTTAGTAGAAAATAATCCAATTTCAGTCTCAACAGGCAACATCGATTATTTTACGACATGAATTTCTTCATCATAAAAATAAAAAATAGAAACGTTTTTTACTTTTTTAAGTTCGTCCTTACTGAAAAAATATTTTCTTCGACCTGAAAAGCGTCCCTGGGACCCAGTGAAAAATTTTTTCAGTACGGACCTCCAAGCTTGAAAATAACATACATCTTTTTCTTCAACATCAAACAAAATAACTCAAACGAGCGAAACAATCAATTATGAATTTTGTCGATGAAATTCCTTTTCAATACTTTAGTATAGGCTTTATAATAAGTTTTAAAATACGCAGTACATTGACTCCAGTCACCAGTCTTTCTTGTATTCTCACTTTCAATAGCCGGTCTACGATGTTTGATGGAATTGCTTAAGTCTGACGTGGAGCATGTGCTGGTCAATGGTGTTAATTGCATTCGTATATTGTGTGAAAGTTATTCAGTCATTCAAGAAAACTTTGCTCGCATGGAGGACGCCTTGGTAACTCTTGTTGAACTCTTGGGTAGGTAAAAAACGATGACAACCAAAGAGTCTTAAAAAAAAGTGAAAACCATCGTACTTCGTAAATAACTAGTTAATATTTTATTGTAAACTTTAAAATATAAAATAAGATATTACGTGCGTATTGTGGTTAGGTCAAGGCTATTTTGTCTTTTTATGATCATACCAAATTGTTATGATCGATATTGATCGACAAAAGTTTTCAAATCTGTCAATTTAAATAATCTGGGTTGCTAAATCGAAGAAGAGTCTTATTTCATTAATTATGAAAATTTAATGCACGAGATCAACATCTCACGTGTTAATCAACATCTCTTATGAATCTTTTCTACTGTTTGCTTTTGTTAATTCTTTCTAATTTTCCCGGGGATTATGAAGCAGAATGGTATTAAAGATCGTACGTATATAACACTTTGTTAACAATAACAAAGACACCATAATAGGTGTATAAAAGGTACATGACATAAAGTTGATTTACGTATATTACATGTTAATTGAATTTATTCCGTTCGTAAACCATTTTTACGTTATTTACATCATCGAATGAAGTTAACATATCAAAGCGTAACTTCCCTGTTAGTTTACATATATATATGTTCTATCCACGCATGTTCGTTGAGAACTTTCATTGGTTAGTGTTTTGCAGTTTGGGCTGCAGAATTGGAGACAATTTCTATTCTCTTCCACGAACACATGTCATGGAACCCAATTCTTTCTGCTATTACTGACAAAATGTAAGCCAAACTGAATTATTTCTTTTTCATGTGTTTAGGTACGAGCTCGAAACGCCTCCAAGCAAATACTGCTTCGGCGTTGAGTGCTATTGCTAAAGGGAGTCATGAAAATCAAGATCGTATCGCATCAATCCCTGGGGCTTTGAAAGGCCTTGTCAATTTGATGAACTCGAAGAATGCGTTGTGTCAAGTGAAAGCTGCAAATGCCATTGAGTCTCTGGCGCAAGACAATACTGAAATTCAGAGGTTGTTGGAAGACAGAGGGGCTGTGCGACCTTTGATAAAGTTACTCAAAGTATGGTCTATACCAGTTAAAGAACAGGGTAAGGCGCTATTTTTACGATAATGATAAAGTCTTAAAACGGCGCGAAACTTTACAATTCTTTGACATTTGAAAAAAGAGAATCACTTTCAGTCGTTTTTAGTTTTGTACCTATATTGTTTAAAGAATCAAAAATAGACTGAACCATAATTTGTTAATTTGTAACTTTATCGTTTAAACAGTCAAAAATGCAGGCTGAGTTATATTTTTTTGAGTTGGTGCTTTTTTCGTAAATTCCGTAAATTTATCGTTTAAACAGTGGGAAAGATTACCTTATAATTTGTTGAATGTAGCACTTTTGTCGTGTAAACAGTTAAAAATAGACCAACTTGTAGTTTATTTGGTATCACAGTTTTATTTTTCAAAACAGACACACTTACAACTTGTTATGTGTCGTACCTTCATCATCTTGGAACATATTTCGTGTCAAAAATCATATTTTTTTTAGTTTAATAACTAGCTAACGAATGTGCCGCTTGGCTCTTAGCTTCTTGGCTTCTTATTCGTTTTTATACTTTTTATTGTACATATTAAGACTTTAGTCTTAAATATATATTGATGGGAAGTGATGTTACCAATTTCATGAACGTGAATCACGCGTGCACATGTGTTTTTCACTGCAATTTTTTAACAGGTGCAAGTGCATTGTGGGCGCTATCTGGTGACACGTTGCTGCAGCAACAGCATATTGCTGATATGATTGGAATAACTATTCTTGTCGATATGCTCATGTTGAGATCAGAGAAACTTCAATACATATCAGGAATGGCTATTATTGCGCTGTCGAAAGAAAACTTTGCAAACCAAAGTCTCTTTGTTAAAGCCGGTGGTATTCCACCGTTGGTTCGTTTATTGAGGGCATCGTCGACATCACATAAGGTAGCAATGTTCATCGTTACGTGAAGAGTTGATTGCATATTAATGACTTTGACGATTGTGCATCGACTAAAGGTAAAGTTCAACTATCTGCAGGCGTAGGAAATTCGTGTCGTGAAAATTTTTTTGGCTTTGATTTTGACAGTTGTACTTTGCTTAAAGCTTTGTTGGAAAATATTTTGTTGCGCAGCTATTGAACTGACTATCTGAATATTAATGAAAATTTCGTTAAAACCAGATTCTGCTAATGGTGGTCAAAGTTCTTGGAACATTATGTGTTGGCGTTGCTCACCAATCTCATCAAACTATTCAGTTGGAGATAGCAAATGCTGACGCTTTATCGACTTTGGTACATCTGTTGAGAGAATGCAAGGATCAATTACTGCAGGTTAAATTTTGTCCTCCCCCCCAATGCTCAGCACTTTTGTTAATTTGTGAAAAAATTTATTGTGATGATGTTTAAGAGCAAGGTAATCATGATGGCTTTCTTGCAACACGGACAAACTTCTCTAAAGCACCTAATACCTACTGTACTGTGGCTTTGCCTGCATGATAATTTGGGGGGGGGGCAATATTCATGTATATACTTGTTATTATTATCTACTGAAGTAAAGAAACGGTAAAATATGTTTATATGAATATTGGCCCTTCTTCCAACCATCGAGCTGTTGACCATGCTACTAAATGTAAAATTCAAATCACTATACAGCTCCTCGTCGTTTTATTTATGCTTTTCTTTGTCATAGGTTGAGGTGGCTAACACACTTAGTAAGATAGCATTGCATAATCCCAAGAGTCATGTCATTCTTGTGAAAAAGACTCGATTCCATATCTCAGAAATACTTCATCTACTGAGTTCAAATGACGCAGAAGTCCGTTTAAAAGCTGTAACTGCGCTAGGAACGTTTGGTTTCAACAACACAGCGACGCAATTCGCCATTCGTAACGCCGGAGGAATACCAATGAGTTTTTTTGAGGAGTTTCTCGACTCGAATGATGAGATAAGAAAAGGCCATATTGCTTTTCAGACTGTCGTTCTTGCTCGAGTAATCAAAGAGAGTGACCCAGTAAGTGAAGAACAATATACATATTGTTGATTCCTCTTCTGAGGTATTAAACATAAACGACTTCTCAAGAAATGATTGTCCAATGAAAATTTTTGTATACCCAAGTTTGATTTACGATTTTCTGTTTAAAATGAAATATGCAGCCGTATATAGTCTTTCATTTTTCATTTATTGAGCAAATTCCTAAGCAAGTGATATTTTTCGAGGTTGAATTGTCTGCTCGAGGAATTGAATGTCTTGTACAGTTGCTGAAATCCGAAGACGAAGCAGTAAGAATATTGTCAGCTAGTCTTATCGCAAGTTTAGCTCATACTCGAGCTGGAATACCAAATGGTCTTGTGATTGCAGGTATTGTACATTTGGAGCATATTCTTCGAATACAAATGTGTATTGATTGGTGGTGTAATCCCTGCTTTAGCATTGCACAAATACCGATTAGCGTTGTCAAAATTCATCAAGGACGAAGTTATTGATTACCTGAAACGGAGCGGAAAACATTCTATAGAGAAGGCTGCACCTCCCCCCCGTTTAATGATTTTCACTAGAATTTTAATGAAAATCAACATGCCCGACTTTTCCCCTGAATCTCTTTTAATCTACCTCACCCTGTAATAGACAAAGAACTTAATGAAATAACTTAACACGATTGTTGAAATGATTAGTGTTGAAATGATTATGTAGTTACAAGTTGCCATCTTTCATAGTGATTAGCGCAAGAATATAACAATAATCTATGTTTTCTTTCATATAGGCGCTATAAAGTTTTTGTTCAATAATTTGATGTCAAGAAATGAGCAAGTATGCCGTAGTGCTGCGGTTGCCTTGGGTTACCTATCTTTCAACGCTTCAGGAGCACGTGAAATGCTCGTGATCTGTCGCAACATGCCCGGACTATACAATGTCTTGGAGGAAAATATGGGAAGCGGAAGGATGTCGATGGAATTTGTCGATAGCTGGCGGAGAGCTTTACATGTTGGTTTACCCAGTAAAAGGTTGCTTCTCTTTTGGTGTCATAACTCATATTGCATCACAATGATATTCTCTAAATAAATGTAAACGTAGCATTCTAATTTTAGTCTTGAAATTAATGGAGGCCCTCCTGTTCCACGACGTTTAGCCTCTGAAGAAAGTAAGTGAGAAGATTTTTGTGCTTTGTTCTTCTTCTTCTTCTATAAATACCTAAAACATTGAATAACTACACTCTACGTTCATCATGCTTGAGGGCGAATATTTTTTTCCAGTTAGGTTTTATGCAGATATGATTATCAATTGGAAAGCACTTTGTTCTTTAAAAACAAAAATAAGGCAACTTGCAATTGCAATTTTCACGTTAACGTCATTGATATATAAGGTTAGCTTGCTGAAGTAAATGTTTTAAATTTTATTCTTTATTTACTCGTGATTCTTTTGGGGTTTTGTGTAAATTTGCAAAAAAAAAACAGCAAAAGAAATTCAAGGAGATAAACTTATCACACAAAAAAAAACATACAAGCAGTAGTTGAATATCGATAGTGATTCATTTGTATTGTAAGAATTAACAATTGATTAGTTAGTCAACGAGAATATTTTTCCTATACGCAGGTTTACGGCGACCAATGACGACCCAAAGCTTGTCGATGTTTCGACATGAAGCGATCCGTCCTGTAAAGAAAGTTACGTTCTTAAGGTCGTGCGCTTCTGCACCTGCGATGACAAGAAAAAACAATTCGAGGCCGTTATCACAATATGTCAGGAATGTTCATGTGGAAAAGACAACAATATTACAACTGCGGCCGCCCCTTGAAAACAAGGTGAAATCCGGCGTATCGGGTGCCCATTGAAGCTCCTAAAGAGCAGTAGCATACCTTAAACTAGGCGAAATAAACTATGGAGGCTTATGTTGAATTCAAAATACCTTTATAATATGGTAAAATGTTATGAATTTCTTAAGCAAAAAATTTTACCAGTCGATGGGCTCTTGCAATTTATTTAAAAACTGGATATGCCACTATACACCACTAAAAGACAGTTGTGCAAGCCTACCTAATTATGCATTATATGCTAAATTTGACGTCCAGTCCCTGAATACTTGTATAGTTCAGCGAATGTATAGTTCAGTGATCCAGTTGAGTCAGGAGTAAAATCTCCTCTTTGAACAACGTACAGAATAGATGTAGAATAACGATTATTAATCGTAAAGGTTTGGTAGCATTTGAATGCCTGTTTACGTCATTGCTCCATTATTTATCAAACTTCAAACAACTTCACCTGTTATTATGATCCATGTGGGAATTATTATACTACGTGATGACCGAAACATGGAAAATAATGAAAACTGTCTTATTCATGTTTGTCAAATTTTGCATGGATTGTAAAAACAGAGTATGGTGTCGCGTAGCGTTGCTCGTTTGAAACAGTAAATTTAACAAAAGTTCTTTTACTTGATGTCATTCAATAACATAACAATTCCTTTTAAAAAGATGGAATTTTCCTAGCGTTGTGGCTGTTTTGCTTCGACTTAGCGATTAAAAGGGAACCAAACTAGACGTTCATCAGTTCATCATCTACAGCACGTCGTCCAGTAAACTAAAGGTGCGTAAATGGAGTTCTACTAGCATTGTATAACCTAAGATAGTTAGGTAGCTACTTGACTAAGCTCAAGCCCAAGTAGGAAAGAGATAAGAGAGGTAGAGAAAGAAAAGTAATATAGAGTCTCGTGTATGTTATAAATTAACGCTTCTTCGCGCTATTGAACAATTATTCACAAATTAATTTTAACAAAAGACATTTTTAGATTTTGAGCTCCTAGCTCTGAATGAATAAATGTCATGCATATCGTGTTAATTACAAATAAACGAACACTTTTGACAGTAAAGGTAAACAAGTTCGACAATATTTATCGTCATTAATCCAATTTTCGTCATATTGTGGGAGCACTAACTAAATCTTCATGTCCACCATCATACGAACCACGCGCATTGAGAAGTAAAAATCGATGTGGTTCATGTAGTAATCCTTTGAAGATTAGCATACATTCGTACTCGACACGGCTCCTGAATAAAAAGAAGTTTTAAAAGTTTTGGTATATTGAAATTCGATGCCGAACTTTTGAGTTGCTATACAAAGAATACTTTCAAGACTTTAATGACATAAAGAACTCTAAGTGAAACATATTCACGCAACGATTATTAATGCCATATATACTAATGCACTAGTACATATTCGAGAAAAATGTTACTTCCGCCATGTTTTCAGCAAGTCACTTAAATAATTTACATTCATGACTTGATTGAAATACTAATTAGTTGAAGTGAGCGAATTCCTTAATACTTTTGCGTGCCTACTTTAAAACTTCAAGGAAAACATCACATGAACTGGTTGCCTCCAATGATTTAGAACCCATTCCTCTAGATATCTAACTACTGCGACATTGGCCTCTAAGTCATTGGTTGCCTCAGCTTCATACAAAAGTGACTGGTGTAGAGATATGTTTCAACAAAGTTTAACAGTATACCTTGCAACAAATGTAAGCTCTAACAGAACATTATTTTTGCTGATATTGGACAGATGTCCTTCTAGAAAACCTTGAGATGGTTGCACATCAAACACTTCGCGACTTTCGGACGGGTAGCGATCATCTAAAATAGAAAGATATTAACAATAGTTTTAGTTTTTGCCTTGTGCAATGAAAGTTGGTATGAATATAGTTGCAGATTCGAACCCAGGAGTATCGTTTCATGTTTGCAGATGTTGATCGTCCTGGTACGTTAAGTCTGTGGTGGACTATTCGCATTCACTCGCGTTTCGACATCCTTTGCAGTCAATACCAACACTAACAGTACTTCTCAGGACTGAGCTAACCTGGACAATCGACATTCACAAACATAAAGCAGACACTAAATAAGCGGTCTGGCTACACGCCTGTGTTTGAATTTAACAGTATTTCGTTCCTCAGTTCACTCCACTCGTAAATGACTATTTTTGAATGCCGGTTTCCCACCTTTCTCTGTATACCAAAAGGTAGCCGACCTGCCATAATTCGTCAATTTTACTTTCATTTCTTTCGGCTGGCCGACTAAACATACACCGAAATCCACTCTTTCTTCCGATACGAGAATATGAGGCAACGAGATTGTGGAAACAAGCGGTATCGTCTGAAATTGCAGAAGTAAATGCTTTTTTTGTCTCGTTTAAAAATTCGTCTTTCCTTAACAATAAACCTATTGTTAATGACGTCTGGTTTGTAAATTATTATTGTAAAAAGAAACTAAGTTATACCTGTGACGTCTGGTTTGTAAATATTATCTGCAATTCTTTCTTGATTTCGAGCACGGGCGATAAACCATTTTGTTCCGATTCGACAACATCTTTTGCTCGCGTCTCTTTGCAAAGCATTTCATGCGATAAACAGAAACCGACCGCAATCTTTAAAATACCACGAAAATATCATTGACAACTTTGTTGAAATAAATTGATTTGATCAAAAGGTTTCAAAGCTATCAAAGGTTGGGTCACTTTGGTTATGGGGTTAACGGCGAAATTTCATGACTTGCAGAAGCAAAACAGGCTATGCCCGCAGCATGAAACGCCGTCAATGATTTTCTAAAGAGATTTGACCTAACACAACGCAAAAGACGCAAAATTTGAAAGTTTAGCTACATGAAGTGCACGAGCAATATTGTGTGATTATTTTCTTGTTATATATTTCAGAAGCTTGTATAATCTGTGGTATCTTACTGACATCATTTATTGAATGAAGAGACCAAAGACGACGGACAGAACTATTGAAAGTAAGTGGACTAATATATTTTCGTGAAGACTATAAAAATGTAATGGTAATTTATCATGTACAAACACAGCACTGTTATATAACGATCGTCAGTCAGTATGATATTGCTTTGATCAATTATGCTCAAACCTGGATATTTTTTCTGGGTTTTAACGTTATCGCAATCCCTGCAATAATTTTGCGTCCAGGACATGCAGACGGTGGTGCGCTGATATCCATTATAGTAAAAGGTCTTTCCACCAAGACTTGAAATGAAATCGTTGCTTGACTTGTATTTGATAAAGTGTAATGACTAGTTTTGTACACATCTTTCATAGCCTGTGGAAAATATATGTGCTAAAACATTGCATGGTAGCTTATAGTATATATGAAGGCACGAACAACTTTACTCACGTCAAAGTTAACACCATCTGTTGTCTTTAGTAAGTCGCTCGAACACCCATGAAACCCTTTCATTTCATCCTCATTTACAATGGACAAACTGAAATAGAAAAGGCGGAAAGTGTGAAATTCTTCATGAATTGTTTTCTATTTTTGTATCACGGAGATGTCATGGAGAAAATTTCTCGAGCAAAACATTCATGCGCACGCGCGGTGTTGCAGTGCAACTAAATGGCGAATGCTTTCTTTACCTCGTACATGTTGAGTGAGGGGAAATACCAAATTATCACTTACGTCGCAGGCTTTATCGATGCCGTCATATTCAATCTGAACGGTTCCTTATCTCGAGCAGTACGGCGCTTTACATTGTCGTTTTCAATTTCATTCTGGAAAATATTAGCTGCTTGAAAAACGCAGAATTAATAGCGCTCATAACATTTTCTGACACATAAAAAACATAAACTGAAATCACAAACGCAATTTTGGGGAGGAAAAAAATGGGTGGGGTATAAAAGATGGGTGCGGGATAAAAATTTGGGGGCATAAAACAAACGCGATTTACGACAGGGACCGGTGTCATTGAGGCCGTATAGGCATATAGGGCTTTCCATTGGATAGTTTCAAACTGGACTTTTCTCGTTTGTTTTATTGATGTTTTGATTGAAAAACCTTCTTATGTATAAATAATGTAGAATACGACTAAAAGCATTATCAAGCACACGCTTGTTTTCGTCAAATCAAGTGTAGCATAACAAATACTTACTTTTTCATCTAAGTTTATAAAACCAAGAAAAAATGAGGAAAGAAATACGTCCGAAACAACGTTCGATTTTGGACTGAAAATCACTTTCATGTCGCAATACTTTCTGGCGGGAACAATCTTATTGTGCAAAAGACAAATGATAACAATTATTTTTTCTATCACGCAAAACTAAACATACAAGTTGCACAACTATACATTAAAACAAATAGCATAATTCACTATCGCACGCTACTTTAGTTTCAAATCACAACAAATAATATTCACTTGAAACGGCTCTTTTTCCTGCAACAAAAACTTCTCTAGTTATTAATTAAGATGCTAACACAAGTACCATTTGAGTTTTTTCCACACTGAATGATGTATTATCGTGTCTTCCTTTATGTTCTCGCATGTTAACCGTGATGAGAGGAAGACCTGTATTGATTAGTTTATCAGAAACAATCTCTTTCCCATCATGCATCTTGGGAAAAGGATCTCCAACGTCGATGATCAGATCAATTAACTGATTATCATCTTCTTCAATGTTGTAAACTTCCCAGTCTAGACGAATGTCTAAAGAGAGGAAGAGAGATGAAGAGAAAGTTGGGGAGAAAACTTCTTTGGTCGCTCTAGAAGTATGTATGTACATCTTTGTATCCGTACTATAATGTACAAATCTGGAACAATAAATCCCAGCATAAATGTTTGTAAAAGATACGATAGTTCATCAAAACTGATCTTTAATGACGATGCTAATTGCGTATGAAATTTCCATAATATTCGACTCAGAACTGATTTGAAATTTCTTTTCGCCATCTCAATTTTTTTCAAAATTCAACATTTCTTTAGAAATCGATTGTAATTACAGTGAGTAAACACCGAATTATTTAAACGGCACGACCAAATTTTGCAGGCTGGCTAAGCCACAACACCGAACCACAGTTAAACCATTTATTTCACTGTCTTTCATATTGCAAAAGGCCATGTATTGCCACAAATAAGTTAATTATATAAAAGCACATATAGGGACATCAAATTTCATCATCCATACATATACGCACCACAAGGACTTGTGTTATTAACTCGGAGTGACCGTTCCACCGTTGAAGTTCCAGAAACGTGAGAGCCGAACCTGTGTAAATGATGGAAAAGATATTCATTTCTTGATCATTCAACTAACTGGCATGATCACAGAAAAAGACGCTTATTTTGAAATGCTTTCAGCATCATTTCTACAACAAAAGATACTACAGTGGGTTTTGTGCAACCATTCTTATAGAAATGAGAGGTAAATGAATGTTCGTCATGTTGGATGACATTTGAATTGTAAATAAAGAAAGTCCTTTCTCAAAATTGTCCAAATTGGGAAACATGAGGTATTATACAGCAAGAATCGGTGGTTTGCAGCCATTCCCCAAAATTTTCGTCACCTTAGTTGAAATGTATATTGCAAACGAGAAAAATCCTTTGTTGAATTCAACGAATAGGGCGGCCGTAACGTAGCAAGAAAACCTCCTATATGTAATATGCACAGCAAGATAAAGTTATAAATAGATTGTGATTTCATTTGGCCGTGCCTGGAAAAATAGGGACCAGTTCAATTGCTGGCTACAAATTTTGACAGAAGGTGGCGAACCAGTTACAATTAGTTCTGTTATCGTGTTTAATAGGCTAACGACATAAAATATGGACGGATATTTCAGTTATGAATACGTCAACTTACCGAACTATAGGCGATATCTCCTTGGACATTTGAAAATTAAGAGGACATCCTTCTACGTTCAACAATATGGGAATTCGCTTTTCTTGCAAACCGTCAATCTAACGAAAGATTACCACATGCAGAATTAACTGCCCCCGGAGAAATTAGTTTTTTCGAAGACCAAGATTTAGTTTCAATAGAAACAAGATAAGAAAAAAAGATAAAAAAATCTCAGTTGTAGTCTTACTGTAAATTGTAACGACGTATTTGAAATGAATAACAACACAAGACTTTACAAGCCTTTTCTTCACCATCATCATGTGAATTAAAACAAATAAACTCATCACCTTGCATAAGAGATGATCTTTGTATTCTCCCCACATATCAGAATAAGCTACGACATCCACAATGCACTCCTGGAAGGGAAGTAATTCACCGCAAGATGGACGACACACGAATGCCACGCCTCGACCATCACTCAGAACTGCACGACAGTAATCTGTAGCAACCATACATACAACATCATTGCAAGAAAAACGGTTTCCACAAATCCACAATCGTGCATGCTGTTTATTGCGCATGTACTCTGGCCAGCTTTGAAGCAGTGGTCTGCTTTGGTTGTTATTGTAATGTGGTAACTGATCCCTAATCCTAAACCTTAATCCCAAATAGTACTCGCTTCGGCCGACATGGTTGGAGAATACATTGGGAACTTAATTTTTGCGTATTGTAAACACGGAATTATAACCTTAAATGCTGCAGGAACAGAGCATGCGTGAAGATAATTATAGTACCCATCTATGCAGAAGGGGGACGATACAGCATTGGGAAAAATAAATAACCACAGTCTATTGACTGGCGAAATTATATTTGTAGAAAATTTATAACTAATGGCATTCTTGTAAAGGTAATTTAAATTGGCCGCTTTAATATATTTTGTCTAACCCCAAATCCGCTACTGGATCTACAAATACGACAAGGATTAGCGTGTAACATCGTTATGGCCATTAAGACCTATATATTTGTATAAAAATAAATTGTCCAGTTAATATTACCTGCAAGTGCTTTCGATGGGGTCCTACTGAATGGATCAGCGATGTTTGCACTTTTTACCAATGCACCTTGGGAAGCTCTTGAAAAGATAACATTTTCATCGGACCATTGAATTGATGACTTCGTTTTTATGATCGTCAAGTCATTACCTGTAAGAATTTTTCTTGCTCGAACTTTCTAAAATAGACATCAGTGATTCATTGAGATTCAAGCGCACATGAAAGTTGGAAAAGAAGTATCAAGAGTTATTTAACAACCAGATGGTGGAGTTGGTGTTCTTGCTGCAGTGAAATGCTCCACTGAAATGTTGAACTTCGTAGAAATTGCTGTTTGGTTCTTTAGAAATAGTAAAACTTTCACCATATTTCCAAGAACCACCTTGCCATAGTTCAAACACAACCCGTCTTCTTCTTCACCCGTCGTATCGTTACTAAAACCAAAAAATTGATCATAAATTATAAATGTCTTTATTTACACTATCCCTTTGAATAGAAACATATACACAAAACCTTAATGTCACTGCAAATTGCAAAAAATGCGCAAATTAAAGCAAACATTCTACGACATATCTTGTTGAATGGTCAATTGTACGAAACAACTGGTTGTTGCCAAATGACCATAACCGGCTGAAAACCACAGTAGGCAAAATTCATTCTTAAATCTTGTGTAAAGAAACTTATATTGATCAAACCAAGAGCCAAAATCTCTTTATTGACAAAGAATATATTCTTACTGAAAAGTCATCTTAGTCTATTTGGGTAAAGAATAACATTAACCAGCATTTTTTAAAAAACTACTCACAGAGTGCTTTAAGTTCTCGAAAATATTTAATGTTTTGTAGTGATTTAAAAGGAGCTAGAAATCACGTGCAAGTCGTCAAAACGTCATTGTATGATCAAGGAAGTCTATCATGTGTTTTGACATAGCTACAACAAAGCGCACCACGCGCATGAGTTGCCAAAAAAGGTAATTTATGAAAAGATAGATGAATTGGAAAGTTTACCGACGCCGACTTACAATTGCTGTTCTGTTTTGATAGTTTCTGTCCAGTACTGAACCTCCAAGCCAGAAACAGTTCCAGAAAATGATAAAAACAGTGGCTTCTCCATTTCTTCCACTTCGCACTTGACAGCAGCATCTTCCAAAGGGCCTTCTTTACATGAAGTAAAGGACACGTTAAACGTCTTGCGTTCTCTTGGTCCAATTGTACAACTGCTAGGATTAAACTTAACCGTACAAAAGTGAGAGTCGACACCGATACACTGTAAATTTCACGAGAAAATTTCATAAGGATTGATGACATTCATGAGAAAGGTTATTGATATACGTATCGCTTAGGATGTGGGAAAGAACTGTTATACTAACAAAAATGAGAGAAAAATAATACAATAAACATAATGAATGAAAGTCTCGCCTCTTTCCAGGTTATGTTAGAAGATAATAAAGTCTTATTTTCTAGTTCTATCTCTTTCATGACAGGAACATTCACGTATACTTCTTTGAGCAAAACGTTCGAGAACGTCAAACAAATCTCAGGCTTTTGAACAATTGCAGTCGCTTGAATGTATCTGATGTGAATAAGGAATTCGACAGTGAGCAAAAAATCATTCAAGATTTAGAATGTTGTATTGAGCGAACACTGAATATACATGCATCGTAATGAACGGTATTCGACATACCTTGGTGGACTCCCAGTAACATTACACTCGATGATACTTCTGACTACTCTACATGTCAGGGGAGTAAACACAGCCTGAACATCAAGTTTTTGAAATGCCTCAAGTTTTCCATTGGGAGGATCAAATTGAATTTCTGAAGGCATCTCATTGTAACCCTTAAGATAGCAAAAGTTGTATCTCGCAATTATTTGACGTAGAGGAAACGGAACAACATTCAGTTGTCGTTTGATTGCATAGAGCCTTACGAACATTGCTTTTATTGATGAATGAAACAGATTTAAGTGAAAAAGTGGTTTTTAAGTTTACATAATAGTTTTCTAAACAGCTAATTTGCCGAAAACGTTCAAATTAAACAATTTTTGTTGTGATTTTGACTGTAAATAGCTGCAATTTCCACAATTTACCAATGCACGGCCATTGAACATCAAGTTTCAAAATATAAACTATACAGCCTGATTTTTTCAATAGTTCCACATTTCGCAACAATCTATGACGCGAGTGATTACAAACAGAACTATCTACACAAAACAGCGTTTACCTCGTCAACGTCAATAAGATTGTAGGGTAGAGCTTCTCTCATTGTCCAAACAGCTGGGATTTCAGACAAGTTTACCAAAGTTACCGTACGTAAGCACGATGATGAGAAACGTACTAAGCCAAAATCAATAATTGCATTCTCTATTCTTACTAGAGGTCCCTAAAACATCAGGAATCAAGAATAAAAAATCCCAATACTTTTAAAATAAACCAGTTTGAAACGGAACTAGTTTCGATATGCATGGCAACATAAAAATGAAAAAAAACAAAAGTTTTTTCTTTTCAATGTGAGCGATAGCTATAAAGCAAATGATACTTTCAGTACATACGAAAGTTGTTAATGTTTTTCTAATAATTGATCATTTTAGCTAACTAAGAACAATTAGATGTTCAAAATGAACAGTTAAAAAAATCTACCTCAAAATTGGCCATAACGTGTAGGTATACAGGTTTCATTACATGATCGATGTTGCATTGTAGCGTTTTCTCATACACGCCAGGCTCCCTCCCGAAGATATTCAATTCAAGAGTTTCTTCTTTGTCGACTTCTACAACATAAAGCAATGTTTCTGTTTATTATATTCATCGAAATACATTTAGGAACAATGCAAAAAAAATTGCACTCTTCTTTAGTCACTCCGATATCATTGCCTAAAAATATAATTCTTCGTAGTTTCAACCCCACCTGTTGTCATGGTAACACTGTTCACTAATTATTCATAAAGTATTCGAATAACTGCATGCCATTGTTATATGGTATTTGCTACAAACGCAATTCTAATGGGCAATTTTTGGAAATTCTTTTACAGTCCTAAGTTGTACTCTCAAATACAAAGAAAAAAGCAACTGTATACGAGTAGTGTGAAAAAAATATCATGACTAACTATAATATACATTTGCTTCTCTTACCAAGAAATCCTGATTTGGGCTGAATGTCAACCACGCTTGAGCTTTCCCATTCATATTTAACTTCGGAAACGCTGTTGTTCTTTAGCTGATAAAATCAAAACGGAGTTATGACAAAAGACACCTAGAATTCACCTCTGTAAGTCACAATCTTTGAGTATAGAGCTTGTTAGTCAATCTCAACTTCCATCTATTTTACCTTCACTTGATACTTATAATTTTTCCCAACTGAAATTCTCCCCGGTACCACGAAAAGAGGGGGAACAGTCATCACTTTGAAAGGCTGAAATGTAATAAACATTTTAAAAGACGCGATGATCATAGAAATTACTATTTTAGTAGTACGTATGACCGCACCAATCGGTGACGCAGCCAGCCCGCAAATTTCAGAGCATTAATGTTTATTTCTTTAGAAAGAGCAGCTACAGGAATAATTTATTTTCCTTCATTTTTGCCGTGACATGTTATTTGGGAGATCGAGAAGCCTTCATTATACTGCAATTCAGTCAATTCGATTCCTCGAGATATCACAACGTAGCTTTACGACTAAAGGGCGGACTTTATATTAAGTACTTTAAGTGCTTGATGCACACTTGTAGTGTATTAGCCCTTCGGGACCCTATCACTAAAAAATGGTACGTAAAATCTAAGCACAAGGAAGACAATGAGCTTTGTAGAATTTAAAACATAGCGTTAATTTCAGCGTTGCGTTATGCTTTCGCTGTATACAGAATGTGTTATTAGTCACTGCCAACCAAAAAAATATACGTTGTATTTACCACGGATGAAATCTTGAGTCCAATTTTCATTGCTGTTAAATCTTGCTCTTGCTTTGTTATGTTTTTCATCTGGTTCAGAATGGGCACCTTTTTCAGTACCAGATGGGCAACGCTGTGAAATTCGCCGATCTTAAGAACAACGAGATCTGAATGAATCATAATTGTTTCATACACAGCTCCTAAAATGGTTAGTCACTTTTGTAACGCGTATAATCACATCAAATGGTCTTCTGCAAGATATCTTTCGTATCATGCAGGGAACACGTGTCAGTCTTGCCTTATGGCGAATGATGAAATCCAACAAGCGTAATTACGCTTATGAAGTAAAGTTTCCTTTAAATATGAAACTTCAAACAAAACCAATCTGTTTCGAGTCACCTGCTTTGGCGATGAATAAACTTGGAAGTCAAAACATGAATCTGGGGGGAATTCTCCAGAAGAAGGTGTTATTTTAAATGCAGAAAATTCATCGACTGTATCAATATGGTTTCTCGACTGCTTCATACAGGGCTTGCTCATCATCCATTTGAAAGGCAATATAACATTGCTGAAAAAGAAATGTACGATCCCCTTTACTTGGTTAGCTTGTGCATTGAGTGTCAAAAATAAGCATTTCTGATGATCATGCACAATAACCAACTAGCGTCGTTTTTCAATGCAAAAGTTTAATAGTACGCAAAATGACCTCGTGTTCTTCAACACAAGTTTCTTTGTTTTCATTGTGTCAGGATTTTGATGGACGAATCGAACTAGAAAATCAGCCGAAGGATCACTACTTTCACCAATTACAGGTTGGCTAACTCCACCATCTACTGATGTAAATTCAACTCGGGCAGTTTGAGCAACACCTGTGAAAGTATTGGAAAAGATAGCGAGAAAAATTTCAAAAATACAAACTTGTATAATCTCAACTCCATTCATACCCTGTACGGTATGTTCTTTCACTTGACGATTATCGCAGACAATGACAATGTCATGTTTGTAGAATTTTGCACTTGTAGGCTCGAACGTTAACTAAGATAAAATTTACATAACACGATTGAAATGCAAGAGGAAATATTTCAATAAAAAAGTTGGCGTTTTCGGCACTTCCTTTACCTGAATTGAAACATCGTGGCCTTCTAGCACCTCGAATATCGACGGCTTTAAGCAAAACGGATCCATCACAACATCGCGATGTTCTTCAAAGGACCACTATATTTTAAAGGATCTGACATTGAAAAACTAGGAATTCAATTTCAAGGTGTAAATGTCGTCTAGATGAACAGGCTAAATTTGTTGTAACAATTATTCCAGTAAATTGTTAGCGACAATTTATTCCTGTTATCGACTCACGAGTTCTCGAAAGCACACTCTTCCTAAGAGTCTTTGATTCATTACAAGAATGCATTTTACTTGAGAATTGAACTGGCCGAAGTTTTCAACTTCCAAAAACTTTTACAGCAAAAAATCAGACGAACTAAAAATATTTTTTCAGAACGTACATTCCATGATGGGGATGGCCACTCGGACTTATGGAAAACACAAAAGCGTCCAGGTCCACCAACGTTTGAATAATTGAATGTGATCGTTTTACTACCACCAACAAGACAATAACCACAGTCCAGTACAGTGGGTACTAAAACAAGCAGGTTATTATTTCGAAATTTTTACAATGGATAAAAAAATGTGATGGCTTCTCAAACAACAACTTACGTACTTGTCAACTGTGGAGGCTTACGATTTCCAAGTAATTCAACGTCCAATAAATCGTTCAGTTGCGTTTTTATCTGAAAATGCACGAAGACCTGAGATATTTCCTGACAAACGACCAACTAGTTTTTCTCTCGTATTATACAAAACATATACAGGGAAAATATTTCACTGTTTCATAGACTAGAAAGCTCGCTTCACACTAGCGTAAATATAAAAAACTGTCACGTGACAAGGCAAACGCAATAGCATGTATGTTATAACATTCAAAGCAAGTCTTATGTATAATGATGATAGTTATGACAGCTAATCGAATCATGTGAAGTTCGCAGTACGGCATGAAGTTATAAATTGCATTTTAACATTAAACAAATAATGATTGTTTAAATGATTGTATAAATTAAATAAATTTTTTTAGTGCAAAAGTTGAGCATGTTGAAGATGAAAAAAATCTAATGCACATGCATACCTGTATTTTATCGACAAAATCAGTGAGCGAGTCAGGAGCAAACCTCACCAAAAATGAACAATTCATACCCGGAGCTATCACTCCATGTTCTCCAGGATATTGACCTATATATAAAATGGACGTTATACTACACATGTCACATATAGTGACATCCTTTATTTTGTTTCGACATACGTATCATCAACATTTTGATGACAAATTTAAGTTGAAATGTGGTGAATACCTTGACCGATGGAGAAGAATTTAGTAGCTGGCGGAAGTAAGCGAATTTGACGCGATGAAGACGAAACATTTTTTATTTCTAGTTTCATCTACAAAAAAAAGTAGCAAAAAATGTGTCATAAAAATTTTTGACCGATTTCATTTAGTTATGTGATTGCACACCTCGTAAACTTTTCCAGCGTCGTATTCTTTGAAAATCACTGGCGAAGGTGAAGGAATGAGGACATCCGTTGATTTGTAACATGTCTCACTAAAATATAAAGTGTCGGGTGATTTTTATTCATTCCAGCTCATACTGCATACATTAGTGAGGTTCATTTTTATTCATTCCAGCTCATACTGCATACATTAGTGAGGTTCACGCTCAGCCAATCATTAGCACGTAACATATAGTAGAGCCATTTTCAAATCAACATTTTCAGGCCCCTTGTTAAGTAATCCGTCAAAATGATTTAAGTGTTGAAATAAGCGATAGTGCAAAACCTGTTATGCAAGAGGCAATTGAAAGCAAGCTTTCTAAACTGAGATGGATTAAGTCGCCATTCGTTTGCTATACAAAAAAGGAAAACAAGAATTTACTTTCACCTGACGTCCGATTGGTATTTCAACGATAACTTTTTTGATTTTGATTTGCTCTTTTTAGTCAAAATAGGATACACGTCGGGAGGAATATTTCGTGGATTTTGAAGATAATCCACTTTCGCATTTAATCTTTTAAGATCGTTTCTTTCGCGATACCGTTCATCCGGTTTTATAGATTCCCGCCACGAAGAAGCCAATCGCGATTTAGTCTAGGAGAAATACTTCTCGTATGAGAAACATTAACTGGACGTGAAATAATATACTAACCGACTCTTGTATATCAACAATCATGGCGTTTTTGCGTCAGTAATAACCTGATATGGGACTTCTTCCGAAAAATTTTGAATTTCTTACGCGTCATAGATGCGGGGATAGATTCAGGATGATTTTTTAGGGGAGGAGGGGGTGATTTAGTTTGTATGATGTCATTCGGTCAGTCTAGTTTGGATTAGATTTTGGTGTCTTTATGTCATTCACATAAAACTCTTTGTGCTTTGAATTGAGACCTTGGAAAATGTGTAGTTTGACAGTTGTTTTTGCTCAATTGGTATTATTGGTTGGTATATTAATGATTTTTTAGGGAAAATCTCACCCTCTACACCCCTTCTAACCAAGGCTAGCGTGTGCACCCCCTAACGCTAATCCTTCCCTAAATCCATACCTGCACAGATACCGTGCGCGCAAGCAGTAATATTTCTAGAGGCCGATTTCCATTCAGTGCAAATTGTATTGCGATCGACCTTTTGCGATCAACTTCTTTTAAATTGTAAACTCTCAACCAAAACAGTTTTAAATAGCTGCACACAATTCAAAAGAAAGTGATCGCAAAAAGTCGATCGCGCGACAATTTGTCCTGATGGAAATCAGCCTTTACAAATATACGGGGTGCCGAAATGTCAAGAAAGCTATAAATTTAGTCAAACACCTCAAAGATTTGTGTTAGTATGGGTACTTACGTAAGCATCCTCAGTTAATCTAACACTGAAAAAAATCGAGAAAAACGAGAGAGTGGTTTACAAAAGGACTTGTGCAAGCAAGAATATTTGTTTATGGTGTTTGATTAATTGGAGGATGTTTAAGTTAGCCATGCAAGCACAAATCTATGAAATATTTGGCTAAATTCATAGTTTAAAAAGCATTTCAAATTTGTCTACTTTGTCGATACACGCTGTATTATCCTTTTTAAACAGCATACAAAGGAGGTTGTTCATTCTCGTATTGATATTTTTCACGTCAGCTCTGTTGGAGGTCTGGTATAAAAGAATATTTCATCAATGCTATTGTAGACTCCAACTGGCGTGGGTTGCTCTTGTTTGGTAAATCCCAAAAGATTTGTTGCATGAATCAAGAATACTGTTTATCTTTGGATCATGCTGGCAACAAAATTATAGTGCTCCTTTCCTTTCATTTAATGAAAAATGAACAACGTAGTCAACTCGTAAGTTAGTCATTGTCATTTAAATGTTTTCTGTGTTCATGCTCACTACATGGTAAAAGCAATAAACTTGTAAAAACATAAATTATGCCAATGATCTGAAATTCATATAGCGCATGACCGAAGTGCGAGTTGGCTACGCTACGGTGAGAAAGCAATCCGTTTGATACAATACGAAGCTACAGACGAAGCTGCCTTCTCGAAAAAATCCCTGACTACGATGTGAAGTATGAAAGAAGCTATCTTTAATGTGTTAACTTACACTCTTGGATACACCACGTGAACTTGTTTCTGCCGTAGATTTGAAAAGTCGTTCGAAAAAGGGAAGGTCATTATTTCTGAAGGTTGTTCAAAATAATTATCCGGAATAAGTTCTTTGCTGGTGTGAATGAGAGATAGTCTTGTGGGTCGAGCGTAACTTGGAACTTCAGGTGCTGCGACACGATTAAAAAAGAACGAATTAGAAGGACTTGTGCACTATTCTTAACTACACTAGTCGCTAGATAAGAGTAAGGCAAAATTTATTGTTTAATACAACTTTTCATTGACTATGCTTATAAGAGTGAATATGCATTCACGTAAATTTATCAACATAAATGTCGCTCATGTCTTGTGAAGCCGAATTTTTGTGCGCATGCATTATGTCTTAGCAAGTATGTCGATCGAATTTTATATTACCGTAAATTATATGAACGTTATGTGTCCAAACAACAAACATTTATGTGCTTAGTCCTAAACAATCATTGAAACATGGAGGAAATGAACAAGTAGCGGCAAAAAGCACGATCGTTTTGAAAAGAAGTCTAACCTCCGTTTTCTTCAATTTCTTGTACAGATTACAAATCTTTTTTCATTAGTACCTGATGGTGGCTGCGTGGACTCATGCTGAATGGAGACATAGTCAGCAGGCGTGATCAAGCTGAATTTTTTCAACAATTCAACATCCATCGTATATCGAAGGTGCGATTTCACTAAAAATTTACACATGATTTGAGCAATATAAATAGTTTCTCAAAGTGGACTTTGCTGAATAACTTTTATCAAAAAAATTTTTGACGTAATTTTAAATGTAGATTTTAGCTTTTTGATTTAACTCGAATTGCTTGAGATTCTTATAAAACAATTCACTCCCAATTCTGATTTCGATAATTTAAAATCTCAAACAAGACATAAAATTCCTTGACAGAATCAGATGACATTACCCGGGGGTAAACCTAAAGACTTGTAGTTGTTGCATTCATGTAAAGCATGAGACAATTCTTGCTCTTCAGCAGCAGTTGCTGCCGCCTTTGCCTGCATGATATGTGCTTCCAACATTGCCAGTTCATCAAGCTGTCTTTGCCTCTCTGATTGAATCTATGCATATGAAAATTTTAATGAAAGTCCATGATATACACTGGCTTTAAAGGCGCAAACATGTCTCAATCGTGACTGCTCACAGCTGCTCTTGTGAAGAGATGTTGCATTCACAAAAATTAAGGCTCAATATCATTTACCTTATCAAGTCTCTCCACGTATTCTTCGTGATAACGCTGCTCTTTGCTTCTGGAAGTCGTAAGGTTTTTAACTGTTTGTTCGCTAACGTTGTCTTTGAGAAAATCTCGAAATGCGCCTGCCAAAATATGCGAGACATCTTGACATCGACTGAGCGATGGACGCTGAAGAAACATTGGTGGCTCATCATTTCTATCGCTTACACTTTCCATAAATATAGGGACTTCTTAGGATTGAAATTAATGAAATGAAAATCTACCATTTTTGAGCTTCCGAGCCGCCATTTTTAAATGCTGCTATAGCAACAATGACAAATGACAACCATGGCGATAACAAATATATTTATTATTCATTCACTGATATCATAAATCTGGAATCTGGATTATGCGATAAAGCCAAGTGCCACTGAGATGTAAAGTTTCCAGAGCCTATTGATGTTTCTTGATAACTTTTTTAAATATTACAATGAAATGGTACAACTGCTGCAGTATGGAGCCACTGTAAATGCAGGCATCAACTGGAGATGTTTGACAGTTGTAGGTTTTCGGTTTTACTAAAAATATGACAGACACACATACTCATTTTTTTTGACCCGGCTCAATGTTCTTATATTTTTTCCCGATTTCTGACTTAAAATGCTTTCAGCTTGAAAGTGGCTTGTTCTTATAATGCAGTCTTTTCGGCGATATAAATTATCATAATGTACTAACTATAAGGTATTTCAAAATGTAATTATGTCCAAAGCAGTACTTTCTTTTGACGTAATTCATATCCACCACTGCTAGATGATATATAGAGCACGATAAACATCAAGTCTACTTTCAAATATATGAAGGAAATTTTAAAATCTAAAGTATTTCGCGCTTCAGGGAAGCCTTTTTGTTAGAAAACCATGTCTCTTGACGTCAGTATAATATATATCAGTACAAATGTCCATTGAGCAAATACCAAATGATGCTGGCTGAGTTTTTTTTAGTTTGGACAAGCAAGCTGCTTCTTAACAATCTTCTTCCATTGAAAATCAGTATCTAGCACTTTTACCCCCATCAGCCAAACACATATCTTGATAATGTAACATGTCCAGAAGTTCATGTTTGTAAAAAAGGTGGTTGTCATAGTAATTAGAGCATAAGTTCCCGTGAAGTCTGCAGAATATCGGAGGAAAGTGGGGAATGAAAGAGTAAGGGCTCCAAAATCTTCCGTATGCAGTATTCGGGTGCCATGTTATCTCAACAAGCGCCATTTCACTCATAGTGCCGGATAGATCCGTACAATGCACTTGTGTACTACAGTAAGATAACGAATGTAGACTGGTACTAGGCGAGACAGGCCTGCTCTGTTGAAAAATATAATATTAATCGGTATTGAAAAGCTAACAATAACGGAGAATTAGACATACATACCTCTCAACTGAAATTAGCTTTTCACAAGTGGTCAAGAGGGCCAGTAGAAACATGGATAAACCACTCACATTCAACTTCAGCTGCTTACATGGCTCTATGAACTAAAGAGCAGTTAGATAGCTATATTTAGATTTTGAGTAAAAGTTATAATAAGAAAGCACGTCTACGTAAATGACAGTAACAACTATTCTTATTGTATATAAATGTACACGTGTTGTATAACGAACGCCTATACAACTGTAACAGCTATAAATTCAATTAACTAATCAACAGGCTTATCTGAAAAATACAATGATTCTAAATAGCAGAAATTGGTCTATTTTATGCATTTTTGCCTCTAAAATCTCTACGGGAATGCAAGAAAGTGCGGATTGAAAAGTATAGACAAGCGTAAAATTAGAAAAGATTATGGTGTTGTCACATGCAGACAAACATCCATTAATTGTTTTCAGTTTGCAATGGCGTTATACGTAAGGTGTTGAAAGGTGTTGAAAACTTCTGGATCCTACATATTCTTGATCAAAATTTTCAAACGTTTCTGCTTCATCGCGAACGGGCGCGTGCCGTTGTGTTGTGCACCTTTTCAACCAAATCAAGGAACACGTCCTTCATGTCTTTTTGATGAATAAGTCCAGCACCAATATTGATTAAGATGCGCTCAAAATTCTGGAAAACAGAGTAACAAATAAGAATTGCACTGCTCGCGAAACACGAGACTTAAATAAATAACTATATGAAAATATCCAGCTCTGAATTTCCGTTACTAAGTAAGAAAATGCAGCCTAAAAGCCTTATTAGTATAATAAGTAGGCAAATATAAAAACTGAAACTGAATAAAATGCAGTACAATATTGTCCAACATAATAAAATAACTGCTATCAACTGAATTCCTGTGTAAAAGTCAAGAGAATTTTAGCTCAATATAAAGATCTTTCATGTTATATGAATGTACGTACTTTATTTTAATAAAACCTGAATTTATCCTTCAACCCCTCCTTCAAGGGATTCAGATTAGTTCAAAAAATCTAACCTTAACATGAGGTTCGTAGAGTTTAGCAGCCTCCCCCGAATCTTTGGTTTTTAGTTGATCAACGACTGCTCTTTTATGTTCGTCCGCAATATCCTTATCGGATGTAAACACTTTCAGGTCTCTAAGTTCTTGAAGAAAATTTTTCTCCATGTCTAAGGCAGTATCCGAGTCAGTTGCTTCTAAACACGTATAATGATATGAATATTTTACATCCCAAAAGTAAAGAAATGCAATTCCATTTACTTTGGGATGTAGATGATGCCATGAATGCAACAACTACGAGTCTGAACTTCTGCATGCGAGTCATTGCCGTTGGTCAGTTGTGCTTTTTGTTTGTGATTATCGACAAAATATTTACGTCTTTGAAGACGGCACATGCTGAAATTTTAAATTAGCATCATAGACGTAAAAATAATTTCAAGGGGAAAATTTGTATCTGTTTATATTCGCTAACAAGGAAATAGGATTGAGTAGCTCAGATGAAGAAATAACTAGGTTAAAGCTGGAGTTTTCAAAGCTTTGGATTGTGCAACATGATAGATATCAAGATGAACTAGACCGCGCTATAAGACGGTCGAAGCAAGTACGTTCGTACATAGATATCATGCACTCATTTAAATTTGTCAACCTGAATCAACTAGGTGTATGCTAGAAGCTATCACTGCCAATATAAAACAGACAAAGCACAAATACACGAAAAATGTATGGCAACCAATAACAAAATCCTCCTTTTTGATGTGGAGATATTCCGAACTTAGTTATTTCAATAGCCTCGTATTTCAACCAGAAATTCTTTACGAACATGAAAACATTAAAACTCGTTCCCATTCCCATTCATATGTCATCTCTATATATTCAATACCAGTAGACGTCGTTGTCCATTTAGATATCAGCTGATCGATACAAAAAGCCCAATCAGCAAATGTTAGACTTGACAGTCTGAAAAAATTATTGAAGTTTAGTAAAAAAATTGTAAGTCAAAAACAACATAATTCAAAACAGCATTAGATAAAAAGCTTAAGTTGTGAATACAGGCATGTAAAAAAGAGTATAAATTGTAAGATAAAAATCAAGTTGTATCGAGAGCGCCGCACATGATGTAAGTAGAGTTCTCATTAAAAATTCTTATTTTTGTACAATACTGTCCATTACTGAGTTATCTTGCATTAGTTTGATTCGCGTAATTAATTACGAAACTGCAAGCTATTAGCCAATAAGAACGATTGTATGTATTGACACATGATTTCTAAAACTTCACGTGACCAGATCGCTAGATACGTAATGACCATGAACTTATTGAAGCAGTTCTGAATCAGATACGAGGCGTTTAATAGAGAGAGGAGTTGAAATTTTCTTTATCACTTTGGTGTAAACAAGCAAAAACAAAATGAATACTAAATATTAACATATTTATATGGTTTCTTAGCACAATCAATAACCCACTATAATCATATCACTTATACTGGTTATGTGATATGAGGCATCTGTTAGAAAGGGTTGATTAGAGAAAGGCAGGGGGGTGTTTTGGATAATTTACAATAAACCAAGAAACTAGCCAGGGCATTTACAGAGTAACACTAATTATGCACACAGCATGCTACGTATAACATACTTTTTCTTCGTTGTTTCAAATTTGTGGTATGACATAAACACGATGCATGCATAAGACCTGCAAATATACGGGAATCAACATCAATTGGCAAAGACCCCATTTAAAAACTTTAAATTTAAGAAAAGTGTATTTAATAGATTTGTCTTTCTTACTTTGACAATCTTTCTGATAGCAGAAACTCTGTTTTGATAATAGATACCAAATCTCCAGGGGAGTCTTCTACTGCTTTGAAAACATTCTTTACATTATCATATTGCCGCCTACAACTCTTTAAAGGAATGTCACATCTTTCAGATATGTCATCCAGATCCTTTCTTAACCTTGTTGTCAACTTTTTTCCCAAAAGTTCTCTCACAACAATATTATCAAATTCATAGTATCTATATTAAAAGGTCAATCATTATCACTAACATAATTAAACTTAGTTCATCTATACAACTGGCATCATCAAAATTAGTAGATCATCAAGCTCAATGATAAATAATCTTCATCTCCACAGTCATAATTTAGAACTAAAATGTTATGGTACATATGCCAAACAATTCTTTGTTTAACTAACCTTTCAATCAGCCTGTTCTGAATGACTGCGGGAATTTGAAGCATTTGCTGGGTTGCTAACAATGTAGGTGTTGGAAGAAAATGTTCCAAGACATGATAAACCCGGTATTGATCTGAAATATCACTGGCTATGATTGAAGGTGATGCTGCAACATGTTCAAAATGTCGACGCTTTATCAAATGATCAGCTGCTTCTCCTTCTGTTGATTTGATAAGCAATATTCAAATTAAAAATAAGAGTGCCAGTCAACTTATCATATATGTGAGTCATTTTTGTAAGTAGAAGATACATGACAAAGCTTTGCACGGACATAACTAACACTGGAGGTGCAGAGATCTTGTTCAAGGGTTAAGTATGTAGAAGTGATTTTCCATAACTTACTAGCAATAACAGTGTTACTCTCTCTTTCTCTCTTATACAAAAACAAATCATTGCAGGGCTCAACATATCATATATTGATATGTAAACATGAACTCATATGTTCATATATGTACATGATTTACTAAATAACTTTGTATTACACTGTAAATGATGGGTTTAACACTTTTTGACATAGCTAGCTTTAAAGGTTTATTTATGCTATGTAAAATTTTTTGTGAAACAATGAATTTCTAAAAACATGAATAATGCTAATGATAAGAAGGTTAGGTAACATGACCAAATTTGCAGGCTAGCTATGCCAAGGGTTACCACTGTAAATGGTAATAAGTCTTAGTTTGCCAAACACTAGACATTACTGCTTGATGCAAATGTTTTTTCGTGTGTGTTTAATGCCTTCTACATCTGTAATACTTCAGTTATATCTGCTTGCTGGAATGGCATACAGCCTGGAATGTATTGGCTCCAAGTGTTCAGCAATGTCACAGAGAACAATGCGTATTGTAATGTTTGTAACAAACATAATAATCAGCACAAGTATCTAATGACTGCTCAAAAATACTGCACGCTTAACGTACTTATCTATGAAAAATACGATCACAAGTAAACGATCATTCATCAAACCTGTAAGCCCATATAGCCAAAGATCATACACTTCTGCATCCAAAGTCGTAGGATCAGTCACAAACACATCAACCTCCTCCATTTTCTTAGAAAATTTTCTTAGATTATGCAAGGAAAACTTTGGTTGCCAGCAAACTAAATATTCGTTGATGTAAAATGTTTAAATTGTTTAATTATGATAAGGAAGACCGTACAATCAATACATCTGTTCAGGGTCAATCGGCGTTTTCTGCCGTTGCCATAACCTTGTCGTCTTTCAGAGTTTCAGTTCTTCTGTAACAGTAAATAATGTAAACCTAGTCATCAGAATCCAATCTAACCCTAAATCTGTTATTGTTAAAGATTGGATTATGGGTCGATTTATCGTCTAGCAGAACCAGCGAAACACGAAGTTAATAAAGAGACAGTTTAAATCATCTCATTGTTCCTAATCACGCGTGATTACACACAGGGGAATTTTATCTATGGGAGTGAATACATACAGTGGTTAAGGAACAATGGACAATGAGGTAATTTTTGTCTCTTGTCTTTTTGAGGAAACCGGACACTGTTTACATACAAGTGCACATTTGCGCGCGCACGTACCCAAAACATCGGAAATCTGTTACTTCACCTCACTTCACTCTTGCAGTTCTACGACACACGTGGGCCACAGTAAGTCTATGAATTTTAACTCTCTCAGCGGGGTTTGTAGTTTTCTGTTCTGATATTTTGTTTGACAAAGCTTTTTGAACGTATTGGCGCATTATGATACACCTTGGTTGCGTACTGCGAAAAAATATATTTTAACACCAACGTTGATAACTCTTCTGCATCCTTCATCTTGATGTAGGACTGTAAGATTAGCCGTAGATTATGCTTTACATTGCCGTATTTTCTAATGTTTAAGTGCATCACAACATGATTGTCACAGTTTTCAAGCCACAAATCAAACTGCTCTAACGCGTACAAAATACGAAACAATTTCACGTAATCATTGACTGGTGCAGTAAATTTTAACTTGCAAGATGTTTCGTCTAGTGCACTTTCTCCTTGTCTTAAAAATCTCATGTGGAAAAAAATGAAATATGTGTTAGGACGTTCTAAGACTCATCAAGGTTTATACTCATCAATTATAACCATCAAGGTTTTCATGGCTATAAATGCATTGTGTGTCGTGTAAATATAACCAAAGTTCAGTGTATAAACAGTATATTTGACCAATTATTGTTCATGTTGGAAACACGTATGGTTTACAAAATGCGTCTACATATTCTAACAATTTTTCACCTATCAATGTGACTGGCAGAAATATAGTAACTAAAATATGGTTTATAGCTAATGATTGTGCAAATAACTTTTTGTAACATTGCCTTCAATGTAATGTTTTTCATAATTGCAAGCAAGTGCTTATGCTAATTTATTCAGCAGTTGAAAGACCTTTTCTTTAGTCTGGGGGAAATGACTCAACTCATAACACTGTCTGAAACCATCACACCAGATTATACTACCTGCAACTGAATCTTTGTATTAATTTTTCTTTAGGAGTAAGGATTTGGTGAAATAGTTAGCAGTAGTTTTTATTCAAGTGATCGTCTACAAGCTCAATTTTTTTCTTTTAAGATGGAAAATAATATGTTTGGTATGTCTTCATCATCATCAACGAAGAATGACACACAAAAGAATGCAAATTTCCCACTCTACATTTGCAATTTGCCACTTAGTTTTGATGATGTAAGTTTTTGTTATGAGTTAATTGTGATATTTAATACATAAATAAAAGTATATTTTTGTTGCATAGATTTTGTCGATAGTTATGTAATACACAGTTGTTGAATTTCATGTGAATCAATTTATTTAATTTCTATAAATTATGTGTGGTTGAAAGTTTGAGTGAATGTTGGAATCACAATCATGGTTAATCTTCATGAGCAAAATTTTGAGAAATATGTCAAAATTGCATACCCAAAATGCATACTAGTAATACCTTGCTTGATAAATAGTGACATTTGCATACTAGGTTTATTACTATTTGTACCTATCAATTTGTAATTTGATAAATAACATTGATACATGATCAAGGATGATTTTTTCTACTTTTAATGACGACAAAAATCATTAAGCAGCAGAAGTCAAGTACTAGAAGTTTTTTTTTCCTTTCTCAGACTCAGTTGGAAGACTCATTTCGCCAGGCTGGAAATGTAATTTCTGTTAAATGTTTTCCTCCAAAGGGAAATAGAAATACCAAAATAGCGTAAGTGTTCATTTTCCTTGATTGTCTCTTCTTGTCGTTAGTTGTCTCTATTTACAATTTTGCTTTCCTGGCTTATGTTAAGGAAGTATTTAAGTAGGCAGATATTGCATGATGCTATATGATGTTGAGAGTGGCAAACTTGGACAAATCATTCTGATTTGCAATTATTTATAGTAACCATCATTTCTTTATAAATGGATTGTTTTTTTTTTCAGTGAATGAGTGCAACAATTTTTGCATGGCAATGATAGATAATTTGCTGTACTGAAAAGTTTTGATCACCCAAACTCTGGACATTTTCATGCTTAATTGTTGTTTGTAATGCTTGCTCATTTGTAATAAAAATTTCTTTAGGTGATTCAAAGTTGTTAGTGACTTTGGTTGAAATATATTTTTGTTCTTATGAGATAACTGCAGATTTCACATTATTTATGACTGTTAAATCATTGTTAGGTTTGTCATCTTTGCTTCTGAAGAAGAAGCAGAGAAAGCCATTTTGATGTTTAATGGAATGAATATTGAAAACCAGACATTGAGAGTAGAATACACCAAATCTTATAAAGAAAGAGGCCAAAATCTTGGTAATGGCTATTGCATTTTATGGTGTTCTTGCATTAAACGGATCAGCTGTGTATCTTTATTGTGTTTTTTAACTTTCTACAAGCTGTTTTGTAATATCTTTCATTGAAATGTTCACTGATGACTGATGAAAATGATGTTTTGGTTTATTTCAGGTTCAAGTAGGCAACGGCGTACTCCTGCACCAAATGCTTCATATGGACTTGGCCGTGGTATACGTCAGGAATACAACAATTCCACAAGAAGTCCTGGGTCTTCCGGCAATGGGAGAATGCAGGACTCTTTTGCAAATACTCCATTTGTTGAATCTGCATCACTGTCAAATGGGCATGGAAAATACAATGGTTTTCATGAAGACTCCTCTCTTGGTTTAAACCAAACCTCAAATGTCGGTTCTATGATGAACAATTTTACTTCAATGCACATTACAGATCATCATGCAAATGCAGAGCATTCGCAGTTCGATCAACCAACTTCACATCACATGTACAATGATGATTTTGGTCAACATAAGAAATATGATAAAAATTTGGTGTATCAAAACCAGGCAAATGATCAGAACCATGCATACAATATGAACGGTGTAAATGATCAAAACAATGCATACAATCTAAACCAAGCATATGACCAGAATCAAGCATATGACCAGAATCAAGCCTATGGTCTAAGTCAAGTGCATGATCAGAATCAGCTTTTCAATCCAAATCAAGGTTCTAATGAAAATCAGACTTTTGAACACAATCAAGCATATGATCAAAATGTGGTTAATGATCAAAATCAGGGGTATAGCCAAAACCAGGAGTACGACCAGATCCAAGGGTATGACCAGAATAAGGCATATGGTCAAAATCAAGGATATGATGAAAATCAGGGATACCACCAGAATCAAGGATATGGCCAAAATCAGGAATATGACCAGAATCAGGGATATAACCAGGATCAGGGATATGATCAGAATCAAGGATATAACCAGGATTCAGGATATGATCAGAATCAGGGTTATAACCAGGATCCGGGATATGATCAGAATCACGTATACAATCAGAATCAAGGATATGATCAGAATCAGGGATTTGGCCAAAATCAGGGATATAATCAAAATCTGGGCTATGGACTGAATCAAGAGCATAGTCAAAATCAGAAAAATGAACAAAATACATTGCAAAATCAAAATGGAAGTGCTTCAAATCAATCCTATGGAATGACTCAACAGCATTACCAAAATCACAGATATGGACATCAACAGACATTACATAATAGCTACCAGAATCAAGATCAGATTCAAACCCAGAGCGAGTCAATTAGCCCAGTTCAAAAGCAGGAACAGTCATTTGGCGATAACCAGTTTCCTAGTCAAAGTACTAATCCTCTTGACCTGACATCAACTAATAACTCAAAACCAGTGGCTCCCATCCAACGTCATTCAATCAAAACAAATTTAACGTTTCAAATCGTTTACCTCGATCAGAGTATGGCTTTGCTGGCAATAACGGTGGAGGAGATCGCTTTGGAAGACATGAAGAGAAGAGTCATTTTTCCCGAGAATCTTCGAATTTCAATCAAGGTATCTTTTTCGTAAACACAATTATAATAGTGTATGTTATAAGAAGAAACGAACAACATAATTGATTGTGTTGCATTAATAACAGTTTGGCATTTTCACAAGTATTAACTGCTTCCGTAAAATGGGCTATAAGACTATAGCTTCCAAATATTTCTTTTACGACCAATAACTTCAAAGTCCGTCGCATGCATTACTGATGTCTTATTTTTGCATGATTGAAGGCACAAACTATTCCTCGACTAGGCTACTCCATTTGATATTTATAGTTGACATAAAGTTTTAGGTTTGAGCCCGTGAGTATCGTTACATGTTTGTAGATATAGATTGTCCAGATTAGTAGAGTCCTGAGAAGGACTGTTGGTGTTAATGTGTACTGTCGTTTCGACAATCTTCGCGGTAGTCATTTTAGTCTACCGCTAGCAGTCAGCGTCATCTACCGCCAACAGTCGTTGACAGGATTCTATTAAACTGGACTATCTACATATACAAACACGTATTTGACATGTTGTGCACAGCTCCGTATGGTTATCGAGTTAGTCTACCGCCAACAGTCGTTGTCAGGATTTGATTTTTTTTTATTTAATTTAACAGCTTTATCGGCATTCTACTCAGTTACAATAATAAATAAATAAATAAATAAATAAATTTAACACGGTAGAGATGGCCAAAAGGGAGTAACGAACGGGACGTGAGTACCAATGCAAGGAAACTCCCTACAGAAAAAAAAGTTTTACAAGATAATAAATAATAAATCAGTGCGAATGAGTTCTATGACAGGAACAGTCTATAAAAGCTGACCAGGTACACGGTTGGTCAATATCGTAAACATTTACAAATAAATTAAAGTAGTGATTGGTGACAAAATTCTTGAATGATTCTACTAAACTGGACTATCTACATATACAAACATGTATTTGACATGTTGTGCACAGCTCCGTATGGTTGTCGAGTTTTCTTATATGAATAATTAATTTTGGAACTTATGAGTTGAATTAATATTTAAGGAGGAACTTGCCCGCGACCGGCGTCTAGAATAGATTACGTTCCTCCGCCCATGCCTGAAGATGTTGACATGTTGTTCAAAACCGCTGTTCACAAAGGCATTAATTTTGATCGGTACGTATGATAACAACGTTGAACAAACTGCACTTGAAAATTCCTTTACATTTCATGAGTATTTGTTCCACCTTAATCTATTTGAAAAAATAAGCTTACATGCATTGAAGGAGGGGGAGTGGGGAGTGAAGTGACGGTATATCATGGCATCTGGGAACGAGGTTGTGGTGATGCTCATGGAGGGTATCATTACAACAATATGGATACAGAATAGCAAGCAATGCTTGCTTTAGTGCATTTTATAAGTTTTTCCTATGTCGTTTCGTATTGTGTTTCATGCTGTAGCTGTTAGTAAAATTTAGTATCGTGTCATTGAGGAGTCTAGTTTTACGTATTAGTAAAAGGTCATGTTTCTCAGTTTTTGTAATGGTGTTGCAATAAGTTTCCTTTTTGATTTTGTGTTGTTGATGGCAGGTATGGCCTGGCTCGATAACTCTTATCGCCATTTTATGTATTGTAGATTCGATAATATACCTGTTGAGGTTACCGGAAATGCGCCACCTGGTGCCATTCAGACGTTTGACGAATTATTGTTGCCGGATACGCTAAAGGCAAATCTAGCTAGAGCGGAATTCACCAAACCCACGCCAGTTCAAAAACATGCTATGCCTGCCATCCTCAAGGGACGTGATGTCATGGCTTGCGCACAAACGGGTTCCGGAAAAACTGTAAGTATGCAGTCTGTCACTAAGGTCTCTGTGGGGTGGGATTAATACATGTACGTATACTTAAATATTTTTTAAAGTTCGCTCTTGTTTGAAGTGCCTATATCGAAGTCAGGGAAGTAACTGGTTTAAGTAGTTAAATTGATTTTAAATACATTTGCTCACAATTTCATGGGTCAAAAATTTATCTTAACCTACAAGTAGGTGACTCAACACCGGAAGTGACGTACATAAGAAAACACGCTCTTTTCATAAAGTAGCTACAAACACCGTATAATATAGAATTTTATGCGAACAGGTCTACTTTTTAACTGTTTATTGTTTACTGTAAACATGTGTAATGAAAGCTATTTTTTCCATGCATGGTTCTCCTACGTATGTACGTCACTTCTGGCACGAGTCACCTAATTAATTCTAGGCCCGAAAAGCCCAAAAAGATAGCATTTTCTTCCTACAAAATGTATTGCAAATGTTCTTCAAATAACTTCAACTATCTAAGAAAGTTAGTTCCGTGACCCTGATTTTGGCAGTTAAAACGACTTTACATTGTGTACGTCTACTACTGCATGTACGTCTTTTGATGATCTGTGTATGCACATACCGATAAACTCAGAATCGATTAAAATTTTATTATTGTTCATGTTTGCTAGTAGTTTGAGCGTATTGTTGAAACCAATTCTCATTCTTTGTTATCACTAGGTTGCCTTCATGCTACCAGTGATGGCGGGCATGGTGTACAATCGATTGGCCGAGACCACATACCTTGGCGGAAATGCTCCTTGTCCTGCCGCATTATGCGTTGCCCCAACAAGAGAATTGGCTCTCCAAATCTTTACTGAAGCTTTAAAATTCTCGTATGGCACTTACCTCCGACCAGTTGTATGTTATGGTGGTGTCAGCGTTGGCTATCAACTGTCGCAGCTTGAACGAGGCTGTCACATTCTTATTGGCACACCTGGTCGATTGCTTGACTTTGTCGGAAGAGATAGAGTAAGATATGGCAATTTTAAGGGTTTATTACTTGTCACCAAAGGTCTTCCTAAAATTATTAAAATTATGTCAACGGGTGTGGGGGCGGGATAGATTATCTGTTGTTGATCTTGTTCCCTAGTAAATTTGGAATGATTTAAGGATATCTGTTATAAAAATAGTGCAAATACAATTGCTTTTGAGGAACATGGTGAATCTAACGTCCAGTGAAATAGCTTCATAAAACATGTTAACATGCAAGAGAAAAATATATATGTGACAGTAAATCTTCGTAATGAGTCATCCGCTCTTTTTTTTTTAGTTTAGTAGATGTTTTAAAAATTTTTGCTACTCTTTCTGCAGTGAATACCGTCGTATAACCGCGACTTATACAATTGATATATGTTTTAGGTTAGCTTCAACAACGTTCGATATCTTATTCTGGATGAAGCCGATCGCATGCTTGATATGGGTTTTGAAGATGACATGAGAAAGATCATTACTCAGTGTGGAATGCCGGAGAAGTCGCAGCGTCAAACATTAATGTTCAGTGCGACATTTCCTGATAGAATACAAAAGTTAGCTGCGGAATTCCTCAACGATTACCTATTCTTAGCTGTTGGTAGCGTCGGTGGTAGTAACTTGGACATCAAGCAAGAAGTCCTAGACGTAGAGGGAAGCCAGAAGAGATCTGTTTTAATGGAAATACTTCAGCAATCAGGTACGAGATAAGTTCTCGTTATTTTTATCCCATCTAAAGTCTCGCTGGCTCTTATATATGCTCCTTTCCAGTTGGTCTACAATAATAAGTTTGTTTGCACACCATTGACGAGGTCAAAGCAACTCAGGGCACAGAATAGGCATTAATACGTATGATGCGAAGTATTTGATTGTCTTAAATATGAGATCTCCAAAACTGTATTTATTTCATTGAACATTTATTTTATTTATTTCATGGAAAATCGTGAATATTGATGATTTGGCAGAGCTCGCTTTCAGTGTGCTTCACTTTTGTTTGATATTTAGGGGAAAATAAGACTCTTGTTTTTGTGGAACGAAAAAGAAACGCAGATTTCCTCGCGAACTGGCTATCCCAAAATGAACTTCCAGCGACCAGTATCAGTGGGTAGGCTATTAAGTAATAATTCACTATTCCTTTACAAGTCAGTCTTATATTATTGCCACAATCTGTTGTTCGTTGTGCGTGGCGGACCATCTTGCCCAAGTACTATCCGTTGGTTAGCATTTTCACCCTCTATTTAAATCTTTAAAATTTGTTTTTTCTTAACTTTCCGCAACTTTCGATCATGGTAGTGTTTTGTTTTATTTTGTTGACGATCGCGTTAGCATAGCGTCGTTAATGTAAACTGTCTGATGGTGCATTGAGCGAAATCATTTGTTGTGCGATAGGATTTCTTAAAATAAAACCCAGGTCGGCCTGAAATCTTAATATGCAAAATTTGTTCAGAATTAGAGAGATAGAAAGAGATAGTATAGACACAAACTATGAAAATAGATTACCTGTATCAAAAATACTTTACGACATGGTGGCGTCCTAGACCCGGATCCCTCGCGAAAAATTGACGATATCTTACACGAAACGTCGTGTTTGCTAAATTACTCTATGTTAAGTCGCGGTACGTGCGTACTGTTCTAATACGTAGTGTTGGTGAAGTCCCTACCTAAACTCCTGTGCTTTGCCAAGGGATATTTTAAGAATTTTACACTGGGAGGCCATTAACCTTGAAAGAACCTGAGAGTCATGTGGCAGAGGATTTGGAAGACTGGAACCCTTGCCCAGTGAAATCGTAAAAACTGCAATTTCGTAAATGCTATTTTACGCCTTTAGTGAAGAGCAATTTAATAACAACGTAACTGACGTGTTATGAGACTAGAATTCAGTATATATGTTAAAATATGCTTGGCAACACTGCTTGCTAAGGTTGATTCCGCTTTCTGTTATGGAGAGTTTTGAACCTGTAATTGTTGAGATATTCCTTCCGAAGAACACCAGCAGAGAAAATTCTGTTATTGTCGTTAAACAGTGACCGCACGCAACAAGAACGTGAAATGGCTTTGGACGATTTCCGTAATGGTCGTGCTCCTATTCTCATTGCGACATCGGTTGCAGCACGAGGCCTTGATATACCGGATGTAAAGCAAGTGATAAACTATGATTTGCCTCAGCAAATCGAAGAGTACGTTCATCGTATTGGTAGAACTGGGCGAATCGGAAATCAAGGAAAAGCAATGGCGTTCTTTGAGCGCGGGAAAGATGATAAGTTAGCGAGAAGCCTGGTAAAAGTTTTGTCTGATGTGAGTTCTTTAATGTTATCTGGTTATTTGCGTCGTTTTGTTTATATTTATATTTGTATGAATGTTGTATTGAATTCGGTTTTGAGGAACCATGAGTTATTCGTTTCGTTTTATAGGCTTTGCAAGAGGTGCCAAATTGGATTGAAGAGGTCGCCGAGCGAGCATTGGGGACTAACTACGGTCCTGCCGGAGGAAAATTTGCCTCTCGAGATACAAGACGGGTATGTATACGATGTTCACTAAATTTCTCTAATATGCATTGTTAATTGTTATGAGAAAGTTAGTAGAAATATGCTCCCTTCATCTGTTTTGCAGCTAAATTTTGTGTTTTATTGATTTTTCTATTAGTCAGTTTTTCATGTTCATATATCCAATACGTTATTCATCTATCTCAACTTTACAGTTAGATCGTGCAAACGGTGGCTTTAATAGTTCAAGAAATTCATATTCCCCTGCTCAGAAAAGCAGTTCCGTTCCTGGCGGAAATGCGTCATCTTCTCTGCAGAACGGGGATGATGAGGACGCGTGGGATTAATACTTGCTAGGTATGGAATTTGCTGTAAGACTTGCCTACGATATAGTATTACTTTACGACACAATACTAAAGTTGTTTTGTTTGTGTTTCAAAATATTTTTCGCACTTCGATTTTGAATTTTATTAATGACTTTGACGTTCCTCAGAAAACGTTCCTCACGGCTTTACTAATTCTTGTTCACAAATAGAAAATCTTTATGAATGTCTTGTGCTTAACATGTGCTTCACATGTGATTAATCCCAGGTTCAGTTGCACATAGCGCAGATAGTGGTTTGCTTTAACCTGTAAATTTTTTCATGGTTTGAAAACCGTTTTTGATAGAGTCGCGATTCAAACGGTCCATTCAAAGATGACAAAGTTTAATTTTTTGTAGATAATGTAAGCACCTTTTTATTTCCTTGAAAGATGCTATTGAATAAACAGTACGAACGGATTCGTTTGACGTTGGTCTATATGTAATAAATGTTAGCTTGTGTTTTAATGTCCTGTTCATGGTGTTTGTTAGGCAGCTTCTTCGCGTAATCATGTTTTCTTTTTCTTGAGAGGATTTTGTTCCATAAACTGTGGCACATTTCGTCGTTTTCTCTATAAATTCAATTGAAACAAAATCCTGTTTGACTTAAGCTATTGAGGGCAACAAATGTAATATGTACGCACTCCATCGATCATTACAAACTGAAAAGAGGGAAAAAAACTTACCGCATTGACAGCAGCTAAAGGAGCGATGACGTTGTCTATGAGGGGAGTGGCACTACCACTGTTGGAAGTTATCTACAATATAGTGGTGGTCAATAACGTTGCTATAAAGCTTGTAATGTCGCCTATGTAATAAGGACAATAATGGTACTATTTTCGTGTCTTATAATTCAGGCCACCCTAGTGTAATAATTCTTTTTCGCCGCTTGCTTGGAATGCAAAATGTTTTCATTCATGTTCTCTATCAGTTGAATCTCTCCGCGAATTCTCTATCATACTTACTCCGGTTAAGACTGCTATGGATGACGGGACTAAAACAGGAACGAAAAGAATTGCTTGGAATTACTACAGCCGTTGCAGTCAAATTTCACAACACTAATTAACATGTTGCGTGATTTTCAAATGCTCACCAGTTTCGGCTATATCTTTTCCAGGCATCAAGGCTTCATATCTGTGTCTGTGCAAACAAATTGAAATTCAAACTTTCAGTCAATTCTTGTCATGTTTTGCATCCAAAAAGGATTCCTTACTTCAAGGATTGTAGCTCAAATTCGCAATTCGTGGACGCTTGCTTTAAGTCGTAGAGTAGAATAATATCGTTCCTATACAAATTGATTAAGTAAGTTAAGAAGAGTGGTCGTTCGTCAGAAAATCCTCATTTTTCTTAGCCACCTTAGTTCGTTGAAATTCTTGCATATTTCTTCTGTTGGCATTGGAACAAGTTCTTAAATAAAAAAAGTTCGTGTTTATTGTTAGGAAGACTGTTTCTATTTGAGCGACAGGTTATCTTGGGGTATATAGGTATGACATGAAGCGCGCTTAAGAAACCACAAAAATATCCAACTCATTTCTTTTATGATAAAAATGGGAGTTGTCTTTTACACACAATAAACATCTTTCATTCTTTAAGTGTAACACAATGCAACGAATTTACGACATATTGTATCATTGTTAGTTTTGCCTATCTTCATTTGTGGACTCTTGGTGGGGGGCTGGGGCGGGGACTCGATCACTTCAATAATTTTTAAAGGTTAAAAATCCCACTAATCACACCTATATAAAGTAACTGTCATATTAAACAATGAGTATTTAGCAGTTTTCTATACTGTGTCAGTCCCGGCATGCGCATTAAATTTTCTCGACTTTTTTATGGACAGGATTCCATGAAATAAAACATCAGGACATACAAATTTTACTGAAAAGTATTCAGCGTTGGTAAAAAATAAATTACGTATTGTAGCTCGATTTAAAATTCGAATTTCCTTCAAAACAAAACCATTGGTTTTGAATTTCTAAAGAATTAAATTTTACCATTCGAAGGTATTTCGAAATGTGAATGGAACGAAAACGAGCTGCATTAATTTATTTTGACGTATCCTAGATCCACCTCTGAATGTATTCAAATGGATACTACCTGGCCTCCCGAGAAATCTCATGTCTTGAGGACGAGCCCACCCCCCACCCCTCAAACAATAGGGTCCGCCACTGCTAATCTTCATTGATATTGAGCATTCTATTGTTTTGATAATGTTACATTTACATCTTTTTACATTATAAGTACTACTATATTTGAGTCATTGTATTTTAAGCATATATATAAATTAGTAAATATTTCTAATCCAATCAAATTGCACACTGAAGTTGAATAATAAAGTTAGGGAACGTGCCCAGAAAACATACCAACTTTCAATTCATCCAAGAGCATTTCAACTGCTTTCGACTTTTTCGTTCCCACGGAATTTGGCATTTTTAGCTACAAAGAACAAAAATTTATTTGATTTTTCATGGTCTTCGATAACTACGGGGGTTTCTTTCTGAAACCTACCCGTGAACTACGAAGGGAAACGCCGGCTGCTTTATTCTCTGGAAACTTGATACCAGCCCCCTCGATCTGTAAAAATATGAAATCGTCGGATTCATTTTCCAGGGTGATTACTTGCGTTGACATTTCATTACCTTGGTAGGTTTTTCGACTACTGCTTCCTTCTTCTTCGTCTGTTTTTTCTTATTCAAATTAGCCGGTCGTACTTTCTCTTGGTTCCTGTCGAAACAAGGGTGTCGAGTTAAAACTAATGCTCGAAGATTACATACGAATCTCACGGCACGACTCGCCTTGACTCGGTAGTGCTCTCCGCGGCTGTTATAAGTTTCTGCAAATCTTGCTGTCTTCGCTCTCTTTCTTTTTTGCGGATTTCGATTTTCTTCAATTCAGCAAGAAGATATTCTTCTTCTTCAATCTAAAGGTACGATGGCGTAAAACATTCCACATCTTTAAAGCAGTGCCTATCCATTACAATCCAGTGACTAATTACAAAAGAGATCCCTAAGCATTGCTAGATATACACATATATCCGTCATACGGTAACCAACGTACTAGAGTTTATTCCCAAACAGACAATTATAAGTTTTTCCAACAGTCAGCTGGGATTGTTTTACTTAACATTTTCACCTGTTCAGGCGTTCTGTCAAATAGTTTCAGAAGTTGTTTCTTGCGTGTTCTTTCATGGTCTGCATCATAAGGAGTCGGGAGATTATCTGGTTCCACACCTGGTGGCGCGCGGCCCTATTTTACACATACATGGACTTACATAATATCAAAGTTAATGGTGCGTAGCAAACTGTTTGTGGTATGGCCACCCAATACTTCATTGGTGAAATATTGTAAAACTGTGCATGGGGCTGACATTGAGCAAAGATACTGCCTGTTAATACTTCCGGATTTCAGTAAATTTAATACACCGATTACTAGAGAACACAAAAGCAACAAACCACCTTCAGAAGTCTAGTGACTGTATCGTAGTAACGATCTTTTAAATCTTCGATACTTCTCTCCTGGCGTAAGAAAAGGAATCAAGGAAATAATTAATGTTCCCAGTAATGACGACGGGGGGAGAGGGGTAGTCTATGTACCGCAGACATTAAATTCACGGCAACTTGATGTATATTACCTTGTATTTTTCTTTATCATATCTATCATGAATAACGACAAATCGTAAATCGAAGCGTCTAGAATATAATTGTCAACGAATTTCAGTGCCTCCGATTAATCGATAAAAATGAGTATTGAATAATTACACATGTTATTACAGGACGACGAATGCGTAGAGGTGAGAGATTACCTGCACATTTCAAATAAATAGTCCGTTTCTTCTTTGTTCCACTCGGAGTTCGACGAATCAACAAGATACATCTAAGAAGTCGAATTTGAATGTAATTCTGTTTTCTTGTTCAAAGTTTTGGTAAAGCGTATAAGCTATATAAGCTATACGGTTGTGTAACCTAGATATTCTGACGATTTATTCGTACTCTTAAAAGCTTGAACTTTATCAGATAAACTTCACCTCGTATTCCTCTTCGGTGTATTCTGGAACATTTACTTTCTAAAATTTAAGATGAGAAGTTAAAAACTGCCCACAGCAGAGACTGCGACAGGATTGAAAAAACCAAGTAAACGAGAGCTAGTCAACTGTAGTGTTTTGTAATTAATTCTAGACACTAGATTTATCACGATGATGACGTATGGTATTCCATGTTTTGTTGATATCTGAAATGCTTTTGAGATTGATGCATACTGTTATTTAAGAAATAAAAGATGTTTACTGTGTTTGCACAGGCTTATGCAAGCCGAGGAAATCTTTGGGAGAACTCTAGAGCTGATCTGTGCAAGCCCGAGATTGAAGGTCGAGTGTTACACCTGCTTGAGAGTTCTCACAAATGTCTTCGAGGTTTGCATAAGCCTGTGCAAACACGAAAAACATCTTTTATTTTTTTTATAAAATTACAATAATACATAACCAAGAAAACATTTTAATATTCTTTTAATATTATTCATGATTGATTTGTGAATTCTCTTTGATTGATTGATTGATTTGATTGGCTAAGCTCAAATCATTTTTCACAGGCTTATGCAAACACAGCTCTGGACCAATCAGCACACACATTTTATTGTGTCTATTTTATAATACCTTATTAAATTTAGAGAAGGGATAATCCTTTCCTTCTTCTGTAGATCTCCGCCAGTGATAAAATACAGCACCATCAGATCTAGCTGGATTCGTGAACGGCATCCACTTCCAAGCACGGACGTTCTTCCTGCCAAGTTTTGCTTTCACTTGTTTATATCCTTGGCTTGTATCAGTTGGTGCAAGAGCTGGAGGTCCTCTAAAATTATCATTATTTGTTTTCAATTTCATTATGTCTCAGTCAAAAGTATTAAGGGAAAATTTCAAATGCTTGAGCTCTTTCAATATAACTTTTATGGTGTGTGGGGAGTGTATGTTTTTGTTAGACGAACAATTCAAATTTCAAAGACAAATGATCAATTCTTTTATTATTGTGCAAGTGGACATTGAAGAAAACATCTTTAGACCATGTATGCTAAACCCAGCTTGGATGTTCTTGTAATACTCTATAAACTTCAAATTGAGCATGCTGACAGAATTGCACAATAAATGTATTATAAATGGTTCAAAGTACGCACCTGCTGTCACTATAAAGCAAGGCATACAGCTCTCTATGCATTCCTTCAGGTCGACGATAAGCTTCAACATGTTTCTTCGTTTTTTTCTGTTTAATTTACAGGATCAGGTAGAAACTGTGGTAATTACTCGATGCAATCAACTTTAACAGCTAGAGTTGTGGTTTTACACCCCTTCCACAAAATTTGAAGCCATGAGTTGGGATTGTATTTACCATGGGGGGTGGAGGGGGACATTCATAAAATGTATAGAAAGGAATTGTGACTCTCAAGAAATAAAGTTTAAAGAAAGGTCGGAGTTGTGACTGGTATAAAATTTTTTAACTTGTCAAGGGAGTGAGGAGGATTTGGTCCCCGAAACAAATGTTCACTGCTTTTTTAGTCATGCCCAACCGCGCATGAAATTAAGCACCCAATAAATAAATACGTGTTTTATGACATTGGTCACCAAACAGCTTTTACCTTATGGCCTCCAGCAACGATTGTCTCTTTCGTTGGTGTCGCTACTGATGGTTGTTCAATCTCCAATATATCTTTTACATCACTCATGGTAATTCAAACGTTCTGAGCTCTTTATAATTTTACAAATGATTTCTATTTCTAACAAAGCGACACACTAGAACACCACTGATTTTACAGGTAATCATTTACATAAACGTACATACGTATGAAATAATAACAAATGGTTACATTTCAGACGCCATGTTTTGTTGAGCGTAACAGTTGTTTCAATCTTCCTAATAGACATCTTATGATCTTGACCCAGTACTTGATCGGTCTTAAAAAAGTAATTTAAAATTGTAATGAAGGCAAAGCGATGCTGATGTGAGTATTTTTTTCATGGATTACTGCCCTTGTAGTGAGATAATTGCTTTAATTTTATTTAATGCTTGAATATCAGCAATAACATGCCATTTGGAAAAGGCTGCGATATTGTTTTAGACAAATTCTTGAAGCCGTTTTCTGTTTTTTAGAGACAATTAACGCAGAGAAGCTACAGTGCTTCAACAAGAAAAGGTATCTCAAGTAATTCTTGCAGAATTTATCTTTAAATAATAAACATACATAAGAACAACTCGCAACACCGGAGCTTTTCAATGTCGCATGACTGCGTGTGACCGATGGAAAGGGATTTGGAAAGTTGGTCAAATATGGCGGAGAATTCGAAGCCATTGATATACACAAAACAGGTTTGAACATTTACTTTCGTTTATATTCGCACATTTCTCGTGTTTTCAATTATAGTATGGTACATTAGGTAGTTTTTGAACCTTAACTGAAGTATAAATTGGATTTATATGCATGTGGCGTGATGTAGAGAATGAAGAATTGGAGATGTGTAAGTGTGCTGTCTAATGAACTTGTTGAAATAGAAACAAAGTTTATTTTCAGTTAAACACAGGCGAATTCAGAACTTATTTCAAGAAATCCAGGGAAGTTTTAGAAACATGAAATTAATTACTGTATTGAAGGGGTGAAGGGTGAAGCCTAATGTTTTGCAAAGTCAGCATTTTTTAAAGATATTCTAATGCTGCCAGCGCACGTCAATGTGTATCCTTAGGTTATTTATATGTTCTGGCATTATTTGTTTCCACCAGATGGGTTGTGAAACTACTGTTGTTCATGATGATGTTAATTGTGACATATTTTATCAAAAAAAGCTTGTTTGAATTTATAAAACATCTAATTGTTTTCTAGTTAACATTGGAGATTAATCATGTTTCTACATCACTCATATGCTCAAATTTTGGTGATAAATATTTCATTCTGGTCACACAATATGGTAAAATAGGAACACTAGTAAGTTGTTGTTTATTGTGAAATGACTGGCATTTGGTTTGAAAATTTGTCCAATTTTTATTGGCTATTGGCAAAGTAAGATGTACTGCCATTGGCCAATATGCATGTACTTGACCATTTTCAATTTGTACAATTACAACTTGCACAGGTGCAGATTGGAGAAAAATGTTTAATAAACAGTGGGAATGTTGAGAACATTGACATGAAAGTTTTGTTGGGGAAAGATGAGGTTTGTGTTATATAACTGTACAACAATAATATTCTATCAAGTGAATGTGCAAGGACTATTTTGTGCTTGAATTCTATTCAAAATGGTTTGGTTGATTTTGTTTTGATGTGTTTCCCCAAAGCGACTTGGCTCTGTATTTCCTGGAGTATGTTTGTTTAATGAATAGAACAAGTCTCCATTTGTCAGGACTATCCATTACCATTTCATAATTAAGAAATAAAATATGTTTAATGTGTTCGCACAGGCTTATGCAAACTGAGGAAACCTTTAGGAAAACTCAAAGCACATTCAGTGCATGCCCAAGACAAAAGGTTGAGGGTTTGTACCTGATCGAGAGTTGTCACAAACAACTCTGAGTGTCTCAACATAGTTTGTTCTTATGGAGGGAAACATGTGCTCAATTTTTTGTGAGTGAACAACAGGTGTTACTCACAAAAGCTTTTAAGATTAGTTGTTGAAGATATAAACCTGTATTCTATAGCTCACTCACACTGAGTGGGAATTCATAATTATTCAAAGATGGAATTTTCACTTCACTGATTGCTTGATTTAAAATATTTTAGCAAAAATCGTCCCAATAATGAAAAAAATGATTTTGTCATTGACTAGTGAGTGCAGGATTTTTATTTCACCCTCAGTAAGTGCGAGTGCAAGAAGCTTTTAGAGTGTTGGAGAACGAAAATCATAAAAATATCGTACTTCGATGGGATATCGATCATGATGGAACTCACTACCATCAGCCATAAGAAATGGCAAAACCTTTGCCAATTTCGAATGAAGAATTGCTCATTATGCACCTTTTGTCAACTCAAATTTTTGTAATTATCTCACTCTATTAACTTGTCATCCTTGTACTTAGTCAAAATCGTTCGTTTGTTCTTATTCCAATGTAGCTACGTTACGCATTTTCCCATATAAGGTCTTAAACGTCCACGGTTGATAAATAAATCAATAAAATGGAATGTGGAAGATCAATTTGATTTTTTTGTGACGGAATGCGTTTGTCGCATGCGTTTGCAAAGAAATGCAGTTTTTACAAATATTTTGATATCTTGCTTTCATTAGCCTATAAATGCCCTTTAGGAGACCCGAATTATGAAATTATTTCGTGCAAGCTAAATATCCCATTCCCTTAAGCAATGGCGTAGCAAGTCTGCTGTAAGTTTGCTCGTTCTATGTAAAATTTATTGACATTAGTAATCGATTTTTTTTAAGCGGGTCATTGGCAAAATATGCATTTAGCACGACCTAGTATGCGACCTAAAATAGTCTGATCCTTTCCTGTCCTATATTTACTATGATTAACATCCGGTCCATTTCCCTTATATGGTAAAAATCGATGCTGAATTACAGTAATTTTTTTTGTCTTTTCAAGCCAATATCTTCGATGTTTACTATTTACTTAATTTTACATTATTTTTCCTTAGCCCCTGACGTACGTGTATGCCAAGCAGATTGCAAAATGTTTATTCGCCAGCGGAGTTCATTTCCCGATTCTTTTGGGAATTGCATTGAAAGACGACACACCAGAAACTTTAAAACAACTTGTACGAAAAATCAATGACGCTGATCTGTTTTCTTCACATGTGGATGGCTCAATGAACACGTGGGCTCAGTGATATAGATGTCGAGGTAGATTTAATTTACTTGCATAGCATTCCTTGTATCCTGCAATTCATTTCTTTAAATTCACATAAAATAGATTATTACGATCGAAAGTTGACTGATAATTTCCTTTTAAAACGAAACAAAACAAAACAAACCGCTACCCACAGTACAGGATTCCGGACCACGGTCAAACGTCAAAAAATTCTGTCTGCTGCTACGGCCAATGAAATGGCGGGAAAGGCTCGGACTCCGCTCGCTGTTAAATTTTAAACAAATAAATGGATATAATGTACCAATATAAGATAAGTAAACATGCGTGTACTTGCATGAAGCCAAATTTTACACCCTTACGCGCGTGTCTGGGAGTAAAGTCCCACATTTTAGTCCGCTTTCGTTGGGCTGTGCGTGGAAAGATTGGGACTATTTGAATTAACTTGAAATTTTTGCGTGAGGTTGAATTGAATCTTAGTTACATTCAGTTCACTGGTTATGTGAATGCAATTGCTGACCCAAAGCTTATCATATTCCAAAACTGTACAAATTCCTTCATAATTGATACTCGGATATGTTGTCGTTATGTCGGTCTATCGTCGAGTATTAGGTTTCAATATTTATGGAGTGATAACAATAAATTTATTTATAATTAATACACGACGTCACATTATGATGGCATACTTACGTAAGTGGATGGTGCTGACGCGTTAAGCCAGGCTGAGCAGAGCCCTCCATAAGAGCCCGCTTACTAATAGAGGGCTCTGAGGCTGAGTGCCTTGAAGTTCAGGCTCATCTTTCAACCTGCTCCTTAAGAACCTGACCACCACACGTCCGCACCCGATCACACCAATTAATTGGTGGAAAAGACAACAAAAACAAAAAAAATTAATGCTGTTTACTCTGTAAGCGTACTTCGCTAATGATATGCACCTCACTGTATCCTATTATCTAATACTGCATGCTAACCGCAGAGGGTCTCGTCCCCAGACTTCTGCGCTGTTCCTTGGCTATTAACCTTGGTTATTGCATAACCTCATAATGAAAGCAATAAAACCATTAAAACGCTTACGGTGATTGGTCTATAGCTGCGTTTGCATTAGGGCTGTGCAAACAGATTTGAGCTCAACCAATCAAATCATTCAATCAATAAATCAAAGATTGAATTGAATTCCACTTGTATTCAGTTCATTTTTTATGTTAATACTACCGCTGACCCAAAGCTTGTATTTTTCCCAAAATAAAACAATTATACAAATTCCTTCACATTTGATATCCGTATGTGTTGTCTGCTGTTTAGTAATTGGCAGTGCTCCACGAAAATGGACATTGAGAATAAGGTTTCAATATTTTTGGATTGATAATAAACTTATATGAAGCACTTTCCACGTTCGATGATTTATTCAATAAATATGAATACTTAATGTCAAGTACATTTTGGTTGTTTGATAGCCGAGCTCTCAAATAATCATCCGATAGAGCTTTATCCGTGACGTAAAACACTCAATTGTGAGAAATCGGACGACTAAATGAGAATCAGCTTTTAACAAACATCATCCACTTATTGGGTTACGTTTTTGATTATGTAACCCTGAGTGTGGTGGATGACTGACGATAAACATCCATTTTTTCTATAAAATATCGTTGCATCGGTGTATCATTGATGACTTTGGTCATTTGCTTCACTTTGAAATGAATACTTGATTCCTTCGTTTGCTTTTCTTTCCCATTGATTCTTATTTTAAATTTTCGATCTTTGTCGTTTTAGCATTCTCAAATCTGTATATCGAAAGGTGCAAGGTTAATTAAGCTGCCAATTCACACGCGCCCAACACGATCACGAATAGCAAAAATATGTTGTGTCAATGATGATAATTGGTGATAAAATGGAGGCATGAAATTGTCGTTTCAAAGATCAGCAACTGATAAAAATATATTTTTGAACATTGGCGATCGTCTGTCGTTGCTAAGCCATTTGACTACCTGTGCTTTGATACAAGTGGATTATAACACTGCACTAAAGCGGAGTATTGACAAATTTTGTGCATAGCTATGTTATTAATATCAGGATGAGGGAAATAAAAATACTTATTTGCCAACTTTCTCCAGAATGGAAAGCTTATGTTTTGTTCGAATATTTTATTTTGATTATTTTGTTTCTTTAAATAAGCTTGGGCTTGACAAGCGATGCCAGTTTTATGGTCAGAAGTTACATTAGAACCTCATATACAATTTTGATGATGCAAAATTTAAAGTTGTTGTAACTAAAATATGTGGAAAAAAGTTTGATTCTAGAGTTAAGTTCTTTGTGCGCTCACAATTTACTGTTTTTGCTGTTTGGGCCAGATTGACGTGCTTATACCACACGTAGTAGGTGATTGCTGCCCAATGGCAGGCGCAAAACAGTCGTATATCAAATGTTGTAGCATATTGACGTGCATATATCACATGTTGCTGCTGGCTGTAAGTAACCCAATGGCAAGCGCAAAACAGTCGCATATCAAATGTTGTAGCATATTGACGTGCATATATCACATGTTGCTGCTGGCTGTAACCCAATGGCATGCGCAAAACAGTCGTATATCAAATGTTGTAGTATAATGACGGGCTTAAAATCAATTGCGCCACTTGTTGGACATATTTTTACGCGTGACTGTCAGCTGATTATATGCGCCAATAACAATTTGCAAAAATCCTTATTGAGAACGTTCATTACATTCATTTAAAGCTGCATATTTAGGAGCACGAGCGGTAGACTAATTTCTCGCGCTGAAGTTGATAAACTAGACTGAAGAAAAATGTAGTTTCAGTGTACAGTGGAGAAATATATGATTTGTAAGGAACGTTATACATAAAATCTTTACATCTCCAATAACGAACCATGTGCCATTAAAGTAAAGCTATTTCAAATAAGGGTGAGGTGGGTGCTTCCCCCTCCTTTCCTTCCTCTCTTTCAGTTTCAGCGTATTCCCTATATCTCCTTCAGTTTCAGCGTATTATGCACGAATAGACGTACACATCAGTTTCAGCGTATTTTCATAACTATGCACGCACGCACCCTCCTTGCCTCCGTCTCCTTCAGTTTCAGCGTGTCTCCATAGCTATGCACGAATAGACGCACCCTCCCCCTCCTTGCCTTCGTTTCTTTCATTTTCAGCGTATCTCCATAGCTATGCTCGAAAGGAATTGTTGAGAGTTTATCTACAGCTTCATTGGGATGCAAGAAATTTGTTTTGACATATTTCACTTTATTATATTCTATTCTTGAGCAGATTATCACCGTAAACATTCCATCTTTAAGTGGTAAATTGACACTAACGTTACGTCATACCTGTCTGTGTACAAAGACCGTGTTCAATTTCTGTTTCTCTTCATAATTTATTGAAAACACACGAAATTATCACAAAATCAGGCGACGGTAATGAATTGCTATAAATTTCATTCACATTACATGTTTGTGGATGTAGATCGTCCAGATTAGTAAAGTCCTGAGAAGGACTGTTGTTGTTGGTGTTGACTACCGCTAAGTTTGTCGAAACGTCAGTCAACACCAACAACAACAGTCCTTCTCAGGACTCTACTAACCTGGACGATCTACATTTACAAACATGGAACGACATTCCCTAATCCAAACCATTTACTTCATTTTCATTGACGGATTAAATTGAACGGGATCTTACATCTGTTCTTTGTTTTAACATTTACTTGTGCGTTGTTATTTATCGTTTGTAAATGTATAGAAACATAAGATCCGCCGACAACATTTCATTAAAACTGTATGCACTCGCTGAAAAATTATTGATGATTATCTGTGTCTGCGAGGTATGATATAAATGTGAATCGTGTAGGTATTAGATGGAGACGAGGGTTTCCTGAAATTTAGGGAATGTTAGTAATGTGAATAACTTCATCATGGCGATGATTGGATTTATTTTTGAACCGCTTTTCATTGTGATAGCTATATGTGCTATCTTTCTCTGCATTTTCTAGTTCCAGCACAGACGTTCCGTTCGTTTGTTATTATAGCTCTGTTTTACTGGTACAAATGCTTATTCAATCTACGCTGATGATCGAATTTATTCGTTGCCAAAATAAACAATGCTATATAGTAGATGTGCTTGAAAATTTGTTCAGATTTGATTATATGATGGAGCAAGCTTTGTCGAAGTTATTTCTCCACACTGTTTGCAAATATGCCTTTTATACAACCGAAAATACCGGCTAATCTTAACTTATGTTAAATAATCTTAATTAAACTGTCTTTTGCTGTTTCACTTGTGTTTGAGAAGTCGTCCAACTTGTTTTGAAATCTGATTGTGTTAAATTTCTTTTCGTTTATACGATAGTGCGCTCATTATATTATGTTTTATTTTCACTTCTCAATGATTTATGGTTTTGCATTTAGCCGACGAATGTAATTAGATGTCAAAGTAAAAAGGTGGAAAGGTGGTTATGTGAAACGGAAATGAAAATTATTCATAGACTCGTAATTTTCATGACTTATTGCGTGCTCAATTGAAGAGGAAAATTTTGTTCCTGCAGTGTGAATAGCTATTTTTGAAGTCGGACTTTAATCCTTCATTTTTAAAAAAATATCATGTCTGGTGTGATTTGTCGTGCATTATACATTACCACCATCACTATTTACAAAACTGTATATTATTATGTCATTTCATGTTCAACATGTGAGCGAAGTATATAATCTTGAGTACAAAATTTGTGGAACATGCTGTAGGTGTTCGAAAGTTATCTTCGTAATTTTCAACATACGTAGTCCAGCTCGTGTCAACATACGATGCGCATTAGTCATAATATATACGCGCAAGAAAGATTAATATGTACAAAAGCAATAATTGTGATTCCCTCCATATGTTTGCTATGTATAGTGTTATTTAGAAATTCATTTCGTTGAGAGTTTCAGCCTACCTGATTTGTCCCGGTCTCACATACTTTAACTCAATGCAGAAGAAACATACACCAAAACTTGTGCAGTTGAGACAATTGAATGACAGGGAGTTCTATTTCGGGATGAAATCGCAGCCCCGTTGAGCTATGATGGCCGACTTTACAACCGTTGCAGAAATTTAGCCCATGGTAAAATCACTTCATGTACTTATAGCGTTAGACCTAGCAATCAACGATTGTAAGGTAACATTTAAAGCATGCCATACGATCATTAGGTAATATTTATAATTGAAGTGGAACGCTTCGCGTTACCTATAAGAACAGTATAAAGTTTCGTTATCGCGCTCAACAAAAAAAAGATTTTTTCTTTATACACGCGCATATGAACATACAAAAAGTCAAAGAAATTCGCTTTACAGCTGTATCACAATTGATACATGTTAAAACAAAGTACCATGCATATTTTGCGCTAAATGAAAGGAGAGCTGAAAGCAATTCTTGCATTCGTTAGACTGCTCGTTATTTGTTAATCTATAATTTTCATGCTAAACTGAAAAAAGCACAGGAAATGGAAAACAATGACCGATGTTCGAAAAGATTTATTGTTCGTACGAGTTCACAAAAAATATATATTTCATTTGCTCGTATGAATCTTAGTCGCTCATTCTTGTGTTCATGAATGCATATTTGAGTATTTTCCCTTATTCACATGTGGATTCAAAATTGGATAATTTTTACCAATAAACAATTTGTCGTTAATGTCTGTATAACATGAATTGAAATTGAACTATAACAATTAATGAACTCAATGAATAGTTATATAGAGCACAAAAAAAGTAAACGCCATATACAAATTGTTGGTATTCTTCAAGTATAAAAGGAGGCGTTATATTGTCGATGTTTCTCAAAGATGTTTTCTTTTCTTTTATTGATAATGTCATCACATGAGATTGGAAATAAAAAAAAACTTACTTCAGAGGTCCCATGTCGTATTGCACATCAGCCCAGTATAAATCGTCGGGCAAATATCGCATGGGGCAGCATTCGATTTAAATCGATAATTTTGATAACCTCGTAAAGAAGTGCTCATCATATTCTCACTCTACTGCAAATTTTAACATTCTATTTCATATGAACTAAAACACGTATTATAGGAATTGTGTACAGTAGGTTGGTGGAGAATTGCCAGCCGATAACTGTACGGTGTGCATTCAGTTAATCTGGCTTTACTCCCGGATTTTATAAGCTTAATATATTCTGTTTGTATCGACCCTACAGCAGACCGTTTTTAAATAATGGACTATCGTTCAGTACTGAATGAACAAGCACAAATATATGACTGGGTTGATTTCTGTCAAATTTCGTATCGACTATCGAAGGCTGTTGTTGTAAAATATCATTTATTCGTGAAATGGAAAAATCTACAAACACACATCTGTTTACAAATTACTTTCACTGTCTTTGCTCGTGAATTAAAAAGTTTTTTTAAAATTTTCGAACAATATATAACAGATCTTACATTTTGCAGTTCAATAATTGGGTACGATATATTTCGTCACTTCTATACATGGATCAGCATGCATTTTTAGATTAACTTATCTCAATGATGAGCAAAGAGCGTGCTAAAATGATGCCTTCATTTAGATATGCGAGTATTAGCAAACGAAAAAAATCAATCATATACTTTCTTTTTACAAAGTAATTTTCGTATTGTACTATGGCTCTTACTTCTTGTACCTCCCTCAACACATACCCAAATACGAATGTCACGTTATTATATGCCTTTTGAAAAAAGATAAAGTCAATGAGCATTTGTACATTATGATGTTCCCCCTTCAGACACTAGCAATCCATGGTGTTCATAAGGATAACGGTAATCCACTACTATAGTTTTTCGTGCCCGTGGAAATTTTATAGAGGAAAGCTCAAACGTTCTGATTGCAATCATTTTTAAAAGCACACCGATTGCATGTATCCAATAAACGGGAATATGAATCTCAATCATTTCCTGAAGAAAACATGCACATCGAAAAGCTTTCGATTTCTTTGTTTATTCTCCCTGAAACCAAGCGCCCTCCATCCTCCAGACGCTGAAAGCGTAGCTTAATCGCTCGTGTGCCAGAAAGCAACTGCTAGCGGCAGAGTTCGGATGCTTTTCATCATTGCCAAGAACTTGGCAAAGGAAATCTATGTAGCGCGTTGCCAAGCGCAAAGTTTGAATTTTGGACAACTTATCTGATGGAAGTGTTGGAATAATTCGCCGCAATTTCGCAAAGGATTCGTTTAAGGCCTGCGTTCTCATTCGTTCCCGTACATTAGCAATGCAACGTTGCTCGCTCTTAACGCCACCACCACATTCGTTTGTACCAAGACGTTTCTTGCTTCGACCACCAGCAGAAATACTTCGTCGTCCTTTCCTTTTTCCATGCGACGAAGATTCCTGTCTTTCACACTCCGGCAATCCCATGATAACGCGATAATCCTTCTCAAGTATTTGTTAGAGTGTTTATGACACGCACTTCGTATCATTTAACTCAAGTCCCAATCGAGGGAATCGTCAGATGAAATCAGTGATTCACGAGGCACTGCTGTGAAACCGTGAGTAAACAAAGGTTTAAGTTTACACGCAAAGACAGATGAAATCAAAGCGTACAGGGAAATGTTGCGGGAAGCCAATCAGCGCTCACGTCGTTCTCGCTGTTGTGTCAATGCTATCTTTGACATGTATTGCGGAGTTAATTGTGTGATACAATTATGAGGACACTGATACGCTGTCGCACGTCAACTTTGTGCTCACATCAAAGCAAAAACCGCCGCACCGCAATGTATGCGTGCTCGAAACGCATAAAATGCAAATGGCCACTTCTGCCTGCCCCTGGGGTCATTAGAAACGATCATTCCATATTTATAATCCGTTTTAAAGTAAGAAAAGGTTTGCATTGATGTGACGAAGATGTATTGGGTAACTCGGACTTACGTTTTCACAGCTGCAAAGGGAGTGTGCTATCTCGAATTATCAATTATCGCAGTGTAGAGAATAAACGAAACAGCGTGAATCTTGGAATGCGTGCGACATTTTTTCGTCTGTGCTCGTGGATTCCTCCCTGCGTGGTCAAAAATAAGCATTTACGGCTAATGAAGTGATCCGATGAGTGCTTCAAGTGTTCAATTATGAGAACTGATAGATGGCAGAGATGGACCGTTGATCACAATCATAACCTTTCAAACACTTTGTTAATCTTTTCAAACCCTAAACAAATGCTAAAACATCCTTACGGGTTGCTTTCTCTCTAATGCCACTTTGTCGATTTGAAAATAATTGACGCCTTTTCATGTTGACTTCCGCTGGCCATATGCGATAGCGTGCGTCCCCATCAGTCAAGCATGAAAAAATATCTAATGTTGATTTTACGCAAGCACTTGCGACTAATTATGGTCCGACAAAAATATATCGATATTCTTTTCTATATGAGGAAAAGAAATTTGTGTTGTGTACATATTTCAGTTTTTGATGTACGCACAATGTACAAGATGAATAAGATGATCATGAAGCTCAATTGAGTTAGTTATAGTAATATATTGTTTGTGAAAAACTTTTTATGATCCCGCAATTTGGAAGTGGCAATTGTGCGAAGCCTGTTTTTGCGAGTAAAAGTTTGTTGTGTAATAATTTGTCAACTCTGTTTCCGCGTGTTTTTCCGTATCTAAGCGAAAACAGGAAATATTACCTTACACTTTCCACTAGAAAGCAAGAATCCTACATACTTGAATTTCACGATTTCTGTGTACTGCGTTTTAAATTAATGAATAAGTGACGAGTCTGAAATTTTGCATCACACCATTAATTACACGTTTGTAAAGGATGTGTAAAGCAAGCCATGTGTTAAAATTGAAAATTATGCTTGTTGGCGGTAAATTGTTGCCAATTATGTGAGAATGTTGTTGGTGAAATAATGAATGTTGCTTGAAGACGTCTAAGGAATGTGTTTGTTGGGCATGAGGCATTACTAATATGTAGTAAATGGTTTCCAGTCAATGCAAAATTAAAGAAATGGAAGTTGGTTAGAGTAGCAGTGTGTTAATACAGGAAGCAATACTTGTTTGTGCTAAATGGTTACTATTTGTTGAATAAATATTTGTGAATGTTTTGTCAAAGCCAACAGTGGCGGTTTCACTTACACGAACCTGAAATTCAAAATACCTAAATAATTGGTATTTAAAACAATATTTTGTGACAAAAATTTAACCTGTGGAATTGTTTTCAAGGTCCAATTACAATCATTAAACTACTCTTGATGTGCACTTAAAAGCAAGAAGTGTGTTATATTTTAGGAATAGCAAGAAAAATCATTTTTGTAGCATATTGTCACTAGTTGATGAAGAGAATGTTATGGTAAATTGTTTAAAACTAGCTATGTCCCAGTTTTAAGACAGGAAACAACACTTGATGTTGTGGTTGTGGCTTCCCGTTGTTTAACCACATGTTTTTGAAGGTCTGTAAAGCTGTGGTTCGCCATGAAATCTTAAATAGCAAATGTTACTTTTCTAAAGTAGTGCTTGTTGCTCGATGGCATCGGGCTTAATTTTGTCGAATTCGAGTTGTCTTGAGAAAGCTTGTTCATTTTACTTTTATATGAAGCAATGCCTATTAAGTTCTTTTTGTGTGGCAGATTTCCAAACACACACACTGAAATATTTTTTAATGTAATTTGATCAGTTAGTCATGTAGGTATATAATTGTAGAAAAATACATGTATGTTTTTTTTTATTTTCTATTGCGGCGTTTTGTCTACCTACTATACGTAATAGCCAATTAAACTTAGAATAAGCTTTGTGAATTTGTTGAAATTGTACAGGTTAACTTTGTTTTTGTACTTTGCAGTTCCAGTTAGAAAATGTCAAAATTTAAATTCAAAGCAACGTGTAAATGGTTACGTAACGGCCATAAAGTAGTATGTTTTATTGTTGTATATATACACGTTGTATATATATGTATATACATATATATATATTGTTGTATATATATGTATATATATATATATTGCTGTTGTGTGATCTTACCAGAAAACTGTTAATATGTAGAATGGCCGTTGGTATATCGGCTAAATTATTTGGGAGTCTGGTATTAGTGAAAATTAGCGCACTGCAGAGAAGACTGCGCATGTGCCATTCTACATGTGCAAAGCCATTGCCACACATGGCTTTCTCTTTAATCTCTTTACATTTTCACTGTTAATACATTGCTTTCTCTTTTGCATTTTCAATGTCAACACATTGCGTTATCTATAGGTTTTCAATGGCAGCACGTTGCTTTTTCTCTACATGTTCAATTGCAACACATTGATTTCTCCATATATTTTCAATTTTGACACATTGCTTCCTATGAGCATTTTCAAAATTACATCATTTCTATCTTTCTATACACATTTTCAACATTAACACATTGCCTTCTCCATACATTTTGTAAATTAACACATTTGTTTGTTTCTACACACATTTTTAACATTGACACATTGATTTCTCCACACATTTTCAATATTTATTCGACATTTACATTGCCTTCTTTCGGTATACACTTTCAATATTAACACATTGCTTTCTCCATTCATCCTTCACAAACATGCAATAATGTGCACAGCAGGCTTGAAATTTAAGTATGTAGGATTTTTGCTTTCTAGTGGGAAGTGTAAATTATTATTTCTTGTTTTTTTTTGCAAACATATTTTGACTCAATTTAGTCCAAATGGCATCATTAAGTAAACAAATATGTTACATAAGAGACAATTCTTTGTGAATAAACATTATGTAACAGACAGTGTTAGAATAACGTTACACAATAGAAAAATGTTGAATCGGGTCACTTTAGGCTATAGCTCTAGATCGTGAATTTATTTAATTTATTACATTGCTATGAATTACATGAAATTTTAACGGTCCTTTTACAATAATTTTTATGTTGCAATTTTAATGTGACAGCTTATGAGCAATTTTTATCAATTTTAGTATGGGACAAATAGCTATATTTTCTGGCTTTTATGTGATAAATGAATACTCTTATACGTTCAAATGATTTTAAGTGCAGATACCCTGTCAAGGAACATGCCTCATTTCGGTTAAATTAGCATGTTAATCAGCCAGTCAAGAGTTCCTTTCACGGATCATACAATGAAGTGCTTCTGTGTGAATTCGTTTTGTGAACGCTGCTGTTCACAATTACTTGTGACTCACTTTTGTAAAAACAATGTGAACAAACAATTGTCATGTGACGGTCAAGTATTGTTGTCACATTAAAGTTGCCAAATATAAATCAATCAAATAGGTGACATATGGGTGACAAACATAGACAGTATGAATGAGATGGAACAGTATATTTATCGTTCGAGGGACATCCAAGAGCTCTACGAAATAGCTACTATGAGCGAGTTAACATAGCGAAGAGAAACATCAAGATGTCCCAGAGACGGCTAAAATTATATCGCCCTTTTGAGCCATGGACGTAGCTGGAATAGTTATTGGTGAAGTGTGTCCTGGCATTGAACAAAAAACGTATGAAACACCAAAACCCAGTGGTGTAAGAAGCAAATGAAAGTTGGCGAGGCTCAATATTTTTGGGCGAAATTTTTCATCTGAAAAAGAAATTTTTCTTGTAAAAAAAGGGCACTTTTTTATATTAAATTTGAAAGTAGGGGGCACGTGCCTCTTATACCCCCCCGTTCTTACGCCACTGTGTAACCACCCAAACATTGTAATGACGTCAATGCATTTATTAGAGATAGCGAAACTATATTGTTGGAGTTTATTCCTTGCAGTTGTAGTCCCCCTATATGAGTAATATATTATACTGGGTGTATAAAAAAACTGAATAGATAGGAAAACGTCGCTCAAGTTATCAGCGCACAAGATTTGCAAAAACCTTTGATGGAATAGGTTGTTCGACTTCCAATGGATCATGTGACAGTAAAACTTTTGTAAATATTTACCATTTTTAGAGTGGGAATTGTATTACCGAGAAAGAACTTTTGAAATAACTTTTGCACGAAAATGGCGAAGCTAAAAAGAAATTGGAGCACATGGGGTTAAAATATGGCACATGTTGTTGAAGCTTACAAACTTCCGGGAAATTTGGCGAAACCGTACACGAACGCTAGGGATCCAACTTGCGGATTATTTTCCGTTTTTGCTTGAATAAATTTAAGCTCAAATTTATGTATAATTGATAAGGATTATAAAAAGATGGCATTTAAACACGACAAGTTCGAAATAATTCGCCATTTGAATGCTAAGCGTTCGCGTACCCAACTGCCAAATTTCCAAAAACTTTGTTCGCGAGAACAACATGTGCCATATTTTATCTCTATGTGATCCAATTGCTTTTTAGCTGCACTATTTTCGTGCGCAAGCTATTTCAAAGGTGCTGTTTGGTAACACAATTCTCACTCTAAAAATGGTTATTTGGCGAAACTTTTAATGCCAGATGAGCCTTTGACCTTTGTAAGTCTAACTACCTATTTCCATCAAAGGTTCTTGCAGATCTTACGCACTTTCGACTTTAGCGACGATTTCCTTGTAGTTCAGGTTTTTTTATATACAACCTGTTTGTGCATGGGTACAAAATCACCTATGGAGCAGGTGGAATCGGTGGCACGCATATGGAATCCTTTTTCTTGTACTTAGCCAAAGATGACTTTACATAAGCTGATTCCTTTGAATCGTCGTCAGGCACGGCAACGTTCAGTGTAAATGTACTGTCCACGGAAGCAGAAGCGAAGTAAATGTGATCGTTTGCAAAATCGAAATATCGAAGGCAACCGTAAATGTCTTCATCGTTGAGTCTACAAACGTTCGATAAAAAACAGTTATTTCTGTTCATATTTTTGCGTAGAGAGAAGAAATTATGCAGTGCTAATGTGTAATACGTTTTTGATTGATAATTATAAGAACTGGGAACATTATCTTTACAATTTGCAGATAATCTATGTATCTGAGAAAAGGTTGAGTTCAGATTTAAGATTTGTAAAGATTGAGCATACTCGTATGTAACCATTTTATGTATATTGCATGTCATTTTTATGAATGGCCCAAGCCAGATCATAAAACTTCACCTTTCATCGGCCTATAGCCAATTCACCTAACCTCATTCAACATACTGTTAGATTTAGTTTATAGATGTTTATTATTCAGAGGTGAAGGAGGCAAGTGAAAGTTGGGGGGCACAAGCTTTTCGGGGCAGTTTTCATTTAAAAAGGACACTTTTTTGTAAAAAAAGGAACTTTTCTTGTAAAAAAAGGGTACTTTTTTCACATTAACTTTGAAAGTTGGGGGGGGCACGTGACACAACGCCACTATTATTATTGGTACAGATATTTACTCACATGATGTCGTAACTGGTATTAAAGCCATAAGGTTGTTTGAAACTCTCGATGGCAAACATTTCGACATTGTGAAATGGAAAATGATTGTGCGTAATGTAACGTCCTTTTATCACTGAAAATGAGAATAAATTCATGATTAATGTGTTATTCCTGTCTATGGATTTTGTTTATATAGGTACTCATGTTATCATATAAACGGAAAGACACAAGTGTTTTTATTTCATTCAAAAAGGATGGTTTACCAATGGCTAATGGCCAAAATTGGGAACCCTTGCCTAGTATTCGGTAAATTATTGGTCAACGCTCCTTTTATCGACCATCTTGTATTTGGAAAAACTGTGCATGATTAAATAATTTACTAAAACACAAAACACACATAATTTACTAAAACACACTGTTCAAAATTAATTGTTTTTTAGAACAGTTTACTTTTTGCAATATTATCTTTCACAATTGGTAGTCGTGAAAGTAATTTATTGTAGCTAATTTGGCAGCTACATTGCTTTATAATTGTTTGTATATAGTTCGTGCAATCGTCAAGCAATGTAAGAGTCCATCTGAGTCTATCATGTTAAAATGAACCAGTTGAGTTTGTAATGAATAAGCAAAAAAGAAAACTTTTTTGTTTCACCACAATGCTTGCCCAGTAGACAATTTCAGAAAATAAATATAAAATAAAGCATAATAAATGCAACTAGGCATCTTGCAAGCCAGAGATATGCTTTATGAAAAAATAAGACACGGCAAGACGAATTGAATAATTACCTTCAACAAGTTTACTCACCTAGATCGCTACTGCAGTAGTAATGCAAAACGTCGAATTTCTTAGTTCTCCCTGAAAAAAGTTACAATTATGGTGTGAGCGCTGTTTCATAAAGTTTTGTTCCACGAGATTCGTGTTATAGTAACTTTAGCTGTATGGTGATGAATCTTCAACGGATTTTTAGAAATATATGATCAGGGATGTATTGGAATGGAGCTCGATGTGTGTTCACCTCCTCCGTTAAAATTCTGTGTTTTAACAAATTTAGGGAGAGTAATGTACAATCAGAGAGCTTACTTTCTTAAAATTATGGCGCTGAATACACTTATGATTCCATTGGCAGTACTTACTCTCCCTTGTCGATTCAACTGTAAAATTCATTCCCTGAAACGATACTCCGTCATGCCATTTTACTGTGGACATTAATCGCAGTTGAACACACGTGCTTTTACATTTTGAAACAAATACACCAGGGGAAACATTCCCACAATATTTTCTCCACGCAGATCTTGAGTGGTCACACTCTAAAATACATGTATAATGAAAATGGTAGACCTGACTAGAACATTGTCTTGGGCAAATAGATTTTTTCTCTACAAAACGTTGGAAAACTTTGAACGGAATTGCACGACAAGAATATAAAGATTGTCGCGATCGACTTATTTTTTTTTATTTATTGTGCGGTTGCTTATCCACCCACCAACTCCTACCGCCCTAACATGCGCCTCTGCGTGCATTACGATATAATCATTAAGCTGTTGCCTTCGGGAAGTGCATTGATGCAGCTACGATTTGTGATTGCCACATCAGGTTAATTGTCCTCCATAGTATTTCATGCAACATGAGCATGCTATAATGAATGTGTAGAGTTGTGTAATTAATTTCTCATATCAAAGCATATAAGGAGTGAAAAACGGACAAATCTTATGATGAGGGTGGGGTATTCAAAAACATGCTTAGGGATGATGGTTCCTCGACAATCTGAAAGGTGGTGGTTACACCAAAACATGCTGAGGGGTGGTTTCTCTCCAAAACACGCTGAGAGGTGGTGGTTCCCAGGAAATGCTAAGAAATATTGGTCTCCAAAAAAATGATGAGGGTTGTTGGTCCTCCCATCTTAATACAATCTCTGTTGTCGATAGTTTACTTCTTTCAAATTTTGATGCGTTTATTGAGAGTTTTCTCACAAATAAGGTTTTTACCGTTATCAATTCGTAGGGAATCCAAATAATGCAGACGAAACACATTAAAATGAAATTTCAGTCGATAGGAATAGCCAGGACACAGCCTCCAAACACACGTTTTGTCCGAAGGATATTGATGAGGAAAATTGGGAGAAAGAATATGAATTTTTTTGTTGACCATTACAGCACCTCCGCAACGCTTCATTCCTGTAAGAGAAAAGGTAGAACGCTTTATTGATAAATTCATCGATTTGCATGATGTAATTTGCCGTCCACGACTTGTGTCGAAAAAAGAAAAATAATATCTACATTAGTGCCCCTTTCGGCAAAAATTTTTGAGCGTTATCAAATTTAGGAAGGACTTCCAACGTATCATTGAAAGCTTTTCGTATCGTTTCATTTTTATGGCTTTTTGAAATTGGCGAAATTGGTTCCTTTTAATAGACCTTGTCCGTCGTTTGAGAAGTCTGCAACGACTTACTTTGTGATGTCAGGCAAGGGATTCCTCAATACAAGATATATATACATACCAGCAACATTGAATGACGACAGAATTTGGTTTCACCCAAACTTCATGGCATGACGGACGAGGTCCAGTGAAAAGGAAATTTGAACCGCCATAACAACAAGAAGAATATTTGACGAGATTGAAAATTTTTTTCACTAATAAGTTTTTATATCGCAAATAAAAGTTTTTGCTGATAGGGATACTTTAAGGTAAATGCAAAAAAGATTTGTTATGTGGAATGCGTTCACAAGAATAATCACCTGTTAATTGAACAGCTACTAATTGGGCCTTAAATTTTTAACCGTAGTTAATCAAGAAAACGCGGTTCTTTAAAAACATGCCATATTTTTCAAAAAGGTTTGTGCTTCAAGCAGATATATTATATTCTTTGTTGTGAAATATTTTTCATGAAAAGGAATGAAAATGACGGTAATTGGTAACGGAATTCTGTAATTACTGATATGATTGATTTTAACATGAAATGGCTGAAATGATTCAAGAAAAAGGAATGCTGTGCTGGTTCTAGCGTCACTCTGACAAATAGCTATAAATCACTTACTGATGTCAACATTTGTCTCGTACTTTGCACTTCCAGCGGCATTTCGAACTTCGCATGTGTATCTCCCTCGAGCGCTTGCTGTTACATGGTCAATGTGCAGGCTGCCATCGTTTGCTGTGTATGAAGAGTGTGGCATGTTACCACCATCACCCTTGTATGACCATGTAAAGACAAGGGGGTTGGTACCGGATGCTTGGCATGACAACACCAAATGTTCGCTTTCATTGACCGTAACCTCTTTGTTTTGAATACCCGTGACATTTGGGGGCACTGAAAATAGTTGAGTATTTAATCAACCCTGTACATCCAAGGGCAGGCAAAGAACAAAAAAAGATGTGTGATTCTGAAATTTTGATCAAAACCTAACATTTACATTTGAAAGTTAGTGCGCGTGATATTAAGCTAACATCAGAGATGGGATGAGTTATTCCTATAAAACTTATTGCGCTTTCTACAATTACACAAATATATCATTTACCACACTTAGAAACGTTGTCTACTTTGCAATATCCTTTCTTCGCTAATAAAATCACAAAGGCAGTTGCTCGTCGTACGGCCGAGAAAGGAGTTTCATATTTTGCTTTGAGGTTGCTGTCAAGATAAAAAACGTACGAATAGTTCGATGTTACTTGCGATAGACACATTGATTCCTCTCCAAACTTTTCAGTACAAAATATTTGCGGGATGATGGTAGATTTTTCTTGCTTTATGATTTCAGTAACATTCAAACATGCCGAATACTGTGAGAAGATCTGTCCATTGACATTACCGTCAACAGATGTGTTGAGGACAGTTGCGACCACTACAACAGGAGCAAGTATTGTTAGCTCCGTAATGTTGCGAAATGGTTGATTTACATTCGGAGAGCACGTCGAAACACTCTTTAAGTATAACGATGTAAAAGCCAGAAGCAAAAAGGTTATAACGTTTGATTTACTTCGTGTCGCCATGTATTTTCAAATTTGAAATACTAAATTCAATAAATTGTAATATGATATTTGAATTTATTCGCAAATACATCACCTGAGTCGTGAGATTGGAGATTGAAAATTGAAGTGTGACGTATTTTTTTGACATCGTGTTCTAGTTTCGGTGTCTTGCCAGTCTTGGTTTCTGTTTTTTTAACTTACAATCTAGAGTCGGCTCGTTTATTTGCAAAGGAAAGCTTTCACATCTAGTTTCTTTGATTGCGCAGTTAAAGAAACTTGCATGTTGTTTCATGACGATTTTAAAATTCTCAGCGTTTGCCCAGTCCGAAGATGTACCATACTGCCTATCTGTCTGGTAAATCTTTGGACTATCCGCCACCTTTTTCTTTGTCGGCGCAGACAGCAAATGTCTTCCAATGCCAAAACATTTTCTGTAAGGATGGAAATGAATAAAAATTATGGAGTAGGCTACGGAACATTGAATAAAATTTATAAGAAAAACATGCTTCATTGTGACATATGATCATTGTCATGAAGAGCGTAGTCGAATTATATTTTGATCATGGGTTCATGAAATTGTTCATGGTTAACCTGATTTGGGCGACGGATCAAAAATGTAACAGCACGTCTCCATTTCATACGATTTCTTCGTTTACAGAATCAGAAAGCATTTGAAGCTGTAACTCATCTGGCCACTGTTGCAATTACCATCTAATAAAGCAGTTAAACTAGTCATCTTTGACGGACTTCGTGTAAATTTGAACTCGAAGGAGGGAGTCGACATGATAGAGTTATTCTTTTTCACAGCCGCAATCCAGTGATAACCAAAGTACTCCGTAATAGATGGGGTCAGATTTTGATTTCCTTTCGTAGAATTTCTTTTGTAGGACTGTCCAAAAAGTTGCGTTTTGAAACTTTTCGAAAATACTGCGTAACACGTTAGGCTGTTTTCTTCTCAGAGTGGATGTGGCTTAAAAAAACAGACATTCGTGGCGGCCATTGTCCATTCTGATGTCATCGTTTAGTTCAGTTTAATTAATGAATCGCCGAAAATGATAAATCTTTTTGTAATTATAATGTGGAATATTTTCGCCGGAACAAGCTTGATTAACTCGGATATCTAAATCTAAAGTTGAATAAACTTTCGTAATTATGTTGATTCCTTGCTTAAAACGCGACATCCATCCACAGCTGTTTTGAAGTCATAATTTTTATAACGTACGTGAGATATAGCTTCAAATACAGCAATAGTTTTCATGTCGTGTATCGTTGATTAGTGTGTTTAGGTTATAAATTTTCAAATGATTCCTAAACTGCGTTCACGGTTAACCTCTTTTGGCAGAAATTCCTTGAGAAAATATCATCACAATGACATCACAATGCATGATAACATTATAGAGAGCGTATGTATATATAGCCTCGTTAAAACAATTTTCCCGATTGCTGCAGAAGTTGTCGCTAAAAAACTACTATTTCCCATATCTAATTGTGCAATGTGATGTCATAAGGAAGGTGTTTGCCGAATGAGAAAAGTTAAATGCCTCTAGAAAGAGATAAGCCAATATAAGTCAAGTGAAGAATTTATTACAAACCTTTTAAATATTTTGCTATTCGATCAGAAAACTTTGGTGAAATTTTTCGTCACAAACACTTTAAGACGTTAAAAAACATGTTCTCATGCCATATAAAATAATAAACTTTCGATCTCCTTAATTCTTTATTTCATCGAAATCCAACATAATTACCGACATAACGTCGCAAATTTTTTGCTAGACTCCCTAATGATTTCCATATGTATCGTGAATTATAGCATACAATATATGTGCGTGCGAGTTATTACGAGTCACAACGAATTTCCGAATAAGACGTTTGTATCAGGTTGCGGGCAAGTGAACAACGTCTCGAAAGAAAAACAATAGTTAATGGTAAAAAGTCAGGATTTGACAGAGAATGATGTGGTATTTCACACCCTGAGGAAACAACCAGTTATAATTCACGAACTATTTTCACAAGACGTGGACACCACGCGAAGAATTTAATAATAGTTCAAGTTGCGTTGACTTGTTGAACGATACAGCTGTAAACGATCACATTTAAGGCAACGGGCAAGCCGTCCGAACATGACAGCCCTTTGGATTCTACTGATAATTCGCCTGTTTTAACTTGACATTTGATTGGCCCTTACAAGACGGCGCAGTAAACAGGGAGTCGGAAAACTAGGTTCAGGCAACACTGAAAGTGATTATAGAGCTTTGGCGTTCGGGCGTATGCAATCACAGTGGGCTAGGAGTTCATTGTTTTCATTCACTCTGGGGAATTGACAAATTGTTGTGTTGAATATTGGGATAATATATCATCGCACAGATGGAAATTCAAGTTAGAAACAGCCGTAAGACATTACACGAAGGCTCTCCACTTATAGAAGTAAACGATATAAACGATTATGATGAGCAACGTCTTACTAAAAGAAAGAAAAGGCGTTCGCGGCTTACTGGATTGAGCAAACAGCGGCAGGCAGCGAATGCAAGGGAACGAAGCAGAACTCACAGTGTCAACGCAGCTTTTAGCACGCTTAGAGTCTTAATACCTACGGAACCATCTGACAGAAAACTGTCCAAGATCGAAACTTTGCGCTTGGCTACTAGTTACATATCTCATTTGGGAACTTTACTTGTCAACGGTTCACAATGCGTGAATAATCCCGATGCTGACAAAGTCACTATTTCACCATCCACAGGAAAAATTTGTACATTTTGCTTGAGTTTGCTCAAATCGGTAAGCTGATTTTCTTTCATGTAATGCTGCCTTGTTTTGTACATGCTTGTATGTATTATATTTAACTGAACTAAACGAAAGTTAAGAAGGCTAAAAGGGAAGCTAACCAAGTGCTCTTGACGATGTTCGATAGATTTCAGTTAACCGGCTTTTCTTTGCGATTGTTGCAAAGTATTTTAGTATTTTTTTTGTTGAAAACGATATGCTGCAAACGCCCTTTAAATAAACGACCATACACTGCAGTTCATAGGGCTAATTAGATATATAGGTACATCCAATAAGATTATTTCATCTGTCGATTGATCTGTCGATTTCATGCAGACATTTCAATGGTAAATCAAACAATGAATAGAATTGTTAATCAACTTAAATGGGGGCATGCCTTATTTGTGGTGTTTTGAACATCGAATGATTGGTGACTCGGCAACTAGAGCACACGAGTTCGGGAGGGGCAGGCTATTTGCTTATTCAATTATATAGCGTTATCTGTTGAAGGAAATCTCGCACAGTTGCGTTAGTGTTGATATATTTCTAGGATGCATGCTACACGCGATACGTTTGGAGTTGAAAATTTTAGTCGCACTGCATGTGCAATGCTCCAAAACTTCACAATATTGTCGTACGTTGAAATGTGGGATATTAAACACATAAACAAGGCTTAAGGTTTTATAAACAACACGTAACAGGTGTTTATGGAGCGATGAGATGATATCATAGCGCTCTGTAAGTGTAATCCCTTCGCGCGCTATCGCGATAATTGATCGATTTATTAATGCGCTTATGGTTGACCGTGTTTTTCTAGCGCATGATTTGCCGTTTAAATGTCGAGGGAACGTATGTTGTTGGCAAAAAAACTGCTTGAACAATTGATTTTTATTTTACTTCTTCTTGCCAATTGCGGGGAAGTAAAAGAACTGATGTATGCTGTTCGCCGACGGTCGTATTGTCATCTGGAAGACACCTGTATATTTAGCATGACCTTTTCTGGGAGGATCAATGTGATCTATTCTCACATTTTTCCACTTATAAATACAGAACATAAAACTTTTTATTGTGATTGTTAAAGCCAAAATCAAATAAACTTCATAATCGCATTAGGACAAACATTGTATGAAATTATATAACGGGGATCTCCGTAATCAGTGTGAATGCACAAAGCTCAGTTGATGTGTAGCTGTGTTCATAGTATGTTCATTACTGCAATTAATCGAATTCGTGAAAGCGCGAGGTAATGATCCCTTTGATAAAGCGAAATACGTGACCAGCCAATGTCTTGCATAAATGATACTCATCAAATGGTTCCCATGCAAATCGTGATTATATTATATGCGCACTCGTATCCACAATCATCAATATCTTAATGTCTATCAAGTTTGATTTAAGTCTCTTTGTTCCAAGAATAGACCGTTAGCGTGATTTGATGGGCGTTTAAACATGAGATTAGTTTTGTGTCAAATTCTTGCAAAAGTGCAGCTGTAAGACTTCTTTATTGATGATTTAGGAGAAATTTAGGATGTGATATTTACCGTTCACGTGACATGCCTAATTATCATGCTATATCAATCCCATACTTATCTCCATATATTCAGACTACGAGCATGATGGTTATCTTAATGATTTCAATTTCTTTCTTCTGATCCACGCAAACGCTGAAGATCGATTGCAGATCATAAGATATGGACACCACACACGAACTCGGAGTGTCGAAAGCTTAGCAAATTTTTCTTTCTGCACGTCAATCAACTTTCCGACGATAATGCAAAGGCTTTTCTCATGATCCAACACATGCACAATTATATGTATAAACTGTTTTGGCTTTAAATATGTGTTAACATATTGCATTTTATTTTGATCGTCAAACTAAAGAAAATACCCGATATTATTTTCATTGCTGAGTGAGATATATCTGCATGCCCTATGCCTTATTTCCATTTTAGAATAGCACCATTCGGTATATATAGAATCAAATGTCTTTACTTTTAAAATGCGAGCAAGTTCTAGTTAGAGGCAGTTTGGAAACATTTATATTTTTCGTAGCGACAACGTCGTGGCCTGTTGGCCAGAAATAGACTTAAAAATCGAACTTTCGCGTATCTCTTTTATTGTGTACCCTGCAAATACAGTGTCTTTTTCGACATAAGCGACAGTTACAAAGTGCTTTTACGGTCTACCTGTTTGAAAGAATAACCAGCTAAAGTTCCGCTGAAGTAGGAAGTTGAACAAACCCTTGGTCGCGGTTGTTATATGTCACATAAAAACATATCATCTTATTTTTTCAGGAAAGGTCACCATTTTAAATTGAATTGAATCACGTAAAAGGCGTTAGTTGAATGTGGCGAGACCTTAACGAGACGCTGCGATCGGTAAGCAAATGAATCAACGAGAACCACAATAAAAAGAAAATAATAGCGATATTTTAGATAAAATGTGACGTATCGCGCTTCTGGGTATATTCATGCATCTATCCGGTAACTAAACACATTGATGTTTCAGAAAAATTGCCTTCAATGAAATGTGTGTTTCATTTGTAAGTAGTTGTACAACATCATGTTAAAATAGACATAATTTATTATTAATTTGATAGAAAATTTCAACTATTGTAACTATATTATAAAATAGGAAAACGGCTTTACCAAAAGACATTACAAAGAAACAGCGATCTCTCATTTTTAAAACATTTCATTCCCCAGATGATGGAAAGATTTTACTTCCCGAGGCAACGACACAAATATTTCATGAAAATTTCCCCAGAAATCTCTTACAGTCTGCGCTAACAGTAGAAATGTTTTTAGAAAACGTCTCTTCCATGCGGGAAAATAGTTTACTTTAAAAGGTTTAGAACAAACTCTCAAGTTTTCTACAGGCGCTACTTGACCGCAATTTTCACATGTAAAATTTATTTGATTTGGTTTTTTTGACAGCAATGTACAAAGTAAATTACTTGACAAAGCTAACACATTACACTAACAGCCTAACACTTGGTAAAATTTTTAGAAAAAGGACCTATTTCATATTTTAGTTTTTCTCTGTTAACTCTCGCTTTGTCTCCTTGAAATTTAACAGGGTGTATGAAATTTATTCGATAGTTATAGTTTGGCCAAACTAATTTTCCATCAGTAAAGTCTATGGAACCATACATATCAGGCAGATACACGCCATAATGTTGTTCCCAAGAATCTCGTAGATCCAAAAAGCTCATGATGGTAGGCACTGCAACTTCCAGGAACACCTCATTTTTATGGAAGATAAAAGAGAACTTTTGAAATCGATCACTAAATCTTTTTGGAACATAAACTAAATCCGACCACATTCGAAAGCAAACCTTTTTGCCGCGACCATTCAAAAGATGTGTTTCGGCCAAAGCGGCGACGTCAATGTCGGCGGAATTGCGGTATTTGTGCATTATTTCTAGATAGGAATCTTCACAAGCTTCCGCAGACTTTGACTTGATATTCCACCACGGCCAGTTAGTTGCTATAGGTCGGCTACCCATGACATGCTCATTGTTGGGAATGATAGCTCCGCCCTGCCACAACTTGTCTTTATCAAGAGTGGCAAAGTTCCACCAATTCACTACCATATCATCATTTATGTAAAGGTATCCACGGAAACTGGGATACCTAAAAAAGAAGTTTGCAGAATTTAAATTATCTCGTGTTTTGTTTGAGCCATAATCTCATTCCCAGCAGACTACCAGCGGTAAGAACATTGCTAAACTGGTCAAAAATGAATCAAATATCTAAATGGCAACTTTCGCTCTCTTACAGTTGTGTGTCAACCAACAGTCGGGAGATTTCAGCTCATCAAATTTCCAGCCAGTCTCCAGCGTTATAGGTCATTTAAACATTGCAAGTAAATTTTAGGGGGTGAGGTATTTACAAACGAATGCACTTTATAGACTTTATAGCAAAAGTGCAGGAACAGCAAGTGAAGTTCAAAGTGGCATTAAACAATTGCCAACTTGGAGGAAATTGCTGATTTCATTTTTGTAACATTTGTGCAAGATGCTCAAAAACTACATTTTCGTCAAGCGTAGGAAAACAATACAGGGGAGAACTTGAGCAGAAACAGCCAAAAAGCATTCAAACATAATAAAAGCATGAATTTTATTGCTGAAGTTGTATATGAAACAGTGATTACCTGCGAATCGCCTCACCAGCACATTCATAACCTAAAAGCCCACCACCGACATCTATGACCATTACATAATGATTGTCGTAGGACTTGGGGCCACATATCAATATATTTGTAAAAACATCCTTATAAAATGACTTGAGGAGAGGAATTGACTCATAGAATGGGAAATGATAGACAATGATCAACAGAATGTCTTCAAAATAATTACTTAAACACCTTCCTGACTTTGTATCATCTGAATTGTGGTAGCTAGATTCATTGGGTGGCTTAAACATTGGTGCAGATGGATACACCAACGGGAAAGCTGTAATATAAAATTCAGACTACCTAAATATATTATCTATAAAAGTGGCAAGAGGGTTGGGCATTAAATAATTCCTCGCCCCATCTTTTACAAATATTGGTTTTCATTTGCGTAATTTGAAAACATTATTACCACACATATTATGTGTGTGTCTCCCTGCTCCCCAATGAAAGGATTTAATCAAAACATGTTTTTTAGTAATTTCTTTTTTTTAACACAACACCTGGCTGATTTTCTAGAGTCAAGTGTTCTTACCTACATCCCACTCGCTCCTTGTGGAATGTAGATAAAAAAGCCAGAGTGAGAAATTCTCAAAAAAAATTATACAACACAGCTAATACCAACACAAGTCGAATGTAAATTCTACCATATTCCACTTTACATTGGAACTCCAATTCATCAATTGTGCTTATCACCAATAGACAATTCACGATTTAACAATCACTTTAAAAATATCGAAATATGATGGACAAATTTCATAGAATCATACCTCCGTATACTCGTATAATGTAACCATAGAAAAAGATTGCTGTCAATACGCAAGTGAACAGGTAAAGTAACGATTTGCACGACAGAAACTTCCTTAAAATCTTCTTAGAGTAATACATGATTCGCAACTACACGAGTTTTTCATAGTAAAACAGGGGCGAGCACCACAAAACACGCAAATTTTCACCTTTCTGTCTTTTCACCAAAAGACAAAAACTGTTGTAGTCCCCAGTTTCCCAGGAAAGTAACTACGGCTGTGGCATGGTAACATGGCCACGAAAAGCACCATCTGCAAAGAGTAGAGACATCAATGTTGTATTTTTATTGATTGATCTTGGATAGTAAGTCAATAACTTCTTCTTGTCGTTTCTTAGGAATCAACACTTTTTATGAGAACTTTAACCATTTGTTATTAAGGTAAAATGGCTTGCTCAAAACAGGAATAGGAATTATAGGATTGATTTCATCATCAGTTGAATATAAACTCATGTATGGCAAAACTATATGTGACCTCGGAATTTTGCCCAATCCACGGAGAAAAGCAGTACTTTGAGCCTGTCCGAGAAACAAACTCTTTAAAAACAATGAATATTGTTTAAGGATTGATTAATTTAAACAAGAACATACAGTTAATTGAATTATTTTTAAGTATTTGATAATATGAGCTCTAACTGTACTTTTAATTGGACAATTTGCTTAATAGTTATTTCTCATTTTTAAATTTCCTGCTTTGATTTCTACTTTCCGCTATAACTTAGATGTATTATATTGTCTACAGATTTTTGCATTAATGAACTGTTTCCTAATGCTATCTCATATATTTCTAGTTCTTCAAACAGTCTCATGCTTCCTGGTTGCTTGTGTTTTGGAGCTGTGAAGTATTGAATGTTATGTCAGCAGGTTTTAATAAGCTTACAAGGCTGAAGCCAAAAATTGCTTCATTACTTCAACATGAACTATATCAAAAGATAAATCTCCAAGTAAATGGGTTGTTAAAGACAGTACCAAATGATATTGTGAAGCCAATTTATGCTTTGAGTGGTTTGGTTCCTCCATCACCAAGTTTTCCCGAAATTAAAACAAAAAATGATATTGCTCATATGAGAATGGCGTGCAAGATTGCCAGAAAAGTTCTGAATATAGCAAGAGATTTTGTCAAGGTTAGTAACTTCATCAAGTGACCAGGAACACGAAACAGACTTCCCTCCTGGACTGCCCATTTTTCTGCCTTTAGTTAGTTGATCAACCATTTAAAAAATTGTAGCCGATATTGAAAGGGAATTAAAGGACCACGTTAAGCGTCGCAACTCGCAAAATGGAAAAAGTCATCATTTTGTGACAGATGACAATTCCCTTCATTGTTTGATTTAATCCCTGCAATAATGTGACAATGATTCTTTTAACTACTCACTATGTTTGATGTCATTCACCCTACTACGTAACGTGTTTGTTGTAGTAACGTAGTTTTGTGCTAAATTTAATTGATTTTTATTGATCTAATTTCTTGAGCTTTTATTCCGTTTCCCCCCCCCGCAAATCTCACGCCCGTATTGCCGAAACTGTCTCACAGAGGGCGACATAAAAATTGCGCTTTCTCTAATCAATGACAAAGTCATTTGTCCATCGATGACAAGCTTTCTTTAAAATACTTCAAATCAAGCAATCTGTAGAGTCAAAACGCTGGCTTCGAATAATTATGTGGGGATTTGAATCCCTACTCAGTGAGTGTTGGTGTGAATGAGCTTTTGGATTGCGGGCGTTAGTCTCCCTTCGGTCGCTTTTAATTTTAACCAACTAAGAAATAAAAGATGTTTACTGTGTTTGCACAAGCTTATGCAAACCGAGGAGACCTTTAGAAGGACTCGAGAGCAGATCAGTGCAAGCCCCGAGACCGAAAGTCCAGGGTTTCACCTGGTTTAGAGTTCTCACAAACGTTTTTAGGTTTGCATAAGCCTGTGCAAACACGAAAAACCTTCATTTATTTCTTTTATAAAATAACAATAATTCGAAAAAAGACAAACATTTTATTTTTCCTCTAAAATGTATTCATGATCAATTTGCAAATTCACTTTGACTGATTGATTGTTCATATTGATTTGATTGGTTGAGCTCAGATGTGTTTTGCACTGGCTAATGCAAACTCAGCTCTAGACCAATCAGCGCACGCGTTTCATTGTGTTTATTTTATAAATACACATGATAGTGTGTGTGTGAAAATTCTTTTCATAACTACTATTTCTTATTATTGATTGCATTACCCACTCTCACTACTTGGTCAATCATGTTAAGTCAATAATTGGTTATCATGCTTTAAATTTGATCTCAAAATATACGTAACTATTTTGCGTTTCATTTGCATAATGAATAAAATTTGGGCCCTTGTTCTTTATTAATGAAAATTTATCTTGGAAATGTAGAAATTATCGGCAAAAATGGTTCGTCTGGTTTGTATGCTTTAAAACAAATTGTTCATCAAAGTACTCTTAAATGTTTGCATGACGCATTGGTAGCTACAACCTTAATTCAATTATTGTTGCAAAGTATGGAGTGTTTGGGGGAAACTCAGTCTAAATGTTTACAAAAACTTCAAAATGGAGCAGCACGTTTGATAGCAAACTTGGCCAATGAATTTAGTCAAGAAACTGCCTTATATGCTGTAGATTGAGAATCTTTAAAAGAACAATAGTTTAAAAGGAAAGAAAAAATGATATTCAAAACTCTAAGTAACACGGGGCATAGCTAATTTGCCTCCGAGGCTTATTTACTTTCAAAAATGAACTTTTAAACTACAATCTTCGTGGGAGCCATAATTTAGTTCATTTGCCTTGACCACGTAGTAATGATGTGAAAAAAAGTGTAATGTTTGATGGAGCTGCCCTATGAAAGTCTTTGCCCACTGACTGAAGAGAGTGTATAATACGCGTTTCTCTTTTGAAAGAAAAATCGCTATTCATCGATTGTAAATATCCTATTATGTGTCTAAATGTTTCATGTTCTAGTAGTTGTTAATCTTTTATTGTAGTGTTGAGTATATACATCATCGAATTTATTTTTTACTTATTGCACTTACGTTTACACTTACAATATCTTTATTTTATATTTTACGCACGCCTTATCGTGGAAACCAGTTTTTGATGATGATACCCACTTGTGTAAATAAAGTCATTCTATTCTATTCTAACTATTCTTCTATTCTACATTCCTTTTTATCAGGTAGGTGTATCAACTGAAGAAATCGACGAAGTCGTTCACAATGCCTCCATTGAATATGGTGTGTATCCTTCACCACTGAACTATAAAGGCTTTCCCAAATCTGTATGCACTTCTTTGAACGATGTTGTTTGTCATGGTATACCAGACAGGTTAGTGTACTAAATTGAAAAATGTGGTCTGTATTTTCAATAACGGGTATCGTTGGTAACTTTTTTACAGAACAATTCTTAAGGATGGAGATATAATCAACGTAGATGTCTCGGTATGTGTATATTTCATAACAGAAAACATAGATGAAGTATAACCAGGTGTAGACATTGATACGATGGAATAAATGTTGTACGGTTTTAAATTTTATTAAGTTTTCAAGAATGTTTCATTTTACGGTTTGCTTGTCGCCGAAAGCTTGTGAACTGAAATTAATAAAATTTAAAACCTGAGAAGTGCGCTTATTCTATCATTATGTATATCAGTATAATATTTCAGATTGATGGCAATAAAATTATGTCATAATAATTTTACGGTCTTTTTTTCCTAAATGCTATACGTATTTCCTGAACTACTGACGTTTTTTTGTGAGTATGTCGATGATAAGGTTTCATGTTTATAATGATGTTTATTTTCGTCACATGAAAGGTACTTAGTGCTTGTATTTCATGCAAATTTATTAAGTATAATTGACGTTGATGATCGGCATTATTTTGATACAATCTTATTTATGATACTGAGCAATTGTTCCTGGCAATGTAAGTAACAGAACTTTGCCATTCATCTTCAACCTTGCCATTCATCTTCAACTTTACGATTTATCTTCAACTTTCCCATTCATCTTCCACCTTGCCATTCTTCTTCAACCTTGCCATTCATCTTCCACCTTGCCATTCATCTTCAACCTTGCCATTCATCTTCAACCTTGCCATTCATCTTCAACTTTGCCATTCATCTTCAACTTTGCCATTCATCTTCAACTTTGCCATTCATCTTCAACTTTGCCATTCATCTTCAGCCTTGCCATTCATCTTCAACCTTGCCATTCATCTTCAAGTTTGCCATTCATCTTCAACCTTGCCATTCATCTTCAACCTTGCCATTCATCTTCAAGTTTGCCATTCATCTTCAACCTTGCCATTCATCTTCAACCTTGCCATTCATCTTCAACTTTGCCATTCATCTTCAGCCTTGCCATTCATCTTCAACCTTGACATTCATCTTCAACTTTGCCATTCATCTTCAACTTTGCCATTCATCGGTCTACCAGTAACCTCTATGACAACCCAGCTCTCATCTACCAGCCTACGTTGCCAGGGAAATTGGCTTAAGATTTAATTCTACCATGCATTTGAATTTTGTTATTTATTTAGGTCTTTGTGAACGGTTTTCATGGAGATTTATCTGAGACTTTCCTAATTGGTGATGTAGATATGGCTGGACGACGACTTGTTACTGTCACAAAGGAATGTCTTGACGCGGCCATCTTAGTTTGTAAGGATAGCGAGCCTTTTTCAATCATTGGCAAAATAATCAGGTGATCATTTACACTTGATGATGATCAAAATCTAATCTAACCTAACATGCTGATGTTTTGGATAGTATTGCTTCAAACGCTGACACCAAAATATAAATTCACTACAAATACACAAAACAACATATTCATCAGGAAATGGTTTAAATGACGCGACTTTTGTTTTGTTGGTCGAAAATCTGAAGATGTTTGATACGTAATCAGGATGTATCATAATAATTCTAGCAATGCATGATTAAAAATTTGAGCTGTTATTTCTATGGTTCCTTTGGTGTTAGCCCTTTACAGAGTTTTAGTTCGGCGTTAACGGCAAATTGCAAAAAGTCACGTGATCATGTCGGTTTGCGGTTCAGGTTTAAACGGTAAGAAGCCCTTCTTGCAGCAAGTGATTTACGGCGAGCTTTTTAGTACTATTAATACAACCAAGTGAGATTTATGGCCTTATGTTATATTTTCATGTCAGTTTACATAAAGAATATGACTTTTTTATCGGCATACTTTTAATTAAAAAACATGAAATTTAGCTCATGACAATACGAGTCATAAAATACAAATGCAAAACTCCAAACTTAATTCAATTATTTTCGAAACGGCAAACCTCATCGGCAAGCGGTTAGCCGAGGTTTGCTGTAAACGCCAAACTAAAACTCTCTATTGTCTACTCCATTGCTGACTGCAGGTTGTCATTTGAAAACTCCAATGAATAATATACTCACCGAGAACGCATTCGTAGTCAGCAAAAAACATTTTAGTCTTACAACTTGCGGTTGGTGTGTTTCATTGAACTGAAATACTGGAAGGCTACCTGAAGCAAATAATTGAAGCGAAATCTTACACCAGACACGCGTTTGTAGTGTTTCGAGATACTTTCGCGGAGTGAAAATTGATTGACTACACACGCATGTCTGGGGTAAAAGCACGGCTTTAAAAAATTATGAGGGTTTTTATTATAGTTAGTGTTCCATGTATTTTAGTTCAATGGTGTGTTGCGACCAGTTCTGACGTCACTGAGTAGCAAGAGATACCAATGGAGAATAACACATATTGTAGCTTTTAATGATGTGTGATAGTTTTGCATGCGATGGCAATTGATGACTTTGTAGTTTTTTTAAATATTTGTAGTTCCATTGCTAACAAAAACGGATTTAATGTTGTACCGCATTTCATTGGTCATGGTATCGGCACATATTTTCATGGTCCTCCTGATATTTTACATTTTAGTAAGTTTTATCTCTGTAGTCATTTATTTTTTAACACTCTGATTCATTTTCCTTATTTGGTTGATTTGAATAATGTTTATTTCAAAGCCGGCTTAGGTCTTCTGACGTCAGACTACGTTCACACAATACCGGTAAGAAACTCAACCGGTATAGTTTCATACTGTTTCACTTTGTTCACACGATACCGTCAGAGTTTTGCTCCGTTTTGGTAATGCGTTTACACTACGCCGGATTGATGCCGGCTTTCAGTTTATTTGAATTATATTTATTTGTGTTCTTCGAAAATTTTGCTGACCATATTTATCGCTGTGACAGCTGTGTTCGAATATTTTATCGCGTTATTTTTAGCGAACAAAAAAGTTTCATCGAACCCTTATAAAACTCTTAGGGTTGGGTGTTCACATATAACCGACACGGTATAATTTTATACCGTTTTCAAACTATTACTGTTAGCGTTACAGTTTCATACTTTTTCATACCGGCATCATGTGAACAGTACCCCAAACCGTTTTCAAACTCTACCGGTATCGTGTGAACGGGGTCTCATACGTTGCATTTCACTTTTTAAACCCCCGACATCGCTTGTAACTTCAACTCATATTAAATTTTAATATATAAATAAAACAATCCACATAATCAACATAAAAATTGCGGCTATAGCTAAAGAAACCTTTGAATGAGATTGTTATATTTTGAGCTGCAGACAGTTATGTCTTTTGCTCACACATAGTGTTTCCAGTCGTTGGTAGAAATTTCTTCACTATCGAGAAACAAAAATTTCAAGAAAGATGTCGGTTCATATCATCATATTAATAAAACTTTGGGAAACATGAAGTGTTATAGTTCTACTGCTGTGAACTTTGTGTCATGTATGGAAAAATACAGAACAAGCTTCTAGTGTCATGAACAAAAGGATTCAAGACTTTTTTACTGGTTCTTTGACGCATCGAAAATTCATTCTGTGTTGTCATTTTCCATTTTCTCAAATTTGGCGTGTGCTTCTGCTCATTGACGTAATTTGTAATTATATTTTTAATTACATTTTTCTACAGACAATGAAAATCCTGGTAGAATGAAATCAGGGATGACATTCACAATCGGTAATATTACGTTCGTCGATCTTCTTTATGATATTTTAACGTCAGTTTATTACGATAACAATTTATGAGAGATGGTTTTTGTGTGGGTGCTGGGACTACACACCCTTCCTTTGCTATGGCTGCCGAGGTGCAAGAGGTGCTTATCTCCACGGAAATAATTTACCAAGCTAGTAGGCTAATTGTAATTTGTGTTTAACAGAGCATGCTTTAAAAAAATATCTTCCAATCATAGTGTTTATATGCGTAATATAGTATGACAAAAATGTCGGTAGCTCCTATTCAGTAGCCGCCAAAATTCAAATTCAAGCACTCCTAAAAATCATTCTCGATCCATCCCCGCCGTTTGTATTAACAAAATATTTTGTAAATTTGCTCTTTTAAGAGCCAATTCTTATTGAGGGGCATACAGATTTTGAGATTTTAGAAGATGGTTGGACGTGTGTATCATCGGATGGTACCAGGTATCTATCTTTATTTTATGTATGTAACAATGTATGTTTTGTTTCACATGCTGTGGGAACAGTAATTCAGTGTAATACAATTATATAGATCAGCGCAGTTTGAACATACCATACTCGTGACCGACTCTGGAGCTGAAATACTTACTGCTGATGACACCACGTGACTTTTCCGTATGTTGGTACTTATGTCGTTTTGTTGCTGAAATGCGAAGGTTAGCGGCTTGCTTTATAAGTCTTATAATTTGACAATGAATTTGTATAATTTCTAACTAAGTTCATGATGAACTCATCTTGTATGTGCTGTCACAAAACAACGGGCAGCAGTCAACTGATTTACTATGACACAAGCACTTGATGTGAATTGTAAAATGGAATGAAGAAATACAACTAGTAGAGCAGTACATTTGGACCTTGTACCTGCATGATATGTAATCATCAGTGCATTTTTTATTGAATTCAAAATTTTATTAAAATTTCACATATAATAGTGAGGAATGGAATGGCGTGAACACTAACGATCAACAAAACTAATTAACTGCGTACAAAATTATGTTATGCTTGCAATCAAAATTAAGAAATTAAAATTTATTTCTAGTTACGCGTAATTTGTATTATTTTAAATATACAGTGATAGTTAAAAGTAGTTGTCATTAAAATACGTGATGCCGCCGACAAGTTGTGCGATCAGTTGTGCAACCTAGTTTTTCCCCACGGGCAAAGGAGGTATATATGTAAATACCTTGCATCTTTACATTACATTATCAGTTTCCATTAAAAAAAGTGCGCATTTTATTCATTTACATCTAGTAAGGCCAAGTTCAAACGTCGAACGTTACATGAACCAAACGCATTGAGAACAAAAGATAATGAGGAAGTTCATCTCTTTTTCTTTTGTCTTTAATGCGTTCGGTTCATGTAAAGTTTGACGTTTGAAACAGGCCTAAGGTAATATAGTAATTTTGCTGCAAAATTCCTCAAAATTTCATTGTTCTCTTATTTCTCTTAACCGTAAGAATTAATTGATGATAATTTACCAAACCTGCATGGTTTATTTACGTTATGAAACAGCAACTTTGATTTCGGACACAGAAATTTGTTAAATCTCAAGTGCTAATTGTTGTTTTATGAAAAACTGTAAAGGTTTTAGGAATATGATGCGTAAACGTGGAGTTACGAATGAAACACAATAAGGATTTTGGGGCTATACATGAATCAGAATTACATCATAAAAATAAACCTCCCGTATGATTCCTGAAATGCTCGTTGAAGAAGCGTTCTTTAAAAATTTTATGGAAAATTAGTGTATATCTGACGAATGTATTTACATAGTTTGTTACATGTTGCCATAACACGCAACAATAGCCCACATATATAGTTGCATAATGATTGAATAATTGACAATCTTTACCCGCGGATATAGAGCCGTAGATAATGATTTATGAAGGTATTTGATATGTGGGATTAGATTTACCAATGAAACCACAGTTATGATATTGTCATTTTACATCATAGTAATGAGCATTCTATCCGATCGCTGAAGGAGAATTCTCAGACAGTTTTTGAAAAATTATTGTCTAGCCCACAAAAATATTTGTAAAGCGTGCTTCACGTGCACAATATTGCCATATTGTGCAACAATATACAGTTGCATAATAAAATGAAATTCCAATGGCAATCACTCCTCATCAATCCTCGATACCTGTGGACATGAACTGAATACCATATAATCACTGCTGAGAAATGAAGCTGATATGTCTAAGTGCATTTATTCATCGATTATCAATGCGTCTAAGTCATTGGTAAATCACACAAAATTTTCAATTGAAAAATCTTCTAGAGGCTTTCTTTGGGTTTGGACGTGTTCACACACCTATTATAGAGATTTTGGCCTTTAGCAAATGATTACCGTTTGCTGTATGATAGTGATTTGATACAAGACTGGAAATGGGTTTTGCGGCAAGCTTAATGCAATTGAAATATGCCTCACCGCTGGTTGCCAATTCTATAGACGGTCTATTATCACATTCAAGTCCATGTTTTCATCAGGGACCGGTGGAGGGCATCCTTAAGTTTTCTGTATTCATCAATAGATAGCGTGGTGTCCATAACCATAAATTGTCTACTGTATAGATGAAAATTTCTTCAGGAAATCGCTCGATGTTTTTCGTGTTGCATAATGATTGAATAATTGACAATCTTTACTCGTGGATATAGAGCCGTAGATAATGATTTATGAAGGTATTTGATATGTGGGATTAAATTTACCAATGAAACCACGGTTATGATATTGTCGTTTTACATCATAGTAATGAGCATTCTATCCGATCGCTGAAGGAGAATTCTCAGACAGTTTTATGAAAAATTATTGTCTAGCCCACAAAAATATTTGTAAAGCGTGCTTCACCTTCACAACATTGGTATATTGTGCAACAATATACAGTTGCATAATAAAATGAAATTCCAATGGCAATCACTCCTCATCAATCCTCCATACCTGTGGACATAAACTGAATACCATATGTTCACTGCTGAGAAATGAAGCTGACATGTCTAAGTGCACGTATAGGAATTTATTCAAATACCAACACGTCCAAGTCAGTGGTAGTTCACGCTAAATTTTCAATTGAAAAATTTATGTACCACTTGGAAGTAATCTATAATCCTATTGAACCGCATTAATTATCTGCTTTAACACGCCTATTGGTGATGCAAAAAAAGTTGTTAGCAGGAAAAAAAGAGAGAAAACTTTTTTACAAGTCCGTTTATAGTTGCCGCCTGTGTTGAATACGAGAATTTGGTTACATATTTTCCAAAACAAATCATCAGCGAGTCATAAATTCATCATATTTATTGTATACGCGACATATTTGTGTATGTGCAATATATGCGCTTTGATACTAGAAAAATTTCGTGATCCTGATAAAAGTTAAACTCGTGACTGTATTGCTTAAAATATTACGCAATGCAGTTTATTGATTACATAATAATTACTTTTTGAATTACCAGTGCTTTGTGCCACGTGCTTTACTCAAGCAATCAGCTTTATATATATTTGAAAACTTCATTGCCAAAAAACCCCAGATATTTAATTGTATGCAGTAGCGTTTTCATTTCAGTTAAATAGCCATTACAATTTACCAAATTCTAAGGTTTTAAGATGCAGGCTGAAGTACAAATTTTAACCTTTATCTTCTGTAAAATCCCATGACCACCATGTGTCACATGATTTTATACTTTCTTAATAACAATTGGTTGGTTTTTTAATTATTCACGTGTGATTTCGTGTTAAGAAACATTTAAAGAACGGAACCATCTTCAAATCAACCAAACACAAGCAATACTTTGCGGCAGACAAGACGAACGAGGAAGAAGACGGCAAAGTAAACGCAAAGAATTTTTTGGTTTCTTGATTCTTGAAGTAAGAACTAAGTGTCGCGTCTAACAATTCTTTTATAAATTCTAGGATCTTTTAGAGAGAAATGCAAATTTCGAATGTGCTATTTTATTTGTTTTTTCTTTATTTATCAAAACTAGCCGTGACTATTTTTTTTTGTATCATTAAGGCATAACGATGAAGTTGATAACAGCAACGTTCGTTTTGATGCTTGTTGTTCTTTCCTTTGGTGCTGATGAGCCAAGTATGTTAAACCGCATTGTACTTAAAGATTGTGAAGCATGTACTTCCAATGCGTGACGGTATTTTCAGCATTTTTGATCACGCTTTCTATAAGTGCGAAAAAATTGAACTGAATCTTTGCAAATGAGCGTTTCCTATGGCGCTTACAAAGCTATCTCCTCAGCAATTGACAACTCTCGTTTTTTTATTAATAAATATAAATGCCAAAGGTCGCGCATATAGCGGTTTTTTTGTCCCTTGTGATCTTAATTGAAATTCTTGCTTTACGTTAACAGTTTTTCAACTGTTGACTATGTAATCGGCACTCATATTTATGTGAATAATTTTGCTTTCATTGAAAAGAGGTGGGAGAGTACTGTTCATGTGAAGGTACAGGTCTTGGATTTCCATGGAAATATGACTGTCCATCTCCGTATCATCCAAAGTGCAAGAGTAGCCTTCCTTCTCCGTACGTTTGCTGCAAATTGAGGTTGGATGAAAAAAAATTGAGTTTGTGAGTCCCTGGCATTTAATCATATAATCATGTTCAATTAACAAATAGAGTCCGAAAATATAGTCATGTTAAATTGAGAAATAAAATCCTGAAGCATATTGAAGTGTTATATATTATTTTATTTATTCATAATTATTGAATTTGGGTAGTGGCGATCGAATGGGGTGTGTTTTCTTTGAAGGATATGTCATTTGACTAAATGATCGAATACAGGCTTTATCAAAACAATTCATATCCAAATGTACCTTGTGATTATGTGGAAAGTTTTTAGAAAAATCAGTTTGTTTTTAAATTATTACAAAGTTAATTCCTTAACTTTGCACAAACCTTTGCTTGTTTAACTGTACTCCTGATATAAAAACGCCATGGCTTAAAAGGTGCAGATTGCATGCTTAATTATTCGTGAAATCTGACGTACATATGAATCTCATAGCTTGCAAGAAACGCATAATCTATCTGATGGTGTATAATGCACTCAAACCTCTCATGAAGGAAATAACATCCTTATTACAACGGCTTGGTATCTTCGTACGTGAGATGTCTTGCGAGGTAATAGCAAAAAACCTTAGCAAAAAAGCAATGTTTGCCCACAAAAGGTGTCCGCTTTCGTGAGGGATACATAAGTAAAAGCTCGAATGTGATAAGCATTGAAATTATCACAATACCTCACAATAATTATATTCTATGCATCCTGCAGAGTCCAGAGAATTGGATAATAGTTCGAAATTACCTCAGCGAGGTAATTAAGGAAAAGAATGGAATTGTGAATATAATTAGGTTGGAAGATGCGCGGTTGATTATTTTATCTGTGTTTCAATAATGACGAGGAAGGGCACAGAAGCACGGCTATTCACAAATGAAAACGCACAAGCAAAATGTTCGTTTGGGTTTTAGATTCCTGGCAAGTGTGTTTTTGAAGATTGAAATGAAAAATTTGCTCTGACTCTAAGACAGCAAAGGTAATTTCTGAGCACGACGAAAGTGTTATTATCATTAAAATTCTTATTTTAAAATCGTCATTTAATATTGTAAATGTTGAAGACTTGAATGTAGCTTATTGTTGATGGAAACATAATTTTGGCATTGTTGTGCTTCAACCATGAGTGTGGACTGCTTTTCTGCCTAGATTTAGGCTCCGCTTAAACTATATTTGATTGCTATCGGAGCAAGTATTTTTATTGTGTAAATTCCCTCTACCGTATATTCATTGGGATTTGGGAAACCTTCAGGCGATTCAAAGATGCACCATGTTGCATGGATTTATAAGAATTTTGTTTATGTTCCTTGCGCTTGGAACTTAGAAAAATTTAGTAAACCTGAGGAAAATCAAGCTTGTTAGGCCTGTCTCAAGCATCGAACTTACATGCACCGAACGCATTAAAGACAAAAGAAAATGAGTTAAACTTCTCATTATCTTTTGTTTTAAATGCGTTCGGCTCATGTAAAGATCGATGTTTGAAACATGTCTAAATATATTGAATGTATTAAAATAGAGACTTTGTCGTGGTGACAAATCTGAAAATAGTTCTAAATATCGCAAATACCATAGTGAATGGTAAAAGTAATATAATAAGTTGATAGTTCTTAAAAGAACTGTTTTAAGTAAAGAGCACTAACCCGATAGTTCTAAATGCATCGTGTCGTTTAACTTAGAACTATCAGTTTAGTGCTCTTTACTTAAAACAGTTCTTTTAAGAACTATCAACTTATTATATTACTTTTACCATTCACTATGGTATTTGCGATATATATTGAATGTTTAAACTAATAGGTGGTGTGCAACCATTCCCCTCTGGGAATAAGAGAATAATGGAATACTCGCCATGTTGGATGAAATTTTCATTGTAAATAAAGAAAATCCTTTGTTAAAATCGTCCAACATGGCTGCACACCAAGAATAGGTACATACGCATTTCAATTAAGTGATTAGAAAATATTCATTTTATTTTAAGACGTGATTTGCCATAAGGACCATTAATGTGCTTTGATTAAGCCATGGTACTATATATTTTAGAATTAGGGCGAAAAGGAATTACCAGATTACGAATTGTATATGCAGCAGTGTTTTCCATTTCAGTTCTACATACCCATGCATTAATGTTTACCAAATTCTGTGATAAAGTTAATTAATGAATATGAAGACGGCACCGAAAGTTATTCCTATTGTGTGTAAAAGGTATATAGGACGGTAGCTTTTTATTACATGCATCGTTTAAATGGTCATGTGAATGAAACTTTGTACGTGTTTGGAAATGCCTTATATACGCTTACGTACGTAGCTAATAAATTGTATGGCTCTCTTTATGCGATCAAAAGAATTCCTTTGAATCCAAAAAATGTACTGTTTCATCGCAAAATTCCTCGAGAAGAGAAGTCACTTTCTAGACTGAATCATGAAAATATTGTAAGGTAAAAAGAAATTTACCATCCAAAATAAATAAAAGTTTTATAACATAAGGCTTGAAAGCGAGGCTCAATTTAGACGATACAAATTGCTTGGCTTAATAAATGTTATCTTTGTAGAAACTATTATAACAAAGTAGATAATCGTATCTTGTAAAGAAAAAGACAAATTTTGAAAACCAAAGAATCCCGTTTTCGTTCCATGCCTCCCGATACCCCGAGATAGTTGAGCACTAGACTGTCGAATGTTAATTAAGGGAACCACATAGTCCTTGTTTTTTTGCCATGAAGCATATGGATGGTTTGCTCGTGATACATGAGAAGCAGTAAATGGGAGAGTTAAATCAGAAAGTTATAAACCGATAAAAATGGTATGAAACATGTTTAAGGTTGTCTTTAATTATAAATGTCAGAAAAAGACAGGGACATAAGAAGTTAATTGAAACATTGCTTGGTTTGTTTTATGAGAAGAAAATAAAAAGAAAAAATTCGAAAGCAAAAAAAACCGTTTTCGGGCAATGCTTCCCGATACCTTCTTATATGTAAGGCACTAGAACGCCACATGTTAACGTTTCAGTAGGAGGTTCCTACTTGGGAGATGCCAATACCAAGCTTCCGCCCATCAGACCCTGAGATCACCTGCGATAGGCTTTGCTCAAGGTACGCAGGGAGAGTGCGGTCGCCACCGAAGTGTGGGCTCCTAAGCCACTGCATACTATATCGCACCCAGCTTCCACTGCTAGTTGACATCTACTGTATGAAGTTTTAGCTTTATATATATATACCAAAATTTAAAGGCTTAAGAAAGTTGTGGGATGATTGTTATCATTACTGCGCATGCCCAGATGATTTCTTTGATAATTTGCGACTAAGTGAGTTAATTCACACAAATGTAGTGCAAGTACATATAGTTAGTCGTTGTCATGACTATGAACAATTACTCGAGTAGACTGCACATGCTCGAGCGCATGCGCAGATGATTTCTCTATTAAATTGTTACTAAGCATGCTATTTACTTCAAAATTGGTGCTAGTAGATGCAGTTGGTCGTTGCTATGACAATGAACTTGAGTAGCTGGTCAAGTTGATTGCGCATGCTCAATCAGACTGCGCATGCGCAGATGATTTGTCTTAAAACTTGTGATTGAGCGAGCTAATTACTCCAAAATCGGTACTGGTACATCCAGTTGGTCGTTACCATGAGCTTGGAGAGTTTGTGGAGTTGACAACGCATTCTCAGATTCTCAATTAATTTGTGACAAAGCGAGCTCAGAAATTGGTGCTTGTAGATGCGCTGAGCAAGTTTTCAATCATATAATTTTGGCATGCTCTTTGTCTTCTTAAGCATGTTTTGACAAATGCATATCAAACTCATCAACACTTTGTTACGCCACTCGTAATATTAGTGATGATGTTAGAGATGTTTTTATTTTTCTCCATAACTTTGTATCTGCATATTTTGTGCATAAACAATGCTCTAATATTTTTGACAGATATTATATGTCTTGGATTGAGGTAGAAGAAATACTTGAACATGGAACTTACAACAGTTAAACACAATCACGCATGACAGATAGGAGAAACAGCGACGCTAGTTTGAAGATAGCTTGATGAAATTAAACGTAGTTTAAGCACCTAGCGTACGCTTGACAGTTTTGGAGGAAGTCTCGTTGACGAATGAACACACGAATGATTCTAAGCATGTTGACGACAATAAAAGCTCTAGCGAGGACGGGACTTCAATACGAAAACAACCATTAATAGCACTGAAGATATGTTCAAAAGAAATATCAATGAATCGCATATACAGTTTGGAAGCTCGTTGGCTCACGTGGTATATAGTAGTAGGAACTGTTCATGATGTTGCTGAGGATATGTAAAAATAACTACCTGCGTCTTTCGTTTAGGACTAGGAATCTGATTTCGAAAGTCAAGAGGAAGCAATCACCACAAGAGATATGCAAGAAGATTGAAAGTGTACTCTGCAAACTTTGTTTATACAGATGGAGTATTGTGAGAACAGTACTCTAAGGAATGCTTTTGACGAGGGATAGTACAAGGACCAACAGAGAATGCAGCGGATTCTCCGTGAGATTGTAAAGGATTAGTTCACGTTCATTCACAGCTAGTGAAAAAAATGTGAACAATTTTCGTTTAGCTCAATAGATATGTATAAGGATTTATTACTTGCTATTTTTGCCAATAGGGTATTATGATTCAAGTAAACGCGTTTGGACATTTTTGGTTTTCTATTATTACATTTTTAGGTGTTTTCTTTAAAAAGTCAACTATTGTTGAGGAAAAGAGTTTAGTCTCTTGATACATTGAAAAGCTCGTTTTGGACCTGTAAGTTCCTTTTCATTGAATAGCAGTGTCAAAAAGAAAGTTTTACCCTTCTCGGAATATGCATTTGGTAATATAATGATAGGCATGCTTGAAAACTGCCACTCAAGGCTTCCACTTGAAAATATGAAGATCTTGGGAAAAACAAGCATTAAAGTGACAAAGAATTTATAGCTACTGTCTTTTAATGTCATATACATTGTATAGATGTCTATATCCGGATAGCCTTAACCAATGCTTAGCACAGCAACTTCTTGGACATCCTTTTATCTCTCCAAATCCAATGTCGCATGTTTTACCAAATAACATCACTACAGATCAGCTTGACGTTGAAAAATATCAAGGGAGAAATC